CGCCGTGTTTTTCTTCAGTAATTTGTATAAGGGCGCGGCCATACCTGCTAGATTGTCGATAAACTTGTGGTAGAAAGTACATATTCCCAAAAATTGCTGTAATTCTTTAACAGTGGATGGTCGAGGCCAGTTCTTGATCGGTAAGGTTTTGGCCGGATTACTTTTAACACCACTTGTTGACACTATGAACCCTAAAAACTTGAGTTCGGATACAAGGAATTGGCATTTCTTCAGATTTATTTTTAGATTCCAATGACCGAGGATACGCAGAACTTCTTGCACTTGTCGGATATTCTCTTCACGAGAAGCAGCAAACACCAGAATGTCGTTTAGGTAAATAATGGTAAATGCAGCTACACTATTAAACAGCGTATTTAGGAAACGAGCGAATGTTGCAGGACTATTGGTTAAGCCAAATGCCAAACAATTATACTCGTACAAACCAGTACTCGTCCGAAATGCAGTCTTGCACCGGTCCTTTTCGGCAATCGACAATTGCCAGTACGCAGATTTCAAGTCAATACTGCTAAAGTGAGACGAGCCAACCAAACGATCTAATAGATCTTCCATTCTTGGTAATGGATACTTGTCCTTGGTTGTGATTGCATTCAAGGGTCGAAAATTTGTACAGAATCGATTAGTCCCATCTCCTTTTGGTACGACTACAGGGTTTGAGCTCCACGCTGAGTTGCTTTTCCTTATCACGTTCATCTCCAACATTTTCGCCACATCCTTTTCAATGATTTCATTTTCCTTCGGGGAATAACGTCGAGAACGAGATACAATAGGATTATGATCACCGGTATCAATGTAATGAACAATAGGAGCATTTGTAATTGACTGTACGGCCCCTTCGTTGTATAACTGAGGATGTAATAATAAGATATCCACAATTTCAGTTGGTATACCTATAAAATCATCACCACCGACCTGCGTGTTAACTTGAATACTTGAACGAGGAATAAGCTGTTTATAAAGAGGATCTAGTAACAGTTTCATTTTTAATAACCAGTTCATGCCCAAAATACTTGTCAGATTTTGCGTTTCTACAACACGTAGGAAAAATCCTCCAAACTCCATATTCTGTATACGACACGGCATCCATACTGCTAGTTTGGATAATCCACTCGATGCATTACCATAAACGATTCTTAAAGGTGCTGCTTCCGTGAACTCCAATGATAGTCTTTCAGCTTCCTGTCTCGTGATAGTACTGATATTGGCACCAGTGTCAACCAATACGTTGGTCTTTCGCACTTCACCGGAGGAAGGAATAGTAACTGACGCCTCTAAAATAAAATTTGTAGCATCATTCATTCCACCTGCGATACTTGGGATAAGCTCATCTTGATCAGTTGGGTCCATAAATGTTTGTGAGTTTTGATATAACAGATTATAGAAATTATTAGTAATATCCGTGCCTAAATTATCACTCTCATCCTTTTCCGGGTTCAAATCCTTACTCGAAACAGCAAAGGCTTGTTGGTTATGAGAGTTCTTGATATCCTCCTTAGTCTTCTTCTCTTTATCATTACTCTTGACTTTCTTGCCTTGCCTTTCCTTTGCTAGAGCCTTGGCGTCTCGTAATAAAAAACAATCCTTCATGACATGATTTGGTTTGTCACAAACATGACATTTCATTACTGTAGATTTCTTCTCGCGTGGTCCAGATTTGTGCTGACGGTACTGAGCATTCACATCCACATCCATCGGTTCAACACCAGTATTGTCAGCCGTCATTGGGGACCAGTCTACCTTGGGGATAACGGTTGAGCGTCCACCCGAAGCACCTGCTTTGTACAGCATGCCTTGCTCTAATTCAATGGCCACGTTAACAGCATCAACCAAAGAGTTAGGTCTCGTTGCCAGAACTGCATCTGCCACCTTCGAGTCGACAGCTGCATAGAAGAAGCTTAATTGTAGCTCGCCATTACCGTTTGCAACTGTAGTGATCAAGTTCATCAAGCGAGGTCCGAACGTAGCCATTGCTTCCTTATTTTGTGTCAACGTCTTTAGGGTAGCGATAGCACGAGCCATAGATGCTTTAGAGCCTCCATAAAATTTTTCAAACGCGTCGATTAGTTTCTCAAAATCCTTTTTCACCGCTTGCGTTTGAGCTTCCCACCATGAATTAGCATGGCCTTGCTGCATAGCCATCATAAATTCAGCGATACATTCCTCATCCGAATATTGATGATAGATGATCACTTTCCGAAACTGGGATAACCACTCTTGAGCAGAGGGTTTGGTAGTCCCAAAAAATGCGGGTGTAGGGTGTTTATTCCTAGATTGAGATGGTTTTTGGCTGGTTGCACGACCAGTATTCACCCGATTAGTGGACACCATATTTGCCAGTTGTCGTGCCTGTGATACGATAGACGGAGTGGCGGACCCTGCAGATTGGTTATCCCAACTATTATTGACAGATTCAAATTGTTCGGATCGAGCCTCTTCATCTACTACAGAATTGGTGACACTTGATCTTTGATTATATATTATACTTGACGGAGTGCTGTGTCGTTGTTTATTCTGGATCAGTTGTTGCTTATACTGATCTCTTTCAATGTCAGTTCTTGTGACCACGGCTTCATCCCTGATTGGTGACACCATCTTGATTTGACCAGTGAGCTTACGGTTTTCTGCGCGTAAAGTGTCACAAGTGAACTGTAACTTATCAACTTCCTGATTTAGATCTTCAGCACGCTCGTAAAGATCTTCACTACGAGATGTCATCTCGTTTAATTGAGTTCTCAATAAAACAATGGTTTCCTCGTTTCGCACTTGCTGTTGGCGAGCTATTTCCAACGATTGTCGCAGGTTTGAAACTTCCATTTCCAACTTCTCGGTTTGCTTGTCAATTTTGTCAGTGAGTGACTCATAAAACGACTTTTGTTGAGCAAGTTGATTATCGTAGAAAATCTTAAGATTTTCAAACTGTTGATTGTGAGAGGATTCCATCGTACGTTCTCTTTCTTCCACTTCCTGTCTCATATTGTTGATTTGTCTCTGATATGACATTTCCGCTCGTTGACGTTGTTCTTCGCTGGACAAACGTACCGCATCCATTTCGCTATCAAACTGCATTCGCATTTGTTGGGCTTGATGTTGGATGTGTTGGACTTGAGCATCCTGTTGTCTCTCCGTAGCCACGATGTGGTTAATATCGAGGCTCCACGGGTTATGAGCTTGATCTCCTCCATTAAATGAGGACATGATCGACAAAAATTAACAATAATAAATACTATATGAATCTATTCAGGGTAGTATTGAGGCAATAACGCTATTAAGCTACTCCACCAATGTAAGAGGTAGCGGAATAAGATAGGTTGTAAAACTGAGTTTTATTAATATGTGATTGGTATAGGTATAAATACCTGATACCGAGTTACACAACTCTTACAAGTTGTATATACATTTTTTCTTTATCTCAATCATAATAATAACAATATCAGCAGCCCTCAGACCCCTCTTAGTAGTATCCGCAGTTTCAAACTATTTAATTAATCAGACAAGAATCACCCAGAACTCACTAAATCGTGACTTCATTATAACAGTATAGATTTATTACAAGACCAGAAACGTTGACTCAACACAACCACCAGGGGAAATTGATCAAAACAAAAAGAATCCATAATTTCATCACAGCAGAGTTATTTTATTAGTTTATTTTTACCTATAATAAAGATACTCTTATCTTATTATTTCTCAAGTGTATTATTTTTGCCAAATACCACAAAAGCTAGACACCTGATAGCCCGCTACAATACTAAAGAGTACTATTATCTTACCGGTTCGACTATTTTTTCCGCCCAGCAGCAATGTTTAAAATGTCAAAATGGAATAGAAAATATCGAGTCAACAATTACGACAAGCAAAAAATCTAGTCTAGAACGCTTTTTAGTTTATGTTCAATACTTGTTTAACAACATTGACCTTTTATTTGACTTTTGCAATTCCAGTTCAGCAAAAAACGCTTCTATCTTTATCAGGAGGGGGGGGGGACAAAAGGCACAGAAAACTATGAGGAAACAATAGAAAAATAAAACGAAGAAAAGAAAGAAGAAACAAAATATAAACCATACTGTTAGGTACATGCATTTTTAGTGGAATACATTTAAATAGCGTTATTAATTAAATTTCTTGTTAGGGATAAACTGAATAAACGGAGGCCCATCAATTGCAAAGATAAAACAAAAATCTCTCTAGTAGTATTTGGAAATGAAATGTTTAATAAAGATACCAACAAGATCAGGACTCTCGAAAGCGGGGTGTCAGGTATTCTATGGCGTACGTTGAAAAGGTGAAATGTGGCTGGACAACTTATCACTGTCTCAATTGACGAGTTCAGAAAATTCAAGATATGCAGTAAATGCCAAAATCTGACCTTGCTGCCAGCCTTCCATGTTACTAGATCAGCTGTATTTGCATGTTCTTCTTGTCATACTCTTTCGCAAAAAGACGTCAATGGATCCTGAAACATGATATCAATTTGTACCAGCATTTGGCAAGGACAAGAAAGGCCGACACCTTTTCAACGTACAATAACGTACAACAACTGCACCATCACAGTCATCGCTGTAATAAACACATTTCCACTAGTGTATTCAGATGACTACATTCACACAACTTACGTTTTTTGAAAGCTTTACAGGTAAACGCTTAAAGATTATTTTCCCTTTGCTTCGCTTCCTCTAAATCTTACTTTTTGTTTGCCTAAATAAGGTGAGCTACACTCCTAGAAATCAATTTTGATTCGTCCATAAAAAAAGTTAACAACAACTAAATTTAACGATATGCTTAAAGATTATTACAGGTTGTAAAAGACATCGTTTAAATTTTTAAGTACGATAGGCTGATGTTTAATACGTCATGTTTAGGTCCGAATTTAAGTAAAGCGGGATATGCCTTTTGAAATTTAAAGCCGAGCGTGTCTCACATAAACCAAAAATTAGTTGTTTTTTCTCTTTTTTTATCTCTTGTTTAAATTAAGAATTATAATAATGGCTGAACTACAGGAGCCGTTCGTTGGTTCGCAACCTACAAAAGAGTTTAAACACTTATTTCCTCCTACAGGACAATTAACGCCTAAAGCCGTTGAAACACCTCTCGTACTATCACCTTCTGTCTCTGAAACGTCCAACAGTTCAACACCTTCTATTGTTACAAGCAATGGAGGCATTGATTATGTGATTGTCTTTAAATTTCCTACAGCAGTACCCAAGAATGATGACAAAACCACTCGTGCTGAATTAGAATCGGACGTTTCAAGTTCTCTTGCCAGCATCACCCTTCGTCTGACCAAGGTCAAGCTTCGTTTTCAAATACGTCCCGGAAAGGAAGAAGGCACTCTTTTAATTCTGATCAGTAGTCCAGTAGGCCCTATCAAACAAGAGTACAGACAAGAAAGGTTAGCATTTTCAAAAGTTACATGGTAAATTTGGGTTGGTTTTTGAAACGAATTGTTTATAATAGAGTTCGCGACTTTTTGCTCGGTGTGCGCGTAGACGAAATTGAAGATGGTTCTAGTTCCACGGCTATTACCGATCAAGCCTTCCAGGACCTAACAGAAGCCGAGAGATTACGTTTGGTTTATGAAATTTTGACACAACCCGAAGCTGAAGGTGGGGCTGGAATATCATCTCATGTTGACAAGTATGTTGACAGTATCTTGCCTTTACATGATGACAAATTTAACAATGTAAGATCATGTATATCACAAACTATGTTAGACACCGAAAAACCGACTTAAATTTCTACTTAGACTTGGTTAAAATCTTGGTCTACGAAATGGTTAATCACGGATAATGATCTTTTAAAGATCCGTGATCATTTTGGAGAAAAGATCGCCTACTATTTCGCATTTATCCAAACTTATTTCATATGGCTTAGTGCACCTGCCGGTTTGGGATTTCTGGTATATCTGACACACTCCAACACATTGACGGTCTGGTTTTCACTTTCCATGTTAATATGGGCCGTTCTTTTTACCGAAATGTGGAAGCGCAAAGAACATGAATTAGCTATCCATTGGGGAGTTCGAAACTATTCCAAGCACGAAAAAAGAAGAACAGAGTTTAAGGGTGAGAAAATGATCAAGGATCATGTAACCGGTGAAGATACGCCTTATGTATCTGCTTGGAAACTGTTTGGAAGAAGAGTTGCTTCTTTGCCTGGAGTTGCTGTTGGTGCATTTTTATTAAGTATCATTGTCGGTTTTGTATTTGTACTTCAATTGTTTTTGCATGAGTATTATAATGGCCCATTTCATCAATTCTTGGTAAGATACATTTAATTCAGTTTTAATTCTTATTAAATTTTTATATACAGCATTATGCACCCACTGTCGGTTATGTACTCCTGATTCCTACCATGACAAACATCTACAGTAAATGGGTCAAGGTCCTCACAGACTGGGAAATGCATAAAACCGACGCTTCTTGGGAGTACAGCTACACACAAAAGATTTTCATTGCCAACTTTTTAGTTGGCTATCTGTCTTTAGTAAGTATGGATAAAATGACATATATTACGTTTTTATGATGCTAATTACATCATAGTTTATCACCGCATGGATCTATATTCCTTTTGGTGATCATGTGTTACCTTACCTTGTTCAATTTAACGTGTCGCATGATCACAAGACTGTAGATTTTCAAAGATTACGCGCTCAACTTGTTTATTTTGTAGTGACAGGTCAATTGGTTGGGTTCTTGACAGAAATGGTAGTACCTTATGCACTTAGACGTATCATGCCCCAAGCAAAGAAGTTGACTAGCAAAGTAGTTAAGAATCAGAAGGAAAAAAGCACAAATCTTTCCACCAACGCTACAGTCGAAGATCAAGAGGAAGCCAAGTTTATGGCGAAAGTTTACAAGGAAGTTGGACTGGAAGAATATAATATCTATACCGATTACGTTGAGATGGTCATTCAAGTAAGATCCGATATAAATATAGTGCTCTTGTCATTAATATTTGTGGTAGTTTGGTTATGTCAGCATGTTTTCTACAGTGTGGCCATTGACTGCTTTATGTGCATTGATTAATAATTGGGTAGAGATTCGTGGTGATGCTATCAAAGTGTGTAAATATACAAGACGTCCTATACCCCATCGCGCTGAAAGTATCGGTCCTTGGTTAGGAAATATGGAGACATTGGTTTGGTTGTCTTCTATTACAATGGGATCATTTGCCTATCTTTTCCATCCTTCCACTAATATACATTCCCCTTATACACCTGTCTTTACCTTGTTGGCCATTTTATTGTCAGAGCATCTATTTGTTGCTCTTAGAGCTGGTGTTCGTGCTGCCCTATCTATGGTTCCTAGTTGGTCTGAATGGTTGATTCGCAAGGAGGAATATAAGTTAAAGAAGGTTTGGTTAGAGCGTATGGTTGGTAATCACAAGCATTTTGTATCGCGTAGTGACGATCAAGAGAACGATAACTCGGATCTTTCTGAGGGATTAAGTTCAAAGATTTGGATCCATCACTTGGATAAGCAGGCGGAACAAGCCGAAGGGTTTCAATTGATTCAAAATGCCTTCAAAACCAAATAGAAGACAATTTTAAAAATAAATGTGTCTTTATGTGATAATAAAAACTGCTCAGTATGCAACTGTAATTAATCAGGTTATGCTAACAAAAGAACAATCAATTATGAAAGCGGAGTTTTTTTTCTCCTTTAAAACTCTAGCACTTTCGATTTTTTTTTTTTTTTTTTTTTTTTTTACGTTATCTCTTTACAATGAATCCATCACCAGAGGAAAGCCATTCAGCCGACTTGTTTGCTAAAGCCAACGACGCGTTTTTTGACGATGATTATGACGAAGCGTTGACTCTCTTTACAAAGTTAGTTTCCCTGGAACCCACTAACGCCGAATTTATATTAAAACGGTAAGGCACGATACACTTGTAAAAAAAAAAGGGAATAAAGAAAACTGAATTATAAAATGGATCTGTAGTTGTCAAGTACATCAAAAGCTGAATCAGCTGGAATTAGCTCTCAAGGATGGTGAAAGTGCCTTAAGACTACTGGAACAAGGCTCTCGTAGCTTATTAGCAAGGGCTCACTTACAAGTTGGGTAAGGATAACCTATTTCGAAACTTTTAAAAGGCCCTTTTTTTTTTAATCATTAGGGGTTTAGTATCACTTTACATCGTTTAGGTCAATACGTAAAGGCTCAAAGTCACCTGGAACAATCAAGAGAACTGAATCCCAAGGAAAAGACCTTGGTAACATGGTTGAGAAAGAATGAGGATAAGTTACCCAAAGATGCCCCTACCACTACTTTAGCTGCAGCTCCAGCTCCAGCTCCAGTTTCAGCTCCACCCGTAAAGGCAACAAGGTGAAAAAAGTACGCTTAATTCAAATATTACAATTGGGATTAATTGGAATTGATAGATACGAGTGGTTTCAAAATGACACATTTGTCACAATTGAAGTGTTTATCAAAAACGTAAAGCAGGATGCAGTTGATCTTAACTTCTTTGATAATTCGGTAACAATAAAAAAAAAAACAAAGAAAGTAAGGTGGGAATTTTTAATAAATTGGTTTTTTTTTTTTTTTTAGTTGTCATTGACGGTCAAATTACCTACTGGATCTGATTACTCACTTGAACTTGAACCACTTGCACACAAGATTTTACCCAAAGAATCCTCCTTCAAGATTCTTTCCACCAAGATTGAGATCAAGTTAAGAAAGGAAATGATTGGTATCATGTGGGGTACTTTAGAAGGAGATGATCAAATTATTCCCAGTAAGCGTGTATTTTGTACTTTTGCTGCAGGACAAAAAAAAAAAAAAAGGCTTACATTTAATCTTTTAGTGGCCTCAAGCACACCCACTACCACCGTAAAGAAAGCTAAGGATTGGGGAGCTCTTACTCGTGAAGTGGATGAAGAAACAAAACCCGAGGGAGAACAAGCTTTGAATTCCTTGTTCCAAAAAATCTACAAGGATGCCGATCCTGATACGCAAAGAGCCATGATGAAGAGTTTTGTTGAAAGTAACGGTACTTGTCTTTCAACAAATTGGAATGAGATTGGCAATAAAAAGACTGAAGTGAAGCCTCCAGAGGGAATGATTGCAAAGAAGGTAATACTCATTACGTAAATATCTATTATATTTAATCTAACATATTTGTGTAGTATGAATAAAAATCTTATTTTCATATGCCGAATCGTTTCTATGGGGAAAATTGTCATCCATAATGCTTGAAAAAGGAAACTAAGTTTTCACACACACACACACACACACACACACACATTAATAAAACCCATTCTCTTTTTTATTTGCCTTCCCTTTCTCCCTATTTCTCTCTACCACTATAACTTTTCGTTGCACCTACCTTAACATATACATGGCCCCCATTTATAAAGTACTCATTGCCAATCGTGGTGAAATTGCATGCCGCGTTATGCGAACATGCAAAAGATTAGGCATTGCTACTGTCGCAGTCTATTCTGACAGGTACCAAGTTAGAATTTTATTTCACAAACTATAAACTTATAACTGGACTTTTAGTGACGAAAACGCACCCTTTGTAAAAATGGCAGACGAAGCCTATTATATCGGCTCTTCAATTGCAGCAGAATCGTACCTGAATGCTGAAAAAATAATAGCTGTCGCAAAACGATCCAATGCTGATGCCCTGCATCCCGGCTACGGGTTTCTTTCTGAAAATGCTGACTTTGCGGACAAAGTAATCTCTGCTGGTATCAATTTTATTGGTCCTCGTCCCGATAATATTCGTGCTATTGGTGATAAAATTGCTGCCAAAGTCTTCATCAAGGAACATGCAAACAGCATCCCTCTTATTCCTGGTTATAACGGACAAGATCAATCCATCACTAGATTAGAGAATGAAGCAAAAAAAATTGGTAAAAATATATATAAAAACTTATTCCAGTAACAAATTTTGACTGTATAAAATAGAATTCCCAGTCTTGTTAAAAGCGTCTGCTGGTGGAGGTGGTAAAGGCATGAGAGCTGTTTACGAAACTAGCAAGTAAGCCCTCAGCATAACTACAAGTAACCAAGTTTTATTCATCTTCATTTATAGGTTAAGAGAAGAAATTGAGGCTGCGCAGGGTGAATCACTTCGGGCATTTGGATCTGATAAATTATTAATTGAAAAGTATTTTGAAAGTATCCGTCATGTTGAGGTAACATTTAAAATGAGGGTTTGATAACTCTTTTTAATATAACTCGGTTTGTCATAGATTCAAATATTTGGTGACAAGTATGGTAACGTATACCATATCAATGAACGTGATTGCTCAATCCAAAGAAGACATCAAAAAGTAGTTGAGGTAACATAAAGCCTTGCTTGTCATTGTTTTTTATCCTAATATAGAAGAATTTTGTGTGTCTGTAGGAAACACCTTCCCCAGCCGTCGATGATAAGCTTCGCACTGCAATGACTAACGCAGCCGTTGAATTGGGCCGTAAACTAGGTTATGAAGGTGCTGGTACAGCTGAATTTATATTGGACGAAAAGACCAAGAAATTTTACTTTTTAGAACTAAATACACGTCTTCAAGTTGAGCACCCAATCACAGAGGCTATATCTGGACTTGATCTTGTCGAGTTACAACTGTTAGTTGCTCAGGGTGCTAATTTAAAGGAACTTGGAATTCTAGACAATATCAAATTCCAAGGTCATGCCATAGAAGTACGTCTTTGTGCTGAAGATCCAGACCATGACTTTGGTCCTCGCACTGGTGTTATTCAAAAATGGAGCCCAGCTGATTCTGGTACCTTTATACCCGGTGTTCGTTTTGATACAGGCGTGGAAGATGGTTCTGAAATTTCCATCTTTTATGACTCGATGGTTGCTAAAGTCATTGTCCATGCTACTACGCGTGAAGAAGCCGTACGTCGAATGATTGCTGTTTTGTCTCGCACTGTCATTGTAGGTGTCACCACTAATCAGAAATTTTTGATCAGTATCATGAACAATCCTCGCTTCCAATCAGGCACCTTTGATACGAACTTTATCGTACAGGAAAAGGAACGCTTATTCCCAACTTACAATGTATTGTGTTCCAAAAACAGTATTATCGCTGCCTTTTTATTTGACTGGACAATTCGTCGCAGTCAGCAAGTACATTTGAAAAGCATTCAAACAAGCTGGCGAAATATTAAATGGAGGAATAAGCGCATGAATTTCTTGGTCAATCATGGTCCCGAAATTCAAATCCAATATAATTATTTAGGTGACCCTCAACATGACAAACGTCATGTCTTTCAAGCAAAAGTACTTATTAAAGAAGACGCTATTCAAGGTGAAGATGAACAAGAGCTACCTATTTCAGTTGTTCTCTTTGAAAACGATCTTGGTAAAGAGATCGCTGGTCCCAGAGGTATTCAAGGCTGTCGTGGTCTGTTACGTTGTACCATTGATGGTAGCCAACAACACTTTTATATCGCAGAAGATGTAAAAGATGTAAACGAAAAATCCATCTTTGTACACGACTTTGTATGTGGTCATCAAGTGGAGTTAGTTAAGGTAGATCGTCTCAAAAGTAAGTCGGCTGCTGTTGAAGATGATCGTGTGACGCCCTATACTTCATCCATGCCATGTCGTATCCTTAAATTACTCGTGCCTTCCGGAACTATCGTCAAGAAAAACATGCCTCTCTTATCCATCGAATCCATGAAAACCGAAGTTAAAATCCTAAGTCGTCATGATGGTGTCGTAACAATGAGAGTGGAGGAAAATCAATTGGTTGATGCCAGAGTGCTTTTGTGTTCTGTCGATGAAGTTAAATAAATTGCTCCCGTTTATACTCTAATAATAAAACCAAAGTGACAAAGCCATATTCATATTCGATATATATTTTTTTGTTCTTTATAAAAAAATTTGGAAAGGGGAAAATGATACTACGGTATGTATGTTACCAATCTACATTCTCATATTGAGCTTGTGCTCCATGGCAGTATGAAAATCAATTGAATCGGTTGACATGCTAGGGTCTACACAATACACATATTAGTTATCCTAAACGAATCTGAGTCCACAATCATAAATACGTACCATTAAGGAAATCCTCATAATCAATAGTCTCATCTTTACCCATCAAAATATCCAAATGCAAGTTTGAAGAGGGCATAATAGGCATACGTTGACGCTGCAATATAAGCATGAATATCACACCTCTAATTTAATCACATCCTTTCTTACCTTTTCAACTATGCTTTTTTCCATCATTAACTTGATAGGAGCGTGCATACCATAAGCTTGACGAGCCAAATTCAACTTTAATTCCCACTGTGTCTCTTCCCACTAAACAAAAACCATTATCTGTCAGTATACAATCCGTCTATCTAATCGTACAACATTACTTGATTTAATCTGCCTTCAAGAGGATGTCCAGGCATGACCTCGGTCTTGATGGAACGAGTACCATAACGTAAAGCATCATGACCACCCAATTCTGAATGAGTGGTATCAAGAGTGCTCATGACAGTTTCAGGGTGTGATTCAGGTGCGAGACGAAGAGCCTATTAAAAAAATATGTTAAATGACCTTGGCCATGTACAGTCGCGTTGAGGGGCTGTAGGTACCATTGTTGTGTTGTATGTATTGGGGATGAAGGTCGTCAACAATAAAAAAAAAGGGCCAAAATTTAGCAGGACGCTTGCGCGTCTCTAGGTAAATCACAGTCACACGCTTCGTCATTTTTAAACTCTCTGTCAAAGATTCCATGCCGTTAAAAAGCAACAGTCTGCATGAACGACCTGATGCAACGTGTTTCATTTTGACCACTCTATTTAGACCGAAAAGCCTGCTACTATTAATACATGAGGAGAGCGAAAGATAAAAGGGGTTGTATTAAAATGTAAATAAAAGAACGGATCACAGTATGATATTTTCTTTATTTAATCATTCTGTTTTTGGTTCATGCACTATCATTCTATGCTCTAAACCTGTTTAGAAACCAATAGTTTAATATGTGTATGAAGCCCGGGCCCCTGTTTTACTACGGTTTCTATTATTGCTTGTGCTGAGTACAAGTGTTGGCTTTGGATGGTGGGAATTTGTGGAAGCTTTCTAAAATGTTGCGTTCTTTTTTCGGTGTAACACAATGACTGCTTGACCAAAACACACCCCTTCTCAACAGCTGACAGAAACCTTTTTGCTGTTGAAGAGACGCCTAAAATTTAGCAATCTATGCTGACCTGTTTTTCTATCACTTGGTCTATTTACCCGTTAAATCTCGACCCTTCTGTTCAAAACACCCTACAAAAAAAAAGTTGTTCGGGCCTTTTATTTTAGGTGTGAGAATAACCTCGGAGAAATACAAAGGGTAAAGAGTTAAATTGTAGGTTTTCCAAACTGTAACGTGAGAGAAAGAAAGACGAGTCTATTTAAACTAGTTATTCCTTTCCTGTTTGTTTTATTTTTTGTTTTGTTTTATTTTTCTATAACAATATATCAATGGCACCACTTCCTAAATCAATTATCGACTCTCATGTTCATTTTTGGCAACCAGACAAGGTGAATGTTCCTTGGGTGAAAAACAGTCAATTTGATAAGCGTAAAGACGCTGTTGATTATGCTGAACAAGTGAAACTGGCCCGAGTGAAACAAGCAGTGTATGTAGAAACTGATGTGGATGTGTTCCATAAGCTGGTGGAAGCAGAATGGATCTACAAGTATTCACAAGAGATCCAGACCAATGACAGTTTTGGAGGAATTGGCGGTATTGTTGCATTTGCACCTGTCCAACAAGGAGATCATGTTGTAGGGTATTTGCGTACACTAGTGCGTGTGACAGGCGGTGCGGATAGCATCTTAAAGGGGGTGCGATGCCTTTTACAAGACCCAAACTTAGATCCCGCTCGAGTCCTGGAGCCAGACTTTATCCGTGGTATTCAATGTCTAGAATCGTTTAAACTGAGCTTTGATATCTGCATCGATTGCAGGAGTTCACCTCAACAATTTCCACCCATACAGAAAATGGTTGTACAATGTCCTCGTGTTCAATTTATTCTTGACCACATGGGTAAGCCTCCTTGCGATAGCCAACCGGGAGATACTGAATTTGAATTCTGGAAACAACAAATGACTCAATTATCTAGTAATCCAAACGTCTCCTGTAAAATATCAGGTTTAGTAACTGAATTTAATGATAGTCATCATGACGAAAAGTCTGACGTCGTACGTAAATTGAAACCGTTTATTCAAGTTGCGCTAGAGACCTTTGGGATCGACAGACTCATGTATGGCGGCGATTGGCCCGTGTCCGAAGCCGCAAATACGACATGGCAATCTTGGCTAGAAATCATTTCCGAATTAGTAAATCATTGGTCAGAAGACGATAAAGAAAAACTGTTTGTTACAAATGCCACTCGTATTTATAAATTATTGAATCATACAAAGTAGAAATGGGCTCATGGCTTATTATATCCCCGACACATTTTTTTTTTTTTTTTACTTTAAAAATAAAATCAAAAGTCGAACCTGTCGCAGTTCATTTATCATCACTTTTCTTCATCTTCTCTTCATTATTACAAATGACTCACATCATGAATACTAACTCATTCGATAATTCTATGCATCAATCGTACAATGAAAAGGTAATTCTTGAATTATCAGTCTTTTACGAGAATATAGCATACTTATCGAAATATAGCATCAATTATTTAAACCACAACAGTACAAAAAGGTGCAACAACAGCCGTCGCAAGAATTACCTCCAACACCTTCTTCTTCTGCCTTGTCATTTTTAGTGACGGATCAAAGATCTTTTGGTAAGTTGGTCTATAGTATTGGGTTTACATGTTTGACTTAAAAATGATTATCATTAGAAGAGGAAGATGACGGAGGTCGTTTACCGTTAAACACCGCTATCAACACAACTCGTCCAAACTCTTCGGCTGCTAACTATGGTTCCTTATCTTCAGGTAAAAAAAAAAAAAAAAAAAAAAAAAAAAAAAAAAAAAAAATGATAGTAAATTCGCACATGAGTCTTACCTAAAATGAGCCAGATTTTACATATTTTCAAACTGCATCACCAAGTACAATGTCTTCGCCTGCTGCATCTACTATAAGCCCAAATGATGATGATGAGGGCCTTTATTTATTATGGACACATCAATTATTGAGAGAAAGAGGCTATAAACCAAGCTCTTGCAAGCTAAATGGAGATGAAGATGAAGAAAACGATGATTGCTACAGTATAGATAGCAGTATCACCGACTTATCAGTGGATCAGCAACAAACACTTACTTCATCAAACAACAGCAATAGACATTTAAACAGTAATTTTTCTGCCTCATACCCAACTTGGCTTTCATCATGTTTTCCTATGTGTTGAACCACGTTGTCCTAGGAATTTCTACCGATATTCATCTACATATCCTTTCTTTTTACCTATACCGTCTGATACTACATAATGATAATAAAATACAAACTTGATCTACACACACACATATATATATACATATATATATATATAAATTTATACATAAAACATTATCAAATCGCAGATGATGACACCTCATGACTTTATAGGTACACTGTATTTTTTTCCCTCCGTGTTTGTTTGTCTCTATTTATCAATTACATAACGAGTAGTTAAAATAATAACATCTTGTAGTGCATTTACGCTTAGATATAACAAATTTAATCGCAGAGCTTAAAATGCCCCTGAAAAGGTAACAGTGGTACGAAGACATGAAAAGTTGTGGGAAAGGCCAGACCCTTTTGCAATGGACTGGGTGGACGATATCTACCATCCGGACTGTATAACATGTACAATTCCCCAAGCACAAGATCCCGAGCGCGAATTACATCAATGATACTCGGGAGCAACATGACAAAAAAAATCCTAATCCAACTTCGGGTGTTTCTGAACCTTTAAAGCTAGACAAATTAAGACAAAACAAAATAAATCTGCAGAACAAAAGGGCAAAAGAAGAGAGAGTCGAATATAATTCCACCTAGATATACTATTGTTTACTCTTTCATTTATGCAGGACTGTTGCTCTTTAAGAAGTATCGAATGGGCGTTCCATCCTTAATAGTGGAGGGAGGTCTTAACGTATTCCATAAAAAATCTAGAAGGAAGGTCAAGTGCCTGTCTATAACTATTCATGGTCTCGAAAGTTATTGCATTACTGATAGGTCCAACAAATTGTGATTTTTGCAGTTTTTTTAACAAAAAAAAGAGACAAAAGGTAACTAATATATTAAACTGTAGTCGTTTAAGAAAGCTGATAACTATGTATGCTAAATGTCAGATGACCTTCAGTTGAGTTGCTCTTCTGAATGGCCGTGGTTCAAGGACCCCGCGAGAAATTATTTTGTTTTCCACTTTCATCATAGGAAAAACGATAAACGTATTGTATCCATGGACCGATTCTACCAAAAAAAGTCTGGTTTTCTACCATCCTTCACATACTTTGTACACCCTGTTGCTATCAACCGGCTCGTAAAACTTGCTATGAACTAAATACTTTGGTGTATTTTGTTATTCTCGTGTTGCTTTTGATTAAAGCGACGTTTAGATCAAAAGCTCTTTTGAATAAAAAGTCTAAACTTGTAAACAGCAAGGACAATAGACATAACTCAACTCGAAATAGTAACAAATATTTGATGAACCTGATCCCTCAATGGATGCGGGGCAAAGTTTTTTTATTTATTTCCTTAATTAAACACATTAAACTCACAAAAGAATACTGCTGTAATTACCCTTTTTGTTTCATTAATCTTGATACAAGAGCAGCAACTTTCACCTTTTTAGAGCTTGCAAAAGTATGTTCGTAGAGAGCAAAATAGCGTCCAAAAAGCTGCTCAAACTCCATGATTGATAAATTCAAGTGCTCTGCGCGATAACTAATTTGAAAATCTCGACAGCAGCATTTTAATGAAAGTTGCGTGTCTGCTACCAATACTTAAAATCACTACCTACAAAAAAAAAAAAAAAAAAAAAAAAAATCAAGAGGCAAAAAGCAGAGAGTAGGTGATATTCATTACAACGGACAAAGTTTAATTGCCATCATTGTACACACAAAAAAGGTATGGAAATACTTTTTTATTGGGATTTTCTGACAAGAAAATGTATATGAGAGAGGAGAGAGGGATGAAATATATGTATACGTCTAAATATGAAATTATTTTGTAAGTTTAAGCCTTGACGTTCTTGACCAAGTAAGAGAGTAAATCAACCTTTGTGATAACGTGCTTGACCTTATGAGAGTCTGTAACTAAAGCAGATGAGTTGGTCTCGAAGAAACGAGTCAACTTATCTAAAGGAGTAGATTCAGTGATTTCTTCAAACTCCTTGGATCCCTTAGTGAAATGGAACATGACTTCGGAGACATGGGTATCAGGCTTAGCACGACCAGTAGCAATACGAGAGAGAATGTTACCCATGGTAACAAGACCACGAAGACGACGATGAGGACCAGCAGTTACAGGCAATTGATCAAAGGCATTCTTTTCCATTAAATCAATAGCTTCCTTACAGGTGGTCTCGCTGTCAATAGTGACGGCATCAGCCAACTTGAGGTCACGGACAGTGGCACCAGCAAAGTCCTTCTTGGCCTTGTTTTCAAAGCTGGATTCCTCAAACTTTTCATCAGTGTAACCTCTCTCTCTCATCCAATCGTCATTCAAGAACTTGGTCATATAGTTACGGACAGAATCAGGCAAGATGACAACACAACGTTGACCTTCCTTTAATTCCTTGGCAGCTTGAACAGCAGCGTACATGGCAGTACCAGAAGAACCACCACAGAGGAGACCTTCTTCGCGAATCAAACGACGAGACATTAAGAAAGAAGGCTTATCTTCAGACTTGACCCAGACATCAATCAAGTTACGCTTGAGGACATCAGGAATGAAATCATATCCAATACCTTCAACTTGGTAAGAACCACCTTCAGTGTTTAAGGATTCAGGTTGGGCCAAGATAGAACCAATGGGATCAACACCAACAATCTTAATGTTGGGTAATTTTTCCTTGAGCTTTTGGGCAATACCAGAGATGGTTCCACCAGTACCAGCACCAGCAACCAACATATCAATCTTACCATCACATTGCTCCAAGAGTTCTTCAGCAGTAGTATCGTAATGAGCAATAGGGTTGTAAGGGTTAGTGTATTGATCCAAGATAACAGCATTGGGGATTTCATCTCTCAATTTACGGGCAACACCAATATGAGATTCAGGGGCATCCCAAGCAGCTTCAGTAGGTGTACGGATAATTTCAGCACCAAGAGCCTTCAAGACATCAACCTTTTCTTGGGACATCTTTTCGGGTAATGTGATAATAACACGATAACCCTTGACGGCAGCAGCAAGAGCCAAACCAATACCAGTGTTACCAGAGGTAGGTTCAATAATGGTACTAACACCGGGAATAATGGTACCAGCCTTTTCAGCTTCTTCAACCATACGGGCAGCGATACGATCCTTGACGGATCCACCAGCATTGAAATATTCACACTTGGCCACTAGTAAATAAATTTAATATCAATTTATCCAAGGGGCACCCCGTGGGACTATTCCCATGTTACATTTATTTTTTAAATGTAAATATATACTTACAAAGTTCACACTTTAAACCTTCTTCCTTGGCAATCTTGCTACAACGAACAAGAGGGGTACGACCAATGTTCTCCAAAATGGTGTTGGAGATCTTGGGAGCAGGAGCAGAACTAAGAGGCTAATGTTAACAAAACGGAATTTTGCTTTCAAAGCCTTTTATAAAAACTTACTTGTGCTTGTGGTTGTACTTTTCAAAAATGTGTTGTAATTCGGTAGACATGTTAAAAAAAATTAAGTGTATAAAGAAAAAGAAGAAAAAAATATTTTCTTTGCTGTCTTTTTCTAAAAGAACTTTCTCACGATTATTTCAAAAAAAAAAAAAAAGGGTATGTGACTTGTATTTTATTTCCTTTTGAGTTGTGCTTGTGTTTCATTCGTGTTCCCAAACACCAAAGCACAATAACTGGATTCAGTAGTTCCAACCTTAAATGGAATGGTAAAGAGGCTTGATGAAATCCACAGTTGAAATGAGGAATTCATGAGGTTTTTTCAACTATTGGTCACATTACATTAAAACATAATTGATCGATTGATAAACTAGTCTTTACTCTGTGTTCCAAAAATGCTGGCCTATAAATCATTTGAACACGAACACTAAATTAAAGTTTGCCTTTAATGTTTGGGCAATGGTCAATGTATCTACCCTCACTCTTTGAAAAACTTTCTGCCGTGCCTTATAACCACCGCTTAAGAATCATCTGAATGCCCTGAATAAACATGCTGTCACGTTTTACACTCTTACATAATGCGAATTTTATTACAGGAAAAGCCCATAATCTTTTTTTTAAAAAAAAAGACCACCAGCAGCATCAGAGACACTCACATATTTATTGCTCAATCTTCTTTTCCTGTTCTTTCTTCAAGGACAATAACCACTTTCCATACGTAGGTGTATCTCCTGATGCATAACGATGTAAATCAGAAAGACCACCAGCTGCCAAACCAAACATGGCACCAAATATCACTGAATATCTAAAAGATCCTCTTGTCAATTTTGCTACATAGTTTAAATTAGTTTGACGCTACCTTCAAGGTATCTCTTTCTTATACACTTACTAAGAGTTGAAAAAATTGTTCCTGTCGCAATACCAGCAGTAACAGAATTCAAAACGTCGGCTTCTCCACGTACATCATCAATCGCCGCCTCAACAGAACCATAAAGTAAACATAATCCACCAGTCTTTCCTGCAAACTTTAAGCCTCGCTTTACACCACCCAACATCATGCGATAGTTCTTTGTCTTGTGATAGAAATACCAACCTTGTACAGTGGTTGGTAATTTGTGCGCATTCTCTGCCAAATACTGCAAGCCTGATTGCTGTCCGCCTAAGAAGGCTCCAATGCTGAATCCCCAAAAGGTTCCAATGGTTGTCATTAACAACAGTCGTGGTTTGGTACTTAACCCTGCTCTGACAAGCCCATTGGTTTCTTCGAGATCATCACTTGTGGGTGGTGGCACGCTACTTAACTTGTAGTCGTCGGAAAAGTCTTTTTCTAATGTCTTAAGACCATGCTGTGATGTCGACACTTGAGGGGTGGGAGGTGCACTTGTTTTATTCTCCATGGTAATTTCTGAACGAGATATACAGGGTTTCCCACTCAATTCTAAAACTTGAGATTTGCATGCAAAATCAACCGTCACACTCTCAAGTAATTATCGGTACCTGTACAATACTTGACAACATCTATTATTACAGTATTAGCACTTTGAATTCAGACAAAGAAAACTTATTTTCAGATAAACCTAAAAATGATTTCAGATGAACAAAAATATATTTCAGACAGAAGTAAAAAAATGATTCAGAATAACGTAATATATATATATACAAATAGAATAAAAAAAAAAAAATTCCAGACAAAGGCTATCAAAGGATGTATCCTATGAATTTTACAGTTTTTATATTCTGCATTGATAGTTCATAATGTATTTAAAGGTGTATTTTTATGAGCTCTTTTTACACAAATCCTCAGTTAATACGTTATAACAGTAAAAAAGGGGGAGAAACGGAATTTCAATTACTTTAGATGACGTTGACTTTGAGCATTATAATGTAACTTGATTTAATTGACAATACATCAAACAGTGCTTCTTTCACAAAAAAAAAAATATGAGACCTCGTATTTACCCAGTTACAGAAGATTTTATAAATGCCAAAATAACAGCTAAACTTGCTAAGATGGGGGACGAAACGAGTACCGGCACAATGAATCAACCTGCTGGTGGAAACAGAGGTAAAAATGCACTGTATATGTTCAGGTATATAGCCAAACATAATAACTCATAAAATAAATCAGGCCTAAAGAGAAAGGAAACATTTGAAGCGAAAAAAGAAAAGAGTGTGGCTAAAAGAAACAGGACCACTGCGTCTTCAAGCTCATCGACCCTGATTTGCAAGTCTTGTGATACAAGTGGTCATTCTTCTGCGAGAAGTAAATTGTGCCCTAACCATAACTATACCTTACAAGAATTGATCGAAAAGGATTTTGGTGCTAAAAATCAAAGATATACTATATCTCTTCCATTAAAGGGCTTTTTAAATGAAACAGATGATGATGATGACCGATTACAGAAGGCCGTAAACAAGATCCAGGACCTATCTAGTTTCTTACGTCTTGTTTTGTTTAAAGCTCAAATCTTTGTCAATGACTACATTTTACAATACCCCAATAATTTGTCCAATGAATTTTTTCAGCAAAATTTTTGGTATTCATTGTGTAGAGTGGTTTGTAAACAGCTGTCGATCAAAGACTTTCAGTTAAAGTATGCCAAAATTCACCACTTGGAAGACGTATGAATGGAGCTTAATAATCTAGAGGGAGTAAACTTAAACGTGGAAAAAGATGGGCTGAAAAATTATGGTCAAGTGCTTGCAACTGCATGTGAAACTACTGCTACGTGTTATAATAACTATTACATTGAGAATTTTCAGAACATCATCTGCAACTACTTCATTTATATGATTTGTAAAGAATTTCATGTAAGTTACTATCAGGAAGCACTAACAAGTTATTAACAAACTTAATTTAGGACGTTAAAAAATCTGTCATAAGGAAACTTGTATATGAACATGTTTTAGATCAAGTACTATCATCTGATCCTGTTGCCGTTCTAAATAATGATATCCTCCCACCATTAAGCCAAGAAGCAAAAAATGGTTTACAGGGATTTATAAACCCTTTAATTGTGGAGCTCAAGAACCGCTTGCCATCGTTCACAATTACAAAGGCAACTCAGAATACTGCCCCTTTTGGTATTTTACCGGCATTAAGACACATTCTGTCCAAGTATGAATCAATCATTGCGGAAAATTCTACTTCACAGAAGCATGACTCAGAACCAAGAAGACCTCAAGATACGGTTCAATCTGATGAAAAAAAGAAGAAAGATGATAAAGCAAAGCATTTTGTACTGCCAAGAATATTTAGCTGTTTCCCAATCCAGGTTTGCAGTGGCGCTTTATCAAAATCGATAGTCAAGACGTTACTGGTATATTCCCTGGCTCAAAGTTAAAGAAAGAAAAGGACGAGACTTTATTTAGCTTCACACAAAGGTACTTTTATGATTGTTTTAACTTTGCCAAGTTAAAAATTAGAAGGTACATAAGAAAGAAAGAGCATTGAGAACCTTCTTCATATAATATTAATAATAAACATTTTGTCTATTATTATTAGCCTTAAAGATCTGAAGGAGCTGCCTGCAACCAACGGCAAGATGCTTTTGAACGGGATGTACACCGATAATTATACTTGCCGCTTGCTATTCTGTCGTCGTACTGAGCGATCTTCGTTAAACAAAAGCATTGCCCTAGAACTCGATGACTTTAACACTGAAGAGGTAAATACTTATTTTAGGCCATGTACAGTTGATCCCGGAAGGAAGGACGTGTTTATATCCTACCATGGAGACAATGATGTGAGACGTCTTTCTTCAAAAGAATACTACAATATGGGTGGTGTTACGCAAAGAAAAGAACTCAAGAAAAGCTTGGGTATTGATCAAATTGAGACCAATATCCCCTCACCTAAAACCACGTCTCATGATACCTATATACTATACATTACGTATATTCTCCAACATATTGATACACTTTTTAATTTCTACGGGTTTAGAACTACCAATAGTAGATGGTGTAATTATATCGCATCACAAAAGAGTATAGAGGACGCCGTTAATATCCTTTTAAATGGATCGACAAAGTACAACAAGAAAAGAAGGAAAAATAAGAAGAAGAGTAAAAAGCGAAGGAGATCTAAAATAATTGATTCTTCAAAATCTAAACCGAAAATTGTCAAAAGGTAAGCGTGCTAACAAACCTTGATATGATTGTATTTTAATAATGAAACTTGCATGAAGAGAACATAAAGAGAAATTCGAAGAAGGGGATTGTAATAAAATGCCTTTAATCATCTTTGGCGATGGACTTAAGAACAAAAGCCAAACAAAGTTTAAGGGTTTACGCTCCGGTGTAACGGACAAGCTTTACCGACAATTGAAAAGAAGAGGGAAGCTTGGAGAGTTACTTCTTGTTGATATTAACGAGTTTAAAACATCAAAGGTTAGTATATTAATGTATATCAATACCTTCGACTAAAGTAATAGTTTTATAGACATGCAATTCTTGTTTTAGTAATGATTTAAAAAACATGAGGTGCGGTACTGACAAAAAATCCTCGCACATCCATCAAATATTGATTTGTAAACGATGCAATATTTTTTGGAATCGTGATGTGATGGCTGCGAAAAATATGCTTGCTATATCTCAATCCATTTGGGATGGCCAAGGCCGACCAGCTGTATTTAAAAGACTAAGCGCCACCTCCAATGTGGTTACCTCGTCTCACTCAAGTGAGGAGAAGGTTTAAAGATTTTACAGGTAAACCTTAGAGTAACTTATCAAATTATCCGAAAACTAAATTTCATTTGTCTGATTTTTTATTTATTTTGTCCAAAAAAGGTAAGTCAATGTCTGAAAGTAAATTTTGATTCGTCTGAAAAAAAATTAACATTTTCTGAATTAAAAGTGTGAAAATTGTATCCAGTTCTTCCCTTAGGAGGTTGTGATATAAAATAACATTGAGTTCACTTACATACATCAACCCTCGTTTCTGAATATATTGCAGAAGATGTTGCAGATATGGCATTTAAGGAAATGTCTATGAAGGTGATGACATTTCCTGTAGTTACGAGCATATCGATATATTGTAGTGTGATATAAGACAGCGGAAGAATTTAATTAAAAAAAAAGTTTACTATTTCAAGCTTTTTCTTTTACTTCATTTCCAAATTCTAATGTCTCGCGAAGAGAGTGAATTGCAAGAGCTTTTAGGACAAATTAGCGCAAACCAGCCTTCACACGTAGGGTTCATATCAAAAGTATTGGTTACAGAAGTGAAAAAGAACGGTAATTATCAGACTGGAGAGCAGTTGTTTGACCACTTGATCAAAATATTGAAGGAGAAGAAGGTGTCCAGACCAACATACGTGTATAGCGAAATGGAAATTTCAGCTTTCCAACGCTCAATAGCTACGCTAGTTCGTTATGCACCGACTGCTGAAAAGGCTAGATACATGTTCAACCTGACATTGAGAGAATATCAACTGCCTCTTCGTACTGTATCTTTGGAGTTAACCTTGTTAAACAACCTTCTCTATGTGCATTCCCAATTTAACGAAATGAAGAATGCATTAACAATAATCGAGACAGCGTTAGAAATAGGCGCATTTCAGTTGGATCCGCGAAGCTATCATAACATATATGACAATGCAAAGTTTAGCGATCCTTTGGAAGTGTTTGAAACTCTGTCTGGTAAAGTCTTGAGATATTACCGCTTGGAGTTTAACGAAGACAAGACAGCACTCAAACCAATCACAAAATAGTTTGCTCGCCGAAAAAAAAAAAAAAAAAAAAAAAAAAAAAAACATTTTCACATACTGCTATCTCATATTGAGAATTTGAGTGACACTGCAAAGAACAAAAGAAAACCAAATGAATAAAGAATAATCATAAAGTTAGTAACGGCTTACGAAATTATGAAAAAGTCAAAGGTAAATTGCAAACCAGGATCAGGGTTTTTATTTTTATTTTTATTTTTACTTTCAAGCTATTCTTCAACAACAACAGAGTACGACACTCATCAAGCGACACGGCCTGAACTTCACCCTTTATATTTTACTTTCAGCTTCTCATTTGGCCTTTACCTTAATAATTCTGAGTAAGATTAGGATCAAACGAGCTTTTAAAGACCAAATAATGATGATGAAATCGTCAAAACAAGTATAAATCATTTAATATGCATTTATTCCTAATTATCACATTGTTTTTGATTATATATTCTTGTTTCCAGGTCTAAAGGACAGCCAAATCACAGATGTTCTTCCGTTGTGACTACGTGCACTTTGGCTGTTCCTAAGAAAAGCGTTCTAAAAAATACGTTTGAAAAAAATACGGAGGTCTAGACATTTCCCATTTGAGGTCGCTTACTATTAGATGACTCTGGATCATCTAAATTCCGTTTATTTATTATTTTTCGCCCAAAAAATAAAAGGACATCGCACCTATAAAGTTGTCTTGCTCTTGGTTAAAACTTTTGAACGCTTATCAAGTGAATGTCCTTTCCTTAGGTAAGAGTTTTAAAAATTCCTACAAGCACCACATCGTGACGCGTTTCTGTTTTGCTTTTTCTGGTTCTTGAATTTAATGAGCTTACACAACATAACTTTTAAAAGACTAGAAATATGGCCACGGTCGAATGGACTGTTTTGGAGAAATTGTTGCTTTCACAAGCCGTATACAAATACGGAGAAGATAATTGGTTTCAGATCGCTCGTAACCTCAAACACCATGCTTTACTAGATCGTCCTTCAGATTATTTCAATCAAAAGGTAAAAAAAAAAAAAAAAAAATTAAAGCCAAACGCACGCCTAATTGTTCCTTATAGAATTGCTCCTTACAATATTATCTGATGGTGGAAGAAATGGATAAACACAAGTAATTCAAAAATAGTATAGCTGGAAGTTATATTTTTTGTACTTATACCAATATTATAGACGGCAATCATATTCACAAGATATGCCTATGGTTGTTCGGATAGCACGAGAACTCTACAGCTTACGATTAGAAGAATTGAAAAGAGCGATAAGCGAAGACGAAGAGAAATTTCTGATCCTTGTATCCGAAATAGATGATATACGTGCTGGCAAATGGGACAACCAATTATTGGGATTGCCAGAGCCTCCAAAGGACCCAGAGCCCACACAACAGACAGAAGATCAAATATCACCTGTGGAAGATATTACCAAGAACGAGCTGTTGGCAGAGGAACAGCAAAAGGTTGAAGCCGATAATTTAGAAAATGAGGCCAGAAATGTCAGAAATCGCGATGTGACACCAGATATGTCTGGAATGCCAGCAGTTGATACTCCTCCCAGAAACATCCCTACGAGTCCTATTGAGCTTGAACGAAGTGAATTAGATCAAACGACCCCTGGTAGCAACGTAAATTTGGAGACACAGGAGCAGAGCTACGATACCTATATGGACCAGCAAACCCATCCACTGAAAAACCGTATTGATGATTCAGATGTGACAGATTTACCAGCGCTAAAGAGGCAAAAAATCGATGATACACCGTCTGCTGTTTTTGAAGGTAATATATTTCAAGTGTCTATATTTATACATCTTTTTAATTCATTGATTAGATAACGAACAAGATAAAGACAGTCATTATTTTGATCATATAGGTCATGATGCAGTAAGGACAGATTACTCCACTGGTAATGCGAGATAAACATAGATTCGCTTCATTAAAAACTAATGCGTCTTACTAGATGTTAGTCAAGGTACAACACCAGCTGATACATATGACGCAGTTTTAAGGGAAGGCACAGAAAGTGTTGCAGGGAGTGAGAGTAATGCAGCAACACCTACAAATGAGCGTAGAAAGGGTGGAAATAATATGGTCGGTAAAGATGATCAGCGACATAAATCATGGCAAAAAAATATCAATTTACTATGGCGGGAAATAGCCAACCATAAAAATGGAGCAATGTTTATGAATCCTATCAAAGAAACAATTGCGCCGCATTATTACGATATAGTGAAAAGGCCAATGGATCTTAAAACCATAAAGAATCGTATCCGAGACGGGGTAAGTAACAATATATTAATATGATACTTTCAATAACTAAACAAACAAAAAAAGTTAATTAATACCACCACTGAGTTCGAGCGAGATGTTGTTTTAATGTTGAATAATTCATTAATGTATAATAAAGAAGGTACTGAGGTCTATCAGATGGCAAGGGAGATGTTGGATGATGCAGCTGAACAAATCAAAATATTCAAAACTGCAGATACAGACACATCAGCAAGTTCACATACCAGAGCAGCTTCAATGGCAGCTAAAGAACGAAGAAAGAGTGTTGTAGCCGAATAACTCCTCATCCTCTAAATCTTTTGTAAAATATACATATATATATATATAAAATTTAGTATTCGCACTTTAAGATAAATGAAATTGGTTTGGACAAATTGTCTTTACATAGTCTTGATTTGTCCGAATTTGTCGTTTCAACACTGTAAATAACACAATAATCGTAATGATCAACTCTACACGCATTGCATTCAAATAGGCCTTTTTTTTGTTTATTTAGTTGGGTATATTATACGGTATTTATTTCTTTTTTTCTTTTTATGTCTTTTTTTGAAGCATTTTTTTTTTACTTTTTTTTTTGTATTGAACAAGAATAATTAAATAAGAGAATATAGTAATAGCAGTAAAAATGGTTAGACATTAAATTTTCTTTTAAAGTTTTCCATCAGTTGGTCCTCATTGCCTTGTTGACCACGCGCATGCCGTGACTTTTCGAATTCACCGTCCATCATCGTACTCGAATCAAGCTCATCTTCATCCAAGGTTTCCAAGGCATAACCTTGCCATTCATGTTCCTGGACTTTTAATTGACTTTCTATCTGCCAATTTGCTTCTTCCTTTGTGGCTTGATATCCCTTCCATTCTATTGAAGCATCTGACTGTGATGACGCATGTCGGGGGCTACCTGTGCTACTATTAGGTTCGGGATAACCTCTCCAAATCTCATCGTCTTCATCCTCTTCGTCAATCGTTTGTTGTGTTCCCTTCTGGGGCTCTGGATATCCGTTCCATCTTTCGGATCCATTCTCATGACGCACTTCCTCCTCATCATCCTTCACGGGGTATCCTAACCATCTTTCGTCAGAAGTACTGGTATTAACACTGGAAGGCTTCTTGGCACCGGAACCCATTCCTTGATTGCTGCTAGCTCCGCCAGGCACAAATTCAGGTGCAGTAGGGGATAGTCTTGATTTTTGTTTACTGACCGAAGTGGAGTTGGAAGATGAAGAACCAGAGTAATTACTAGCATCTACTCTCTCTTGCTCTTGCTCTGGCTCCACTTCTTTAGTAGGAACTTCATGACCTAACAGAGGATCCTTGTTGTCTTCTACAATGACCTCGATGTATTCGTCTTCTTCTTCTTCTACCACTGACTGAGGTTTATTAGCACTCTCAGGTGATTGTGTAGCAGCCCTAGGCTCGTTTTGATGTTCTAGTTCTGGCATAATTGTAGTAGTGGGATGTAGTGTAACCTCGTGCTCTTCAATATTTGATTCTTCTACAGGGCTAACCAATGGTATTTCGATAGATTTGGTATCAACTACTACATCAAGTCCGCCTTGATCTTCGTCGTTGTCATCGTCATTTTCATCTGTGCTGTCATTTATAGACTCTGGTCGGGTTGTACGTACAATGTCCACTAGCTCTTGCTCAAAAATATCTTCCGTAGGTTCAGGTGGTGCAATACTTGTACGTCTTGAAATAACACTGACAGGTCGACTAGCTAAATATTTAGTCTGTTGGCTCATGGCTTCTTCAAACTCATCCTTGTCACACGTGATGGATTCCCCAGGCTTTAAAGGCTCCACCTCAATACTTTCATTAATCAGTTGATCCTTACGTAAGTAAACGCGAGAGACAAGCCAATGGTGAGTGAGTTGATCTCCAGGGGCTAAATGATTTAGATTGCCTACGGGAATTACAGCAGCACGTAATCCCTCTATATGAATAGCTTTAGAGGTTGCCATGGAAACCCGTTTGCTCTTTTTATCTGTGGGTGTCAAAATGTCTTCCAACAAAAATTCATTAGCTGAAGCAGTATCGATGGTTGAATTGTGCTGACAGAGTTCCAAGATAGATAGCTCAATATTGAGTTTATGAGCTCCGGGGGCCGAGAGTACGATATCACCAGTGTGCTGTTGGTCATGGTCATCCCCCGCAGTATATGCTGTCACAATAGACCGAATAGATAAAAGATGAGGTTGAATCCAAGGAATGGCAATCATCATACCCCCACTGCCTGTATGATGATGTACATCCAATTTTGTGCGGAGACAGGTGTGATAGGCTTGATAGTTTTTGGCTGGAGCGACGATTTGAGCTAAATCGCGAAACATATCCTTGGTACGAGAAGAGCAAGGCTGCCAGAGCTTCTTTAATCTTCTTACTTCGGGTACGGTCAGTGCCTTCATGATGGCAGCAAAACCTGAAAAGTCACGATATGCATGTAGGAGCAAATAAGCCACACGAACCAAATGGGTGATCAAACTATCCTTGGTATGCACAGGTGGTACGACGGCAGCAGAAGCTCCATTTTCCGGCTTTGTGAGTTCCGCCCAATAAATAAGTTGATGAGCAAAACTGTGAGTCAAGTAATGATGAAAGTCAACAAGATGAACAAGTTTGGTAGCCTCGGCATCTAATTGTGAAAGTGATCTCTTGTCTAAAAGAACACTACTGTAAAGTTGGCAATCGATAACTGCAATTTGTCTTGCAAGAGCATCTGAATCCCAAAATAAGGAAGTAGCTGCCTCAACGGACTGCATTTTTCTAGTCAAAGTGTCGAGACGATGTCTTTCTAATTTTACAGTCTCAAGGAATCCTCTCAGAACATCAACGCCAAGATGAGGTCTGACTTTCTTGGCTTCAGTCAGTTTATCGGAAGCTTGGTTAATAGCATTTTTGCAAATAATAAAAGACTGTGCGATAGGTGAGAGAGGAATTACTGGGAGTCCTCCGCTATTATGGTTGTTACTGGCTGAAGCCATTTTGGTATGTATAGAAAAAATAAATCAATTACGATAGTAAGAATTTAAAAAAGTAGAAAAAAAAAGGAACCCGCCTGGGGGTTGAAAATCAGTTTGTTCTTTTTTGGCTGAGATTGTATTCTTTTCTTTTTTGCACGACCTTAAAAAATATCTGTACCACCATAAAAGAAACACTTGCAATTACTTTTTATTCTTATAACAAATAAAGTGTATTACATTATATTTACAGGCCGAGTGTTTCGACTCTAAAATTAAATAGACTACCCGGCTTCTCTCCCATATTTTCGGGATTTTTTATTGGTCAGTAGGACAAGCAATAACTAAAATCCCAAAAGGGGACAGGAGTGAATTTTAGCCCACTCCTTAATTTTATCTTTCTGTTTATTGAGGCATTAGCGGCAAGGGAATACACCAATAAAAAGATAGTTGCATGACAATAGCTATTTGAAATAAAATTAGAAATTCCGGATGATAAAAAATAAAGAGGGACAATAAAAGAGAGAGAGAGAGAGAGAAAATCATGTCATTTTGAATTAAAAAATGGCTGTTTTGTTACACAGAAGTATGTGTTACCTTGTTACTTTCTACGTTTATGACCAGGTTCCGTATCCAATATAATGATGTCCTTTATAGAAATCAGACACTCTAGAACAGTGAATCATATTTCGCCATATGTAACGTGGGGATGCGGAACCACGTTTCTAGCCGATCTCTTTTTATTTTTTATGCTAATATGAATAGTCGCATAAAAATAACTATTTTTACTCGTAAATCGGCCAAGTGTCTAGATTAAGATAAGGGCTACAAAGTATGTGCATATCAAGTGGAAACGCTAAGTAGCATCTCTTTTCAGAGATAGTATAAAGTTTCACGTAAATAGTTCTTATTACATATATTAGCTAGTTATATACTTGGACAAAGTTATTCGTATAAGAGGTATTTAAACTTCTTTTAAACTTTCAACGGAAAGATAATTTACCTTATACGCGAGATTTTTCAGGAGTTTGAACTGCTACATGCCAAATAAGATCAAAGCTCTGGCAATATTAGGTAAGACATAGAATTCATACTTACATTAACATACTCGTGCTTTCCTTTTGCTGTAGTGTAGATAAAGAGAAAATATAGCTGCTATTTAAGGTTGGATATTTAGTAAATAAGTCTTGTTTTAGAGAAGGAAATGTAATACCATGATAATTGAGTATATTACGTTTAGTATTTATGGTATTGCATTGTTTGCTTAATAGAATTAGCGCCGAATTGTATTGAATCAAATGGTTTTAGAGTCTATCTATTACTCAATAAAAGAAAAAGCAGAGATAAGTACAGCAGCATTAAACAAATGTGCAAAAATGCTCTAGTAAATAGGTTATTGCTATAATATAACTCGACCCACTGGATCTATAAAATGCGTCTTGACGAGGGAGTGGGAGAGGGAGAGGAATCGAAGTCTTAGAAAATAATATCCCATTAAATAAGATTGGCAGTAAAAAAAAAACTACAATTTTGTCGCAAAGAACTATATGTACAATTAACGATCCTATCATCCTTGCATGGTAAAAACATCACTATTTTCAAAGTACAAATCAAAAGTGCTGCTGATTAAATGGTCGGGAAGGGATTGATACATGTAAGAGGTGTCACTAAACTTCTTTCTGAAGTATTAAAGAGGAGATATTGAAGGGGATAACCTGATCCGTGTGGCCGTTGACGGCCATCTCATATTTCACGACAAGTAGAGCACTATGGGAAAAGGGCTTTTGATTCGTCTGAATTGATTTTTGTTTCGCGTATTTCTCCAAAAAAGGCAAGGCTTATATCTGAACTTTAATTCTGTAGTCTCTCTGCCGTAAAAACCAAATTATTCCGTGAAATTTAATTCTCCCAGCTCTTTAACCTTTAAATATGTCTGATTCACTCCAAGATCTTCTCAACATTATCCTTCTTCAAGAAGAAAAGTGTGAATTCGCATCCTTCAAATCTGAAGATGCACTTGCTTTAGGTCTTTTATTAATTGATAACGCTAAACCTTTCAAAAAGTCTGTTGTTATTGATATCACCTTGAATGGTCACCAACTTTTCCATTATGCCATGGGAGGCACTACTAAAGACAACGATGAATGGGTTCGCCGCAAAAAGTAAGTTTATTTCCGGGTTTCAGGGTTTGTTTATTGACACACATACAGCAATACTGTCAATCGTTTCGGCCGCTCCAGTTACTATGTAGGACGTCATCTTGCTAACCAAAACAAGACTGTCGAAGAAAAGTATTTTGTCGAGGAAAAAGAATATGCTACACATGGTGGTGCTTTCCCCTTAAAAATCAAAGATGTTGGTGTAGTTGGAACCATCACAGTTTCGGGTCTTGCTCAAGAGGTAATAGAAAAATCGACTTCTTTTTTTTATTAGATTACTTATACATTACATACATTAGGATGATCATAATTTAGTAGCCAATACTATCCAAGAATATCTCGTCTCCAAGGCTTAATCTCCATTACAAATCAATAATAAAACAGTCACCTTTGAATCTAGCGACTTCTTCTTTCTTCTCTTATCCATTTGACTGTGATGTAGGATAAATTAGATTTAGTGCACGTGCGTAATCCAATAAAATCCCGCGTTCTCCCGGGAAGCTTTCATACCACAAGTTTGTAACGATCGTGGTGTATGTTTTATAATATCTACAGATGATGCTCTTAAACAATTTGGTAGCTATCTTTCTAATATTAAAATTAACTTTCGTTATCAAAGAGTTATGAAAGTATTCCTTTTCTTTTTCAACAAATCACAAGCACTTTTTCTTTCTGCGTTATATTAAAACCAGCCGTTTTTTTTTTCTTTCTCTCTCTTTAAATTTTATGTTTCTTTTATATCTTTTTTCTCAAAAAAAGCTTGGTAGTTATTTTATTTGGCGACTTGTGATTTAGAAAAAAGAAACGAAACGAATGGTAATTACAGAAACCTACAAAATGGAGGGATTTCCTTTATTCACTTGAAGAGTAAGAGGAAACGAGGTTAGTCGGGGAACCCAGTACAGGATAATTACTACCAATTACAAAAGCAAGTTGTTTTTCTGTTCTTTACCTAATCAGCTTCTCATTAGTTGTTCTAACTTTACCTTAGCCACTTTTCACGTTTCCCTTCGCTTTTGGCTTGTTGGCGGTGTACAATTCTTTTTTAACCTACGGATTCCGGCCGAACACAAAAAGTCTCTGCCAATTATTAAGGCTCGTTCAGGACCAGCACGGTTATTCTCTGCTATCATAAATATGGTAGACATTATGACTATTACCAAAACCAAAGAAGATAACCAGCTACGCCAAGTGCGCAGTAAATCCTACTGATTTTAAAAGTACACCCTTTGTAGGTCTTTAATTTCGATTTCAAACGGTATCACTTTCCAGCCGTATACAATTTGGAACAATCGTAAAAGTTATCACTGATGGTCCAACCTCTCGTAATTGTGGTGATCGCAGATGTTGTACAGCAAACATTTTACATCTTTCAAAAGACTATTAACGAGGGAATATGTTTGACTTGGAAGAGTAAACTGTTGCTCGTTTAGAAATGAGTGTTTCAATAATTTACATAGTCGGGTACAATTTTTTTTTTTTTTTTTTTTTTTTGGGAACCAAGTATGTAAAACATTTTATTTGAAGCAATCTTGAAAATATAAGAATCGGACATCATATGTAGGAGTATGGTCACTTATGTGTGTAGGGTTATGGTCCACCTACAAGTCTTTTAGTTTAAATTATGTACAGACATGTTGATGTAACAAATCATGCAATTTATAAAAGAACAGCCTCGTCACATCGGGCTACTAATTGTTTAGGCTGGAAAAATTTCATTGTCCAAGTGTACGCAGCAAATGTTGCTGCATTTGATGGAAATGCCCGTAAAATCGTCGGTGTCAAACCTCTGAAGAATAATCGCCAACCTTCCTCACGGTATGAACGTGTGATACAGTCCACAAAACCTTTATATCTCTCTGGCTCTGATTGAACCCTTGTCTTTACAACGTCTAAACATGATTTTATTACATGCCCTATGATTTTATCGGATTATATCTACTTACCGGCAAAATATGTCGAGCACCACGCAACAATTCCAGCAGAACCACCTGCCAAAATGACTTTGGGGCCGCTTAGTTCATATTTTGGAGAGTCAGCTGGAGTAAGACCTCTACAAATGACTTCATACGTCAAAAAGTAAGGACCAAAACTAAGTTCACGAAGTGCTGTAGGGACCATTCCTTTAAAACAGTATCGAATACCACCTACAGAATACATTTTTCTCAAACAATCAATCGGTCCTTTTAGTGCGGTAACCGTACTTGATTGCGTTTGATTTTGTAACTGTACTTTGACTAATTCCATAGGACACGTTACAAAACTAGGATGGATGATTAAAACAAGGTTTTATTTGTAACATTATCACTATTTGTATACCTTGTGATAACACCAGCTCCCATTCCAGCTAAAAAGACATGTGTCAGGGGTGGTAATGATTGTGTGTCGAGTTTCTGTCTGTCTGCCTGATGATGAATTAGCCAAGTGTAAGAACCGAAAACTAGTGCATTTACAGCTGCAACACCTGCCTACAAAATGTATTAGTAATTTATCTATAGAAAGTGGAGGTCTACTAACAGCAGGGGAGGCCTATGATTAATACGGTCAGTGAGTTGCTTTTTAAATAATGGATCACGTATTTATTTACCATTCCTTTGTACAGTCCTATAAACTATAAGAACAAGATTTAATTGTTGACATCATACAAGATATAAAAACAAACATACCTTTTCTTGTCTTACTGTTGTAACAAAACAATTCCATGTTCCCTTATATCGAGATGCCAATTCTCGTGACTGTAATCGCACTTTCACTAATAGCGTAACTGATCAATTGTGTGGTTGTTATGGTTTCTAAACATGGAAAATACCTGTATCTATAAGCTGGGTTGTTTAGAAACAAGTCGATATTTTGTTTTTGTATTTACACTATACCAAATGGATGTCCTACAGCTAATCCGGCTAAACCTAAAAATAAAAAAAATGTGATTAAAACACATATATGAATATTATAGAATACGTACCTCCAACTAAGCCTGATAATACACTATTTAATGTGTTCACATTAGGCTTTTCAGCTATATTTTTTTTTCTCACGTTAAAATCATTGTACAAGTAGCAAACATATATAAGAAAAAAAAAGGGATCTATTTACTTACGTATTTCATCTACGTCTAACATTGTATTAAGAAAAAAAGGGGAGAGAAAGTAGAGAAAGAAAAGGAAAAAAAAAGGAAAAATGGAGAAAGAAAGAAAAAATAACTTGTTTTGAAGATGAGTAGTATTTAAGGGAACATTGCATCAGTGAATTAACATGTCAAATATTAAAATTCCCACGAAGTTCAGATTAATCCCCACGGTTTTTATTTGATTGCCATCAACCAGATGAGCAAACAAACTGTAAACCAGTTGTGTACAACGAAATTTGAACGAATTATATGCACTGATAGTAAACATAAATACCGTTTACACCATGTTTACTCGTTACATCATTATAAGGGGCTTGACGATGGTGGGAATACCCGATCAAGGGAAAAAGGACCTCGTGACATGCATAAGCTTATCTTTTTGTTTACGTCTTGTAGCCAATAGAAGCCCTCCATTATTTGTATATGTTGATACAGTTTTCAAACCTGGAATTGAGACGCTTGTCAGATTAAGTGTTCAAAGACATTTCCCTAAATTCTTGTGAGATGATTATTTTCGAATTAAATGATATAAGATCAGTCACTCATTGCCCCCCTGAGATGCTTGACTAAACATTAATATGACACAAGTCCTCGTTATCTACTTTTGATTAAAGGAAATGAATTAAATATCATATACAAAAAGTAGGGTGCTAGAAAACAAAATTAACTGAAAAACAAAGGTAACTAAAAAACAAAAGTAAAAGAACATTATCTTTATAAAGTCTCAAACATGGTAAACATGACCTGGCAGTGCATAAAGTGAAAAGGAAATTATGAAGGCAGTAGGCATTTTAGAAAAACAAGCTAAATGCTTTAGCATATCTTTGACATGTTGTCTGAATTCAAAGTGAAAGAAACCTGTAGTGTCAAACAAAATCGGCGCTTAGAAAGTAGAAAATCCCACCTATAAAAAAATTTTTCCAGCTAGATATATTAAAAAAAAGCACCTGTCAGTTTTTCTTGCGTTTCTTTTATAACCCTTTTCTTCTTTTTTCTTCAAAAAGGATTTTTCTTCTTTAACACATATTCCCTGGGAGAGAGTATTTTTTTATTCAAAGAACATTTGAATTTTTTAACCTTAAAAAAACCTTTTTTTGTCGCACTCTCTCTTTTACTTGCAAAAGTCGACGCACTAAAAAATAATAAACAGAAATATCAGTATTTTTGTTTTTTTTTGGATTAGTCACATATATCGTTTTTTTTTCTCGTTATTACACGAAACCTTAACTAAATGGTTAAAATCAACAATGCAACTTTACAACGTGATCAAATAGAGGATACAGCTGCCCCTCGATTCGCTACCGAAGAAGAAATCCTTGCTTCCTTTGGTTATAAGCAGGTACTTTTTGTGGCTTATCATATCTGTCCTTCTGTAAACTCACCATTTTTCTGTTGCTAGGAAATGCACAAGACCATGTCTACCATATCCAATTTTTCTATCGCTTTTGGATGCTGTTCCATCTTGTCTGGCTTAACTCCTGTAAGTATATCTTAATTACATAATAATGGATTATATTATTAACCGGACTTTTCAGATGTGGGGCGATGCCATGATGAGTGGTGGCTCAATTGCGATTATTTGGGGATGGATTTTAGTATCGGTCTTCACCTTTGGTGTGGGCTTGTCACTTGCTGAGATTTGTTCTGCATATCCAGTTACAGGTGGACTTTATATCTGGGTGTCTCGTTTGGCACCTCCTGAATATATGCCTATTATGTGCTGGTTGACAGGTTGGTGTAACTGGCTTGGTCTTACAGTCGCTATTACATCCGCCGATCTTGGGTTGGCTCAATTCTTATCTTCCGTCATTGCGCTTCAAAATCCCGATTATGAAGCTGGTATTTACTGGCAATACGGCATTTTCATTGTCATCCTGATAGTTCATGGTATCATCAATTCCATGCATGTCAAATACAATGGTTTCTTCAACCAAACCTCACTTTACTGGCATATATTTGGTACCTTCCTTATTATCGTTGTTGCACTTGTTTTGACACCTAATAAGCCTAGTGCTAAATGGGTCTTCACCTACTTTGAAAATGATACTGGTTTCTCCTCAAGCTCTTATGCTTTCTTGATCGGTCTTTTGCAGTCTCAGTATACTCTTTCTGGCTTCGATAGTGCTGCTCATATGTCTGAAGAAACCCGTGATGCTGCCCGGTCTGCTCCTAAAGGTATCCTATATGCTATTGGTGCTGCTGCTATCACAGGTTTTGTTTTCATGCTTTCTGTAAACTTTTGTGTTCAGGATTTTCAACGCCAAATTGTTGAAACTACCATCAGCCCGCAAATGACCCAGGTCTTTTTAGATGGTGTGGGTTATAAATGGACAGTTGTATTTACCGTGATTATTATGGGTGCCATGTTCTTTTCTGGCTCGGCTTTAACGTTGGGTAGCTCTCGTATGGTTTACGCTTTTGCTCGTGATGGTGCCATGCCATTTAGTCGTTGGTTGAGTGTAATCAACAAATCTACCCAAACACCCATTTATGCTGTTTGGGCAAACATTATTTTTGCCGCTGTCGTAGGATTGCTTTACATTGTAAACACAACCGCTTTCAATGCTATCGTTTCCATCAATACCATTGCATCCTCGCTTGCCTATTTCATTCCTATCGCTCTCCGATTAACCGTCGCTCGCAAGAAGTTTAAGCGTGGCCCCTTCCATCTTGGCCCTTTCTCTGACATTATTAATTTTATTAGCTGTTTCTGGATTCTGTTTACCTCGGCCCTCTTTTTGTGTCCAACAGAGTACCCTGTCACGGCTTCGAATATGAATTATGCCTCTGTCATTTTCGTTGCAGTCATGATTTGTTCCGTCTCTTACTATTATTTACGTGCTAAAGAATGGTTCCATGGTCCTGGTAAAAGTTTGGAAGACGATCCTCAATTGGATCCTGTCAGTTTTGATGACTCGTTTGAACCTGTCACATTTACTTTGGGTAAACAGGATTCTAGTAGTGCATCTTTGGACCTTAAAAAAGGATTAACTGCTACCAAGTAAATAACCCTATTTTCTTTATCCCCCATTTATATATATATATGACCTTTTTTTAATGTATATATCAACCGCTGGCCACCTCTCACCTTCTCCCCCCCCCTCCCTCTTTTTTTTTTCTACTACATCATACCTCAACTTAGATTGTATATTTTATTTCATTTCTTTCTGTTAAATAAAAAAGGAAATGCAGCACGATTTATAGACCCTTTTATTCGAATACTTATCAGTTAGCTCAAGAGACAATACCCATTTCGCGTCCTCTTTTCTTCTGTTGACGTACCTTTCCAGTTTTCGGCTACTGCGATTTGAAAGGGTTGGTTGATTTTGCATCTATTTCCGTCTTTAAAGCTACATATTTTATATGTACTTGTTCAACTAACAGAGCAATAAGCTTGTTGATATCCTGCTGAGTGTTTACATGTCTAACATCGCCGGTGTAGTCTTTTTTTTTTTTTTTCAGCCAGGCTTTTGATCTTTCAATTTGCTCTCATTACTCAGCACATCCTCGTTCGAGCTATTTCTGGGCCTGTCACCCTCGTGCCTTTCATAAAATTTATCGCCATACCCTCATATAACTCTATGGCTGGCGCAATGATGTTATACTCCCACTTCTTTCTCATCATCGACAATAATCTTGCGCACGATTTCAATATACGGCATGATTAAAAAATCAGCACTTTCGAAAATCAACAATTTTAATAAGCAAAAACGTATTACGGATACTGGGAAATTTAGTCCTATCACTTTGCAATTTTAAAGATATTAACGTTTATTTATACGACAATTATCTCACCACCTGATCAATATGTACAAATTGGACCGTTTCATTGATATAATATTTGCTCGCCCAATTAATCATCTAAGTTGATCAATAATGTTTAAAAGCTTTCTGGCTGAAACCATGGGAGACATCGTATTGACCGAAACACCCTGTGCTTCAGTCCACATGCCTTGTGAATCGATCTAGTTACCCGTAAGTGCACAAGCAAGGACATGCTATAGTACATATAGATACAAAGGATGCTTTTTTCGAAAGGAGGATAAGTCCCATAGTTTGTGATCGAGCTACCCATGAGAACACCCGCAATACTATGTTACACGCATATAATCCCAAAAAAAAGTCAAAGAGACGTCAAAGACCCATTAAGTCAAGCAACGAGGGCTATTTAAACAGCACTGACCAGCTGCTCTTTCAGTGAAGTTATCCAAGATAAAGATGTGTAAATTGACCTAATTTATAGCATGTGAAAGCTCAAACATATGGATGATTAAATAAACAATTAGATCATCCTGACATAAGCCAGCTCTTGTTTAACAGTCTATAAATAAAACTCGTTCACATGATCTTCTGATTAAATCATCCTGACATAAGCCAGCTTTTGTTTATCAGTCTACAAATAAAACCCATTTTAACATATATCTCTTTCCCTTTTTCATCTTTCTTTTTTTTTTATTCACATTCTGTATAACACCACCTTTTTGAAAGAGAAGTAATAAAATGGGAAAAGGTTAGTTAATATCAACTTTTTTTTTTATAAAAACACTAAAATATTACCTTTTTTCAAAAGAAAAGGATAGACTCCCATTTTTTGTTATCACGACTACGGCTAGTCTTTTCAATATAAGCAATACTTCACCGTTACAAGTTGTAAACATTGGGGAAGAAAATCGTTTGTACAAGGATAAAAACGATAAAGGTAGTGGTATTTCACTGGCGCCGAAGGTCCCACTTATGCTACACCCTTTAGGTCTTTTCAAAGATTAAAGTATGTAAGAAAAAGAATGGATCACGTGAATCTTAAAAATAAGTAGAAAAATTTACAAAAACACGTAGGTGTAGACATGGTCTAGACATTGTCCTGCTTGGTGCCGATGAGTGAGTATTCGTCAAGCAAAGCCAGAAATGATAAGAGTTCGTCATTTGACTAATGTTATCAATTTTTTCAGAAACCAATCAAATTACAAGCTTAATTATTGATTACTTTATGGCGCACGTGTTTCTGTAACGCGCTTTTTTACCAAAGTATAGACTTTATGAATACGCCAATTGATTACTTTTTTCAAACCTCTCCAAAAGAGTGGAACGTACTGGAAGCTCTATCTATTTATGATAAGTTAGAGCGATGTGATTCTTTTGGATCTCTATTGCAAACGATGAGACGTGAAGTTGACAGTGTCTGTGAAAGACAACCAACTTTCAAAAAAAAGGGAAAATCGTTTGCTGATACTATTGAGGTAACATATAAAAATCCAAAAGAAATAAAAAGGAAGGTATTAAAATACATGCTTTTGTACTTCTCCTAGAATTTTCTAATTGTAATTTGCATGGAGACACAACCGTAGCAAGCAAAAATGAAGGACAACATCCTGACCACAACAATACAGGTGCTGATACTCAACCACCCACAAAAATTTGTATCGACACTATTACAAATCACGGTGAGTTTAATATTGCCAATAATAAAGTAATGTATTGGAGTAGGATAGCATCCTGGAAACACTTATTTGAATATCTTACTCCTACTCCTTTTTAGCAGAGATTATTGCCGTCTCTTGATAATACCAACAATGCTTATGTTACTCCTATCACACCTACTGTGATAATTCGAGTATAAAAAGGTAAAATATAAAGATAAAAAATAAAGAAGTAAAGAAATGAGACTCTTTAATCCTTTATTATAAGTTGGAGAGTTTGTCATGATAAAAATAGAGGTCCTTTTATATTAAATTATTACTTCAATTAGTTCCTGCGTAGATCGAATCAACAATTCCAGAGACTGGGAATTGTTGGATTTGAAATATAAATCAGTAACGACATGAAGCATAGCTTATAAAATATAATTATGTAAGCCTACTTGTATGTCCGGAATTTCTAGCAGGGAAATCATCGTAGGTGCTAGAAGGAACCGCAGTAAATCGGCCAACGGGGACTAAAGTAGGGTATGGTCTCCAGGTAGAAGATTATGAGAACTGATACTGTGTCTGTTATAATATATGAAGTATATTATAACTCAAGACAGATTAAACAGTAATTGTGTTCGATTTATTTAGGTGTCAAATCCCCCATTGGTAATATTACCCATTTTTTTATTATTTTATTTTTATTTTTTTCTAATCAAAATGATTCATCGACTAATCATTTAAATGGTGTAATAGGCCTCTATATCTGTTAGTGAAGGGTCTAATAGATATGTACTTGATCTACCTTCTACGTCAGCCTGGCACCCAAACATGCCCAAGATTCGCAAAGGTGAACTTGAGGTACTCAATCAATTATTCGTCTTCGGCACTCAGTATTGTGTTAGTGCCCCTTTGTGCAAAGCCGAGTACAACAAATACAGAGAACAGCAAATCAACAGTGTATCGCTTTGCTCTCTTGGTTTATTTGATGATTTAATTTTATTACTTCGTAAGGTCTCGTACGATGACTTTCTCGATCAAGTTTGGGATTGGAAAGGTGGTCCTGAAATTAACGATCACGGCAAAAACTTCTTAATTGTCTGCAAATACATATTATCAACATTTCACCTAGTACAACGAACTCCACCAATGCACGTAATGAATCATGAAAGATCTTTCTTTTGTGAATCCATTTTACCTGGGCTTTTAGCCTTGTCAAAAATAACCAAGTTCATTGAATTTAAGTGGTAAGTGTGACAATAAGTTGTTTTTTAAAACATGGGAATGATAACGTGGAGGAAGATATACAAAAAGGAACTGGTTCTAACGTTATCATTTGTTATTATGAAAGGTATGAAGCAAAGTACAAGGCTACCAAGGGTTTGTATCTGAAGGATGGCAATTATGACGGTCGTTTCACTCTACCTGAAAAATACATCGATGCTTTGGGTATTTTAAAAGGCACAATAATATGGAGATTGAGGTTTTTGAATCATCAAGGTATTAAATTGAGCGTAACTATTATTGATAATACGTGAATACATTAGTAATCTGATCATTACTTTGTATATCTATAGTGGCATGGTTGAAGAACACACAAGGTATATTATTGAGGATTCAATGAAGATTCTTGAAAGTAATCTTGCTTCTTTGAGGGAGGAAACTTGTCATTTTGAAAACGTCTCCCTAGAAACATTCAAGGAATTCAGTGCCTATGGTGTTCAAATAATAAAAACGTAGGTGACCTTGACCAAGATTCATGACAAGCAGCGTTGGAAGAACATTGAAATGCGGTCATCACAAATTCCAAGAACATGGGATGATCGTTTGCTATTATTGGAATATTTGGAATTATTGGGAACTCTTTATGTAAGGACAATGGGTGACAAATGGGGATTATTTTATTATATTAACAAGTATTGTATTTATAAATTTATAGATTGAACTTTCATATTCACAGGAAGTTGAGAGTGTTGTATCGCAGATGTATTGAATCATAGAAACCTAATATTAGATCTCAGTAGACAGACTGGGGATCGTAATCATGTAAAAGATTGCTATGAACGAATAATAATACTGGGATAAACATTTATTCAGTTCAAATGGATAAACGATTGAATAGTAAATCCCGATTGGATCTACTATTAGTTTAGACACAGCTTTGTAAAAGTATAAATACGAGCTCATTATTTACTTTGATTATTTTTAAAGCCCATTTGATATCTACGATATTACAAAGTTAATTGAAGAACGCGTAAATGTGGGTCGACCTTCTGGTCCGTTGGTTCGATCAATTATGGAGTGATCGTCTCCTATAGTTTCATCCTGCCCCCCCCCCATATACCCAGCATCACTATAATCTTATATATGAACAAATAAATGAACATTTGACGGGAGTTTGATGTTTATCTTACAATGCATTTATGATTAAACCAGTATATATCTTCTTTTTCCGATTTATATTAATTTATATTTAATAGGAAGATTGATGTTCTTATCTGTATATATTTTTTATTTTTGAATAGACGGAAACAAGTATTATGCAAGAAAGATAGAACTCATTACAAATAATATATATGGCTTTTTATTTGTAACTGCTAAGCATTGTGATCTCGCTAAGTTATAAAAATTGATATTTGAGTATAGATACGGATAAATAATCTAGGATAAGGAACAGTTTCAGTGCTGAATTGGTTAATTGATAATAACAATGCCAGTCTCTTTGGTTATCAACAACATTTAATATATCATACTCACTTGTCAGAAGACGCCCGACGAAGATTATCCCGCCTTGAAAAATATTCCCAAAACAAAAACAAATACCTCTTGCACATATATCATTGTACGTTTCTCTTTGGACTAAACGCTTTTCAAAGAATCCGAGGGAATTTTGGATTCAGTCTTGTTAGTATTTATTGATTACCTCGGAGCTGGCACATCCATGATTCTAGGTGTGAGTGTCTCGCCAGCTTTGGAAGGCTTTTTTTTGACAGCATACTTTATCTCCGGCCAGAATAGCTCAATTGGGTTTAGGAATGAGTAAGTTTTTTAGAGAAATGAGCTTACAGAGAGACTTGGGAACTATGATCGACATATAGTGTATTCCAGACACATTTGTAGTTGGAAACTCATCAACAAGGCCGATAATGGACTTCGGGTTCAAGATCTTTTGTATTTGGTTATTTGATACAGCGCTATCAGTTTAGTTTAATACTGTCAGCATGAGAGCGGATAGTTTGTTCCTGGGTAATCTTTTTTATGTAATTATGTAAAATTTAAAATTACTCCTATATATTCGAATAATTAGCATATATATGTGGCCAAAGTTTCTATACGGTCATTTAAACAAAGTATGCAAACTATCCCAAAACGGTGTTTTTGGAATTGGTAGTTACTTAGAAAAATATAATAGTTATTAATAAGGAGCCACTACCCAGGTAACCCTTGACTGGTGTAATAAGACGTATTGAGTATTTTGTACACAAACATATCTGTGCTAATGATAGCCAGACCCTTTTTTCCGAATGTAACAAAAAAAAAACGTGAGAAAGTATAACGCTTATGTTGTCAAATCACGATGCTTAGCTTATTGCTAAGCTTTGCGTAACGATAAAATATTGTGCGTTACAAAGAGTACCCAAAATTTACTGAGTTATTGGAGAATATCTTCAACCAAATACGACAAAATTATCTCTTAACCAGTGGCAGTAGCTTGTACCTAATAAGATATAAACTTTATGTCCGTCGCATTTATGTAGATAGGAATTAGCCTCACAGAAGGGCTAAAAATTATCTTGTCAATAAAATAAACGCATTGTATTAGAATAAGCAAATATTTTATTGAATTTATTGCATAAATATCCTGAGTTATAACTTAAAGTCGTTTGTCGAGAATAAACATGCCGAAGATGCACAAGAACAACAATGGCAGCAATTCAATCATAGGCTGAGCAGATAAAGATGCACTGCTTTCTTCTGTCGAGGTAGCATTGTTTGGCCAGGTGTTGTTGGTATTGTTTGGCAATAACATTTGAGCTTTGAGATGTCCTGTTTGGTTCCCTACAACACAATCATATGAAATCATTCTGGCTTGAAGAGAATCATCCACACCGCTAAATAGCGGAGAAGTACTATTGCAAGAAATAATTGAACAAATGTCAATAGGCGCACATCCCGCTTGAGTACGAGTTGTAGAAGTATTATTTGCATCTTCAAAATATATGAAACAAGCAGAGGTAGTGTAATTTCCGAAGCCATCGGCAGATGAGCAGTACACTTCAGGGCAAACTTGATTATAGTTTCCTCCGCAATCCATTTCTTTTTTCTTTGGTTTTTTTTTTAAATAAAGAGAAGAGTCAGAGTTTCAGATACTGAAAAGGTTTTATTTAAGTGAATTTATGCTTGTGTTATAAAAATACGTTGCACAAGTTATGTCTATATTAGTTTTTTGCTACATCACTTACTGTTACGCATATTCTCTTCTGTTTTAAAACACCTCCCAAAGTGCATAATATCTTTTCGGGTCTACACATGCCAAAACTACCTCTTTCTATTTTATTTTTCTCCTTATATACAGATCTGTGATCTCCTGCAAGGTACAGTTACCTCAATTATTTAATTTGTTCTTTAAAAAGGAAAAAAATTGAGTGCTAAGCTTGTTAAGTGTGTACTACTTGACCAACTTGTGCTGGGTACTTTCTTGAAGTTGAGCTTCCAAAAGAATATTGCGATCGTGGTGGGGGAGGGGTTTGGTTCTTTTCAGCGATCATAATTTACTGTCTTTATTTTTTGTAGTTTTGCTGAGTATTCCGCATGTCTTGTATATGTTAACTAAAGTGTATTTTTGTGTTGTGATTTTAGCTGCTGGCCTCGATCTTGTTGAAGCTGTGCGACTAGTTACCCATTATGGCTCGAAAATTTTTGGTGTCAAAATGTACTTAAAAAAGGAGGAACGAGCCATAGTTTAAACTTTAACTTAAGGTCGCTTTGACTTATTGACTATTATGTCAGGATAGAGAATGTGGAGTTAAACTTTATTTATTCCTCTACAAAAAAAAAAGGGGGGGGGATGAGGTGGGGTAGATGGTACTCTATGCTTTAAAATTTCGGTTCCAATCCATATCAGTCTGTTGTTATTTACGCTCTAGCTCATGAGGAACGAAATGAGTTGATTGATTTAAAGACTCTAGATTTATTTCGTCGTTTCTATTTAATGTTCGCGATTGCATTGCTGGTACCTGGGGTGATATGATGGCTAAATTGTCTAATTGATGCTGAGATGTTGTTTCTTTCTCCTCGGCTGTTGATGTTGTATTATTTCCACCTAGTGGCTCTAGAGGTAAAGCATTGAAGTTATGCTGATACTGTCTTGTATCTTGATCGTATTTATTGTTTTGTAACGCAGGCAAGGGCTGAGATAAATATTCATGTATTGACGGATTATTTTCCAAATCTTTATTGGCAGCCAAAAGATTTCGCTCATCGTCGCTTAATCTTCTATTTTTTCTCAACTTGATGCGTTTTTTTTGCCAAAACAACAGTATCACCTCCGCACATGAATACATTTTTGATAAATTGGGGGATATAAGCTAAAAAGCCGTCCGATACAGCATCAAAATAAGAGTAATCCGGTTCTTCCGTTTGATATTCTTTGGCATCTAAACCAAAATAAATTTGCATGAGCATGGCAACGACAGCCATACAAATGCAGATAATTAAAACGTAGTATCCATTTTTGATAGCAGCTGCAGGCCAATAAGTGCCAGATGTGGTAGTTGCTGGTTTATCTTTAATCACTTTAAAGTAACCAAGAATTGCTAGTAATATATCACCAAAGTAGAATATTACCATGATGGGGCCTTTGACACACCAAAACATACCATGCGCACGAATATTACCATCTTTCCACTCCGTGTTGTATACAGATAAATAAGTGAATAATGCCATCAAGATGATGGACAAGGAAATAAACTGTAAGCTTGCCAAGTAAATATACGCACCTTTTGGACTAAACTGGCCATCACAATAAATGCCTTTGATCTGAGCAAAAATTGAGATTAAAGCAGAAATAATATTCCTGTAAATGCTCAAATAGTCAATAATTGTATTTTTCTCAGCCCTATTTTTTGTTATCCTACCATATCGGGAACTGAAGTACTAGAATATCTGTAATGACTCTAAAATGAAGCCCCCATTTCGATTTTCTGTTGAAAAAGTTAGGTTAATATATATGACATAGTTCTAGAGACAGTACTTACAATCTAAATGTGTAAACACCTAGCACTTTTGTCGCGATCGCTTCTTTTTTACCCTCGTTTATAGTTCTGTAAGGTTGAAGATAAGACTGCAGGCACATGTATAGGTTATATACAGCAAAAGACTCGAATAGACGTGCAAAGAAAAGAATTACAGTCTCGTAATCATATTTTAAATAGGACAGCCACGCTAAAATTGCATAGGCGGCAGGGTACGCAACCACTCGCACTTTATGGCGTTGTATATCTGGGGTGCAATAATGGTGAAGATGTTCGTTGATCGTGTGAGAAGCAATAGTGATTGTGACTAGAACTAAAAACCCTGAAACTAACCAACCCCATACATGCATGGAATTGCTATAAGGTAACATTAGCCATAGTATATGATAGTAAAATGGCGGCTTACCTTGGGTTAAGCACAAGCTGCTTTAAATCGAACTCTGGGTTGCTATCAGAAACATATTAGTCTTGAAACGGGTATAGACGAGTCATATTTACAATCCGTTTTCACTTAATCCCCCAATGGTTGGACAATGCTCAGCCATGTAATGTATTTATGTATTTTGTAGAAAAAGGCAGAAATAAAATTAATTGTAGGTTTTATTTAAACTCTTGCCAAGTGTGTAACACCCACTTTTAGCAATACATTGAGGCTTGCAGTCCCACAGGCGTTTCATTATCCCATTTGACACCTTTTCTCGCACCCAACAATCTCCACACCATCTCGAAGCAATGCAATTAGACGAAACGTGATATGAGTAAAGGAGATCTGTATAAATATATTTTATTTTATTGTCCCCTCCCACTCTACGCGAGAGGTTTCCCTCACACTATAAATTCTTAAAGGACTTTAAATAAAAGGAGCTCTCTAAACAATGGAACCGGGCCGGAAGACTGTGTCACCTATAAAGGCAGTGTCCGTGTAATCATTATTTTTTATGTCCTTCTTGTTTTTTTAGCTACAACATAACATAACCAATAAAAGAGAACAGTAGATAGTTAAATCTGATGAAGAGACGACTCTCTACAATTATACAGCGAAAAGAAGTAAGTATTACTATATAAACTACAGTACAAAATATTTTAAACAGCAATCTCTTTTGTAATAAACCATATTTCTATTACGTATCAAAACAAAAAACGCCAGAAGAAAGACGGTACTTTTTATAAACATCAGTAATTTGTTGTGTCTGTTTTAGTATAGCCACCAAACTCTCTTTACAGATGTATTAAGTATTTATACTTTATTTAACTTGTCAATCTAAATAATCTGGGCTGAATATCAAGTCAGTTTAGAAAGATAGTTTTCAAGACGAAAACGTCCTGGATCAAATGTCTTTGAAGTATTTTGTCTTTGCTCAATCCAAAAATTTTAACTCTAGTGATGATAATTGTTTGGTCTATAGCTGTACTGTAGAGATGGCCAAAAAGGCTTCAGTAAAGGAAATCTACAAAGGCAAGAAAGCTTAAATTTACCATTTGTATAAAATTGGCATTTGAATAAGTTTTTAATGCAATTACCTCATATTCGTGCTCAATATGCTCCCTGTGTAAAGATGCTCATTATCCAAGTCAGATTGACAGAAAACTCTTAGTTTTGAATTTACCTAATAAAAGGGAGTATCAATTGATGGATGTTTCTTCATTTCAACTTCCCAAATCATTAAAGCAAGTCGAAACTGGATCTTCGAAAAACTGTTGATAGATTTTAAATCACGTGTTTTTTAAAAACAAAATATATTGAGTGACCTTAGTCTACAAAAAAAAATTGCTTCAACTGACATCTATATCATGCTTCACTATTGATACATGCTGTTACTGAAATGTTGACAGACAATTAGCAAGTTCCGAATTGCCTGTATTTAAGCTTGGGGGATATACAACCTCATTTCTATTATATGTGAGGGCTGAAACATATGGATAATTAGATAAACAATTGAAGCATCCTGACATAAGCCAGCTCTTGTTTATCAGTTTATAAATAAGACTCGTTCACATGGTTTTCTGATTAAATAAACAATTGAATCATCATGACGTATACGAGAGATTTTTTATCAGCCTACAAATAAAACCCATTTTCCTCCTTTCTTCTCTTCATTTTTCTTTTCATGAATATCCTGTATAACACTATCTGTTTAAAGAGAAGTAATAGATATTGTGAAAAGGTTAGTTAATAACAGATTTTGCTTTTTTAAAAGAAACGCTAAAATATAACCTTTTTTTTTAAAAAAAAAAAGGATATACTCCCATTTTTTATTATCACGGCTAAAGCTAGACTTCTCGATAATATGATGAAGACTTTCCCATTACCCGTTGTAGGCATTGTAAGCGTGTATCTTACAATAACAACTACGGTGGGTCAGATTATCGAGTAGTAAGCCGTCTTTAGGTATCCGCTGATGGGACCAAAATATGTAAGAAAAGAATGTATCACGTGAATCTAAAAATACTTAGAAAAATTTACAAAAGACGTAGGTGTAGACACTGTCGAAATTCGGAGGCCTAGGCATTTCCCTTTGTCTAACGACAGTAAAAAATTCAGAAGTAGCTGCAAGTTATTTAGAAAATAATAATAAGCCCTCCTTTAATCATTTCGTCAAAACCAATACGACCAAAATCGAAGAAGACTCGGATCCTAACGCGTTTACTCATTGCATTGACTTACACAGGCATTGGTCTAAAGTTTATAATAAGGTCATAATTAAGTCAAGACCTGGTAAGCCTCTTGTTGAAAAGTATGTATAAAAGGATATATGTCTTTTATTTTTTAGTTAACAAGTATTTTACACTATTCAGGATTAAAAGAACCGGTGATAGGTTCAAAAAAATTCACGAATACCTTGTTGCCAAAGTAAGTGCAATGCTTAAACTATGTTGTATTATTATTTTAATGTACTTTTATAAATTGTAACAGGCTTAGTCCACACACCAAGTGAGATTAGCAAGGCTGTCAAACATAACCTCACAAGCACGTGTAATTAGAAGTATCAATGAAGAAGAAGACCCGAAGGAAGATTCTGAGGAGGAGGAGGAGGCCAGTGGAGAGGATGATGAAGATGCCAGTGAGAAATTTAATCTCAAGGATACCATCCTGAAGAACATTAAAGGCCAAAGAAATTGTAAATCTGTAGTTGAAGCCGAATTTGTCAAAGCAGTTCATTCCTCTTGCATAAATTTATTAAACCATCGTTACAGCAAACTGTACCAAGAAGTTATTCCTGCCAATGAATTTTCAGAAATCAGAAACCAGTGCATCTTAAATCACAAGAAGCTTACAGACAGCTGCTCCCCTTCATTTCGAAATTTAGTCAATGGTATATTCGATGAAATGTTACAGTTCGCATACGAGTAAGTTCAAGCTTTATCGTAGTTGATAAAATAACACTCATGCGGTTATTTAGTGAGAATATATTGCGAATATTGCAATATTTGGATGATGAACGCGCTAAAACCAAGGATAAAGCGTCTGATAAGTACAGTATATTATCTATAATGATCACAGTGTGAGTATATTAATTATGCCTTATTGAGTGGACTCAAAAATGAAAAATTAGATGTTTCAACATTTTTTAACCTAATAGGATTTTTATTTCTGAGTTCCCTTATGTGTGTGTCTTTTTTAATTGGTTAATTAGTCAATATATTTTAATAGTGTAGAAAGTTTCAAGATATACAACAACGTTAAGACTACGACGGTATCTAATCGTCTTCGATCCCTTAACTTTAGACCTTGATCAATGAAAACGTCCTGGGTCAAATGCCTTCGCAGTAGTTTGTCTTCGGTCAATCCATGAACTTCACCTCTAGCGACCAAATACAAATGCCCCCAACCGTTTCTATTCATCATTACTTAAGTTCCTATACCAACGAAATAGGGACTAAAGTCATATTTCATTATTGCATGCTGACAAATTCAAGCTTTAAACACTCTGATTTGTTTATGGTAATCATTTGGCTAGAGACTGTACCGTAACCGAAGCTACAACACAGCGTAACCAAAAAAAAAAAAAAAAAGTCTCGGCAGAAACGAGCTTGATCAATGAAGACCAGCCCATTTCGCCTAAAGGCTAAAATTTGACTACGGATGTTTTAACTGCAACAACTTTAATATACGCTATTGGAGCTGGAATTACCGCGGCTGCTGGCACCAGACTTGCCCTCCAATTGATCCTCGTTAAGGGATTTAAATTGTACTCATTCCAATTGCAAGACCATAGTGACCCTGAATTGTTATTTATTGACAATACCTCCCCGTGTCGGGATTGGGTAATTTGCGCGCCTGCTGCCTTCCTTGAATGTGATAGCTCCCTCTCCGGAATCGAACCCTAATTCAAAAAAATTTATTAGAAGCAACTTATTCTAGAAAATTCGAAGAGATACTGGACAAGCTTTTGCTATCATGCACAACCTTAACTTATACTGACGTTGAAGGGGTTTTGCCAATCGACAAGACGGATGCAGACCATGACGGAAAGTAATTCCGAATACGGGAGGAGAATCGATCTGTTGATTAAGAGTATCATTTCAAAGGAATGCTATGATATATCTTCCAAACGAATTCAAGAGGCGTGATGTATTAACAGATGTCAAACTCCATCAACAAAATAAAAATATTCGTATCAATGCCTGTATAATTAACGACATCAATATTTTGCTTTGTAACAACGACGCACAAACCGTATACTTTGATTTCGAGGGAAATATAGTTATTTAGTCATCCTGTTCACCTACAAAAATTGTTTCATAACATACAAAGTCGGCTCATTCAATATTCCGAAACGACTAGTAGATTTGAATTTACCATCAACGTCAGTAACCAATCACTGCAAAATTATGGTGAAGGTTAACAACGATTTTGACCATACCCGTGACGGGTAACTATTTGCCAAAAATTGACCGTCTCTGGGATTTTGCGGTGAAAAGAAAACGAATACGCTCTTGCAGATGTTGCATATAAATTGAAAAAAGTCTTGACTCCTGATTGGTTTTCATTTATTTTTCAAGAAGAAGAAAATAGAATGGTGCTGTCGATGTATTTGGGGAAAAGTCTTCAGCACCACCAATATCCGATGTAGAATTCATCTCAGTTCTCATGTCTCCCCCACGTTCCTCCAAAAGAACCAGAGCATAATCTTGTCACATAATCCAGTTCACATTATACACATATCAAGGTCAATATAAATAAAAGACTATTTATATTTTTTCTGCCTAATTGAACAGATTTTTATTAATGTTATTCATACACTTGTAAAAGCTACACTGTTTTTTTACAGCATTCACAAACTTATTTTTTCGTGAAAGGTTACAAGCAACTTTAAATTATTTTTTACTATTACATACCACTGTTGTCGATACATTTTTATCTATGACAAAAGAATCTTGATCTTTCTCATCTCTTTAAACTATTGTATAAACATTAAGTAGGCGTATCGGTGATAACCAAAAATGCATTCCTGCGCATGACCTAAATGACTTGAAGGTTATTACTATGCAATTGTCAGAGTTTTGAGGTGCATCAAGTAAATCGACGACAGCAGATTCGTGACGTCAGCAGCAAAATTTATTGTCGCTTTTTAAACACCCTGCTTGTATTTTGTAATCAAATTTTCCAACACTTTTATTTGTAACTCTCCCCACTCTCAATTTACACATACAATGGCCCAAGATTTGCCTCCCGCTGAAGGATACCGCGAAATCAAATATCGTCGTTATTTGCCTCAACGTGGACCTTCTGGATTAGTTATTTTAGCTGGTGTCACTGCCATTTCAGCATTTGGTTTCTATAGAGTCTTCCAGGGCAATCTTGAAAGAAGGTATGCAGCAATTCCATTAAAAAAACCCGACGACAAAGACTTATAATTAGCCCCCAAATAGAGAATTGAAGCGTGAAAACCTTTGGGCACGTATTAATCTCGTTCCTCTTTTAACCGCTGAATCAGATCGTGATACCTACCGTCGTGAAGAAGCCGCCAAGGCTCGTGAGGAAGAAATCATGAAGAACGTCGATGGCTGGAAGGCTGGCGAATCAGTTTACAACAACACTAAATATTATACTGCACCAAAGTTTGTCATCGTTCCCGAGGAAAATTAGATTGATTCCCAATAATTTCAATATACAGTATTTATATAACCTTCAACCGTCTACATTGTCTATAATGAATTTTAGGAGTTGTGGTGTGTGGGTGGTTTTTATTTTATTAAATTGTATATAGGGGGAAATGAATTATGTCTAAATGAAGAATAGAACAGCAACAATGGCTGAAATATAATAGTAGGATATACATGAAGTGGATGCAGAATTGCCTTGGGTTGGATCAGGAGTATCGGCAGTGCTGAATTGATAGTTTTTAAAGTACGTAGATGTGTCAACGGGAGTAGCAAAGCTTGTTGAACCACCGCCAAAGAATGTGCTAAACATTGTGCTTGACATACCAACTGCGTCACTTGATCGAAATTGTAAATGCTGTTGATTAATCATTAAAGATCCGTCTTGCCAGACTTGTAATATGCCGTTCGTATTAGATCCTGTATTTAATTTTATGTACATGTCGATGTGTGTCCATTTTGCCGTACTGAAACGAATCACACCACGGGAGAACGATGTACCGTAATCAGAATTGCAAGTGACTTGTTTGGAAGAGCAAAGCTTATCGGATGTAGGGATGTACGCATAAGCTTCTCCAGCACCTATCAAAAAAAAAAAAAAAAATAGGTTGATAAAATGACGTAGACTTTACTTTTTATAGGTAGTACCACTATCTCTCCACATCAATCTAACTGAAAAACAATTGGCACCAGTTGCTTTTTCACCTCCAGAACAACCATCACCCGGTGAGCCTATTGCGATTGTTAGGAAGCGAAAATTAGGCTAAGATTGCATTTATTTTACCTCCATAAATGCCAGGCAATTTACCACCCTTCACCCAGTCAAAAGAAGAATCAAATGCAAGATCATAACTTAATAATGCAGTATTGTACATTGTATCATGATTGACATTGGTGAAAAATTCAGCACCGCCTTTTACGCCTGAATTATTGTTCTTTGTTCCAACAGGTGCATAAGACCCAGCAGGATAATTGACTTTGAGTACAGTGGTAGTACTATTTGCTGAAAAGGGATCTTGTACGAACTGTACATTTTCAGCTCCATAGAATCCTTGGCTTGCATACCAATTTGATGAAATGTAGTCAGAACCAGGTGAAACTGGGGCAGATGGCATAGGTGCTGTCCATGTTTTATCTAAACCAAGCGAAGTGGCCTTTGCAGAAGCATCTGCTTGAACAAAGTTTACTAGCAATACACTTATTAGCAAACTACCAAGAATAAACATAATTATAAAAGTTTTTTTTAAAAAAAAGAAGAAAAGGAAACGTAAAATCTTTTTTTTTTTTTTTCGACCCTCCTCTTAAAATAGGGGATCACCTTTAATTTCAAAACTTACAAGCACGCTCACTTTTTATTGGTCTGCAATAATTTTTGTGCTGCGTTTCAATGAGCAGCACACAAAGGAGAAAGAGGATTATGTTACTGCATAAGCATTTTGTCACTCTAGTGTAATCAAGGTAACGGTTGTACGATTTTATTATGTAATTGATATCAACTTTTATTCTTCTCTCTTTTTCTGTTATTTCATAATAGGCATAAAGCATAGTGTGCGCATACAATTGCATAAGGTATATAAATGTTTGTGTGTTTACATGTTAAGTGATTTTCATAATATTTAGTGATCATACGTCTCCCACTCATCATCATCCTGTGCAATATCTTGCTCAAGTTGCTTTAATTGATTAATACTCGTTTCTTCCTTGTCATTTAACAACTTCTTTAACATTTTTTCGGCGAGCATTTTTCCTCGAAGTTTGTCGCATGTTGCCTTCAGTCGATTATTTTCTCGGCGTACGTGATCCAATTGACGTAATAAAAGATCGTTTTCTTTTGTCAATGAAGAAATCATACATCTCATTTCACCGTGTTGATGATTTTTTTTTGCTCTATATTTTGCAGATGCTGCTTTGTTCCTTTGTCTTCTTTCTTGTAATGAAAGCGGTGGAGACTGTAATGAACTCATTGATGGAGTTCTTTGTAAGTAATTAGTACCGCGATATTGCTGTGGATAATGATTATAAGTAGGGCTCTCGGGTGGGCTAGGCGCGCCAGAAAATTGCTGCTGAGGTGGGAAAGTAATGGACGAGATTGCCATTGGCTTTGTAGTAGAAATGAAAAGAGACATTTTTTTTTCTTTTATATAAAAGGATAACGAAGAGACACTACAAGTTCAAAATACACTGTTATTATATATCAATGCCAATTTGAACGAAGGCAACTTTTTTGGATAGATTAAAAAACCCAGGCGTACTTAAAACGCCACCCTCTTTTAGTATGTAATTCCATACTCAACTGTTATATCCCCACAACTGTCCAATTGCCAATGTCTCTAGATCGATGTATACCAAGAAATGATCTTCTGTACGTGTTTCTGCCACGATCAAATGATTTTTTTTCTTTCCTTTCTTTACTATGCTCTGGTCAGAGCAATTAAAACAGCAAAATAAAATAGGAGGATATGACTATTTCTTTGGTGCATTGATAATCGAATCTTCTTTTTTGAACCCTTAACATGTTGCTATTCTGGCGAGTAATTTTCAGAACTGGTCCGTTGATATACATCATAATACAGAAAAATGATTCAATACCACGATATAAATATGATAATGTATCTTAATCTGTGCATTTTACCAATCTATGCGCATAATTTATATACTTTGTTGTGGTGCCTTATAAACATGGCAGTTAACGATGATAATACAAAAAAGGAGTCCTGTAAAAATCTGAATCGTTGGTCCATTATAGAACTTTTAATTAATACGCAACCTACTGTTTAACTATTAAGCGTCATTTTAAACTGTATTTATGGTTTTTATTAATCATTTGTAATGAAGGATACCGTAAAAAATGTCATACATAACCATATGATACAAGGTTTTCCCGGATGGCGTTTTGATGAAATTTAAGTTTCCTGAGCATTTGGTAAGCAAATCGAAAATCTATGCAACTTGTAGATCAAACATACTGATCTCACCTTAAAAAAAAAAACCGGTCGATCACCTTCATTTATTTACAATAATTACTTATAAAGATAAACTAACGCTGATACACAACTACTGAATTAACTATTGTTAATGTCCTACTATCGGACACACGTTCGTGACAACGAAATTTAAAGTTTATTACATCAGTCTCAATATTATTTAGGGTGTTGGTAATCTGATTTTATCATTGATACTATCCCTCGATTCCTTCTGTTTCATAAAAGGGTTGGGTCATTATTACTGCTATAAGGGTCTGATTAGGTGGATTTTAGCTTAAAAATCACTTTACGTCATTAAGATTCCATTTCGTCGTGATTATCAATGACAAAAAAACATGTGAGACCTCTAGGATCTTGCTTTTTTCAGGGGAAATGATCAGTGATATTATCAATTCACTTTTAACATTCTGGTATTTAACTTTAAATATAAAAAAAGTTGAGAATTGCAGAAAATTTAAGGTAAGCAAATGATAAAGTTAGGATACAGAATATTAGTGAGGTCTTTGTGTTTGTTCTAAAGTTTTTCGTAATAATATAGCCCCTCACAAATAATGTATGCGTATTCGTTCTATTATCCAAGTTGCTTATGAGTATAAACTAGGGCAAGCAGGCTGGAAGCTGTAATATGTAAATTACTAAAAAAATCATCACAAAAAAGCCTATCATTTGTTGTCCCCTGTCCCTGATAAACAGATATCAATGCTATTTTTCCAAGTATATTGTGTCCTTGATACAAGTTTATGAAATAATTTTGATTGAGCAGGGTTATCTGTGTTGTCAGACAACAGTTTCATAGGTATTCATTTGTTAGGGCCCAAGCTTGGTATAATAATAATAATGTGTTCGAGTTTGTTATTTTCTAAGAACAATATGTCCTATTTCTTCCAATAAATATCGTAAAGAATGGCCTTCAGTGTGGCTAAACTATGATGTTCGAGTGGTAATCTTATATTACCAGCATAATCTTGTTACAGATTATATATTGGGAAATATAGTATCATTGGTTGTTTTTGACTCTCATTAATCTGTTTATGAAGTATCAGCTAATGAGGGCCAATCAATATGATAAAGTATTGATTGACTTAAGACCATGTAATTCCAATTATCATGTTTCAGAAGGTAGAAACAAGCCATTATCTATTTTTTACCAGATTCAATTTCTCAGATGTTAGATATAAAAAGCGTCTTCTCTTTTGCGATGACTTTCTCTCCATAACTTCAATAAAGGATTAATAAACACTCATTTATTACTATTTCTTTTTATTCTGATTTTCTATCTATTTCTATATCTCAAACATCACACAATTTAATGTTTAGTTATCATGTGTATAAATTATAGAAGGCGAACATCCTTGTTTGAATATAATTTACATTGCGTAAACTTTTCAAACGTACAAGTGCATCCGTTATTGTTTTAAGATATTTACTGGGACTAGATTTCGAATTTAATTCGCGTAACTTAGACGCACAGCAGCATACTAGCTCTGATGATAGACACATATTAACCAGAACATCCAACTACAATGTTTTGGATGTAGATCAGGTTAAACATAAAGTTGATTAACCACTAATTTTAAAGCTACGTCTAATCCATAGAATCTTGGTGCTCCGCATGTGAAAGTTTTTTTGTCTGAATAAAACCAAAAGCAATTTATTGATTAATTAAAAACAAAATTGGTTCAAGGGTAAGGAAGCTGGAAAGGCTCAAAATATAGGAGCTAAAAAATAGGGAATGTGTGTTCGAGGCAATAAAGAAACATTATTCTTGGATACAAAAGTAAAGCATAGCATTTTAGATGGATTATCTGTACCCGTTCTAAAAACATTATATACGGGGGTACAGTAAGTTCCTCGGACCCCAAGACTGTCTAGCCGTTTAATCAACTTAGAATTTCAAAGGAAAAATATCAGCTTATTTGCTTGTCTGCTATAATATTTTTAAAAACAGCGGAGTCATTAAGACAACGAACAAAGGATTAATATGTATCTAATTAAAAAAAAAAATCAGTGTATAATAAAGGTCGTAATTCTAGCCAAATATAAAAAAAAAACCGGTTTTGCATATATAGAAACATGTAAGAAATATATGTCCATAACAATTATTTTATAAAAAAGGGCACGTTTTGATAAGAGGCCATTTTTTTTCCATTATACATTTGTCTTATTTATCTCCTCGTGGTAAAAAAATAAAAAAACTCCATTTGAAAGACTTGAACCACCAAACATTATTAGAAGTAAGGATCAAATAGATGTGCTTATTAATGCGAAAACAGAGTTCTGTTTTTTATTTTTTTCTATCAAGCTTATGCATCTGCTTAAAGTACAATTTAGACATTTAATACCTGTCCGATAAAATTAGTGAATTGGTACCTGGTTCTAACATAAAAAATATGTTTGTGGCATTATTTGTTTTTACAAAAATCATCTAAGTATCACAATCAGTCGCGGAGACTTATTGATGTTGCACACAATATACACATATTTCTCTCCGAAAAATCATTGGTGACATATTCACGGGAAACGAAGTCCAGAGCACAATTTTAATAGCACTGGTTTTATTTCTTATTCAATGAATATGGTGAAAATTATGATATGAATATAAAAAAAAAATACCTTATAGAAAAGTAATTTTATGTGTGATACGCGTACTTGGGGCCATATAATACGGTTATAAACAAAATATATATTCTGTTAAATGCAATGTACTGCAAACTTTCAGCTGAAAATTACGTTTATAGTTAAAGCGTTTTACTTCTGTGAAATGCAGTGAGGGACGTGCGACAAAATTTCTGATTTTTGATTGATGCAGTTATAATAAATCATGGTAACTGTAAGAGGAAAATAAAGGGAGACAAAAGGAATAGCTTCTTAAAATGCATGGACCCCGTTCGTAATACGTCTGAAAATTGCTGCCCACGTTTTTTTTTTTTTTTTTTTTTAAAAAAAAAAAAAAAAGCCGCATTAGCAGGGCCTGTAGAGGAAAACATTAAATAATAAATCGAATTAATATTCACCATTATCGTTAATTTCAAATACATACATTGGACCGTTGGAATTACTAAATTGGGTAACGAAGTGCATGGTTATCAAAAAGAATTGTCTGTTTTTCCGCTCTTTATTTTGTATTAAATTCTAGGCCATCAAGTCGAGCCATCCAAAGCGAAAAATTGAGCTTCAATTATATGATGCTCACTGCTATGTCTAGTATGGTATAGTTTAAAATTAATAACATAGTCGAATTACCAGATAATCGCTACAGCAAAAAAAAAACAATGGGGCCGCAGGTACCTCTTGCACTTAATATTTAAAATTACAGTCACCGCGTTCATATCATACCATTTTACAGATCCCTCTCTTCTTTTTTTTTTTTTAGAAGCACCATTCAAACTCAATTAATAAGGTGGTTACATATATTCTCCGTTCTGTCGATCTTGTATTATTTAAAAGTAAGTATCATATAAAAAAATATAATTATGACAGGATTCCAGTAAAAGGTATAACAGATACTGCAAACTACTATGCTTCGAGTTAAGTTGTATGGTCTTTGATTTGTCCTCTCCTGATTTATTTTGTTTGTGGAAAGCACATGATAACAAATATTGATATATTAATACGGCATGTGTTACATGATGCTAAATTATGACAAGTTACCACCACCACGGATTTTTATTCCTGTCACTGTAAATTTAGTGTAACGGGGATCATAAAGCCGAGGTTAGCTGGCCAAATTGTAATTAACATATCAATTTACTACATTGTTTATGCAACAGCAAAAAAAATTATATATAAAGGACATACATTTCAGTTTCAAAAAGTTATTTATCACAAGTATTTTATAATAAATAAAAATGAAGCTTTCTCTTAGTCTCGCCTCTATCGCCGTCGCCATTTCTTTTGGATCTGTCGCTGAAGCTGCTTGTTCTTCCAAGTACGGTCAATGTGGTGGTAAGAACAACTTAATTCGAGATTCTTTAGGAATTTTACGCTAAATATTTGCTTCATAATTGTAGGTATTACCTGGACTGGTCCCACTTGTTGTGAATCAGGCTCCACTTGTGTTAGCCAACCCGAGAACAAATACTACTCTCAATGTATTCCCAATGGTAACTATTAACTTGACCAATCGGATGTTTGAGTTTTTTTGTTAACATTTAATCACGTGCTTTATAGAATTTGTCCAAAACCCTGCTACCACTCAAAAGCAAACCACTACTGTAAAGTCCTCTACAACCACTAAGGCACCCGTCACTACGAAGTCTTCTACTACTACTGTAAAGACCACTACTACCGTAAAGCCCACCACAACTGTTAAGCCCACCACCACTACTACTACTACCACTACTGTGAAGACCACCACCACTACCTCTAAGGCAGCTCAAACTACCACTCCTGCAACTAAGGGTGATTACACTACCATCTCCGGTGGTAGCTCTGGTTCCGGTTCCACTACCCGTTACTGGGATTGTTGTAAGGCCTCTTGCAGTTGGCCCGGTAAGACCAACACCGTCTCTGGTCCTGTTGATACCTGTGGTAAGAACGGTATTAGCATTCTTGATGACAACACTCAAAGTGGCTGTAACGGCGGTGGTGGTTACATGTGTAACAACAACCAACCTTGGGCTGTTAACGATGACCTTGCTTACGGTTTTGCTGCCGCTTCTATTGCTGGATCCAATGAAGCCGGTTGGTGTTGTGGATGTTACGAACTTACTTTCACTTCTGGACCTGTCTCTGGTAAGAAGCTTGTTGTTCAAGTTACCAACACTGGTGGTGATTTAGGTCAAAACCATTTCGATCTCCAAATGCCCGGTGGTGGTGTTGGTATGTTCGATGGTTGCTCTTCTCAATGGGGTGTTCCCACTAGCAACTGGGGTGCTAGATATGGTGGTATCAGTTCCGTCTCCGAATGTAACAACCTTCCTTCTCAACTTCAACCCGGTTGTAAGTGGAGATTCAACTGGTTCAAGAACGCTGATAACCCATCCATGACATTCAAGCAAGTCACTTGTCCTGCCGATTTGGTTTCTCGCTCTGGTTGTAGCAGAAAGTAAATTGTTGAAGCAACAAATTTAGAAAATAACCCGTATCCCCCATATCCCTTTTGTCATCCTTTAAAGAAATAAATTATATCATATTTTTGTACTGTTAAAAAAAAAGTTAAATGTTTATTGCGAGACCAGCTCTGTTATAAAAAAACTTATGATATTTTAACAAATGGAGATTCATTTTGATCCAGACGGATAAATTGCTCCTTGATGTCTAGCTTGCGGGAAGGTTGCATCTCGTAATCAGGTGAAATAAACATTTCAGGATTTGCAGAAATTCTGTGGGGTATGACAGCATTGGCCATAGGAGCAGCGCATGTTGCAGAAATAAATAACAGCGCTAGAACGAAGGATCGCATGTTTATAAAATTAAAGAAAAATAAAATACTTTGTAGAATACAAAAAAGCAAATAAAGAAAAGAAAAACTCTATTTAAGTAAAGGTCGGTGAATACTTGATATTTCACATGAAATTATACACCGATAAAGATTTTAGATAACTTTTTATGGGAAATAAAAAACGCGTTATGATTTCATGTAGGCTGTAATTGATTTTAATAATAAATATATTATTTGCAAATGTTTGTTAAAATGTTACATTAAACACGGGACTCCAATCGTATTCATAATATCCTATAAAAGATTGGTTATTCTTAGTCTCCTTTTTTCCCTTTTTTTTTTTTTTTTTTTTTTTTTTATACATATCAAAATATATATAGAAAATATGAATACGTCGGTGTTGACCAAAGTACCCCATCGTTGGAGGTACATAGGATTTGTAACGTTCGCTTGTGTGTTAGTATATACAACGTTTCATTATATGCAGGTGCCTACCGGAAAAATGGATTATGTTCTGGAGAGGACAGGCGTTCCGGCGGATAGGATCCTATTCTTTGATGAGAGTAATGAGCAAATATCAAATCGGATACACGGCATCGATAATTTTGAATCAAATCTACCGCGAATTCAATTTGATTTCAGTGAAGAATCAGAAAACAGTAAACATGTGCGAGAGACAAGAAGAGACGCTATCAAATCATCGTTTCTTCATGGTTGGAATGGATATAAAAAATATGCATTAGGTGCCGATGAATTAAAGCCATTGACCAATACGTCAAGCAATCCTTTTGGGGGTTTAGGAGCTACCATGATAGATAGTCTCAGCACAATACTTGTGATGGGTTTAGACGACGAGCTTGAAGAATTACTGCCTTTGATTGAAAATATTAATGTCAAAGTTGACGAACAGATGAGCGTGTTTGAAACCATTATCAGATACATGGGCGGGCTTTTAAGCGCTTATGAACTCTCTGATCATCCCGGGAAACGTGTTTTACTCGATAAAGCTGAAGAAATAGGGCTTGCTTTGTTACCTGCTTTTGATACAACTTATGGATTACCTCACTATCATTTTAATCCGTTTACGTACAGTAGAAAATAAACAAACAAAAGGAAATAACATTTTATTGATTTTTAATTTTGTAGGAGAGTTTCCAAAACAAATACAACTTATTTAGCGGATGCAGGGACAATTCAACTAGAATTTTTTACATTATCATACCATACTGGAAATCTTATTTTTGCAGAAAAGGTAAAACCCAGCCCATTTTTTTATTGCATGGTAAATTAACCCACATATTTTGATAATAAGGCACAAGCTATTACAGATTTTCTAGATTCTGCTGATGAAAGTCAAGGTGTAACTGTTCCAGGTCTGTATCCTTATGCTATTGATATTTCCGAGGGGGAGTTTAATAAAGATTGTAAGTTGGGCTTATCTTTGAAATCCTTGTTGGACGCAGAATTAAATCTTTAAATAGCTTCTGTAAGTTTCGGAGCCATGGGAGATAGTGCTTATGAGGTATACATATATAGAAAAAAGTATACTATAATTAATAATAACTCAATTTATAAAAAGTATTTTTTAAAGCAATACATCTTGGTGGAGGGTCGGATACCTCAATTTGCAAGAATGTGTACGTATAATTTAAAGGAACTGTATGTGAGACTTCCAAAGCTTAAACTTCTTATTTTTAAGATCAACAATCCATCGACAGTATGAAATCTCACATGTTGCTTCAATTGCCTGGTACCAATTTTCTGTTTCTTCCACCCTACAGTTCGGAACTAGACCTAAAGTCTGATACCATGGACCACCTTGCAAGTTTTTTTTAAAGTTATCAACCGCGGAATATTAATGTGTTTGTTTGTTTTAGACATGTTTTGCTCCTGGTATGCTTGCAATGGGTGCTAAAATATTCAATCGGCCCGATGATATGCAAGTTGCGAAAGGACTTCTAGACACATGTGTACATATGTATCGGTCATCATACACAAATTTATCACCAGAGTTATGGGGAGTAGCGGATGAAGTTGAGGCGTACGATCCCTTGACTTATGAACAGATAGACGACGACCTGACTGCTGCTCGCAGCTGGAGACTGTGGGGAACTGGGTATCTAAATCCCACAGAATCAACAGAAACACGGGTATTGAAAGATGTTGAGACAACTCCTTCCGGCGTAATAGCTTATGACGCACGTTACCTGTTACGCCCAGAGACTGTAGAGAGCTTGTACATTTTGTATAGAATAACAGGAGACCCTGTATATAGAGAGTATGGCTGGGTGATATATGAGGGATTAGAAAAGCATTGTAGAACAAGCAGCGCTTACGCTTCCATTAAAAATGTAAATACTGACGGGACAGAATCAGGACAAAACCAAATTGACAGCATGGAAACGTAAGTTATCAAGTTTATTCAAGTCTGTGATTTGGTCTCATTGAAATTCTTTATTAGGTTCTTGTTTGCTGAGACGTTCAAATACCTATATTTACTATTCAGTTCCCCAGAAGTTGTTTCCTTAGACAAATTTGTGCTAAATACAGAAGCACACCCACTTTTAAGACGTCCCTGGACATTAAATTTAAAGAATAATAATAAACCATAGACAGTTTTTTTTTAATAGAAATTACTAATCATAATACATTTTAATTTTGTTACGCTCTCCCCTTTATGCCTTTCTACCAATAATTTTGAAAGTGCCATTAGGTAAAATTTCACCAAGATATCCAGTCATAAACCAACCATCTGCATCAAGAACATCTGAGGTGGCAGCAGCGTCCTTGTAATATCCTTTGAAAACATTGTTACCACGAACCCAAATTTCTCCACGAGGATTGGGCTTATCTTCGGCAGTGTAAGAACGTTCAGGGACATCAATAAGTTTGATTTCATTACAGGGGAATGGTGCACCTTTGGCGTGAGGATCGGCATTATAGTCATAAAACATGGAAGCTGTGACTGTTCCACATGTTTCCGTTAAGTTGAAAGTTTGAAGTACTTGAGTGCTAAGAACAATTCTTAAAAAGCTGGCCAATGAAGGGTCAGAAAGATCATCTATGAAATATCATCAGAAGTTGACATATATTAATAGTTAATACGACCTACCATTGTCGATAATGATCAATCTTAAATTGCCACCCAATAAGGTTTGACGGATATCTCTGAAGACCACCATATCATATTTACAATCATCGATCAATCTACATTCAGTAAGATATTCCTTCTTAACTTCATATCCACGTTTGAATAGGAAAGATTGTCCATATCTGGATTCAATCAATTGTTTAACTTGATTTAAGAATCCAGAGCCACTGGCCAAAATTGTGGGCTTGGATTTAGCAATGGAAGTAAGGGAGACCCCGATATCGATGTTATCAGAATCGTTTACCTCTTCACTAAATGCAACGGACCCTCCTAACAGACTAATAACGGCAACCAGAACATGTCCAAGAACGTTATCTTTAATCACACATGTTAGTATTCGAAGTCGGGTTATTAATAAAAGAGTTTCCTTACCGATGGGTAAGTTTAACAATAAGCGATCCTTAGGAGTAATTCTTTGTTGAGGTGGGATAACCAACAGGTAAGATGCTATCAGCAAATTATATTAGCACTTTTAATTTCTAAATGTTCAAATGCCTTACAGATGTTCGATAATAAATTCTATGGATACTTATTAATAATTTGCTTTTCACCAATAATTTTTTTTTAAAAATACCTTGTGTGTCAAGACAACGCCGTTCTTGGATTCCTGAAACAACACTCGTATCAGCGCTTTGTATTTTTTATATTATTTATATCCAAACCTTTTCAATGGATGAGCTAAAGAAAATACTGGCCATATCATTGGGCACTACAGTAAATGTATTAAACGTCGGGTTCGTTCTCCTAAATTTTGTACCTACCAACTTGAACAGCATCAAAAGTTTCGGCTTTTCCTCTAACTTCGAGTTCTTCAAAGGCGATTAATTCAATGCCGGCAATATCGGCTTGTCTTTTGTTTTCGGAAGTGATCTCTCCAACAACTACAACATATTTTAAAGTGGTTCCCTTGGAAAGAGATAAAACACGGCTCAAGTATTCGGTTTGGGTAATCAATATTTTGAGACCAGTCTTTTGAATAACATGAGATGCGTGGGTCGAAGATGCATAAGAAGAAATGGGGATAGTGACAAGACCGTTGCTGTGACATGCTATGTAGAAGTGTAAGAATATAATCATAGGCCGTGCCTCATAAATTTTTACCAATTTCCGTAAGAATAGTGTCTGGTTATAAAATAAAAGGATCAATAAAAGACTACATATATGTGACAGTTCATCGACTTACGAAGAGAGTTTGAAGAGTAGATACCAACAAACGAGCTTTCGTTTCCTGATTGTGGTACTAAACCTGCAACAGCACGAAGACCTTGGTAGACGGGGTCAAGTCTCTTACCAATAGCATCTATATTGATAAAAAAAAATCGAAGGCTTAATATCCTATTACTCCCATATTTCTATCCTGTGTTCCAAGTACCATAAGTAGACTACAATTTAAATGTTCAGTACACTTGGTTCCTTTAAATGGCATATATATGCTTACGTATTCTGCGCCTTGACCCAAGAATCCAGCTGAAGGATTCTTTACAATGTTACCTGCTTTGTAGAAGTCAGACATGGTACGAATGGCACGGTCAAAAGTAGAGCAGACTGGTGCACCCATGGGGTACATTCTGGAGCGATAAATGGCACTCTCTTCGGGATGACGAAGTCGCGAAACATCAGATTGGGTGTTAAGTAATAAAGGATGGATATCGGGAGTCTTGGAATTACGGACAGATAACAAAGCTGCTGCACCAACTATTGTTGTTAACAAGGTGTAACTCAAAGTGTCTAATTCAAAACTCATTTTGCGTAATTTGGATGAAGGCAAAAAAAAGGGAAACTGTTTTGGAAAGTTAAATTGATGGCCGCTTCAACATTCCGCCGCACTCTACACCAGTCACCAAATTTTGACCTGGCTGACAAAGTCTGGGGGCACTCCGATCACTAAGTGTGAACCTGATTGGCCAATTTGAAAGACATGCATTGAACGGTATAACTGCTGGCAGTAGTATTGATCGTAAATATACAGTTATGCTGTAATAAATATAAGCATGTCAAATAATAACTGTTACCTGCAGTCTAATCATATGAAAATTACTGGGTTGTTAATTATAGCTGTCATGCTATTGACATTAAATGTGTAATTCTATACACATACGTTACTGATCCAGCATCCCGTCTACCATCTTATAAACTTATGATCCCTATGCATCATTTTCCGTCGTCTTGCTTTATACTTTCAATTTGGGTAGAAAAAAAATCATTTATCTATACGTTAAACAAAATGCTACACAATCAATCTATTTCCTTAAAGTCCAAATCACGATTTGTAGTTTCAAACGAGATGAGATAAAGATTGAAGAAAGATATCATGTATCCCTCACCAAATTTATATCAATCCAATAGGTCTTTTGAAACAATTATTATATTACAAATCTTTAAATAAAAGAGGTTCACGTTTATGTTTCCTTTGTTTACCTTTCAAAAAATGTAGAGCTTCCGCCCGTTACTCAGGTATTGCTTAACTCGACATCGTGAATAAGACAATAATTTCAATCACATGTAAGATAATCCTTTATTTACTATATAAATGACTTTGGTATTTGTTTGATTTGGTATCTTTATTTATAATTATATGTGTTATATAGTTTAGACATTAAGAATAACTAGACACCAACGAATATTATAAATGATTCGTGGTATGTAGTAGAGATATTAACACGATGCGTACATAGACATCATCAAAACACCAAGTAACTTCAGCACAGGCTTCGACTTTTCCCAACACGTAGCGTTTGCACTCACGTCGACACTCGTGCTGTATTCACTTCGACACTGGTGGAGACCCTGTCTTAAAATCGGGTGCGATGCACTTCCTTCAACACTGGAGTGTGGGCACTGACATGGACACTCGCTTCGACACAGGTTTAGGCACTGGCATGGTTGCACTCGCTCTTAACACTGCTTTGGGCACTGGCGTCTACCACTTAAAGGGTTTCAGCACTGGCGTCGATACTTTAAAATAAGTTTGAGTAGTCGGTCTTTGAAGGTTAGATCAGAAAGGGAGAAATAGGGTTTAGAGTACTTTAATCCTCAGATTATTATTTCAGTTTAAGATAATCGTTTATTGATAAGAATTGGAAGAGTATTTATATTATTTTGATATTTATGAATTAGTAATCGAATAGTACTTTGCCAAGATACTTAGTATATATATAGTGAATATATGAACTAGTGTATAGTATAAGGCAAAGTGTGTTAACTAAAGATCTGTATTATTCTGGTTGGTCAACCATGAAAGTATTTTCAATGTCCGAGTCTGAACTCACGACAACTTGTGCTGTACTGGCTCCGACACGTGTTTTGGCACTGACATGGACACTTGCTTCGACATAGGTTTAGGCACTGGCATGGTTGCACTCGCTCTTAACACTGCTTTCGGCACTGGCGTCTACCACTTGAAGGGTTTCTGCACTGGCGTCGATACTTGTGCTGTACTCGCACTAACACGGATCAAGGCCCCAAGGAGGGCGCGGTCATTTTCAACACTCTCGTTTGGATACTTACAGACACTCGCTTCGACACAGATTTAGAGCACTGGCATGGCAACTCGGTCCGCATTGGCTTGCAACTTTGCTTTCAACACTGCTTTGGGCACTGGCGTCTACCACTGGAGGGTATCTGCACTGGCGTCAATACTCGTGCTGTATTCGCTTCGACACTGGTTGAGACCCTGACTTAAAGTAGGGTGCGATGCACTTCCTTCAACACTGGAGTGTGGGCACTGACATGGACACTCGCTTCGACACAGGTTTAGGCACTGGCGTGTTTGCACTCGCTCTTAACACTGCTTTGGGCACTGGCGTCTACCACTTAAAGGGTTTCTGCACTGGCGTCGATACTTGTGCTGTACTGGCTCTAACACGGATGAAGGCCCCATGGAGGGCGCAGTCGCTTTCAACACTCGTTTGGGTACTTACAGACACTCGCTTCGACACAGGTTTAAGCTTTTGGCATGGCACTCGCTCGCACTGGCTCGCAACTGGCTTTCAATGCTGCTTTCGGTACTGGCATTCGCAAACGGAAGGGTAATTAATTAATGAAGCAAAAAAAAAGAGAAGGACAAAAAAAAAAGACTACGCCCTCTATTTTCAACAAAAAAACGTGACTGCTGTACTGCGCAACTGGTCGGAGGCCAAAATAATATAGGGCGTGTCTAGGTACTGTTTGTGTAAACCCAATTGTTTGTAGTGGAACGCAAAGAGGGTTATCGAAAGAAGGTATACATGGTAACGGTGGTAGTGATGAAATATGATAAAATAGTGGTTGACTTAAGATTATGTCATTCTAATAGCCATGTTTAAGAAGCCACTACCTATTCTATACCAGATTCAATCACCTAGATGTGTCACTATAAAAAAGCGGCGTCCTCCCTTTTGCGATGATCTTCTCTCCATAAGTTAATCAAATGATTAACCGAGAATCATTTCTTTAATTCTGTTTTTATCTATCATTTTACACATTTCAAAACATCACAATCTTGATTGTTCTACTTTTGATTGTAATTCTGAACCATTAAAATCAGAAACTAATGATGTTAAGAGTATTGTTAAGAGTATTGTTAAGAGAAAATGTCATTACTCGTCTTTTTGCAGCCTTATAACCAAGCGAGCTTCGATCAATGCTCGATCCAAAGCTCGCAAGATCGAAAAGTTCGAACACTAAACACTGTATATTTACAACAAAATGGACCATAATGACCAGATTTACCCTTCATGTCAAAAATATATATTTGCTAAACGTTAAACTGTAACTTCAAGCATAGAAAGGCAGGATTTTTGAAAAAAAAATCTAAACTATCCGGAAGCTTTTTTATGAAAATAAAGAACTTAAGACAAAATTTGAGAAGGCTTATAAAGTTTTCCGTGAAATTTTAGTCAGAATGAATTCATGCCTAAAAAGTTACGGTCTGTGAAAATCTGCAAGACAAAACTTACTGACAATAATGGTATTAAGCCCCACTATTTAAACAGTTGTTACATCTGCAATATTCTGAACTCACCCGATGCAAAAGTTGTTTCAATGCATTCCAATGATTACGCTTCAGATAGTGTCAATTTAAAAGGACGTCTTCTGCTGTATGCTATTTGTCAACTATACCGATGTAGAATAATGATTTTTCCACAAGATTAAAAGCTGTAATAATCCATCCTTTCAATACCAACTAATCGGACCAAGTACCTTGCTTTTATATCTTGCAGCACAAGAATCCTTTTATTCAAGAGACTACCTACTACTTTCTCAAATCTACCAAGAAACCTGTGCCCAACCCAACAGGATTGCAAGTACAAAACCAAAATAGCCCAACGAAGGTGGCAATTACAAAAGAAGCAGGCGAAAAGAAAGCAGGAAAATAAGGTCATAAGTTGGCATGTCTAAAAGCTATATACCAAAATCGGTCATGTGGCTATACAACAAAATCAATCATAAATTCGACTATGACATTCTTCGTGAAAGACTCGATATGTTACATAAAATCACACATGAGTGTGATATATACACACTATATATCCAGCCTCTAATCTACTTGACATTTAATAGCAACCCAGCACTGAAACATAAACCATTAACTGATCAAGATATTAATGTCTACTTCCAATCCACGCTCCCATCTGATCTTCCCGGATAACAATCTATTTCAACCCTTCCTTATAAAAAGGATCCCCTTTTCCATTTAATAAAAAGATATCTAGTTTTAGTCTCAAATAATTTAACCGTTTATTTCTTGGAATATTTCAGAGTGTGCTTTAGGAAACCAAATGCAGAAAATCAATATCAGGTCTTTTTAAAGCTATTGAAACGTTGATTGAAATTCTGTTTTCTGGAAAAGTTGAACAAGACAATTCAGCCATTACTTGTCGAAAAACTTCCAGCGCACCAGTCTGGCGACGTTGCGGTCTTCGGGTGTTCCCAACAACTAAATTTAGCGAATGCCCCCCCCCCAGAAATGTATTCCGTATCCAAATTTTAAGAAAAGTATTGTATTATGGAAGCATATCTTTCACATCTGATTCATTCGCTTTAAAAAAACTTCTTTTAATATAAACAGTAGTATACTAAAGCCTTGAAACAGAAGCAGCACAATGATCTATAAACTTGTAGCCCATCTCATTTAAAGAGCAGAATAAAGCATTTTCGGCCGCCTTCATAATATGTTGACGTTCATTGTCTGTCACTGAAATTCTCATATGACTACACATTAGCTTAGTACCGTTTTTAAGAGACTCTCTGGAGTGCGTTTATTACCTGAATCTGAAATAGGGCGCTGAGCTCTTGAACGAACCAACATTAATTTGAACGCCTTTTTTAGCAATGCTTTCAACAAGCTTTACGATATCAAGGCCTTTGGGTAACCAAATAGAAGTGTATTCATTAGCCGCCCAAGCCTCATTGCGTGGGACAAGTTGCAGACCCCAGTTTCTTACAGTCCGCCTAAAATCAGATACTACTTGACGTTGCTCGTCAAATCGCGCGTTAAAGGGTTCACCGAGCATTTTTGTCATCGTGGTATGAAGAGCATAAATAAGCTCTAAAGAAGATGTTGTAAAACATGAAAGTTGGCCTGTTTCATAAGATTGCATAACTTTTTGTTATAGTGGGAAGGAAGTTAATAATTATCCAAACCCAAAACATTTATCAATTTCTTACCAGGGAGCCATTTATTCCAATTAGCGTGGTAGGAGGCTATAGGCATTTTTCTATTTTGAGACATACTGATAGCCTTTTGACTAACAATAACAATAGATAGGCCTGCTCGAACACCTATAAACTTTTGAGAACCAGTGATAATTATATCCAGATCCCACAAATCAAAGCATATCTCTTCTGAATTAATGGAACAGATAGCATCAACTACGACCAGAGTTTCTGGGGAAATAGACTTCACAATCTCTGCAATGGTCTTAATGTCTGAAAGAACACCCGTCCTGAAACTTATATAAATACGACATGTACGATAATTTCAGTATAAACTTACGAAGTCTCAACATGTGTAATTGCTATTAACTTATAACGAGTATTAGTGACTGCCTGTTCGATAGCTTCTTGACTAGGATGTAATCCTATTTGAGGGCAAATCTGTGTCACTCTTGCGCCATATAATTCAAGGCTGTTTATATGTTCATGCGGATAAGTAAATGTGAGTTTAAAATTCAACATACTGCATACCATTCCGAGATTTGAGAGCTAGAATATCCGTAATTTAAAACAAGGACCTGATCATTACTTTCAATGACATTGGATAACATATCCCATCCAAGAGTAGAAGGTCCAGATAGAATGAATGGTTGAGCTGTTTCTGACATAATGACTTTACGAATCATTCCAATAGTCTTGCCAAATATATCAACAAACTTTGGATCATAATGAATTTCAAAAGGAGTTGACATTGTCTTTTCTAAATCTGATAAAAGGTTGTCAGTTTAAGATATGAGGTTAACTTTAATTTGGCTGCCAGAGAGCAAACAAAGTTTACGATTATCCAAAATGACACGAAAAATAAAAAAAAATAAAAAGAAGGGCATGCAGGTAATAACTAATTTTTAAATGTAATCGCCATGGACCAAATTAAATCAATGTATCCATTTAAGTAAGGAGTTATGCACAGTCAACGTATCAGCTTATGATTGACTCCATGTTTTGACATATGCATATTCTTTTTTTAATCTTGTGCTAAAAATATACGCTACAAATCTACCAGCAATTAACGCTGATGCGTCGCTAGCAAATTCAAATGAATAAATCGGCTTGTAAAAAAGAGAAAGAAGGCGGTACACGATTGTTTGTAAAAATGGTTTTAATTTTATTTTTTGCAATTCACAGGTTTGTGACAAGAAAATTTATGCAACTGTTGAAGGTAATTTGTTGCTGACTGTTTCAACTCTATGCTTAACATCCGTAATAGAGCTTTTTCTAAAAATTATTATAAAAAAAATGAATATACAAATCATCAGTATGAGAAACAAAACTTACTGCTCTTTCAAAGTACGCAAAACGTTGTTAAGCTGAGTGGCATTAATGTTGGAAACGGTGGCCTTTGGTTTCTTACTTGACTTGAGTGATATTTGTTCCAGTTGATCCTTTAGCTATCAGGGTATTAATTACTTTTTCCCCTGGTTTTTTCATGTATGGAAGATAATCATTACCTGCTTAATGCGAGCATCATAGCCTGACTCGCCACCAACTTGCTTTGCGATCTTTTCTAACTTGGCGATCCAATCCTTTTCCTCATTAGATAAATCAGGTTGATACACTTGCATTAACTTGCGCAACTGTTCATCGATTCTTAAACGTAATTTGGCGTGCGTTTGATGAAGTTCTTTTAATTTTTGTTCTTGACCAGTTTTGATATCAGCGGACCTGGCGAGCTGTAAGCGATCATATAAATCTCTTAAGTCTGTAACTTGTTTCTCAAACTCCTTTTGTTGCATAAGTAATCTTGAATCAATCTTGACAGCTGCCTTCTTTAAATCATGTGTTTCACGACGAATTTGTTCAGAAGATTTGGCAAAGAAACGGAGTGATTCCTCGGTAATCACAATATCCTTGGATCCGCCCATATTGGGAGGGATTATAATTTTAGCTTGTTTAGGTAAGCCATCCAGCTGCTTAGGAGGTTGGAATGCAGGTAAAGATAAAAGAGGTTGGTATTTGGATTCCGCATCACCGACATACTTTAGTTGTTCTTTTATAGCATTTTGAGATTCTTTGGATACAGGTCTATCATGACGCATATTCATATCTCTAGTTACGGCGCGGTAATCTGAGGTTAAAGTGATGGAAGAATAAGACAAATACATATCTTTGATTAAAACAAACCCAACAATAGGTACAAATCCGGATTGCAAAGGCGATGAGTTCACAAGTTGACGAACGTCAGATGTAATTTTTTGATTTAACCAATTGTTGATTCCACCTTCAGTTGATTTTCCCTCTTCAAAGCTGTTGCTAAGGTCCGCCAGTTGCTGTACCCATTTGTTCATTGAAATAACATGTACACCACCGGCATGATAAGCGTAATATGTATCTTTGTATAAGGGATCGTTAACCAAAGTGACACGTTGGAAAGGGGGTGTATTTTCTGACTTTAACTTGAGAACTTCGTACAAGGAGGCTCTTGGGAGAAAATCCGCATCTGATAGCAAATGTGCCAACTTGACTTGTGTGATTAGTTTCAATTCATCATTTATGATACACTATAAATGATAGTTTTACCTCACTTTGCCAAATATTTTTTGCGTTCTTTACAGGTAATTGCCATTGAGCATCAATTTCACTTCCAATAATATAATTATGCAAAGTTCCGTTATTCAAAGCCAAAGAGAGAATGCTGATTGGACCAACATTGCTGAATAGGATATCGGTAGCTTCGATTCCACCATCAAGGGGATTAGTATGACTGATTAAAAAGGGACCCTGTCTTTGGACAGGATAAGGGATATGTTCATCTGAGCTAAATACTGTCAATGAGTCACTATCTAAGCCTTTAGTTCCGATCTTTGCAGATTCAAATAAATGTTTGATCCATTGATTGTGGAGACTGAAAAGGTGAGACAAAGTTTTGTTGTTGGACTTGGACTGCTCGTACTTCACTTGAGAAAGACACGAAAGATTGTCTAAATGACCACGGCGAATAACGCTATCAAATCTCGATTATTAGCTTTTAAATATTAGCAAACAAAAACAAGAATTACAATACCTTTTGAAAGGGATCACAGGACAAAGTGAATAGATGTGACCGCTGCGAAGAGCATAGAACACGGTAAATGGCTCCCATCCGCTTGTATCTCGACTAATATTACCGAGACTGAATGTGACAGCATCCTCTTCTCCACTTTCATCGTCATCCAAAGAAAATCCACCTTGGCTGCTCTTTTCGGACTTTTCATTAGGAGATAAATCAAAAGTCTGCTCAGGTTCCTCGATATCTACACTAACGTCAAAGATACTACAGTACGAATATATCAAAATAAATAAGTAATACGTAAAAAGGAAACACTTTTAGATCTTTACCGCAGCATATTATCACTACCAAGAACTACGATATGGGTACGTGTTTCACTCAATGGGTGCCACTCTACTTTGAGAATTTCGTTTCTTGAAAAGTCGTAATATTTTGTACCGATTGATAAAGTTCGGCAATCGATCTTTCTTCTAGAATGAGAAACGTCCGAAAAACCTTGTCTGGGTAAACAGACGATCACCAAGCCTGAATTTCCAGTTACTGCTAAAAGTCTGCCATTGATATTAGGCACCATAGATTCAATATAAAAGTTGATTTCAGGCGTATCTAATACCTTTGGAAGAAGAAAATTAATATATATATCAGTGGTAAGAGCAAACCCGATTTTCTTACTTTGTAGGGAACTGAATGAATCCAGTTTTCAAATAAGGCAATGCCTTGGTCTTGAACCTCCTGAGAAACTTCAACCCAAGTGTCCTTAAATTCAGTCAAGTTCAGCACTCTAATTTGCTTTCCAACGGCAACAAAGAGATCATTGTCTCTTAAAGCAATAACACGATTGTGGTGTTGAAGTATAAAGTCAGTCACGGGTTGTTGACGTGTTTGATTAATCTCCAACGATTGAACAACTAATTTTTCTTGTTGATTCAATTCAAAAATTGAATGTTTTATAAGACTATCAAGCCAGGTATCTTGTGAGTAGCTCATTTTGACAACTGTTTTTTTTTTTTTGGTGTATTTGAAAGAAGAAAAAAACCACCCACACAATATTCTGAAGTGCTGAACGGCACACGATTGAAACACCGTCGTGACTGGTGTATTTTGACTAAACTGGTGTGCCCAAAAGTTGTAAATCTTTTTCTGTTTCTTTTTTACAAACGAAATTAAAGCGCATAATGTTTAGCGACGACGAAGATGAATTAGAGCTTCTACGACAATATGGCGATAGAGACCTTCATGCTGACGATGATGAGGGTCATTCAAGGTAAACATTGTTTTCCTTTTTCAACATTTTAGACGCACAAAAGTTTCTGACATGTTTGAAAAAATAATAAAGTGACGATATGGATAGCGATCTGGAAGACAAAATTATGAGCATGGTTCAATTTAACAAAAAAGTGCCGAGTGTTGAGAAACCTGAAGAACCAAAAGTTGTATACGCCCCTATTGGGGACAATGCAGAGAAACAAGATACCAATTTCTCCTCTGCTAATGAGTTACAATTAAGTGAGAAGGAGGAGGGAGAGGAAGATTCCGATGCTGAAGATATTGGAACTCTTGAGAACCCTTCTACACCAGAAGATACCGACATAGTTATGCAACCCCAAGTGACTAGATATATCGATTTGGGCGATAAGCGTTACATGGACGATGAAGAAACCGATGAGGAGGAAGCAGAACTTAACGCGAAGTTACAAGATTTGATTGATGAACAAGTAAGTCGGATAGAAAATCATTCAGATGAAGGATCTGACATCCCTTGTAGATTTCTAAGCGTCAGAGTAGAGTAAAATATGTGAATAAGCCCATTAGAGTTTGTTTCGGCTGTCATCAGCCTGGTCATGACCGCAGAGATTGCAATTTGGTAAAAAAAAAGAAGATTCAATTTAGAAAGTGTGTTGACCCTGTGTTTAGTGCAGTGACTGCGGCGGGCCTAAGCATGCTGACAGTAGATGTGTTGGTTTTAGATACTGTGGTAGATGTAAAATGAGAGGCCACAATCAAGCAGTAAGTGATAAAAATTGAATAAACTGCACCAAATATTAATTATTTCGCAGGATTGCACCAACCCACGTGAGAGCAAATCTTGCCATGTTTGTTATATGAGCTACCACAATGCATTGGTAATTATACCATATATATAAAAAACAACAAAAGAAAATTAATCCATCATTTAGAACTGTCCAAGCCTACTGCATGTATATGAGAATGAAAGTCCACCTAGTAGAATACCTACTGCCTACTGTTATTACTGTACTGAAAAGGGACATTATGGCGACGATTGCCCTGATCTCCCTAAATACTTGACTACCGTTCCTTCGGTATTTTCATATCTCAGTCTCACTGAAGGTAGCAGATTTGACCCTAAAAAGCAAATGAAGAGTTCTGCTTCATCTTTCAGTGCCTCATCCACAAGTCATCAAAGATGGTCAGACTCTAGCAGAGAGAGTAGTCCTCGTCGTAACAACGACTATAGCAATGACAGAGGATTCAATAATGGTGCATATAAGAGAAGATACAACGATTCCGACAATGAAAATAACAAAAGAAACAGGTATAATGACAGATATGATGATAGCGACCATTATGAACAGGAAAAAAAGAAGCCCTACAAGGGCAATATAAAGCCTTCTTCGTATAAAGATGACAGTGCAGGCGGTAAACGTCGCAGAACGGATATAGTGGATAATTCGAGGTCGAATTTGGATAACTTCTTTACGTCAGAAAAGAAAAAGAAGGGAAAAGATAATTACAACTATTCCGGAAAATCTGGAAATAATAACTGGAAGGCGGTAAACAATTCACTTCCTCAACCGACAAGGTCAGGTACAGTCAACCTCAATAAAAAACGCCAACAACAAAATTACGATGGGGATTTCCCTCGTGGAAACGGCTCAGATCTTCCCAGGCCAAGTTCTTCTGGTGTTATCGATTTAACTAAAAGTGACTCGGGAGGTTATTCTAAAAGAGCTCCTAAATACCATGGAGGTTATAACCGTAGATAGTTTGACCGCCCTCTTCATTATATACACTTTAAAAAAATTATCAATATAAAAATAAAATTTATTGACCGTCTAACAAAATACTTGTAGAGTGAGTAGGTATATGATATATGATATATTCGACTTCTTTCTTCAATTCATCACAATATCTGTTGAGTGGCAAATCGTTATCATCATAACCAACTACAAAATCGTGTTAGTCCAAATGCAAAAAAAAAAAAGAAAAAAAAAAAAAAAAAAAAAACTCTCACTGAGTTTACACTTACAAGGATTTTCAATTTCTGCTCCAATGGCTTCAATACCAAATAATGTGAATGAAACAATAGCTACAATAGGTGCAACAAGCCAACCAAGTGTATCTACCAAAGCAAAAGGTAAAAAGAAAATGTACAGAACAACAGCTTGTTTTCTATTGAACAATACGTTAATATTTGCATCAATCGTCAGTATAGAAAACTTACAAATGAATGTTATATGCTTTGGGAATAGGAGTATGAACGATTCTTTCAAAGGCGGTAAGTGAATTGACCAAAATATCAATCGAACTTGTAGTGACTGAAACCAAGGTAGACTCTATTTTATTGGCGGCCTTTGCTTGATTTATATATAATGCAACACGAAAAAGAATTTCAAGAGGCAACGATAAATCGGAATCACCTTGATATGGTAAATCTTCTTCACTTGTAAATTCAGAATGGTCTAAGTTTCTCTTTTTATATTGACGATGTTGACGGAATCGATTTCTGATATGATCACCTGCATTATTTACGCCACGAGATCCAGAAGGAACGTTGTCGTCTACAGCTTCGACTGGTGGCAAATTTACACCCTCGTCTAATAAATGAACATTCTGCTCCTCTTCTTCAGAAATCGTATGATTCAGCTCTGAGCCTGGCATTGTGCTTTTCAAATAGGCAGTAGACATATGTGATACATCAGAGTTGGGAAACTCTTGGTCCACTAGCGAACGGCGTACGTTGGATATGTGTGTTGGGTCATCGGATTCCATATAACCTCCATGAGATTCTGGCTTGATTGAATCAGTAAGCGATACCAAGAGAGCAGGAGCCTTGCTGAAAATTCGCATTTTGTGTGGTACATTTTGAGGGGATCCATCTACGCTTCTGGTATCATCACCATTGCTTTCCAGTGTGATACTCATAGCCTTTTTGGGTACGGTAGAATTCTTACCCTTTTTGCCGTTTGCTACATCTTCTTGTTGCTCCTCTGATGCCTTGTTCTTTTGGACACTTGCAGGCTCCCATTTAGGAGGCAACAATACCTCGACTACAGAAAAAAATTAATAAATGAGAATTACATCATTGTGACTTTGGGGTGTGTGTGTGTAACTTTACGGTCATAATAATGAGTTCCGTACTCGTGGCGGAGATGATGCTTCGTGGCAACAAAAAAAGCCAGTAAAAGTTTTACACAGCGCATTTTTTCTAAATGATCTTGCTCGGTTTCTTCAGGGATATTAATCCACACCTGTCTTGCTACATTTCTAATGGTTGCTGTCACGGTCTGAATTAATTTTCTGCCTTCCCAATATCTGTCATATGCTGTATTGACCCGAAAAGCTAATAATAGACCTAATGCAACGGAGACTGTTCCCACTGCGTAATTTCGTGATATTTAGTGTATCGTGTAACAACCTGGATCATTTTTTTTAAAAAAATAATAATAATAAACCTTTACTTACAAACTGACACTGGAATACTGATTTCTACCTCAAAAGTGAGATGGAATAAGCAGACTAAACATGATATGCTTGTCATGGCAAGAACGCCAGGTAGTGTGGGTAATAAAACCTATGTAAACAATTAATCACCATGCGCCTAAATTACTTATTGCAAAGCCACATTTACAGATCCCTTCCACCGAAGCACATCAGGCCAAGCGAGCTGATCCTTGAAATATATCCATACGTTTCCGAGGAACGTGGGTTTCTCCAGGTATGAATAACCTATTTTTCAAACTGTCAACTATAGCCGTAATTTTTGCAATTGAAGAGATATACCTTCTACTGTGTGTGTTTGTAAGGCTGGCATAAATATATAAAAGGAGATATTATACAAAAATGAAAGAAATAGAAAGGGGGAAAGGGAAGACGAAATAAAATGAAGAGATTATATATCCTCTTAAGAGCGGGAACTGAAATGGTGCCCATATACAAGCGTTTTCTTTCATTTTTTACTGTTTTAATTCCCAAAAATGGTGACCTCTGTCCATTCTATGTTATTAACAATCACAACGATGTTTCTGTAGCTTAAAATACCTATTTACTTCAAGCTTTCAAGATAATTTGGTGTTAGGTGACATATTGGCTAAGCTACTAATGGCGGACACATATATACCGATTAGCCGTTACTGAAGCCTTACTCCTAATCTGATACAGCGCGACCCGTTGATTTTGTCGCTTTTTCTAGAAAAACATGTTTAATAAAATGAAATATGTTTAGACTGGTGTTTTGATATAGCAGTTAATAATTGATGCTTAGAGTGACCAAAGAAGGCATAATGATCATTAACGGGTATGTTATTACAAGCATCGGCAATTCTGCCCGACAAATTTTCTTCGGTCATCAATCGCTGACGCTTCAACCTCCCCTTTAGTATAGCCCAAAACTGCTCAATGGGATTCAATTCCGGCGAGTAAGGGGGCAAATACATCACTCTATAACCCCTACCTTCAATTTTCCTAGGCACTGGCTTCGATTTATGGATTGGACAGTTATCCATATCAAGATAGCTTCCCTTTAAGCTTTCATCAAGATCTATGACGTCAAAAAGTTCATTTGTGAACTTGACAATGTGAGTAGTGGTTGTGGCTCTTGTTATTGGCTTATTGTTTTCATCGGCGTTATCTTTTGCGATGTTTGTATATTCTATATTGGGGTTTTCTATACATTTTGTCCAAAAAAGTAAGCAACTTCCGCGAAAATTTTCAATTGGTTCATCAGTCATCTATCACTATGCATCTAATCTTGTTTTCTGCAACCAAATGCAAAAATATTGGAAGCCGTTTTCCTTATCATCAAAATTTGCTTCGTATGCTTAAGCCATTCTAGTAATTATCCGCTCATCAAATTTCTCATGATGCCCGGAACGAACTCCCTTTTATTTTGAATGAAAGTTTTTGTCAAAGCGTATAAATTAATCCAAGAAAGGCAAGCGTTTGAACAAGACTTAACACTGTTCTTGTTAAAATGTGAGGAAAGTAGCTCGCTTAAATTAGAATAGCTTTTAAAATCGATAGCAGGTAGTTGACGCTAATATCGAATGTTTTTTACATTCTTATTGGGCGAAACTGAGAAGCACATGTCAGTCGTGTTGGCAGCTATTTTCTGACGCAGTATGGTGACAGATTCTAATCAGTGCATGGGTGGGCACCATTGTTTACAAAAGAAATTTTTCATTTTTTTTAAAAATATAGTCAAAGATGTATATCTTTAGCCAGAGCATGAAGCCTTAGATAAACTGATAATTATCCTCGGTGATTAATCGGGCTTGATTTCTTTTTACCTGTTCTTCGAAGAAGAACCGCTTTTTTGTTATTTAACAACAAGAAAGAACGGCGGTAGCAGGTGTGAATTAAAGAAACATTGAATTGAAGTTTTCTCGAGACTTTTTATACCTTTTTTAGTTTTTAAACCCCCCTTTAATAAATTTCTACAGTCACCTTTTTAACCTTACCCAATCACATTAAGCTTTACCATATTGCAAGGGAAATTTTTTTTTTTATGGTTTGATAGCTTTGGGAATTTGTGCAAATGGAAAGCTTGCTTATTTTCTATAGCAGTCATTAGGTTGTTGCAAAAAATAGCGTCTTGTATTGCATATTCTTGCACTCCAATTACAATATCCACTGTAGCAATATCGTTTTATACATCATGTCTCTTTTTTCTTCAAAATGATCCATTTATCCATCAAGCACTACAAGGATATTAGATTTTTTTGTGCAACAAGAAACTAAAAACGCATTTTATACTTGTATCAGCTTATTGAAGAAAAGCTGGTAACCTGTACTGTCTGGACGGCAATAGTAACCTTATTTTTATCATCTTAACAGTGGGGGAATCCCTTCTTTATGCATCAGCATAAGAATTACCCGAAGCACTTCTATTGCGGGTGACTAAGAAATTATCTTCAAAAATACAGGGTATGCAAGCCTTTGTATCTGTGCTGGTCAAGGCTAATGGTCTTATCAAATTTAGTTCTGAGACACGAAGTTAAGTGAATTAGTCACCATTGACTTTGGTCATTGCTGGTCAAGACACAGATGAATAGTGGATCGCGACAGAAAATGACTTGCCGCGTGTGAAAGAGTGGACAGCGACCTTTATACTGGGCACTTTAAAGGTATAAAGATGGTACACGTATCATTGTCGGGAAATTCCGAAAAAAAAAAAACGATTGCTTCCGAAATGGTGCATGTTCTATTTATTGAGGGTAAAGCACAAGGTATAGTAAGTTGTGTAAGCTCACTGCGTTTGAGCTACTCTTGGGCTTATGTTTGAACTCCACCCGAGTATCGTCATAAAGAATCTGGCTGTAATCATGTATCTATGCCGGTCAAGAAGTTATTACAGACTCTTTTATATGTCACCTTGTTTTTTAATCTGGAAAGAGATTTACAAGAAATCTATATACGCGTTATGGTAACTTTGCTAACATGCATGTTGCTTTATGATTCAGCTGGTTTAGACATTTATCGATAAATTTGGTTTAAATTAAGACACCATTAATATCTCAATGCGTCGCTTCCAGTAGAGATCCGAAAGAATGATAATTCTCTAATTTGTCATAAACAGCTATCTATAGGTAAAGCCAGACCTTTAAGCCCCCCCCCAGGCTTGTTTTACGCTAAAAATGAGTTTTACGGGTTAGATGACTACAGTCCTGTCTTAATCACAAAAACATGCACCCGAGTATAGATATTGCTTCTTATATCCTCCCCGTGTTGCCGCGGCCAAACGCAATGTCTGTTTGTGGTTTTTACCATTTTTGATGGTACCAAAGCTTGAACCGGAGAGATCGGAAAAACGTGATCGATTAGTGGTGATATGATAAAACACCAATGCGTTACTGATAAAAGCGCATTGAAGAGAACTATGAAGACGAATCTCTGCCATATAGAGCTCTGGACAGTGTCTACAACGATGTCTTTTTTTAGAGTCACGTTTTTTTTTTTTTTTTCGCATACATACTTAAGATTATGTGACTTACAGCCATTCCAGCCTAAACCTGACAGCCTAACATGGGAGGTATTTATGGTACAGCGAAGACCTGACTCAGCCATAATACTAAAAAAACGGGAGTATGTCATTTCGTTAAAAAAAAAAAAGAGGTAACACTTAAGCGTTTTACTGAAAAAACAAAAGATGTTATTAACTAAGCTTTTGATAGCACTTGTTATTTATCTCATTTAAAAAAAGGGGGATAAGTACTGTCTTAATGCTTTTATATTTTGGGTTGGTGGGAAAAGGGAAAGAGAAAGAATAAAAAATGGACGGACAAGTTTTTATTTATAAACTGATAAACAAGATATGGCTTAAATGTCAGGATGCTTTTAATTACCGATAATGTTTGAGCTTTTACTTTTGATATAAGCATTATTCATAAAGTAAATGTCCTAGGAAAGAACGATTAAAATAGGAAATTGAAAAGGGTAAAAAGAAGCTAGACGACAAGATATCTAGACTTGTACAGCGTCTGATGATCTTGAGCGTTGCATGGCAAATCTCCAAATGGTGAAGGTGTCAAACACAGCACGATAACTACTTGTGACAAACATGATCCAAATTTTTAGACTCAAGTAAAACGCGGTCAAGTAAAGAGAAAAAGCAACGATGGAATTGCATGTGACACTTGATTGACCATAGTTGTACCAATAAAGCACTGGGTAAATCACCATCTCTAACAGCTGTACCACATTAAAGTTACATAAGGCACTAAATACGACAATCCGTAAAACTGAACTTTTGCGAGAGAGCTTTGTCTTTGTCTTAATAATATTTTTCAGGACGGGATAATTATCGTCGGGCGTCTTCTTAATAGCAAGTATGATATATGGGATGATGTTGATAGCTAAAAAGGCCATATTGTACCAAAACAGTGGAGTTTTTAAGAAATCTTGTATGAATTGGCGCTGAGGTCGGGTTATGCCAAAAATTACTAGGAGGTACATTTTAACATAAAACATGTAAAATAATGAGACAATGATGACTACGGTTCTTTTTTTGGAGAATTCTGGTTCATCCTTTATCAATAGCATTTTTTCATCGTCTTCCTAAAAAGTATTATCGAGTTTAATATTGCTTAATTACAATGTGTAACTTCAAAGGGGGAGGGGAGTATACCTCTGGAGGGATATAAACTGTTTGCTCGTTCATTTTAAAAATGGATTAAAGTAAAGAGAAAATGTTTTTTTTTTAAAAAAAATGGTGTCTATAAAAAGTGACCACGAGTATTTTCGTGCCACATGATTGCTTACTACTCAATCCGCAGCAAAATTCAACTAAAGCAGTCTATCTACTACCTTAATAAAATTCTATATTGTAGAGCCTAGTAAATCATGAGTGGAAAGCAGACAAAAAAATAACCACAAACAATGGCAAAAATTATGCCATAATTTTTTTATTTAGGATGAACTTAAAGTTTGAGAAATAGAAAGTTTTCTGGTTGTGCTCGTTTCAAAACGACGCAAAGAATGCCCCGATGCTGTCTTTTCGTCTTCGTCACCCATCCCGACATCGGTAATACTTGATGAGTAGTTTTTAGGATCAAATGTGATGGATGAAGGTACAAATGTTTTGGGTTCATAATAAGGTATTGTTGGCACTGGGTACATTGTCTCTTCTGGAAACTTTGTTGATTTCGGTGATGTGGGCACTAATGTACCGTCCATAGAACTATGCACTGTATCTCGGTTTCTGCTTCCTCTTCGTCGACTATCCATCTCTTCTTCATCATCATCGTCTCTTATAACGCTTTCCGAGTCAATTGTCATGCTTTCATCATCTTCTGTGCTATCACTATCAGAGCTACTGCTAGATGGACCTCGGTGAGTCAGTTGCTTGATAATAAGATAGGATGCAAGGTACCCTTTTTCAATGATAACAGTTAATAAAAAGACGTTAAAAGCATAATGTTTGACTGTCTTACAATCAATCGTATATAAAATGGGTGTGCTGCCACCAAGTACATTGTTAGCTAACAAGATACCTGTCAAAATATTGGAAAAACACACACCAAAACTTAAAAAGGGTTAACATTCTGTCATATAATTTTTTTTAAAAATGTATATTACCAGTAGATTAATCCCTCTTTTATCAAGGTTTTTTGAATGCTGCTTCCGAGAATACGGTAATGTCTGTAAATAACAAGTATAAAGCATCCAGACAGAAAAGTGTTTGCTGTACAATCAATGGCAGCTTTTGTAACAACAATATACAGAGCTTTTTAAAAAAAAGGATGTGAGAATCTGCAACTTTGTTAATATTTTAGTTGGGCACCTACGATATTCGGTTGAGCACAGGCCAACACCTAAAAATGTCTTTGATTTTCCAATTGTCATATTGATCCAAATAAATACAGCAATTGATAATATAGGAATCGATCCTAAAAATAAGATTAGTTTTGATCGATTGTTGCCCAAGTATGCTTTCCATAACAGAACAAATTGTAGGGACATGTCTGCAATATTTACACCAACTACAGAGAACAAAAGACGCTACCAGTAACCCAGATTAATATAATGTATGTTATTTTTAGTGTGGAAAAGAAAACTTACAAAAGTGCAGTCAACATATACAAGCGATGTTAATAAAGTGACAAATGTGACCACAACTCCAAGTGTTGACTGAACAAATACTATGCCAACGATTGGTTTTCTAGTCTTGTAAAACATCTCTCCGGATGTCATTGCTTGCCAGATAAAGCACACCATACCAACGCTAACAAACATGATTGAAAACGCTGTTTCTTTTGGAATACCAACTTCGTTTATGGCTGACAATGGGTGTGAAACTTGAGGAGTGGTTTCCATATTTTATTTTAAACAAAAAAAAAAAAAAAAAGAAAAAAAAAAGAAAAAAATTTAAACAATTGATACATATTTATCTAAAGTATTTTCGTCGATGATAATAGTCGTACATAAAAAATATCTCTCCTTGCAAAACATTATAAAAGTACTAGTGGGGAGAGAAGGGGGTAGACAAAAAGTGTCGAATATTACTCTATGTTTGATCCAAGTTTAGCTTACAAGCAATGTGGCTCTATATAATACAACGCGAGCCTTTAAATAAAAAAAATAAACGAAAAACGGTGATAATAAAGAATTTCGATAATTGATTATGATCATGAATATATGACAGCTTATTGTTTTAATTTTATATTTTTCATTGTTACGACGTAACAATTTGATTGGCTTAAATCGTCAATAGAAAAAAAAAATTAAGGATAAGGATCTTCGTGCGTTTGAATTCGCGTTTAGTTATATGATTGGGAAATATGATCAATGCCCTTTGATTTACTCCTAATACAAGTTTTTATGCTTTTTGCATATCGATGTTATATATTAGATACTCTACCACAAGTTTGTAAATACCAGGAAGCCATATTTCATTAGCATATAATAAGATAGATGGCTTCGTCTGCTTTGGGGGTAAAGATAATGTCACTGTATATTTTCATAGAGATTTTAATCAAAGATTTGTTACTATCATCAAAAAAGTTTATTACCCCGTCTAGAAAATAGAGCAAACCTTAAATAACTCCAAAAGTGCGCCACTGAATAAATTGGCCCCTTCCACACTCATAAAAAAGTCCCAACAAGTTTTTAATTCACCAATTGGATTGCGTAACACAGCATAAATCGAGTTTATTCAGCCAATAGAAATAGATGACAGTACCTGCTATGATCATACTCTGATTAGGGTACTTAGGAGTCCTACTATATAAAGCGTACGGTTCTCTATACAAAAAGAAGATCCACATCACAAAAAAAAAATGCATTCAGTTTGGAGCCCTTCCACTTCTTTATCATAAAGCAACTAGTTTATATAAGTAGAATATGACAAAAAATGTAGTATAAGAAATATGCATGATGTATAGGCCTTCTTAAAGAAAACTGATCATTGGTATTAACGAGATAAATACTAAAAAAAAAAAGGTTTTAATGATATTATCTACGTAATTGATGACCTTGTAAGTTTAATTTTCTGGAAGATTCGATACCCTTGTTGGTGCAACTTTATCACAAAGCGTATATGATGAGGATCCCTGTTCTAGAGAATAGGTTTGAGACTTAATTATTTACTGCAAACAATCCTTTTATATTAAAAAATACTATTCCTAAGCAAAAGCAGGATCAACTATTGAGCCATAAATTTAAATTAACGAAATCCATTAGCCTGAATGTACAGTCATAGCTAAAGTTTATGCAATTTGTCGTGTGAAAAACTACTCTGTCCGGTTAATAAAGCTTTGTATTTACATTGTATCATTTATTGAATACTAAATGTCATTATTTGGGATTGTACACGCTTTACAAGGTAAAAAGTCTCTTTTTAGTAAATCTGATCGAATTTAACCTTCTTCCTTTTTTAAACAAGCTGGGATATGTTAAAAAAGAGCACGATTTTTTTTTTTTTTTTTTTTTTTTTTTCAAATGAGGTGATATGCGCCGAAAATATACGGACTATTTTAAACGTTACTAAAGGCGCGTAACATAGGTAACGGAGAGCTTATTTGTAACGCCTATAAAGCCATCCATGTTCACCCGTATAGCAAACATCTTTCCAAGACCAATTGAGACGTTTGGTCAGTTTTATAAACATTTTACTTAAGAATACCGAGAGCCGGCAAAGGTCCACTCTTAATAAATCAACGTCTATGACCCGGCCCAATAAAAAATTTGCGCACTTTTTCATCTCAAATATGTCAACAAAGTTTGAGCTTCACTTTTAAAACAAGATTTTTTTCCTTATTAGGTGCGTAATTCCTCATTAGGTTTAAACAAAAAATTAAGTCCGGTCATTCGCTTTTCAAACACGTAATACAGGTATAAATATTGAAATCTTGCCTCGTTAGGAACTTCTTTTTTACCACGCCTTCTTTGTCTTTTTTTTAAAAAAATGTGCACATCTTCAGCTGTCGAAAATCCTGACCGTCAAGTCTTACCTACAAATGTCAAGCCTACTCATTATGACTTGACTCTTCAACCCAACTTGAAGACCTTTGTTTTCCACGGTCACGTTAAAGTCAAGTAAGTCATATACATTCTATTCCTCAACAATGCAATTTCTAACCTCTTCTGTATAGCTTGAACATTAACACCGATACTAAAACTATTGTCCTTAATACGCGTGATATTAAGATTAGCTCTGCAATTTTATCTTCTGAAGGTCTCAAGACCGAATCAAAGTGCGTGACTAGTAGGACATAGGAATCCCGCGTTTCTATTTAATTAACTTTTCTTAATATTAGGCAAAATGCTACTGATATTACCTATGATGAAAAGAAGGATTTGGCTACGTTCAACTTTGCCGAAACCGTTCTTGCCAATACAAAGGCTGTCTTGGATATCACCTTTGAAGGTATCTTAAACGATCAAATGGCTGGTTTCTATAGATCCTCTTATAAGGATGCTGAAGGTAACACCCAATATTTGGCTACAACCCAATTTGAATCTACGGATGCTCGTAGAGCTTTCCCCTGTTGGGATGAACCTAGTCTTAAGGCTACTTTTGATGTTACATTGGTTGTTCCTACCGAGCTTGTTGCTTTATCCAACATGGATGTTACTTCTGAAAAGCCTTACAATGACACTGGTAAGCTTACCGGCAAAACCGAGGGAAAGACTGAAGGAAAGACCGAAGGAAAGACTGAGGGAAAGACCGAGGGAAAGACTGAGGGCAAAACCGAAGGTAAGACTGAAGTATCTGGTGCCAAGAACTTGAAGGAAGTCAAGTACGCCACTTCTCCTTTGATGAGTACCTACCTTTTGGCTTTTGTTGTTGGTCCCTTTGAATACATCGAATCATTTACCAGTGGTGAACACAATGGTCGCCCTATCCGTTCTCGTGTTTATGCTTTACCTGGATCTGTTGAACAGGGACGTCATGCATTAAATGTTTGTACTGCTGCACTTGAATACTTTGCTCAAGTTTTCGGTGAGCCTTATCCTCTTCCCAAGATTGACATGGTTGCTATTCCTGATTTTGAGGCTGGTAAGAAAGCAAAGAAAAGCAAGAGAAAGTATAACTCACATTTAACCACTTTTTTTTTTACACATAGGTGCTATGGAAAATTGGGGTTTGATCACTTACAGAACTGTCGCTTTATTGTTTGATGAAAAGTCTTCCTCTATTGTTTTCAAGAAGAGTACTGCATACACCGTGTGCCATGAGTTGGCTCATCAATGGTTTGGTAATTTGGTAACGATGGAATGGTGGGATCATTTGTGGTTGAATGAAGGTTTTGCTACCTGGGTCGGTTGGTTAGCTGTTGATAACATCTTCCCCGATTGGGATGTCTGGACCTCTTTTGTTAACGAAGATATGCCAAGAGCTTTAAACCTTGATGCTCTTCGTTCTTCTCATCCTATTGAAGTTACTGTCAACGACCCTGCTGAAATCCATCAAATTTTCGATGCTATTTCTTACTATAAGGGTGCTAGTGTCATCCGTATGTTGAGTTCTTGGTTAGGTGTTGAAACTTTCTTAAAGGGTGTTAGACTCTACGTCCAGCGTCATAAGTGGGGAAATGCTTCTACCAATGATCTTTGGATTGCTCTTAGTGAAGAGGCTAATGTTGATGTTTCCAAATTCATGACATTGTGGACTAAGCGTGTCGGTTATCCAGTCTTATCTGTTGAGCAAGAAGGCCAAGAAGCTATTAAGGTTACTCAATCTCGTTATCTTTCTACTGGTGACTTGAGCGAAGAAGAAGATAGCACTGTTTGGTGGGCCCCTCTTGGTATTCTTACATCTGCTGGTGTTGAAAACCATACTTTGACTGAGAAGTCTCAAAGCTTCCCTGTCCCTTCTGACGGTTTGTTCAAGTTAAATGCTGGTCAAACATCTGTTTATCGTGTCAACTATCCTATTGAAAGTATCCGTGTTCTTGGTGAAGAAGTCAAGAAGGGAAGCAAGGGACTTTTGACAAACACTTCTGATCGTGTTGGTTTAGTTGCTGATGCTGGTAATTTGTGTGTCAGTGGTGAGCAAACCACTACTGCTTTATTAGAGCTTGCCCAAGCTTTTGTCAATGAAGAGAACTATTTTGTCTGGTCTCAATTAAGTACACACATCAGCAAGATTCTCAGTGTCTGGTATGAACAACCCGAAGAAACCCGTGATGGATTGAAGTCTCTTCGTCGTAGTTTGTTTGCCCCTATCGCTCACAAGCTTGGCTGGGAATTTGCTGAAACCGATGATTATCTTACCAACATCTTACGTGTTCTTGCCCTTACCAATGCCGGTAGATCCAATGATCGCGAGACTGTTGAACAAGCTAAGAAGCGTTTCTGGCAATTTGTAGAGGGTAACACTGAAGCTCTTCATCCTAACCTTCGTGGTCCTGTTTATAGCATTGTTTTGGGTGCTGCTGAAAACGAGGAGGAAGAAGAAAAGTTATGGGAAGAGATTCTCAAGATTTACCGTGATGAGACTTTGCCCACTGATCAACGTTTGATTGCTCTCAGCTCTTTAGGTGGACCCAAGAGCAAGGCCTTGATCCAAAGATATCTTGACATGAGTCTTGATGAAAAGGAAGTCAGAGGTCAAGATTCCTTGTATGTTTTCAGCTCTTTATCAGCCAACCCTGATGCTCGTGAAATCCTTTGGAATTTCTTTACTTCTAACTTTGACCTCTTGCACTCCAAGTTCTCCAAGTCTTTAAGTTTGTTCGCTTCCACTGTTCGTTCTGCTGTTGGTGGTTTTGTCACCTTTGATCGTATTTCTGAAATTGAAGCTTTCTTTGCCGATAAGGACACTAAGGAGTATGAGCGTTCTCTTCAACAAGCTTTGGAAGGTGCTCGTGTCAATGCCAAATGGGTCGAAAGAGATCACCAACTCGTTGCCAATTGGATCACCGAAAACGCAAAGAGCTTTGCTTAAAAAAAAAAAAAAAAAAATAATATAAACCCTGTAAATAAAATTGTATCAATTTTTTTTTGTTTTTAAAAAAAAAATGTTTTTAATGGTTGAGAGAAATTATGTGTAGACTATCTATTGGGCAGGTGCTTGTTGTTGAACAATAGAGTCACCGAATTTGGTAATCATATCCTTGGCCATGACATACACTTTAGGAACAACGGCAGGGATACGGGCATCGGCGTTGGGAGGGAGAAGTAAGGTATCTAATCTGACGCGAAGTTCGGTGAAGGTTTGACGAGTATAAGTAGATAAATGATAACGGAAACGGAGGAATTGACAGAATAAAATTACAGGTAAAAAGTTGAAGCTTTTTTTAAAGAAAAAGTCGTTAGATTCCTGTCTTCTCTATTTCCTACGCACCAAATTACTTACCGGAATAATCCAAATGTTAAACGAACTGCAATTACTGTTACCTCGGATTGAGCTACAAAACGCATTGCAACACCATAATATTGATCAGTCCATGCTTTGATTTGCTGCTGAGTTTTGGATTGCCAGGAGATTGTAGCGGGTGCATCTCCGCTAGTTGCAGTACGAGGAAAGACATTGGGAATAATATTGGTACGAATATAACCAAGAGCATGGAAAGCAGAGAATGTAAAGAAAGGAATCAAAGTAACTACAGAAATTTAAATCGTTCAGATTCTCTTTCCTTTACTCTCTCACATAATTGTCACTTACCAGTAATAGGACTTGAACAGAACCAGAAGAAAGCAAGTAATAAATATTGCGCATTCTCATCCATAACTAACTTACGGGCATATACAGCATTAGGTTGAGGTTTCTAAAAGGGAATTATGCATTTCAGTCAATGAGGTCATCCTTTGCTATAAAGAAAGAAAACTTACACCGTGAGATTTGTAGATGACCACACCATAAGACAATAAGGCACCAAAGTAGGCAGCTTTATAGAATAATGCGTTTGAACGGAACAAAGCAACGGTAATGACATACGCCAAAGTACCGAAAAGTGTGAATGCATGACCAACAAACCATGCGAATTGAAGTGTCTATTTTATCAACTTAATACTTTTGTTTGTTTGTGCGTATTTTATTAAAGCACGAAATTTTTACCTTTACAAGCGCGGTGACGCGAACTGATAGTGGAGTGGAGGCTGTAGGAGGTGCCATTTATTATTTTTTTTTAAAGAAAAGAAGAGCGATGAGATAATAAAGTTACGGGAAAGTTTATAGGACCACTAAAAACTTTTAGAAAAAAAAAAAACGTCACGCATCGATGCAAAATGATTGTGTAATGCACATTTTTAGACTCTTTTCGCTGAAAATAGGCAAGCATTATTGCTCCAAAAGGTATCGTAATAATGTCATAGTAAGGATCATCAAGGATTTTGGGGATTTCTCCCATGCCAAAAGAAGCAAATGTTTTATCACAAATATTAATTTTAAAGGCGTGATAAATAAACATTCAAAATATATCAATACAGGCAGGTAGCATAAAACTGGCGGGCAATCTTTTTTAAATACGGCGGAATGACATTTTTCCACTTCCCACCCTACTCATACAAGGTTTTCTGTCATTTTTCACAGTTAACATGACCGCATAAAGCAATGTCAAATGTGCAGAGAGTCGATCATTCATTTCCCAGTCATCTCTTGTCACGTCATTTTTATAAACCAAAGATTTTCTTAAGTCTCTTTGTTTGAAGGTTTAGTAAACCATACACGGAAACTCAGCGGAGATATAAATAGGCCATGCCTGCTTTAATAGATAAAAAGCTCAGTATCTAAGTAAGGACTACAACAATAGTATTAAAAATATCTGACAGCTTCTTATAAATATGCATGATTACTACGCAGAGAACATCTCCTTATATACGCGAATAAAAAAAGAATGACGTCAGAGTTTTCCTTTGGCTTTTTCATGCGGAATGACCTTACTTGGTAAAGAGATGGGACCGAACAGTCTTGAAACCGCGGCTATAGAAACATTTCTAAGTTTCCTTGTAATTTGCATGGTGTTGAGCTAGCCGTAGTACAAATTTCGCGTTAGTATGAACATAAACAGATATGATAGAGAAAAAGTTATATCACTTACCAATTAATCAGATAACACCCACTGGACACTGGGGGAACAGCTCCAATAGGCTATACATCATGAAGTAATGCTTTAAAATGATAAAATAAACTGTAAGACTGACTTTTTGCATAGAACATATATAAAAATTATCATACCTGTGACAGTGTAGGACACTGTTGGTAACGGAAACCAAATTCTAGACTGCCTTCTTCCTCCGATAGATAAATGTTGTATTGGTACCAACCCCGGCATCAGTAAAAACCTTTTGCCTCCATTAAAAAAAAACCTTAGATGAGGAAAAAATTGGGCAGTACAAAAGGAAAAGATAACCAAAGGTCAGCACAATCAGCTCAAAAGTAAACAACGACATTTTGATATGTATTTTGTCTACAAAATTAAATAAAATAGAAGTATCATTTATACTTGCTTATTTTTACGATACTTCCGTCCTCTTTTTTCCTTTCTTTTGGTGAACAAAGGAATAAAGAAAGAAAAAGTCGAAAAAGCCCTTTTATAAGTTAAAAAATAATAATATATCAAATCAAATGTTGTTAGAGACGTCATTTTTGTATAATATGGGGTTTCGACGACAAATTGAGAATAATAATTTCTTTACCTTATGATGATGGGAACCAGGTTTATGAATTTTATTTGATGTGTATGTTTTACATGGCTCTAAAAGAGTTGTTTGTGGATGTATTACTATCAGGATTAATTTCAGGTTTTAGGTTTTAGGTTATATTTAATTTTTGTCTGTAGAAAAATCTGTCTTAAGCTTCCAGGTTCTTACCAATGGTATCATATAATTGTAGGTTAAAGTAAACATGAGACTGTGAATTTGACTGAAAATCGAAATATCTTACAGATTAAGTGGGTGATTTTCGGCTTGAAATAAAGAAGCTGTCTGAGAATCGAAAACTCTTACAAATTATGTGAGAGATTGACCGGGAGTAGGTGGCATATGTAAAGTTTTTATTGGACATTTAAGTTTATTTGGGGACCAAAGGCTCAACCAAAAGACCTAAAAATTAGATGGCGTTTGTTCTAACGCGAGAATAAATGTAGTCATCAGCTTCAGAAACCGGTTTAGAAGCTCCATGGTTGCTTTGCCCATCAAAAATCTGTAGCCTGTTCCCCTCTTGTTTTTTTATTTTTGAAGTGTCATATTTTTATGGATATATAAAGAGATATTCTATATTGAAAAAAAAAAAAAAAGAACCCGATATATTAAGCCAAAGTAAATACTCTTGAAATGTAGTAAAGAACACTGTATGGCATCGAAACTGCGAGAACTGATTCTGCTGGTAGAAGTGGTTATGTTGTTTCTTCTTTCTCGACTTCTGGTGTAAGTTATGATGTTGTGGTAGACGATCTACAAATGATCACTTGCAGCTGATCTGACTTCCGCTTTAACAATATCGCATGCAAACACATGTATTTATTGAAGTGTGATATGTCTTGGTTGTCTGTATTTGAAGGTAAACATAAATACTATTAAAATCTTTACGGCTTGAGAGCCATCAAAACTAATAAAAAGTGGGTGAGTGCACACGGAGACTGACTTCCTCGCAGTTGCACTTGGGCAGTTTTCTTTACTGAAACTGGCTAGCGAGTCTTCATTTTTTTTATAGTAATAAAAACCACATTTTCTTTTTTTAATCTTTTATGTTTGTTTTATTGTAAATGTCTCGTATTTCGTATGGAGAAGTGGATGGTTTACCCATATTAATCGCATCAGAGTTTAATGGTGTCTTGCTTTATTATTATGTATTGGTTGGTTAGGAATCATCGCCATCACAATTTTAATGGATGCGGTTGATGCGATTAATCTGAGGGTATACATGCCTGGCCGCCCTGGAGATAATTGTATCTTTAATTATTCAAGCCAAAGTATGTTTCCCCTTTATGTTGGCTGGCGCCTAATAACATGTCCATGCCCGAAATAAAATAAAATAAAAAAGACTGCTGAACGGAGCGAATGATCTATGATCATTAAATATAAGCATTAAGAAAGCTTTTCTGACTAGACATGATAATTTTACTAACAAACACACTATTTTTGCCCTAAAGAAAAATGGGAAATACCATTATAAAGAATGTTACACAACACCATTTATTCATGCATCGAGTACCACAGCAGTTAAAACTTGTCCATTTTATTATCAAGCAATTTGTTTTTTTTTCTAATAAAAAAATATGTACTTTGATACTTCTTTGTCATGTTTTAGTATTTTATGAAGAAGAAAAAGAGACCAAAAAAGGGCTCGACCTTTTTTTAATGTCGTGATGTTTAAAAGAAAATGCAAGCTAAAAACGAGTGAACAAGTTTCAATTTTAAACAAGTTCTAGTTTGTGTCATGATGATATGATTGTTTAACCATGTAGATTTAAGGAATACCTACACCACTTTACCAACATTGATAGATTAACGTTTCAGATTGCACGTAACTCACGCGGCACTTACAAATGGTTTGTCAATGATTTAACAATATATGCTCAGAGTGAAAAAAATTTAGCATGAAACAATAGTAATCAGAAAATAGATGGACAAGTAAATACTACGAGTATCTGGGTTTATCAGTGTGAGCAATGACAATCTTTAGAAGATCTTTTCTGTTATTAATTTTTCACCTCTACCTGACTTAGAATACTGTACTATTGTTTCCAAACATATTCCGCCTAAATATGATGACCATTAGTCTAGATCATCGATCCCAGGTACAGAGCGTATAGTCACGATGAACTATCAGGATATGAACACGACGTAATTGCTAGCCAGCGGTAGACTGCTTCAATAGGCACACAAAAACCTTTGACCAATCGAGATCAATCTGTTTTAATTGTCAAAGTTAATTAAGCCACGGTGTTTTATTTTGTGTGTGCAACATCTCAATAAACCCGATGTGTTCGTTCATCGCATGAAAAGTTTCCAAACTACCAGTTCATTTAGCCAGATCAAGGCATCGGAACGTATTCATCATGACCGTAAATAATGATAACCTACTTTCTACGATACTGGTTTCAAGCCAATAAAATCAAAAATACAAAGTTTGGGTTTCATAGCGATTTTTTTATAACGTTATAGTTATGAGCGGTACCTGAGTGGTACCTGAGCCGAATCGGAACGTTCAAACAGAGCATCTCCAAGGATACTCATATTCCTGATGATGAAGTAGGTGAAAGAGGATAAGAAACTTTCCTGAAACTCAAAAATAAACGTCCAAAGTCAAAAATAATTGTAAACGAAGCCAATTTGCTGATAATCCGATTCAAAAAAACAAGAATATCTGATGCTAGCAAAAAAGTTCCTATTGATATTCTTCAGAATATCATTTTATTCTACAATTTTTTTTTTAGACCCAAAGCTTGCTGATGAATTCAGTGATTCCAATATCATTGGTGTTGAATTGGTAACAACCAACAAGAACACCAGTGGTGGCGGCCCATAAAGCTCCGGTCATCACCTTGTTAACAATAACACCGTTGCGAGGATTGAAATAATCTGAAAATAAAATATAATTACTATTTACCCCGCATTTTCGAAATATTTTCTGTGCTTACCAGTGATACAAGCATCAAAACCTATAATTTTTTTTTTAAAAAAAAAAGTTATTAGAATCCCACACTTGATATAATATCAATTGCATTTACCGATGTGAAGATGAAGAGGGAGGACAACACCCAAAAGGGTATCGGTGATAGGTGAGGCACCGAAAGCAAGTTGTGAAGTGATGATAGGAACTAAAGCAAGAGAAGCAGCACGCTCGATATCCCAATGGTAAGAACCATGGAGACGGTCAGGCTTGTGGGTGGCAACTGCATTCGACTGAGAAACAGCTACACATAAAAAGTCAATATGCTTTTTTTTACAGGTACGGATTCTCAAACTTACAAGAATGAATTTTAACAAGACCCATGGGCTGTTGACGCATCATGAGACGAGCAGTGGTGCGAAGAGCAGGAGTAGCAGCAAGACGGAGAGCCATTGTTTATAGAAAGAGTGGGGATGGTATGACTGTAAGTAGAGATGAACAAGTAAAAAAAAAAAAAAGAAAAAAAAAAATCAACCCTTGATCAATTCTTCCTTCCGCCTTTCGGGAGTATCCGCTAATCATTGTTTGATGACGCAGAGGAAAACTTCTCCACATTAAGCTGGATTTTAATATGCACCCGAGTTTGTTTTATTTTTGCGCTGCTTTCATGAGGACAGGGTGAGGTTTTAGCCTTGGTGTACGTTAATCTTACACTCAAGATCACTGTTACCAAAAGTCAAAGCCTTCGTAAAACCGTCTAAAACATTGTTTCTTGTGAACAATTTGTTATTTAGAAAGCATTTGAATGTGGAATAACTGCCTTGTTTTTAAATTACATTTTTGAGATTCGTTTTCTTTGCTCCTATACATCGAAGACAAAAGCTGTTTGCGTTTTAAATTAAAAATAAACTCGCATAAAAGATACCGCTATACATATATGGACTTTGTATGTTCATATGATTTTACAATACATACCCACATCTTTTTATTTTAAACGAATGAAGGGCACACGGAATACTAGAAGAAGTAAACCATGTGTGTAACGTGGGTTTCTATTGAGGACAGGAACATCTATGCCATCAGGGAGTATTATCCTCTCATATGTCTTAAATTCATAAGTAAACAATTGAAATATGTAGCATCTTTACAAATTTATCTGAAGAACTACGCGGTGAAATGAGAGGCTAAAGAGAGAGAGTGATAACGGCATCAAAGATGAAAATGACGAGTGAAATGATAATGAATACGACAGCCGGTAATCCTCTTTTTCTCTTGAGCATAATCTTTGGATAGGGTTTGTTTCAACAATTACAGAATGTGCATGTTTTTAAACTATTACATAATTGAATGATCCTTAAATCATTGTATATATGGTAAGCGAAATAAGAATTTTTGTCTGGATAGTTTGTCTCAGTGATCGTCATAAACCCCACATGGTTTCCCGCACACGGTCAACTAAGAGCCAATCAGATGAGTTTCAAGACAAACGCATCGGAGTTGTATTCTAGGCCTAATAACCCTGTCGCTGCTACACTGTGGTTGAAGGGTTTGCAGGCCATTTCATGACTTTTATGCTCTCGAGGTCAGTGCACGGCATGAAAATAGAAATGATGGATACGTATATAAAAGGCCTGTATATATCCATGACCCTCAGCTACTGTTCTTTTGACAGCGCCACTTGGCTCAATGCATTGTGTTTCATCAGCTCAGTTGATAGTAAATATATGCCGATGCAACAAAAGGTATGATACTAACAAATACGTAATAATTGTAAAAAAAAAAATAGAGTGTTTGTTTGGAAACAATGGTAAAAAAATGAAGATAAAGTCAGTAACGTGATCTTAAACCAGTCCCAGGCACCCCCCACAAAAAAAAAAAAAAAAAAAAAAAAAAACTTAATTGTTTTTATTTTTTTTTATTTTTTTACTTTTTCTATACTAAAATACAATGAGTCTGTTATCATTCGTCACAAAAGGTGTATTACGTTCAAGTGTAAAAAGACCATTGTATACCCGCTTTGTAATTAACTCTTCTTTATACCTGTGAAATGCCCCGTTACTAATTTAAAGGAAACTAGATCTCCACAGAACATCATCAACATTTTCAAGAAGATTTACCCGAGGTAATAATTTACACAGTTGAGCAATAAAGGAACGTTTTGACTGACGAAATATTGTAGACACATGTGCTTCATAGAAAGTTATCAGGTGCCCGTATGTTTATTTTAAACCGACCAGAGAAATTAAACGCACTGAACTTGAACATGATAAGAAATATTGGACCTCAATTAAAAGCTTGGGATGTATCCAAATTAGCTAAAGTGATATTGATGAAAGGAGCTGGTCAAGGCAAATTTAGTGTGGGTGACGATATTCTGGATATCTTGATCAAGGCAAAGGAAAAGGATCCAGATGCATTGTATTTTTTTCAAGATAAGTTTGCTCTTGTCCAAATGATTGCTACTTTACAAACACCCTATGTCTCGGTATTAGATGGATATGCATGTAAGTTGATTAGCTCATAGTAAATGAAGAATGGTAGGCTGATTTTCAATTCAATCCAAGTGGGTGGTGCTCTGGGTTTGTTTGTACACGGTCCATTTAGAATCGCAACAGAAAAGACAATATTTGCTATACCAGAAATTGGACTAGGCGCCTTTTTAAATTCAGGTTCTAGCTTTTACTTGCCTCGTTTGGATGGTGAAATCGGTACCTATCTTGCCTTGACAGGTCAACGATTACAAGGCATCGATACATTGTAAGTATCATTATGCTCTGGATATTCTCAATTAGAACGGAGAAACTAAATCTTTTTATTTAGTTTCACAGGCATTGCTACTCATTACATTCCTTCTTCGAGATTAGCGGCTTTAGAAGATCGATTGATTGATCTTGAAACTTCGGAACATGAGATTATCCAACGAGTGTTAGAGAAATTTGTCGATAAGAAGCCAGTATCCAAAATTGGATTCCCGGCTGATATACGACAAGCTATCGACAGGTAAATAAGAAGATACAGAGAAAGGGATGGGGGAGAATTCAGATGTTAATATGTCAGGTAGATGCTTTAAATTTAATACAGTGGAAGAAATCGTCTCAGCTTTGGATAATGAGAAACCTTCAGCATGGAGCCGAGAAACTAAGCAACGTTTATTGTCAGTGTCACCCACAAGTTTGAAAGTGACGCTTAAATCATTAAGAAAGGGTAAAAGCATGTCACTGGTTGAATGCCTTGTGATGGAGTTTGATTTGATCCAGAAATTCTTGGTGACCAAAGATTTCCATGAAGGCGTTGAAGCTGCCTTTTTAGAGAAGCCTAGAAGAAAACCACAATGGCAACCACCTCAGTTAGCTGGTATTACCGAGGAGGATATTGATCAATTGTATTTCTTGGAACCTTCACCCAATACTCTCTCATTACCTTCAAAATTGGATTTGCGACAATATCCTTTTGCAAGATTTGGTCTGCCTACACAAGAAGAAGTCAGGCTGGCTGTGACAGGTGAAGGTGCTGAATTCCAAATGGAAGGCAGATTAAAAGAACAAGACGAGATCATATCCTGGTTTGAAAACGGCCACAAGAATAAATGGGGTGTCAAGGAAAAAGTCATGGATATATTGGATCGTAAAGCTGTAGCTACGGTGGAAGAAGGTCTTGTCTGGAAGAAATAAGTCACACTTTTTTCATGTTATTCGATTTTTTAATTTTTTTTTTTTTTTTTTTTTTTTTTTTTTTTTTTTTTTTTTTTTTTGCTTTGTTGTTGTTGTTACAACACTTGTAAATAAAAGAAAAAAGAAGGTCATGTCAACACATTACGAAGTGCTTCAAGTAAGCGAATCAGCTTCACAAGACATGATTAAACAACGTTTCCAGCAATTGATTTTAAAAGTACCTTTTTTTTCCCCTGTATAAATTCAGTCTTCACTAAAAAAAAAAAACTCAAAACTAGCATCATCCTGATAAAAATACACAACAAACTAATCAGGACCAATCACATGCTATTTTAAAAGCTTGGGAAGTTCTGAGAGATACCACACGTCGTAGAGCCTACGATATCGAACTTGAATGTAATCTTGCCTTTCTTTTTCGTGTCAAAGCTCTTTTTTTAATCCATTTATTTAGGCCAAAGAAATAAACAGGACATGGCGATTGGAGCAGAAGTAGATTTAGACGACATGGAGTACAATGAAGCGCAACAGTCTTTCTCATTGGTATGTCGTTGTTCGGGTGATTACGTAATCACAGAGGATGAATTAGAAGTTGGGATTGATGTGGTTGGCTGTAATAATTGCTCCCTTCGTATACGTGTACTGTATGATGTTGTAGAAGAGTAATAAAATTTAGAGATCACCTGTAAACACACGTCATTGCGATATGCATTTCTTATCACGTATTGTCAAGCAGAGTTTGATGCTGTAATTAAAGAGACATTGACAGCTGTTTCGTTGTTGTAAACTCCTTGTCCGCAGAATAGGTAAGGGGGGACAATCTGGCAGGTTTTCCTTTTATAGAACGATTAGGGTGCGGGGGGAGGAATAAGGGTTGCTTTTTTTTTTCTTCTTTATCATGTTTTCAACCATTCGACAATTGATTTTGCAGCGTACATTTGCAACGAAACCACCCATCGGTAGGAAGAAAATTGTACTTAATGATGAAGATTTAATCGAGACCTTTGTCAAGGGATCGGGGCCTGGAGGACAATGTATTAATAAACGATCGAGTTGCGTTGATTTACGACACATTCCTACAGGCATTCGAGTACAGGTAATATTACACTGGATTAAAAAGATTGCGAAATGGAAAAACTGATTTGCTCTTCTGTAGTGTCAACAATCAAGATCTTTGGCGGATAATCGTGGGATCGCTCGAAAATTGTTGCGAGAAAAGTTGGATGAATTAGAAAATGGATCGTTGAGTAAGAATGGTCAAAAGGCAGCCAAGATTGCGAAGCAAAAGGCCAGAAGAGCCAAACGGGCCAAAGAGAAATATGCGCCCAAAGACACCGCAGATGCAGAGTCAGCGGCAGCAGCAGCGGCAGCAGCAGCAGCCGAATAAATATAATACGAAGGGGGCAGTGTCAGAAAGACGGAACAGCAATACGAAAAGGTCAAGTACATACGCATCATGTATAAAGTCATATTTTTAACGGTAACATATAAATTTGGTTAAAAGAAAAAATAAACCCCTTTGTGTGTCTCCTTTTTCATCATAATGATATTAACGCAAAAGCCTGTTTACAATGGGAGTATGTCTGTTCAAGTGTGAATAATAGATTTGAAAGGGGAGTTGCAATATAAAAAACTTCTTTTACTAAATTATGCAGTGTAAATAATGGGAAGGTGCACGGGCTGAAACTAGTCCTCTTGGCCTTTTTGCTATCATTGTTGCTCCCTTGGCTCTCCTATTTAAATCTTCTTTTGCTATTAGGTCTGTAAGCTAAAAATAAGAAACGGTTGTCAACTAAAGTCATTAAGCTAAGCCTTAACGGATATATTTGCTTAGCTTCTCGTAAGATACGCTTGTGGTGCTCTCTATTGCTTAGTTTACACTATCGATCGATTAGATACAGTCAAAGAGAGGGGGATGTTTATAACCTGTTGACTAACAAATCCGATGAATGCAGGTATTATGTGCATTTTCATTGACAGTTAAATAAATGAATGCCGCGCGGTGTTATAAAAATAATCTTTTTTTGCGTGCACCTCTCACCCCTCAAAACTTCTGTAGGAAGGAGATGACTTAAACTTTTGGTAATTTTTGATTTACGTTGAACGCAGGGAGCTCAAGAAATAAAAAGGGAGACTAAATTGCCAATGAAATTTAGAAACTGCACTCTCTCTCTCTCTCTCTCTTTTCTTTTATACAAACTAAAAATGACTTCCCATATACACAGAAAAAAACCTCAGGCCAAAAACAACACTTGGTCTTGTTCTTCTTCCTCATATTATTTAAATACATTGAGTCAACAGCCAAATTTTACAATGACAAGTACACCAATTGAAGAAAGAATTGATTCATATGAGAATAAATATCAAACATGTATGCAATCTCGTACGTTATTATCCGATTGGATCAAAACAAACAAGGAAAAAGGCTTGCCAGAGCCGTTAACGGAAGGTAAAAATAAATATAAAAATGACACACTAGCTTTGTGAGGCACATCCAGTTCTAAACAGTTATTACTTGATATAGGTTATTCCCCTCCTTCAAGATCTCGATTACCAGACTTTCTGTTTTCTTCACTGTCAGCACGTTCCAAACGTAAATGTGAACAACCCACTGCCATTTCTTCTATCAGCACTTTCCTTAAAAAAGCAACCAACTACAAAACTACAACTCCACCTAATCATCGTTTCTCTCTTACCTCCTCTCTCAATCGATTCTCCTTGCAAAAGAATAACATCAACAGTGATGATGATAAGAAGGGTTATTTAGCCGAGATGATGATTTCAGCCTCGGATGTGACGCATAATAAAAAGCCTAGACCGCAATCCTCCATATTACCACACTCGCCATCGTCAGTGTTCCTGGATAGATTAAGATCGAGAACGCCGAGTCAAGACGGAGGAGATAATAAATTATGTCATAGTATTCTTCAACCCAACACGCCCAAATTTGCTGGGATTAGTACACACGGTGCTGAATTTAATCTTGATGATAATATCACACCTCCTTCATCTCCTTCCTCTACAGAATCCTCTCACTCTCCTCCTCTTATCAGCCATTTTAGTTATTCAAGACAAGGTGGCAAATCTGTAACACAAGAGAAAAAGAAGAAGCGTGCATCTCTTTTAATCACCCCTTCTTTGTCTACTATACGTCTTTTACCCCAAAAATCACATTTCTTAAAGCGTCAAAGCATGCTGGCCTAAAGAAATATCTTGTAATCTTTTGTTATTTTTATACATATATACATACATGTTTCTTTTTTCTTTTATATATATACAAGGCCTCTTCTTTTTGTTTTTAATAAACTAAGAACCCCTCCAAACAAAACTATTCAACCACCACTCCTTTCACCCCCCCCCTTAAACTCCTTATTGTGTATTGATACTCTTTTCTCATCGTCATTATATGGGGTAAGTAAAAAAAAAAACATAATTACACCAGCACGCGCATGAATTTTGGTGATAGTTTGGTCACCATGGAAGCACCATGTAATGTTTTGTTTAATAAACCAGTTTCTGTGCATCCTTTATGAGAAGATCTGGAAAACTATAATATAAACAAGATTTGGAGGACCCCATCAATCCCCTAGTTTCGTGTACATGATACAGTCTTTTGCAATACAGTTTCTCTGTTTAAATTACTAGTCACATACAGCACAGACCAGGAAACTGGGTTTTGGTGTTCGCATGGCTTATTCATGTTCCAAGTGCCACTGGGCGGTTACACTTACACAGTAAAACAAAAATTGTCGCAGCTTTATTTAATTAATATAGTTAATTTTAATAAACTGGACTATTAGACTTATTAAATTTGTAATAGAGTCAACTAGGGAACGTTCAAATTAAAAAGAAATAAACGTTAAAAATATATATATATATCTGTCTTACCATATAGGAGTTTCTTTTTGTGTGTGTGTGTGTGTGTGTGTGTGTGTGTGTGTGCGTGTGTGTGTGCGTGTCTCTTTTTTAAAATAGGTCCCTATTCCACCCCTGGCTAGTATCGAACCTTTTTCATGCTGCCATTTCACCGAGAGATTGGCGCAGTGGTTTTCATTTTACAGTTAAACAATAAAGGGCTTTGAATAGGCGTAGGTAAGTTTGCATCGCGTTATCAAATACTTACCGCGTTTTTTTTTATCTTATGATCCTTTAACAGACATATTCATCAAAAAAGTCCAAAAAGAGGGGCGAAGGGGGAGCGTGGTTATTGCTTCAAGAAGTTTATCTTTCTTTTTTTAAAAAAAAAATCACCTGCACTTTGATCAAATATTTACGGGGTGTGTGTGTAACTCATGATGTTTGTATTGCTATTTAAAGGTGCCACTTGAGTTTGTTTTTTGGCGACTAAGCCAGCAATTTGAGTTGTTTAAATCAAAACGATACCATTTAGTCACACATTCGCCTTTCTTTTTGAAATATTTCTCTTTCTCTTTTTCTCAACCTCTTTTTAAAAGAAAATTTTACATATACCAAGAGGCACTCTTATATATATGAAATCTTGAGAAAACCCACTGAAAAAAAAAAAACCGTTAAAAAAAATAAAAATTTAAAAAAAAAAGCCCGCTATTTTTTCTAGCATTCAAAAGTTTAGCATATCCAACACAATGGATACTTTTTCCAGCCAATCATCTGATCACTCTCAGCCTCACATTCACTGTTGCAGCACACAACTATTATTTGACAAAGTTACAAAATCTCTTGTAGGCGTCGACGATTGGATTGCGCAAGAACTGGAACGAATCAGTCACAACACATATCCACGTAACTGCAATAACTACGAAGCATTACTATATGTAATTGAAGGTCATTATCAAACCGAGAGCTACAGTTACCCAGTCAATGATGAATCATCTATGACTAAACTAAATGATGACACTAATAAACGGGGGAATAGCCAACTGACCCAGAAGAATTTGATTTTGGCTTTTTCAGAACTTATTCAGTATTGCCAACAAGAATCTCCTCAATTCTATTTATTCCAACACCGTCAACCTCTCGAGCTCTTAATGGAGCTTGAAAAAATGTGTGATATGAATGCAGATATTCAGACTTCGCAAAGAAGATTATCGTGTATCCTATTTGGCCAAAATATACCCATTATCAATAAATTAGTAAGCGCCTGGACAATCATCTGCCTATGGGCTCGGCAAGATATCGTGTCCATACCACAACAAGAAAAATGGAACATTTTTGGTGTCTATTCTTATCAAATTGCTAAAAAGGCCTGTGGTATACAATCCAAACAATAAAATTTCTACCATATATTGCATAAAACCTAGTGTAACATTTCATCTTATTATAAAAAAAAAAGCTTTGGGTCGCTCCACCCTCATTACATTGCTTACAAAATAACATTACCATTTATGTAAACAAATATTGTAAAAAAAGAGATTATCTTTGATTTGTAGGCAGTGTTTCATATACCCCCATCCCATTTACCCTGCCTGTTGCTGTTGTTGTTGTGTCATCTTTGCTCAAGGGCGCAGTCTAAATATGAACGCCTTTTTGCATATAACCTTAAACCAAGTATTTATAACCTTCGTCTCCATATTCCGCGTGAGTTGAGATCAGGGATGTAAAGACCCTATACTTGCATACGATACGTCTTTTAGGAGGCTTTCCTTTTTTTTAATTGTCAAATATTTACGCAGGGCTATGATTTTCGTTTATACGTAAATATTCATTTTTCATTTAAGTCCGCATGCAAGGGATCTGATACTTATTTTTCGCAAGTACCACTGATTGGAATCCTCACAAAAAACGTATGGTGTTTTCTATGTTACAACAGGGTTATCATTGTCAGACTTCACACTGAATACAACGCTTTTTTTGGGTAAATGATGTTCCGATGATGACATGATCGTCCAGACCGTGACAATATTTGCTTTAAAATCTACCATAAACATAAATTTGATTCTTACAACATAAATGGTTAGATTGAATATTGTTACATAAGAGTATACACATTATATGATGCCTTTATAACATTGTTTCAAGTGTATATGCGTAAAAAAAAATCAGGGACATAGAAATCTGGCCTAAACTTGGTAAAAATATTTGAGTCTATTATAACACTCTGAGAAAAGAGAGACTTTATGCAGAATGGTGCCATTAACGTTATTTCTTTATCCAAATAAATGCTCAATTATGTTTCAAAATGGAAAGGAATAACTCAGTAAGTATTCATAAGCTGGTAGATTGGTTTCTAAGAGCAGGATTTAAGAATAACACAACCCTAGTATCAGAAAGAAAAAAAAGTTAAGACTTTTGACAACAAATATATTGAAAAAACAAAGGTTCCGTCATTATAACATAAAGATTTCCTTGATCAACTAGCCATATTTTCCTAAATATTCTACGGTGCTAAGTCCTTACAACGTTTAACTCAATATCTTTTCGACGAAGTTTGTTGCGATCAATACATATTGACTTTTAAAACAATATTGAATTTTGTTTTGAATGTGGTATTACCGAACATATAATATCTCAGGAACGGTATTAAAGGCAGTAATTAGTGCCTAATACCTAATACAACAGATATATCGAGAAAATGCATTAAAACAGTATCAGTCGAGGTAAAGTTAGAAAACTTTTATACAGGTCCAGAGATCACCATGGTATTGCAACGTACGACTTTAATTCCACTTCTTATGTTACACATGTATGACCGTGATTAAAAGTTCGCTCATCATGACACATTGGACATAAAAAAGACGTTCGGTTTCCCGTACATTCGTAGCCGAAGAATGTCAGCAGTCACCAGTGTGTTACAGTGTGGACGAACAATAGCAATGTGCCATCAACTTTTTTAACATTTGATGGATCTGTTTGTTGAACATGGTGTTAATGTCATGAGACATAAGGAACAAAAATATGCTGAAATTGAGCCCAAAAAAAAATTTTTTTTTACCCCATTTTTTTGTGCAATTTGTTCGTGTAAGTTAATTATTCGCTGTATCAAGTTGATTTTCAGAACGCGAGGTAGATTAGGCTTCATGATTGGACACACCCCCAAGCAAGTGATTCCACACACTACATATTTCACATGCTAGGCACGGATGACGTCGTAGATTTTGGATATACAAAAAGGGCTTTTTCCGAAAAAGCGTCATTTTAATATTTTTCTTGTTTTTTAGTAAATAGACATACAATGGGTAAATAAAGCAAAAAAAAAAAAAAAAAAAGTTGTATAATACACATTTTTGCTTAATAATAATTATGATAGATCCTATGCCAACACCTAGCTCAAGCAGTGGACTTTTACCTCCGGCCAAGAGAACCAAAACTTCTACTACCACCTACAAGAGTTTAACAGCCAATTCACCTTTACTTCCAGTTGGTTTAGACATTTCAGGGTATGATTTCAAAGTGAATGAGGTATATAAAAATAGAAGAAAAAAAATTGTAGAAAGAGACGTTTACACATCGGCTATAGCCTCCTACCGATCGCCCAGTTCGTATCTATTGTGATGGTATTTATGACTTATTTCATTTTGGACACGCCAAAGCATTAGAACAAGCAAAGAAATCGTTCCCGGAAGTTTATCTGCTTGTAGGAGTATGTAGTGATGAGGAAACACATAAACGTAAAGGAAAGACAGTAATGACAGATACAGAACGATATGAAAGTGTACGTCATTGTAAATGGGTGGATGAAGTTGTAGAAGCAGCACCGTGGTTTGTAAATCAAGAGTTTCTTGATAAGTATCAAATTGATTATGTGGCTCATGATGCCGAACCTTACCAATCCTCGGAATCAGGTGATGTGTATGCTTTTGCAAAAGCACAAGGCAGATTCTTGCCTACACAACGTACAGGAGGCATATCAACATCAGATTTGATCACAAGGATTGTCCGTGATTATGATTCTTATCTTCGTCGAAATCTGGAGCGTGGTGTCAGTGCTAAAGAGCTCAATATTTCTTTCTTAAAGGAACGAGAAATCAAGACAAAAAAGCATATTGATGATCTAAAGAAACAAATCAAATCGGTTGTGATGGAACATTTGGGTACTTGGGAAGATCAGTCTCATAATTTCATTCGCGGATTTGCTGGTAGATTTGGTGCTGAAGATGTTGTGGTACGTTACTTTGGGTTTTTTTCCCTTTTTTTTATTTATTTATATATACTAACATTACACAGCAAAAATTCTTGAATAAGCGAAGATTGGTTACGGGTGACAAAAGATCACGTAGTTCCAGTAGTCAAGATGATTCGGATTCTTCCTCTATGAGTGCTCACTCCAATGAAACACCTATTTAAAACTTAATACCCCTTTTCCCCCTTTTCCCTATTTTTGCTTTTTATTTTTGCATACAACATAAAGATCTGGTCTCGAAGATGCATCACTGCCCGTTGTTTCTACTTTCTCCAATTTTAATAAACTAAAAAAAACCAAAATTTTACATGTAAAATAAGCATAAAGGATTGAATACTAAGTGCCATTCTTCGAGACGAAGTAATTGATTTCTAATCAACTTTTGTATGATAATATCTACCGTACTAATGCTTACGTACATATGAATCCACAATTATCTTAAAGAACTGTCCACGTTTGGTTTAAGGAACCTATTTCGTTTATTAACATAATTATAAAAGCTCTTTATTTGTGTCTCATCAATTTATTGACAACAAGCCAGAGTGAAGCTTATGAGCTTATCAAAGACCAATTAGGATTTCGTCCAATTAGCAGAAGGGTTAAATTGGTCGATCATCCGCCAATGCTTGTACCATTCGTCTTCCAATGCCCTATGATACTTTAGAATGAGTGCAGATATATATATATATACATATATCCTACTTTTGGAATCTTTCCATGATATCAGTAGTAAGTAAACAGTGGGTCATATAAATCCGAGTAGTAATTTGGCTTACATATGATTGTATAGCCACACTCGATTACATGGTGTTTTTAAAGTTACAATATAGATGTGTTTGTTAAAATACAGAAAAGATAGCCATATCTTACCGTATTCGGATTAAGCTGGTGGAGGTGTGATGGATTGGTTAAAATGGGAACATACTGCTTACCTTTAATTGTCGTTTTATCACAAGTTCTACATACCACGAAACCCTACGATAGCCACGGTAGCCCCCCCCCCCACCAGCCCTACTTATAGATCTTATGATCTTATGGAATTTGTTAAAAAATGAAGAAGCTGTTGATAAGTAGCCTTTTCATAAAACTTGGTATTTTGATGGTATAGTTATGAATAAGATAAAAAAAAAATTGAGTGCAAGTGAATTACATGATAAAACGATAAACGACGACTGATTTATGTCAGGATGAGGTAATTGATAATTAGAATAAAGGAATAGTCGTGACTTAGAAAACCGGTATTTCATGTAATTGTTGTAGACGAGTGCTGACTGCAAAAAGGAATGGTCTTATGCTACCCGCCATAGCGCTATGGAGAACGAACTCAAGGCTGATGATATTGGTCCTTCCAAGGTTACTCATATGGATCGTGGTGGTATTTGTGATAAAGTGGAAATATAAAAGATAAAAATAAACAAGTAAAGAAATGAGACTTTTTAACTCTATATTCTGTGGTATCAAAAGTTGTGTAGGCGCAACCTTGTCGTTTTTTTTATGACCTGTTTTATCAGTATTACATCAAAAAGAAAGAGGGTCTACGTGATTTAAGATGTTTACATAATTTTTTATTTTATTTTTGTCGGTAAAGGGAGTTGTACGTTTCAAGGACAGGGGAAAGCGAAAGGCACCCTTCTGTTTTCGTTTTCCAGCTGTTCAGCATAAAGATCTCTTGCCACTTGCTTAAAGAATTACAATATTTCTTTAATCCAAGGTCTTTCAGCGTTTATTGTACATCCACAGGAATAGAGTTATTCATTTATCAAGTAATTTGGGCTATACCGTTTCTAAGAACCAGCTGAAAGTCATAATTAATGAAAGAAAATTGTCCCCAAAAGAACAGCCTAATCTTACCCCGAAGTCTAAGGTTTTAGGGCACATCGTCAAAGGTGTCAGAGTAATACAATAATTTCGATTAAATATAAGATAATCTTTTATTCAATGTATAAATTTCTCTGGTATTTGTATCATTTGATAATCTTTAGTTATGAATTTTCCGTATTATATAGTTGAGACATTAGCATAATGACTGGATAGGTATGACAGATGAGATCTTGATCTGATAGCTAGACGGATATATGATAGTTGAGACCTTGAAGTAATGGTTGAACAGGTATGTGATACACCAATAAGAAAAGGCAACTGCTAATATTTTGATACTGGTTTGCTTTTATAGAACAAGGACATTCGCATCTTTTATGAAACTCTTTGAACGAGCATATAACTAAGCAGATGATGAAAAAACCACGGACATTTACAAATTCTTAGTTTCTATCAAACATTGTATAAAATAAAACTGATGATAGCATGCTCTTTTTTAAATTAATCTTATTAGAATCTGTAATCCTTACATTTGCTGAAATGCTTATGCACGTAGCATTGTTTCAGTTGGGTAGGCAGTAATAGCCCATATTTGCTACCTTTTACTGACTTTTGGGTGTTAATTTCGACTAAAATGGACAATCTGGTTCTTGCTTCAGTTTCAGAATTAATTTGCCTTGACATTATATGTTATTATCATGCCTGGATTTTTTTCACGTTCATGAAGTAGGTTATTTCCAAAGCTCCAATCAATAAAGTCGGTAGCTTTGAAAAAAAAGCAGACCTCTAAACCGCTTTCAGTTTTGATTCTAATAGACGTCAGGTCTAAGAATATCTTTTTAAACCAAACGTTTATGGCTAACGCTCGCGATGTTTCTCCTGGTCTCCCTCAGGTTGCTGTTCTCCTTGATCAAGAAAAGGCGTATGATAGGGCTCATCCGGACTATCTCCGCGAGGTGATTCTTCGCTTTGATTTTTCTCTTGGCGCTGGTGAATTGCTTACACAACCAGGTGTAAAGAAATTTTAAGACAAAAAAAAATTATATTCACGTACGACATGAAGCGTATATATGTATTAGTAAAAAAAAGGCACGCGAAGATTTCATGTTGTGTGCGTAAAGCTCACATGGTTACACACGCATTACCGAATGAAAGCCTCATAAATAAGACTGCTAACGTCATTTGCATTGATTCAGCATTTTCAATTGCCTCTTCTTTCAAATCACGGGCATATATGATTTATGATTGTCCTTGGATTTATATACAATCAGGTTTTGCTTTAGTTTTTTTTTTCTAGACCTTCATGTCATTGAGTTCTAGTTTGATCGATAGGTCTACATGTAGCAAGTGTATTGAATATTAACTTTGTTTTGAGGCAGTTTTTCTTTCCTGTATTACGACAAGCATATACAAACTAAATAGTCGAAACTATCGACTCAGTAGCAGAATCTCTTTTTGTAGAATACATGGTGGTGTAAGGTTTTGGGTTTACAAGCGCATTTAATAATTTTCGTTTGAGTGCACTTATAAAGAAGGAAAAGAAAATTGCCTAAGCTGGGGACAAAATGGTCCGATGAATTTTTAGATAACGTGTTAGATTAGAGTAAGTTAATTGTAGAGGTGTTGTCTAGCTGCGTGACACAAAATTGTATGTGATTTTGGAGTAAGGTGATTGAGAGATGTACAGTGTCAAATTCAGGGGAAAAACAGGGAAATGGTGTATGGCTAATTGAAGTTCCGTCACTTAGTAGCTTGCCATAGGTACGGATCAATTCATTTATTTACCAATTGTAATAGTTTTGTCCTACACAACGTGGCAATAACCTTTTAACGAAAATTACAATGATTAATTAAACACTTTATGTATTACTTCTCCACAAAATGATGTGCAACTTACTTTTAAAGTAATTCCTTGAGACAACATACTAAGAGAGAGAGAGAGGAGAATTTCTATTTATACCTCACGAAAAAAAAAACAAAAAAAAACAAAGAGGGGACAAACTTGTCAGAACAGTAGCACATCTCCATATAAGGTAACAAGTGCAATCTCCCTTACTTTTTTCACCTCATATAAATGATGCGAAATTTTTTTTTTTATTTTTTTTTTCTTTTTTTTTTTTTTTTATAAATTTCATAACTTTCTTTTATAAGCACCAAATACGTCATTTCCTTTCACTAAGCCCATCATCCTTTTACTCTTTTTATTTTTGCATACTATTGGACTAGATGGATATTCGTAACTTATTAAACGAACCATTAGTAAATGAAAAGCCTTTTGGCTGTAATTGGTCAGAGTGTTCAAAAGCCTTCTCACGCCGTTCAGACCTTTCCCGACACATCCGAATTCATACAGGTGAAAGACCCTATCACTGTAAATGGCCTACATGTGGAAAGCAGTTTATTCAACGATCTGCGCTTACTGTTCATTATCGCACTCATACGGGAGAAAGACCTCATGTTTGTGAACATGAAGCTTGTGGAAAATCATTTAGCGATGTAAGTTTACTTGTGTGTGTGCGTCATAGACCCAAAAAAAAAAAAAAAAAAAAAAAAAAAAAAAAAAAAAAAAAAAAAAAAAACTCAATTTTACTCTTATAGTCTTCCTCTTTAGCTAGACATCGACGCACACATACTGGTAAAAGACCCTATGTTTGTTTATCTTTAGACTGCGGTAAATCCTTTACTCGTAAAACTACCTTGTCGAGACATCAACGCTGTCATGATCCGAAATGGAAGTCCTACAGGTAAAACTAAAAAGAAGTCATGCTGGATCGATTATTTATCTCTAATTATTTTGTTAGTATGATTAATAACTTAACTCCACCTAGCTCACCAACAAATACCACTAGTGAGTCGGAATCTGACTCTCCCTCCGATCTTTTTCAACAAAGACTATTAAACGAAGATTTTGTTACTTACAAACCAATCATGGAACCTTTACGCTCTGATTGTTATCGTGCCTTTGTTTAAACCTTTTCTCTTTATTTTTATATCTTTTTCATCTTTATTTTTTTTTTCTTTTTCTCATTATTTCCTGCGACACGATTTGCTGAGCGGATGAAACCATTTACCCTATGACACACTTTTCTTTCTTTCTTTATTGGTTGTTATGCTTTCTTTTTTTATGATTTCCTTCCCCTTTATTTTTTCTACCATTAAAAAAATATATATATATATATGTAAATGACGTGAATAGAGGCAAAAAGGGAGCATGCATTATTTTGACAGGAGAAGAAAACAACGGGGAGTTTATTATTATTTAAAAGGGGGGAAAAAGAGCTTAAGGAGCAACGCCACAGTAGATTAAAAGCAATTTGAAGGTGCACAGACGTTTACCGAGTTGATTTAGAGTCGTCTATTTTTGGATATCTCAAGGATATAGAATGATCTCCCTTTATTTACTTGTGCAAAGGAGATGAACTCCCGGGTCTTTATTATTTCATTGAGAGTCTCTCTCTCCCTTCTTAAGAGTGATCAATAAATAGCTACTCGCTTTATTGTTAAACAAGGGCTGTGCACGGAAAACAGGACTGATGGTCTATTTTTACTTGCTTGATTAAATTGAGGAGATTCCTTATAAAATACAGGGATACAAAGTCATCTCCTCGGAATACACACACACACACACACACATGTTGTGCTCTTTGGGGAGACTCTACATTTGCGTCATAAAGCTATAATATAGGCGGCCCGAGTTTATTATTTTAGCTCCCTTTCCTTCTTATTACTGCAAATTTATATTTTTAAAAAAATGTCACTCCTAAATAGTCTTAGTCTTTTGTAGATCATGCTACAGTTCCTGGATTTATTGTTTTATTCTGGTAATTTTGTAATGACAAGGAGAGAGAAAAAGTGCCTTACCATTGCACAAAGAAATAAATCACTAGACGCGCTGTATGCTGATTAACATCATATAATAACCCCCCCCCAATTAAAAACGTTGATTTATGCTCTTAAATTAAACGGGAGAAGCACTCCAATGCCTTGTCAAATTACGAGCAGTAATACTCTCAAAACATATTGCATCCACTTTAAAAGGTTTTTACTATCTTACGTCTTTATAACCTAGTGTCTTGTACCCATTGAGCTAAACTTTATCAAACATGTCAAAGCATGTATTAATCTGGTCATAGTTATGCGTGTCAAATCATATATTTCTCTCATTTAACGGCAATCATTATTTTATTTTATTCAAAAAAAACCGAGTAGTTATCCTAGAATTATAGCAATTCGTTTAAAACTGTATTGAGGTAATGTCATGGTATTTTCTCTTTTATTATCACTGTTTTGCAGTAGATTAAAAGAAGGTCAATCTCTCCCCTACTGTTCTTTTAATTTATTTTTTTCTATTGGACTCAATGGTTGCGATATAAACTTTTTGGATGTACATGCTGTTATGCTCATATGGGTGAGCTAATGACCGAGGCAAATGAATTAGCTAAATAAATTGAGCCAAATGAATTAAGCCAAATAAATTAGGGTGGTATAAATGTGTTTAAATTTGGTATCACCTTTTAGTTTTCTTTAATTAAAGCTTCCATGATTATATTGCTGGCTGTATATGACGTAGATAAAAAGTGTATAAGCTTACAAAGCCTAAAAATGTAAATCACAAATCATATGAATCTGTTTATAATAGAAGAGGATTTCAGACAGAGCCATTCTATTTCGCAGAGTATGTTTGACGATTTTTTTTTTTTTTTTTTTTTTTTTTTTTTTTTTTTTTTTTTTTTTTTTTTTTTTTTTTTGTTCTAAAGATTTAGTCGTATTGTCAAGTAAAAAGTGTAACCATAACATCAAAAATGTCTCCATGCGTATTATATATCCCCTGCTACTAGAAAAATGAGGAGCATCATCCGAAAATGTGAAATTGAAGAGGTACTTTAAAGAATTTCAACTATTTATAATAAGAGTAAGCCCCTCTTCTTTTGTTTATGGAATTCATATAAATATTTCCAAATACACGCGTTACACTCTTATACGCCACATATAAAACCAATTGGATCTGTTTAATTGCACCAAAAGAAGAAACTCTCATCGTTCTGTTCAGCTTATTACTAACTCACAAATTATGTTTACTTGATCTAAGGACACATCAATCCCCTTTGCTGTACTTTTTCGATTTTTTTCCCGATTTTGATCTATCCAGAAATCCTGGGTTGGTTTGCCTTGTCCTGTCAAAGGCAGTCGCATCAGCCAGCATAGTGATTTAGTGTGTGAGTGAGAGAGAAGCTGCTTCGCCCTGGTACGACGTATTTTTAGAGGACACAAGTAACGGCGATTTAAGTTTAGTCTCTATTATTTTCTTGAAGCATTCAATAAAACATGGCAGACCAGATTCCATTTATATTTAAGCTCATCCTTGTCGGTGATAGTGGTACTGGCAAGACAACATTTATCAAGTGTCATTTAAATGGCAAAGCCGAAAAGAAAGACGGGTTTGTCATTTATTCACTTCCCTTCGAAACCAACTTTGGACCTGTTGTATTTAACGTGTGGGATACAACTGGACGGGAAAAGGCGGGTAGTTTACGCGATGATGACTACCATGGAGGACATGGCGGCATCATCATGTTTGACATTACATCTCGACTTACTTACAAGCGTGTTCCTCAATGGCACCGGGATCTCGCTCGTGTGTGTGAAAATATGCCTATAGTCATTTGCGGCAATAAGGTGGATATAAAAGAGTGTAGTGTTACACCCAGACAAATCAGTTATCACAGACGAAATAACTTGCCGTTTTATTATACCTCTGCCAAGTCTAACTATAACATTGAAAAGCCATTTCTTTATTTGGCTCAACATTTGGTCGGTGAGCCTACCCTGGAGTTCATTAATTCTCCAGTTCTTGCTCCTCCTAAGATTGAAGTAGATGCTTATTTGATCAAGCAATACCACGAGGGTTTAGCAAAAGCAGCTACCCAACCTCTTCCTGAATACGAATCAGACAGTGATTTGTGATTGAACAAAATAGAAAAGCATCTTTTTTTTATAGAGGGGAATCTCTTGACACGACTGTCTATAATAAACCCAATTAAAATATCTAGCCATTTGTTTACTGGCTATTCAATGAAGAAAAGTTAGATGCTAGTATAAAATGGATTCTACAAGCTCATTTACATGCAACATTTGCATTGTTTCTTTCTAAAATAAACCTTCTGACAATCTATTGCCACCATGTCATCCAAAGCCACCCATTTCTCTCATAATAGTTTAGCCAGCCCTGAAAGTGATACGCTGTCAAATAAGGTTATCGGAGCCCCGATAAGTTCTCTTTATGGGGAGAACCAGAATTTAATTAAAAAATTGAAGATTTTTCATCTTACTGCTTTAAAACACGATACACACCTGAATAATAATAATAATAATAATAATAATAAAAATCGAGTTTGTACATGTTAAAATTCGATTGTGCTCTTGATTGTAATTAAACACAAACAGTCTGTATTTGGAAAAATATTCTTGTTTAGAGCCATCACATTTTTTTTTTTTTTGGTAAAAAGAATAGATTGACAGTGTTGTAAAGTATATAAATAACAAAATATCGATAGTTATTTTCAAACAAACCGTCGTAAGAACCGTTCTGAAATTACCCAGTCTTTACCGCATAGATCAACCTTTATAAAAGATTGATAATTTTATTTTAGTGCTAAGAAAAAAAAAAAAAAAAAAAAAAGAGGACCTTTAAAACAAGCCAGGCTCCCTGTTTTTCCACCTCCTTCCCTTCCTTCTCTTTTCTATTTTTTTAAGCTGCAGAATGAGCGACGACGAATATGATTATGAGTCGCTTGGTAGTAACACTACCATGACCCAAAATGCCTTTGCGGGTGCACTTGCTGGTATTGCAGAGCATTGTGCCATGTATCCTGTCGATAGTATCAAGGTATGTGTACAATGTATTCACACGGGATAACTTAGTTTAACCCTTAATATATATAGACTCGAATGCAAGTGATTGGTAGCACGGCAACAAAGGCGGTCCAACAACAACCCGTTACCCTTCGTAATTTATGGAAAGGTGTCAATTCGGTAGTTTTAGGTGCTGGACCAGCTCATGCGTTACATTTCGCCACTTATGAATATTGTAAAGAGTATTTCGGGGCTAATGCCAGTGGACATCATTTCGTCTCCTCTGCCGGAGCAGGTGCATGTGCCACTTTGGCTCATGATGCGCTGATGAATCCCTTTGATGGTAAGTGGAGGAGTTTTTTTTTGGTAGAGTGAGACTAAACGATATTACAACATGTTAGTGGTAAAGCAGAGAATGCAGTTACGAGATTCCGTGTATAAGAGTATTCGAGAGTGTGCACACAGCGTATATACGAAAGAAGGACTTGCAGCATTTTATATATCCCTCCCTACTACACTTGTCATGTCAGTTCCCTTTCAATCGATCCAGTTTGCAACATATGAATTTTTCCGTAAAGTGTTGAATCCAGATGGCCCACAGTACGATCCCAAGACACACGTGATTGCGGGTGGATTGGCAGGTGCAGTTGCATCTTCCCTTACGACGCCCATGGATGTAGTGAAAACTTTACTTCAAACAAGAGGATCCAGTCAAGATGCACAGATTCGAAATGTAAAAGGCTTTAGAGAGGCAACAGGTATCATCATGTCCAGATACGGTATTCGAGGCTTCTTTCGAGGATTTAAACCACGCGTTTTGACCCATATGCCTAGTGCTGCCATCAGTTGGAGTGTCTATGAATATATCAAATGGGTTATCAATACTAGAAATATCACACAACAAAAAGAAAAAGACTTTGTGTCGCTTTAGAAGGGACGGGAGTGGTTTATTTATTTACTAGACAAAAACAAGAAATCAATTGTAAATTAGAGTGGACAAAATTGTATATATTTTTTATTAAACTTAATGTTCCATCATTTTTGGGAGATCCACTATATTTGGGGCTAATTAGTACTACTTTCTTTTTATTGGACGATCTTTTAAAAAATGTTACCTTGAATACGCTAGAGAAATCTAAAGTGTCAAAGTTCTTTGTTGTGGATAGCTTTTCATAGACTTTGGAAGCCATTGTACCCAACTCGGGTGTGGTATTACATTTCTCGGCAGCCTTCATGGCTAAACGAAGGTCCTTTGCCATCAATTTGTTACTGAACCCTCCTGTATAGTCTCTAGAAGCAGGTGCGGTAGGATTCACACCGGGATAAGGATTGTAAGTATCTGAACTCCAACAACGACCTGTAGAATTATTCAAGATGGAAGCCAATAAATGAGGATCCATACCCAATTGAGTGCCCAAATGCATGGCTTCTGAAACACCAATCATGGAGATACCTAGCAACATGTTATTACATAGTTTAGCTACTTGTCCAGACCCATTTTGTCCACAATAGATGACATTTTTGCCCATGAGGGATAAGACAGGCTTTACGGTCTCAAAAGCTTGTGTGGAAGGTGCTCCTACCATAAAAGTTAATGTACCAGCATCTGCACCCAAGGTTCCACCACTGACAGGTGCGTCAAATGCAGATCCCCCTTTCTCAGCTACTTTCTCGGCCACAGCCTTTGAAACACTAGCATCAATGGTGCTAGAGTCGATTAAACGACTAGAGCCATCCAGGTTTGGTAATAATGCCTCATAGACTTTTTCAACGTGAGCAGACTCGGGCAGCATGGTGATGACGGTTGATGTCTTTTCAGCTAACTCAGAAACACTACGTACCACTTGCAAGTTGGGATACTCGGTGCTAATACGTTGTAGAGCGGCTTCATTGATATCATAGACATAGACTGTTGAAGTTGCTTTCAATGCAAGATTTTTAGCCATACCATAACCCTACAAATATCATGAGTCTTTTTTACTTTCTCCTTGAATACTGGTATATAATTTATACGTGCCATTTGCCCTAATCCAATTAGACCAATCGATGTATTTCGATCCTATATTAAAAATAAAACCTGTTATAAACTATATTTGATGTCTAGACACTACCACTTACAGACACTAATAAAAAAGGGGAGGATGAGTGAGTGATGATTTTTGTTTAGGTATAGTATGTGTATTACCCGAGGACATGTATCGAATACCACGAGATAAATGAGCTCTACTGAACATTGCTAGTAAGAAAAGAAAGATAAAACAAAAAGAAAATAATAAAGAAAAAGGGGTTTATATTTAAATCGTCTTTTTTTCCCACGACCAAAAACCCCTTCTTTCTCACACACACACACATTTGTCGTACCATATTGGTATTAAGCAAATAAAATATGGCATCTCAACCCATGGATTATACCAGCAGCAGCAATAGCGATACAGAGTCTGAGTTAGCTGATATGTTGCGTAAATTTACCATTCATAAGAAAATAGAGACTGTTTCCGATTACATTAAACAGAACGAAAACCCTCCTATGCCGTTTGTAAATGATGTGTGGTTATTTATTATTTATTTATTCAATCACACTGACTTTACACATACATACAGCATACAGAGGTCAGATTACAAAGGTCTTGCAAACAAGATATTCGTCTCTTATCCAGCAAAATGACACGACGCTTCCTCAGTCATGAGTTTGAAGGTATCGTCTAGTATTATTTACAAAATAAAATACTCACTTATTTTATCAGTTAGAGGTAGTACAGGCCAGGTAAGTTCAAGACGCGACCGGACGAGATTTTTTTTTTTTTTTTGCATTAATTTCTTGCAAAATGTTAGAATTATACCGTGAAAATAGGGCCCAAACTGGATTGCACTTGTCGTGACCACAGAACAAGAGCTACTCATTGCAAGCATATCTTGTTTATTCTCTCTCAAGAATTAAAGATTCAGAATTATTCTAGCATCATTTATGTCACCTTGTTTCCTACTGATCAGGTAAAGATGAATTTACACGTTTAATTAATTTACAGATGGAAATATTGATACTCTTTAAAAGTTATTGAAAGAGATATTCAGTCATTACCATTCGAATGTGTGACTTGCGTTAGCCTTTAATAAATTATATATTTTTTTCTGTTTTTTTTTTTTTTTTTTTTTTTTTCGTGCTTGTATATTCAACATGGCTCCAAAACGAGACTTGACACCAAAACAGGTGTCTAATGGGTTATCCTATGTGCAGAAGGAGGCACCCTTTATCTCTCGTATGAAGAACAAGACGCAGGAAAAGGAAAGAGCCATGCAAAAGTTTGAGAATTACGAGGATGGGCAGGACGATGAAGACTATGATGAGCTAGACGGTGCACAAGTGGTGGAATTAGACGCTAAGGGCAAAGGTAACGAAAGGAGATTGCTGTAAAATGTTGCTGCTGCTGAACACTCCTAATAGAGATTCACAAGGATACGGGTGAAAAGAGTGAGAGCGAAGAAGAAAAGGAAAAGGTGATTGAGCCCGAACAACCTGCAGTAGATGAGACTGGCCGTATCTTGTTTCGTAAGAGAGCAAAGAAAGATACCTCAAAGAGAGACTTACAGGCCATTATTGATGCCGAAAAAGGTGAACCGGTAAAAAAAAAGAAAAAGAAGCAACAAAAAGTGTCTCTGTTGTCATTTGAAGACAATGACGACTAATTTTTATTTTATTTTTATTCTCCACACACACACCCAATAAAAACTTTATTTAATTTGTGTGTCTACATTTTTCTTTTCTTCTTTTTTTATTTCTTTCTCTTTGCAATGTCTATTCCTTCATCACCAGCACCATGTTATCAACCGGATCAGTTATTTCAAACGAAAATGAAGCTGAATAATAGAGCCTTTGATTCAATATCAAGCATAGAACAACATAATGTGATAAGAAGAGTAGCTTCTGTTCCCAATACCACCGAGTATTTTAAACGATCAGAATCCGTTCACTCTATGCCTGCCTCTCCCAGTCCTTCCTACTCCTTACAGAAACATAAAGTGCAAGTAGGTCCTGCTGATTTCGACAAGGTGAGATTACTGGGAAAAGGCGATGTTGGAAAAGTATATTTGGTTAAACACAAGTCTACCGAAAAACTATATGCTTTGAAAGGTAAGATCTTTCTCCTTATTCACTCCCTCTTTTCTCTTAAAATACCCATTTTTAGTTCTATCCAAGAAAGAAATGATCAAGCGAAACAAGATCAAGCGAGCTATGGCAGAACAAGCTATTCTATCCACAGCCAATCATCCTTTCATTGTTCCCTTGTACCACTCTTTCCAGAGCGAGGATCATCTTTATTTTTGCATGGAATTTTGTGTTGGTGGCGAATTCTTTCGGGGTAAATTTCCCCACTTTGTTGATCTGTATATATATACATCATTAACTAATAGCCCTCTTACAATCATCAGCCCTTCAGAACAGACCGGGGAGAATACTCAAAGAGGACGAAGCAAAATTTTATGCGGCAGAAGTGGTAGCTGCGTTGGAATATTTGCATTTAATGGGTATCGTCTTTCGAGATCTTAAGCCAGAAAGTGAGTTTTTCTCTTAAATTATGTATCTATTCATTTAATAACCTCTCTCTTTCAATAGACATCCTACTACATGAGTCGGGCCATTTGATGCTGTCGGATTTCGACCTTTCGATACAATCACCCACAGCTGCACCGCCAACGCTCGTGCGACACAACTCACCTTTTTCGGTAAAGCGTCTCCTCATTTTATTTCTTTCGGATCCAGTAAAATTAAAATTTAGTTTTAAATTATTAACCTATAACCCGTAGAAACCGCCCATGCTGGACACTCGTTCATGTATGAACATACGCACCAATTCGTTTGTTGGCACAGAAGGTAGCTTATCCATCTAAATAATCTTTACTTCTCATCTCACGCAGTGTTAGAATACTTGGCTCCGGAAGTCATTAGGGGAAGTGGACACACGAGTTCGGTGGATTGGTGGACACTAGGCATTTTAGTATACGAAATGATTGTACGTAAATTGCTGTTATAAAATGACAGGATGGCAAGAAGACTAAATACCTTATTTATATAGTGCGGATATACGCCATTTAAAGGACCCACGCGTGACGATACATTTGAGATGATCTTGTCATCCTCTGTGGAATTCCCTGACTATAGCAGTAATCCATATTATAAAGGCACGGGATTAACAGGAAACTGTAAATCGTTTATTCGTAAATTACTGAACAAGAATCAAAGTAAACGATTGGGAGCACGCGCAGGCGCAAGTGAAGTGAAATCCCACGCGTTCTTTAAAAGTATCAATTTTGCTCTTTTGCGTAACATGAAACCACCCATCATTCCTTCTAAAGCACAACCTATCCGTGCCGTTCATTTTAATCCGTTGAAGGAAAGCGTCAGTTTTGATTTAAATCATCATGATTTACATACTCCGCCGGATGATGAAGATCCTTTTCTCTCTTTCAATTCGGGTAAGTCGCCTTCGAAATGATGATGATGCATTGATGTCATGGTATTGATCTTATTTTTTTTTATTTAGTGACGATCAATAGAAGATGATGTCACTGGCTGACTTATAAAGGAAAATAAAAACTTTTTTTTTTTTTTTATAAACATTTTTTTTTCTTTTTCTACATTTATACACATTCTCTCAAAATGACTAGCGTTGAAAAGAAATTGTCAAAGGCTGACGCCAATTTATCCAAGCCCACTCAAGGCCACTTCTCGATGGTTCGGTAAGCTAATTTAACAAGATATTGACACTCCCGAGACTAAAACAAAGAAACGCGCATCCCATAATAGCAACTTTTATTTAGCCGATATCATCACATTGATGAACGGTGTATGCGGTGTTCAATCCGTATTGAGCTCAATGCGTTATTTAACCACAAACAATGTAAGAGATTTACAAACATCCATGGTTCTCATGCCTCTTGGCATGCTTTTTGATTTTATGGATGGAAGAGTAGCACGCTGGAGAAACAATTCATCGCTCTTGGGACAAGAACTTGATAGTTTAGCAGACTTGGTATGTTTTGTGTGATAGTGAAAAAGACAATATGTGTGTGTGTGTGTGTGTGTGTATAAATACTGATAATCACATTTTCCTTCCGGCGTAGATATCATTCGGTTTAGCACCCGCCGCCTTGGCATTTGCAGGTAAGCCTTTGTTTTTTTTTAAAGAGTGGTTGGTAAACAGGTATTGATCATGTTTTCTTTCTACTGTATAGTCGGTATGCGTTCTTATCTCGATACAATTGCCTTGACCTACTTTGTTTGTTGTGGTATTGCTCGTCTTGCTCGTTATAATGCTACCGTAGCCCTGGCTCCAAAGGATGATACTGGCAAGGTTCATCATTTTGAAGGAACTCCGATCCCCACATCCTTATCATTGGTGGCCTTGATTGCCTATTTCGTGCACAATGATTTGTATTTAGATACTTTGCCTTTCCAATTGTATGAAATTGCTGAGGGTTGGGAAATTCATCCTTTGGTACTCGTCTATGTCATTAGTGGTACTCTAATGATCTCAAAGACCCTTCGTATCCCAAAGCCTTAATCTCTGTCTTTTTTTTTTCTCTCTTCTCTCTCTATTTCATGTACACACACACACACTCGCAAAAAAATAAATACCCTGCTTCTATTTTAATCAATCTCTTTCCCCAAATGTTGTACTTGTTTGTTTGTTATTGTATAAATTGAACACATGCACACACATCATTTTGCATTGTTCAAAGGTCTGTGCTTGAAGCCCAAAATATAAAGTCACACAAAAGAGTAGAAATTAAGTATTTTTTTTTATTGATAAATAGATTGAATAGAATGTAGTAGTAATAGTAATAATAATAATGCATTTATTGACCGGGTAATCCGCCCTTGCTGTTAGAATATTCATCACGACCTAAAGTGAATGAATCCTCATCATCATCAAAACGATCTGCCATCTTGGGCTCATAATGATCCTTCATATTGTTAGACTTTGTATAGCGGCCTGAAGTGTCAAAGTCATCACCAGTATCACCACGGTGATGTTCAGTAGTACCATACTCATTACCAGTTCTCTGTCCGGATCGAAAGTTCTTGCCGTAACTATAGCCTTCATTCTGTTTGCTTTCCAAAGGCGTATGACCTCCCAAAGAGTACTTTTCACGGTCGGAAGAAGTATAGGCGTACTTGCCAAGATTGCTGTTATGGCTGTGCTTATGAATGGCCGTATCCATCTCATCCGATGTATCATCGTCATCGTACACATCTGTTTTAATAGGCTTGGTAGACTCGTACTTACCAAGGTTGTCGCGAGAGGAGTGATGATGCTTACCATGGGTGTGTTTACCCCCGCCTTCATACACATCTGTTTTACTAGGCTTAGAAGATTCGTACTTACCAAGATGATGATCCCGGGAAGCATGATGATGAGCATCGTGTGTGTGTTGAGCACCTTCATATACATCTGTTATTATGGGCTTGGTAGATTCATATTCACCGTAATCGTTGCGAGAGCCATGATGATGCTTACTGCGTGAGTAATCAACACCTTCATAAACATCTGTCTTGATAGGTCGAGTAGACTCATATTCACCGTAATCCTTATCACGAGGAGCACTTTGTCCACCACGATGTGTGTATTCAGCACCTTCATATACGTCTGTTGTAATGGGCTTGGTAGACTCATATTCACCAAAATTATCGCGAGAAGAGGAGTGATTTCGGTTCGACTTGTCACGACCTTCATAGACATTGGTCACAATAGGTTTGGTAGACTCGTATTTACCCACATCTGTCTGTGAATGATGATGCTCTTGCTGAGAAGGACTACGGTAATGACTTTCAGGACCGGCTACATAGCTATTGGTAGAAGCATTACCACCCGCTGAAATATTAGCTAATTGGTTATCACCCGAAATAGTGTCAGAACGACCGAGGTTTCTTGACTTGTTATAATCAATAGGAGTCTTGGGAGGCACAGGTGGATGTTCAAGGTCCATATCAGCGCGCTCAGCAGCAGGGTACGCCTTCAGGTATTGCTGCTTGGGAGTAGGCACATTTTCTTGCTTCTGTTGACGCATAGGAGATGCTTGTCGTACAGGGGATGCTTGTTGCACAGGAGTCGCCTCTCGTTGCACGGGGACCATATGCTGCTGCTGTTGTTGTTGTTGTTGTTGTTGCTGATTATTTTCTTCTATGGCGGACTCTTGACGGATAGGAGAGGTTTCATTATGTTCTATTTGACGAACAGAAGAAGCATGTTGTTGTTGTTGTTGTTGTTGTTCAGGAGCGGGTTCGATAGCACGCCTTTGTTGAGCTTCAATAGGCAAGATACTGGCAGGCAAAGGAGGTAAATCACGATGAGAGGGAGTATTTGAAAAGTTGTTTTCGGTACTTTCCAAAAGTGGGGGTGATTGAAACTTTTGTGAGAGACCCGAAAGGGATTCGTACCAGGCTTGATTTTCTGCACGTGTAGGGGCTCGGAAAATATAATGATTATTGCCCATGCTGATCTTCTTGTCTTGATTACTGCGAATCTCAAAGCTGTCTTCATCTGTGTCCACCGTTGAGTGAGGCACAAAGATAGAGTACGTGGGACGAAGTGGATTAGTCTGGAAGTGCTTGGGTGTCTTGTAACCATGAAGGTAACCGGCTAAAACATGTGTCAGAATATATGAAACTAAACCCCCCTCCCTAAAATTTTTTTGTTGAAATTAAACTAACCTGGCGTAAGAATATAGATGCCTTCGGTCCAACCCTTGGTAATACCCGTTTTCAGTTGAAGTGGGCCAATCTTGGAAGCACGCACGAAGCGACTATGCTGACTTGGGTAATCAATATCATTTTCGGTCTTATAAGCCGAATTTGCTTGCACAAGATTATACTGGTTACGTTGAACAAAGCTGTTCCATTCCGTACTGGGTTCCATATTATCAAAAGTGTCAGTGATAGTACCAATGAAATCACGATGTTCCATCTTGTTCTCCAGTCGGTAGTCATGGTAACCCTGCAAGATATGACGCGTGTTCTCAATAATCTTGGCTTCAAAAATAGCCACTTCTTGCTGCAAATTCATGATGTTGTCATGGAGCCTATTCTCATGATCGCAGAGGTCACGAATCGCATGAATCACGCTGAGGTTCAGCAAGAAAGGGTCGGGGTTTTGATCTGCCGTGTGTGGCGAGTACTGCGCTGACTCGATGGTCTTGCCCAATCGATCGATCAAACGGTTGACATGTGTACGACTATCGTAAATATAATTACTCTTGAGAGACTTGTCTTTTTCGATCTGGAGAATCATGGTCTTAATATCCGCTTTAATGGCACGGAAAGCAGGAATCACGGCGCCTTGGAGATAGCTGGAAGTTTCATGGTGCATAATACCATGTTGCATGGTGTAATCACGAATGGCTGCAAATACATCTTGCATACCACCGCTTTCCAAAAATAGACCATTGGAACCTTTGAAAGGTAATTCAATCTCTGAACTAGCACCCGACAAGCCCTTGGAAGTTCTGTTCTCGACCAAGACAACCTTCTTGAAAAAAGCCACCTAAAAATAATAAAAGATGATGAGCAAACAAACAAATAAAGCTATTAATATATATGTATTTAGGACAACTACGCACCAGGTTTTTAATAGCTAGTCTCCATGACTCTAAGCGATTTGTTAGCAAGACCACAGGATCAATACCGCCTTCCATGCGATGCATCTGCTTTTGTGTTTTGGACTCGGTTGCTGAGCGAAGCGCAGCTACAGTGGAAGGCTGAGAGCTAAACATGGGCGGAGGCTCTACGTTGGCCGGCAAAGGGTTTTTAGAAGGACGAGAGGTACAAGGTACACCTTGCTTGACCACTGCTTTTTTGTTTGCGCGACGATTGGTGTCCATACCCGGTACCATTTGCTGTCCACTGTCGTTGTTCTTCCAATCAGCCGTAGGTAAGGATTTTTGACCGGGCATCATTGGTCTTTCCCCCGTGACCTGGACTTGAGGCATAGCAATGCTATGTGGTAAATGAGGAAGCGAAGAAGTTGTTTGTTTTTTACCCATTACTTGTTTTGGAGTTTAAAGTGTAACAAACAATAAAGTTAGAATGTTAAAAATAACAAAATAAAAAAAAAATGTAAGTGGGATTTATCTATAATATGATGAAACGTCATGGCATCATCATCATGTTTGAGATGCAAACCTATGAAATAGAACACGGAAAATTTATGTTGTATTTTTGGGTGAGACCCTTATTTGTTTACTAGCAACATCTAATTTTAGTTTGATCTGACAACTTTTTTTTTTTTTTTAGTGGAGAGACATGTATATAAAGGCAAGCATTTTCTCCAACATGAGAAAGCGACATCTACATACTAAAATATGACTATTGGATTTGACGAAGATTTACCTACCGATGTTTATGAATACAACACCATTCGAAAGAACATGGACTGGGAGAAATCTGGTATTGCTTCCCTTTTGAAACCTGCACCTGTGTCTCAACATTTACCTGCTTTTGATTCGGATGGAAAACCCTGTTTCAAAGCCTATGTGGGATCCGGTAAACTGCAAGGCAAATTCGCTCTGATTACTGGTGCTGATAGTGGCATTGGTCGATCCATTGCTACCCTCTATGCCTTGGAAGGTGTTGCTGGTATTACCATTGTATATCGTGATGAACAAGAAGACGACGATGCCATGTATACTAAGAACACAATCGAGTCTCAAAGTAGCTGCAAAGTCAATTTAATTGCGCGCGATGTAGGTTATGAGGAAACTTGCCAGGAGATATTGGATTCGCATTTGAACGCATTTGGAAGATTGGACATTCTTGTCAATAACGCTGCTGAGCAGCACAAGGTCATGAAGGTGGAAGACCTTGACTGCAAGACTGTTGAGCGTACCTTCCGTACCAACGGTAAGCTATGAGATGGGGTTAGTGGAAAAGAAAGATAATTTGCTAATAAGAATTATATGTATACATGTAGTGTTTGGCCCTATCTTTATGACCAAGTTGGCCTGTAATCATCTTGTAGCAGGTGGTGTTATTATTAATACAGCTTCTATTGCAGCTTATCGTGGTATGGATGTACTTGTTGATTATTCCGCTACCAAGGGAGCTGTAGTGTCATTCACCCGTGCACTTTCTCAGCAATTGGCACCTCGTCGTATCCGAGTCAATGCAGTTGCTCCTGGACCTGTTTGGACACCTTTAATTCCTAATACCTTTTCTAGAGAAGAGATCCAAAACTTTGGTTCATTCCCTCCTTTCAAGCGACCTGCCCAGCCTTGCGAAGTAGCCTCTTGCTTTGTCTTTTTGGCCGCTGACGATTCTTCCTTTATGACTGGCCAAGTTCTTCATCCCAACGGTGGAACTGTTATCAATACTTAAAAAATAAAGTTTCTATTTTATATTTTTAGGGGGTTAAATAATCCTTTTTAAGCCATTTTTTCATTTCTCTCCCTACTTTTTTTTTTTTTTTTTTTTTTTTTTTTTTTACAAGGGGTAAAATAGTAGTAAACCAGATTATTATTATTTATTATTGTTATATAAAAAAAAATCTCGTGTGGAAAAAAAAAGGGAGAGTGCAACTATATTAGGTTTTTGTCTATTTATTAGCGCCTCCCCTCTTTAATTTTTTTTCTTCTTCTTTTCTCTTTCTTTACTTTACTTTTAAGAAAATATGGCAGCTACACATAATGTACATCGAGTGATGGAAGAAAATTTATTTGGCGCATTTCAAAGACAGCCATCTTTTGGTTCGTTTCGCTCTTCCCTGACAGCTTCAGACCTGGTCAGTTCTCAACGCCGTCAAGCCAGCAGCAGTAGTGTGACAAGTCATACGATGCCACTGCAATACAAATGTCGACCTTCTTCGGACATTCTGCAGACACAACCTACCATGCGAGACAAGGACTCACCCGAAGGTAAAACACTTTATATGAAAATGTTTTTCATATTACTCACATGTCTCGTAGCAGAGGCGATTGATAGATGGTTTGAAAACATTCAACGCTATGAACAAATGCTCGAGGAGGTTGCAGCAGCTAGTTTAGACCAAGGTTTTAAAGACGAACTGCATAACATCAACCAATGGCTTCGATGTAGATCAGACGCAGAAAGAACAGCCACATTATACACTGTGGTTCAAAATGCTTCTCAGATACAGATCAGATTCCTTATCACCGTACTGCAACAGCTAGCCTCTACCAACCATGACCCATATCCTGCTGGACAGGACAACTCGAGTGGTAAAACTAGATTAAGGTTCAAGGAGAGACAAGAATAAAGTTTGATTAACGTTTTTTATATATATTTATTTATATAGAGGTACAGCAGTATCAAAAAGCCTTTTCTAACCATCACCAAAAGAAGACTGGTCTTTCTAGTCAGTCAGTCATTTCTACCGAGTCCGAATATGAGTGCAGAAAGAGACAAATGATGTATCCACCCACAACAACTAGACGACGTACGCCACTTCAATCTGCCATGAGTGAGCCAGACGATTTGCGAAGACGTAATCGAGATCTATTTCTATCTCGACCACTTGGATTAAGTCATCCTGGACCCCTTTTGGAGTTGGCCTTAGCAACCAGAGAAGCAGTAAAGGGCACTGTCACTACCACTACTTCTTCTACTACAAGTAGTAGCACCCTTTCTAGCTCCCCATCCTCTGCAAGTGACACAGGGGGTTTATTCTCTTCTCCACCTCGTTTACGAAACTCTTCCTCTACAAAATCCCTCTTCTCAGATACTCCAGACTGGCCCTTCCCTCTTTGTTCAGCCAAAAAAGATAGCTGGTCATTCATCAAGCCTGTCACACCCACTGCCAGTAGTACACCCAAAAAAGAAGATTTATTACCATGGGCTATCCAAGAAGAAAGTACAGAGTCTACGTTAGAATTAGCACAGGCAAGATTAAGACAGGATGATAAAGTGATCTCGCCTCCCGTCAAATGGACCCCACCACCATCCGCATTACAATTCTTATCGAGCCCACCACCCACCGCTGTTGGAGAAGATAATAACACAGATGACGAAAGCGATAGTTCTTCCAGTAAGCCTTTGACAGGTTTAGCCAGAAGACGTAAGCGATCATCGGCAGCCCGTGCACTCAAGGATAAAATGGCCGCTGAAGCGGTTGATTTTGACCTGATGGAAGGTAAATATCCCCCCAACAACAACCACAACAAGAAAATCTAAAAATAGCTCATATTTAAAATTAATAGATGTCCAAAATTGGCTAAGAAGTCTAAGATTACATAAATACGGACATGCGTTTATTGGCTTAGATTGGAAACAAGTGGTTCGAATGTCTGATCAAGACATGTTGGATGCTGGGGTCAACACAATAGGCGCAAGAAGAAAGTTATTAAAAGTATTTGAAAATGTCCAACGTCATTGTATTGAAAATGTAAGCCTTTTTTTTTTCAAGTGTGGCTAGCATTATTTGATTAACCCTTTCTTTTTTTTAATAGGCTATTGAGTATTAAATTTATTTATAACCCTGTATTTTTTTTAATTTTTTTTTTTTTTTTTTTTTTTTTGAAGCCTCGTTTGGTGCAACCATCTTTTTATAAATAAAATAAAAATAATAGCCTCTCTCGCTTTCTCTTTCTTTTTTTTTCACTTTTTCTACACATATATTTTTTTTACCCCAGCCAAAAATGTTGATCAAGAGCATTTCTTTAATTTTATTAGCAGCAGCTTCCACTACATTTGCTTGTGAGATGGACTGCCGTAGAGGTGTCTCTCGAAACTTTGCCGATGCTTACGCACCTGTGATCAAGGACAGTATTGATAACTTGCATGCTCAGTTAACAAAATCCATCAACAAGGTTGCTGTCCCTGCTGTCATTACCGAAAAGATTGAAAAGACAGAATTACAAGATGATATCGAGGACTCCATCGATGCCAGTCTCACAGAATTCATCAACTTTGCCACATCCGAAAAGAAGTTGGCTGAAGGCTTCTATCAAGTTACTTTCAATGAAGAACTTCCTTATAAGGGTGACTGTAATAGTCCAAAGAGATTAGAGAGAAAGATGCCTCCCAAGGGTGAATCATGGACCATGGATGAATGTAAGTTACAAGAAAGAGAGAGAGAGAGAGATACAAGGGGATAATTGGGATACAGGGAGATTAAAATTTTTTTCTTTCTTTGTGTGTAGGTAATAAAATGGACTACCGTTGCGGTAACCCTCCCTCTATTTGCTACTTTTTAGAAGACGTCAAGGCACGTTGTGTGGGTCGTATGCGTCGTCAATTAACAGAATATGCTTCTTACGATAACGGAGCTCTTGTGAAGAGCCTGGTGAGAGACACAAGAAAATCTATTTACTCTACTTTTGGCAATAACGGGGCTGGAAAATTAAGTGAGAACAACCAAGTAGAAGCTTACATTGCTAAAGTCGTTAGTGCCACTATTCGTACCTTGGATATTTGGGTTGCTGAAGACGTGAAACAATTGTGTGATAAACCCTCTCAAAAGGAGTTATGTAACAACTTTGATCATCAAATCAAATTAGAAATTCTCAAGTGGCCTTAAATTTAACTACATTTTAATATATGTATATAATTATATAATATTTTTTTTTTATTAAAGACTTTTTTTTCTTTCCCATGCTTTTGCTAATTGTCGAATCTTGTCAATTTCACAAATACCTTCCACTTCAGTGTCGTCCAGAATCTCAAATACTGCATGTGAAACTTCGCTATCGGATATGGGGCGATCTGTGAAATACCTTGCGCTAGACGGAACGTATGATGTGAGCGGTTTTAAAATTGCAGATCCGATGATTAAGCCTAATGCCAAAGGAAGCATTAATTGACGTCGATGATATGAGTAGATAAGTCCTGCATTCAATTTATTTTAGTCTACATATTTTTTTAATGACATGATGTTTTTTCTTTTGGTACCTGGTCGAAGCACAACGATTCTAATTTTTTCATTCAGTTCCTTATTTCCCAGTAAATACCGTTCCGCCTCTCTTTTGGCTCCAATATATCGTTCATTTAATAAATATTTTGGCGGCGCATTTCCTGCAGAAAAGTAAATAAAGCATCGACGATTTATCCCGTCGTATTTAGAAGCCATTGTGTGGGCCACATTGATGGCGGCGTCTCGGTTCATTCTTTCATAAGTGCCATTGTCACCGTATTTCCGTTGTTCAATCAAGGTACCCACTGTATGCACCACATTGGGGTTCGCTTCAAACGATCTCTTTAACGATGCCACATCCAGGGCATCTCCTTGCACAAAACTTACACCTGGCACCGACTTCTTTGCATTGGCTGTACGCGAAAGTGCTAAAATATGGGTATTGTGGTAACTAGGCAAATGAATGTTCTTTTGTGTTTCTCGAATAATAGAGCTCCCTACAAGCCCTGTGCCTCCGATAATAAGTAGTGTAGTCATAATGTCTTGCAGTGGGAAAAAACGTGAAGGAAAAGAAAGAGAGAGAGAAAATCAGATGTGAAATAAAAAAAAAACCTTAAATATGTACACACAGGGAATGACGCACAGAGAGGAAACAGTGGAGAGAGGGAAATATCGGATTAGGCGGCTATTTAAAAAATTAAAATCACATAACGCTGATTGACAAGCAAGGGGTCACATTGTTTTTATTATTTCTTTCATATTAAAAAAATGAGCAACAATAACCAACAAGGAAACTTGAAGCAGTTTTTACTTGCTGGTGCCTGTGCTGGTACAGCTGTAGATACTGCTCTTTTCCCCTTGGGTAAATTTTTTTTTTCTTTCTTTAAACACTGTGACAACACATTTAACATTTGTGCATCTAGATACCATCAAGACCAGATTACAATCACAACATGGATTCATTGCTTCAGGTGGATTCCGTGGTATTTATTCCGGTTTATTGACAGCAGTTATTGGAAGTGCACCTGGTGGTAATAATAAAATTAGATACATGTCAAAAAAAAAAAAAAAAAAAAAAATTAAGCTTTTTTGTGTATGTGTGTGTGTGTTATGCGCGTGTTTGAATTTGTTTAGCTTCTTTATTTTTCGTCACTTATGAAGCTACAAAACGTGTATTAGGTGCTACTGTAGATAATGCTCAATATGCACCCTTGATTCATATGGTAGCTGCTTCCTGTGGTGAAACAGTGGCATGTACTGTACGTGTCCCTACCGAAGTCATCAAACAACGTATGCAAACCAAGCAATTCAACAAAACTTCGGCTGCTGTCTCGCATGTGTTACGTACCGAAGGTATTTTGGGCATGTACAGAGGCTTCTTATCCACTGTTGCGCGTGAAATTCCATTCACATGTATCCAATTTCCATTGTACGAATACTTCAAAAGAACTTATGCTACTATGCAAGGTCGTCCCACCGAACCTTATGAAGCCGCATTAATGGGTTCCTTTGCTGGTGCTGTCGCTGCTGCTACAACCACTCCCTTAGACGTCTGTAAAACTAGAATTATGTTATCCAACAAGAATCAAAGCACGAAGCATTATGATGGTATTGTTTCTACCATGAAGCGTATTGCTGCTGAAGAAGGCCCAAGAGCCTTGTTCTCAGGTATCGGTCCTCGTGTCATGTGGATCTCCATTGGCGGTAGTATCTTTTTAGGTGTATATGAAAAGGCTGTGAAAACCTTTGTTCAACTTCGCGTCTTGGATGAACGCTTCTAAATAAGAAACAGTCCTCTCTTTATTTTTCTAGAAATTAAAAAAAAATATAACCTTGTATAATTCACCCCCCTTCTCTCTTCACTCTTGTAATAAATAAAATATTTAAAAAATTATGAATGAACTTGTAACTGCAATCGTTACATTTACTGAATTACTTCAACAAGCGAAATCGCCTTGTGTGGCCACTTGGAGACCTTTCTTTATAACAACCTGTTCAGACTGGTGTATCTACATCGAAACTGAGCTGGCTGTACTAACAGAGGAAGAGAGTATGCACTTGTGTCAACAAGCACAATCTAAATCCAAAATACCAATACCTCCATTATCTATATTGTTAGATGCGTTACATGTATTCTTTCATACCTTGCTAGAAAATATCTACACTAGTAATAATCTTTACTTGCACATCATGAAGAACTATCGGTTCTTAACTATACCCGAAAAGGATATCCTTACACAGGTAATATGCTTTCGCCCAAACATTTCTTTTTTCATGCAGCAGCAAGTCTCATAAATCACTGTTTAGGATCTATCTCAATTAGCAAGTGAAGCAGCTACGCAAAATATCTTACTGGACATGTTGGATGAGCTCAAATAAAATGAATGTGCATTTATTTCAGAAAAACAAAATATTTTCGTGTGTGTTTTGTGAGAAAAGGGTATTATTTATTTAGTAACTATGATAAAAGGAAACGTCATCAGTTATGTATATTTTTAAATACGCACTCAAAAAAAAAAAAAAAAAAAAAAAAAAAACTTACCACCAATGACACCACAGGCCAAACGGTCACCAGCATTACCAGTGGTGAGAGACAACTCAACACCACCGAGTCCAAGATCATCTTCATCGGCATGGACAATGACAGTACGACCAATGATAGACAAGGGACCAATCAACTTTAATTGAGAATCCTCAACCTTCAAGGTAGCTTCACCAGAGGCATTGGCAGTAAGGTTACCCAAATCACCAGCATGACGAACAGCAGCTTCGGGAGCACCGTGGGTCTTACCGTGAGGGTTATAATGAGGACCAGCGGAAATACAACCTAATTTTTAAATATAGGGATTAGTCATCACATTATTTACTTTATCTGCAAAAATAAAAAAATAAAACGCGCGTCATGTCTAGGTGGGGTAGGTCATTTTACCTTCCCCCCCTGCCTGTCACTTACCATTGGTGTTATCTCCAAACTCGTGGATGTGGAAACCGTGCTTACCGGGAGTCAAACCAGTGAAAGAAGCTTCAACAACAACAGGTGCTTCCTCAGAGGTTTGAGAGAACTTGACTACACCAGAAACATTGGCACCCTTAAGAACAGCAATAGCGTTGACCATTTTTAATAAATTTATAAATTATACAGGAAAAAAAAAGAAAACTAAAGAATAAATCGAAATTTTAGTTCTTTTATATCGAGCTTTTAACTAGCGCGTCATTGGCCATTACTAATAGCCAATCTCCATCATTTGTACTAGACGGGTTTCAAAACTACTCACGTTTTTATTTTTATTTTACTTTGCCCCACCCATGCATAAACTGAGATAGCAGTAAAAAAAAACCATAACCTATTGAACTTTATATATATCGAATACAATCTCACCACATTTTCCTCTTCAATAATCACCTAGACTACATCTTCTGCTTTTATACGCCTAGTGTATTGACGCCATACCAGTTTTAATACGCGCTATATTACACAAGATTGACTCCAGAATCTTATTACTCACGGGCTCGGGGGGAGAAAAACACAATTTATTTTTATTTTAAACATACACATTGAATTATCTTATTTTGGTTGATGGTCTGCAGATGATGGATAGCCCAAAGTAGGCTCAATAAGACTGTTAGGAACAGAAGGAGAATACGCAACATGGGGTGAAGCTGAGGACGGTGACGCTTGTTGCGGGGGAATACCCGTAGCCGTCATTTGAGCTAATAGCTGTGCTAGAGCCGGATTGCCATTTGCTGCTGTACTTATTAAAGCTGCAATATTTGGCTGCTCGGGTAACTGATGCTTCTGCTGCTGCTGCTGTTGTGGTGGTGGTGGAGGGGGAAGCGATGCTGGCATCATTGTCGGGGTTGCGTTCACATTTAACCCGTTTACTAAAGTAGCTAATAATTGGGGTATGGTAGGCTGGTTGTTCACAGCAGGAGAAGCAACAGTGCCATTTGATTTGGGTTGTATCATGTTATATAAAGAAGCAAGGGTATTCATATCAATGGCAGGTGCCTGGGGAGGTGGAGGTGGTGCAATTGGTGTCTGGGGATAAGCACGGCGAATAATACTCACAGCCTCAATTGCCGTAACACTATCATATTCTAATAATAATGATAAAAAAGGGTGTTAAGTATTCGACAACTCTTATGTATATAAAAACAAAAGAACGGTTACCATCATATCTCACGCCTTGTCCATTTTCAGCGGGAGCAAATACTTGAAGGTAAATCTTGGTTATGAGTTCGTTATGACGATCAATCATGACAATAGCTTTTACACCTTCAAGGATCATTTGCTTTACGATGGATTCGCGTGATTCCTTAGTATAAGGTAAAGTAATAGATGACGCACGAATGTGGTTAGATGAAAATACGCGTTCAATATAATCGGTATATCCATAAGCTACATTATCCCATGCCACGATTTGAACGGTTGGGACCTCGTTACCTTGACGCGCAGGAATCAATGGAACTGGGAGTGATGGGACAACAGGAGCAGCAGTCGTATAATTACGCGTAGGGGATCGAAGCATAGGATCATTATAACGAGGGACATAACCTCGTCCTTCCTCTTTGACATCATTATAGCGAGGAGTGTAAGAGTCACTTCGAACTTCCTCTTTAACAACATTATAACGAGGAGTGTAAGAATCGCTTCGTACTTCCTCTTTGATTTCGTTAAAGCGAGGGGCATAAGGGGCATCATTATAACGCGGCACATAAGAATTTCTGCCATCATCCGTGGCTTCATTATAACGAGGATTATATGAATTTCTACCGTCATTCATGGGCTGATCATTATACCGGGGATTATAAGAATTTCTACCTGTGTCAGCATTACCTCTATTATAGTTATTACTATTATTATTATTATTGTATCCACGGTTTTCTTCTTGATGTTGCATTTGCTGGTGATGGTACTGTTGTTGCTGATGGTTCTGTTGTTGTTGTTGGTGGTGTTGATGCTGCTGGTATTGCTGATGCTGCTGTTGTTGTTGTTGTTGTTGTTGACGTCCATAATCATTTTGTTGATTACGACCACCATTAAAATCATTTCGATTGGCTTGTGAAAAATCGTTTTGTCTGCCATAGTCATTTGGCTGATTGCGTCCGTAATCTGGTCTATAATCATTATTTCTACCACGATCCATGTTTCTATTATTATCAGCACGACGACGTGGAATAGTAGTAGTAGTAGGAGGAGGAGTAGACTGCTGGAAACGAAGAGGGGGAGCAGGAGGAGATGCGTTACGAGCATTATAAGGATCGTACTGCTCTTGTCTTACACCTCTGGCGCGAGGATCAAAATTTCTCTGTACACTATTTCTTCTAACATTAGCATTACGTGGAGGCTCTTCAACAGGAGCAGGTTCTCTAGCATTTGGTTCCCGTACATCTCTTTCTGCGGCACGAGCAAAAAATGGCTTTCTTTTACATATCTCCAAGTCTGTATAAATAAAGTTAGTACAAGATGATTAATATTCAGATAAGAGACTTACCTAGAACAATGCCGTGAAATGGCTTTCCGTTTTCTACCTGGACAGCTTGAGCACAAGCCTCTGGATTCTCGAAATGAACAAAACCAAAGGGAGTTTTCTGGACGACTTCAAGAACCTCACCATACTTGCTAAAGTAGTTCATAACATCTTGTTTATCGATAAATTTTGGCAATTGACGTACCAACATACGGGACTCAGGTTTAACAGTACTCCAATCAATATCTCTCTTTGACAATATTTGACGATCGATTTTAATATTATCTATATCAGCATTCTGGTTTACATCCTGAATGGATTCTCTTGCTTCAATAGCTTTACGTTTAAAGTTATTTTTACTACGATCAGAACCGCGTCGCTTAGAAAGTAACGAATACTCATCAAACTCATCTAATACTCGTTCTCGTTTTCGGCCACCATGATTGCTTTGTTCTTCCTCGTCCATAATATTACTTTCATCTTGTTCGTTGTCATTACTAATAACTTCAGGATTATATTTATATTTATAATCTTGACCATCTGCAGTACTGTCTTGGTTTGTTGAGGGAGCTTTATTTTCAAACGCCTCAATAGTAGTAGTAGTAGTAGGAGTAGTAGTGGTACTATTGTTCGCAGGGGTATTATCATCACTAACTGTAGAATTATTCGCAAATAATGCCGAAAAGAAGTCATCTACAACAGACTTTTTGGCAATCGCAGTATCATTCCCGTTAGGTTCTGTCATTTTTTTTTTATCTGGTCTTTTTTTTTTCTCGCTGGTTTTTTCTTTCTTTCTTTCAAATAAAAAGTTGTAAAAGTAAATATGAAAATATATATAAAAAAAAGCAAATGTTCGTTCCCTTTTCTTTTGCTTTGTAATGTGTGAAAAAAAGAAGAGATGAGCAAAGTAATCAACGCACTAGAAAACAATAATAAACGAAAATTTTTGCTGCTGGGGAAAGCAGTCGTTCAGCGATATCATTGGCTGAGAAAAGCGTTTGATAGATATTTTTTATTTCTTAGCTCGTTGATAAATCAACAAATACGTGGCCGCTTTACAAGATAAAGTATCACGATTTGTCTGCTGGAAGGGGCATAGGTTCTGTTTTGGCTGAATTAAAAAAAATCGGGGCCAGTCTTTCTTGACCATCAACAATGCAATAAAGTTAAAGTTACTCTCTAAATAGAACCCATTTGATTGCACCATCACTAAAATAGGCTTGCATTGTATTCTCTATTTTGCTCTAAGTAGAACTATCTTGTACTTAAAGGCCTCGATTCATAGTGATTACTGGCAATGTGTCTATGTTGGGAACTCCTAAATATAGAAACAAAATGTTATTTCTGCTAACATGATGAAACCTATGACCAAAATAAGGCGATGTATGATCAAAAATAAATGAAAATCCAAAGTGTAAAAATCGGACTTTTAAGTTCTGAAAATGTCCGTTTTAACGAAAATTTTTAGTTGAGTGAGGTCACGCGAAAAAACATTACGTCGTCAAAATAATTATTACGTTTCCTTTTTTCTTTTTTTCTTTTAATCGAATGTCGATACAATGGGCAGCTTGGGTGTCTGCGTCTCTCTCAACAGATTCAGCAGATGTTGACAACCGGGGTGATATTCTCTTGGGGTACCAAAATTTGGGTGGGAGAATCATTGTTATGGCGCTGAACACTCTTCTAACTTGCACTCCCTTGCCTCATGGGTTTGGACAACTACTTGTTGCTGGAGCATTTAACCAGGGCGTTTGCGGCCGGTAGCGTTAGATAGTGATATTACCGTTGTATCTAGATGGAACTGGCTTGGGTGTCTGCGTCTCTCTCAACAGATTCAGCAGATGTTGACAACCGGGGTGATATTCTCTTGGGGTACCAAAATTTGGGCGGGAGAATCATTGTTATGGCGCCAGACCATTCTGCTGACTTGCACTCCCTTGCCTCATGGGTTTGGACAACTACTTGTTGCTGGAGCATTTAACCAGGGCGTTTGCGGCCGGTAGCGTTGGCAGAATGGGATTGTCCATTTTCTCAAGGGTTTTTTATGGTGGAACATTTTCGGTACGTATTATTTCGAATATAGATGGCTACTCAATCATCTGTTTATTATTATTAGATTTTCTTATGAATATGCAAGATCAGACTTTTTTCCTGAGGATGTTGGCTCTGTTAAAAAAGGTTCAGATAAAATTGTGAAAAGGATTTACTTGTAGTTGTACAATCTTTGTGATCAATTACCTAAAACAAGACGCTTGGGACTATGTAGCAAAGCAAAGTCAAGCGAAAAATATTCAGCGATGTTGAAACGCTTAGTTCAAGAATCATAGAAAAAAGTGAGGCGATTTCGTTTCAATACTTGCAACAATTTATTCAAAATTCTGTTAATCAGTTGGATAACTGCCTTAATCAAGATTATATCTCGGGGCTTCCTTGGACTCGATCAAAGAGCTGACCATGCTAGTTTTATATTCTGACCATTCCCAAAAGACCAATCCATACATTTTTAAAGGTCGATCACCTTTTTCAATAAAAAAAAAAGTTTACTAGTAGCAATGGAACGACTGTAGTTTTATTAGATGACATTTATTTTTTGGTTGTAGACATTAAATTTTCTTAAAATGACAAAATTTACCGTTCTCACTAACATGGGTTGTATTTTAATCGTCCAAGTTATTTAATAGTCAATATAAAAACTAATGCACGTTTATCTCGTACAGAACGTTCATTGTTCAAATAAAAGATGGCCAGTGATTCTAAAAATGAGAATTACACCGACAAATCAGTAGAGGGTTGAACAAGTTTATCGAGAATCATGTCCATGGATAGTGTCAGTTCCTTTCTTACTAGAAAGTATATATATTTTTATGTTAAAAGGTCGGTTTTTTTATTATTATTATTATATTACCTTCTAGGTGGACCTTTACTGTACTCTCTTTTTATTCTATCGAATTGCTCAGGATGATATCTTTTGACATTGTTGAGGATATCATAGTTTATCATAATAAAAGAATTGTCACATTACATAATAGAATGGATAATCATGTATTTATAAGGGATTATAGAATTTCATTTCTGTACTTGCTTTGTTTTTCATTTATACTTCTCTTATTATATTCGATTATCACAGAAGTCAAGACAAATAGAAAAATCAGGTCCCAAATTAAAGACAACACACATGTGGATATAAAGGGAAATTTTGGCGCGTGTAAATACTTATGAACCGAATAATACTACTTATGGGATTATAATATTTTATTAAATGTCGTTATAAATTTTGACTTGGCCTAAAGCTATCATTACCAAAACCCAATAATATCAGATGTGTGATAAATCGATGATAATTTAGGAAAAATGACAAGTAAGATTAACCAGATTGCAAAAATTAACTGAACTTTTATTAACATAAAATTTAGGGTCCTTTATATATATATTGAATTCGACCTCCTTCTTAGACAGGGCTAGATGACAGGCAAGATTATGACTGACACGCCATATCTTGAAAGTAAGTAATCCAATGATAATCATATAATAGAAGAAAGAGTGGTACACGTTTCTGTAATAGGTTTGTAGTGTCACTTGACGCGTACATTTAAAAGTCATCAAAGTACATTCAAAAATTTATCGTGTTTGTACTTTTAAACCTCGTTTGTCATTGGCCACCGCTAATCGGATTAGTACAATTTATTAATAATGTCTTTTTATAATAGAGAGGAATGGGCAATAGAGAGGAATGGGCAATTTTTTCCAATTTACACATTCGGAGTATGAATATTACGTCATATGTGTAAATACACACTATTTCCAAACTACCGTTTTTGTAAACGCACTTTATGAGAGATTACATCACAATTTCTTACTTTATTTGCCTTTTTCTCTTTTTAAACACTTTTTAACATAAAATGTCTCAAATCCTTTACTTATATGCTACCATACGTACTTACGAGGACTATATCAATACACTCGAAGAAAGACTCAACGAAGAGGACGAATTATTAGCCCGTTTGGAGCATAACGAAACGAATTACGCGTTGCATAATCGACAAAAACTAGATATTTCTACATTGAGCAATGAAGTATGTAAATCTTTGTTTAGATTTACTTTCAGAGAGCTTAAATTGGTATCCAGAGCCTGAAAATGAAGAGTACTATGCTGGTGTGGGTGCCATTACAAGAGATGATCCCAGTATCAATCCTCAGATCTTGTTCGAAACAGTTAGCATGGAGAAGACTGGTATTCACATTTATGATATTGATCAAGATGAAGATCTTCAACAAGTAGTGGAATCAAATCAATCTGTAGTTGAAACTGGTCGCCATAATAGAAACAATGGTGTACAAAATCTTCTGGGTTTAGGTAGAATTTTGTATATGGATGACACAGAAGTTAAAAGAGAGGTGATCAACAAAGCCAGACGAGAACGCTACCCAAGCGCATCTCTTAACACTCCTCTTCCCCGGTTAGCAAGAGAAAACTCTTTCTTCGTCGAAGATATTACCAACGAGCATAGCAATTCATCCGACTCAGATGCAGAGTCAAGCAACACTCGTCCCCCTTCATCATCTCCAATTACACCTGATGCCAATATTCGTACTTCTGTTAATTCCAATCCTGTCACGCCAAACCCGTCAGTATCTAACCCTTCCACATCCAATTGTTCCTCACCCCATCGTCCCTCCTCCAATCGTTCCTCATCCAATATCTCTAACCCTCGCGCCACTTCCATTCATTCTGACTCAAGCAACAACGCCCCTTCTTTGGTCACCAATAATGTTGCCAATAAGTCTACCTTGGATCCAATTGAAATAATTCAACAAATTGCCAGTAATGCTCAGTCTTCCATTCATAAATTTATGCAAACAATAATGGCATTGGGAGTCCAAGAGCGCGAACAAAGACAAATCGATCGTGATGCTTTTTTGACGAGACTGGAAGAGAGTAGAAGAGCTACCTTGAATGAAATGGCTGAAAGAAGACGAGAATTGATGCGCGAGAGACATGCCTTGTATGAAGAGTCGGCTGAAAAAAGAAGAAAGCATTTGGAAGAAACTTTTGAAAAGTATCACATGTTAACAAATATTCGTTCTAACAACGAAAACAATTAGATTTTTTTTTCTTTTCATAATAAAACCGTTCTCGTAAAGTATTTTTCTTGACTGAGCATCTACAGTTGACAAATATTATCTTGCTTTCTAACTAAAACTTGCCTCAAAATAATACGATAAATTGTAAGTTTTAATATGATAATAAATAAGAAAGAAAAAAAAACCGTGCATAAATAAAAAACAACGTGCATAAATAAAACAAATTTATGCATCTTCATCTGAATGTGAAAAATCAGCTTCGTCTTCTTCCTGATCGGATGTCGCCAAAAGATTGGCTTGTTCGACTTACCTTAAGGATTCCAAAAGAGTGTTACCGTGAGCTATAGCTAGTCTTTTGAGATCACGTAAAGCAGCAGTGGTCAGCCTCGTAGGTTGTAATGTAGGATCTGATGGATGAGCGGGTACTACATTATTGGGGAGAGGTGTAGGATTTTGAAGAGATATTTCAACATCATCTCTTCTACGTATTGTCGTTGCACTGATAAACGCAGCTTATTCCAAATTACCAGCTTCAAAAGATTCTTCAATGTCACACTGGTCAATACACACATTGTGCAAAACACAACAAGCCAGAATTGTTTTTTCTATTCGCTTGATGTCAAGCATGTAAAGATGTTTCCATAAAAATCTCCACCTAGATGTCAAGGCCCCAAATGCATGCTCAATTTTAATTCTTGAGCTAGAAAGAACAGCATTAAAATCCTTGTATAATTGTAAAGAATTGTCGTTAGTTGAAAAGGGTGTGACCAAGTTTGGGAGAAGAGGGTAAGCTGAATCTACAAAGTGGTTTTACAATTGAGTCATTTATCAGTAAAAACGTATTATATATGACTAACGTATACACACCTCCCAAAATGAAAGTATTTTCAGGACACCATCGAGCACCGTCTGTCAGCATATTATGGTATAGAACACTGCTTGTAAAAACCCTGGCATCATGGTTTCGTCCTTTAAATGTATTGGTTAAAACTGTCAGAAACAGAACAAGAACAGAAAGAAGACTACTTGGTGACACGAGAGTCAGAGTGAAAATGATAAATAAAGAAGTTTATTTCAGAGAAGGGGGAGGGGTTAGGACTAAGATCCAGAATAACGTTTTTCTAATAAATAACTAGCATCTATTTATACTATTTCTTATACATGGGAAAAGCTACGATGGGTTTAAATTATAGATTAACAAGGGACTTTACGGAACAGATATCATGAGCAGATTATTTGACAAGGATGAGTAATTGAGATTCGACGAGTAATAGCAGGCTGGATTTAGTTGACATTGAATAATTAGATGGTTCGGGGAATATCTCTGATTTGACACGGGCGGGAAAACTGGATTGGGATATGAAGTAATAGATGATCGGAAAAAGGTTTACTAAGGTTGAGTCAGACAAGAGGCGGGAAATATATTGGAATACAGATTGGTGGTAGGTTTTACAAGGAATTCAGAAAGCGGGCAAGATATACAGATATGATTTTGGGTACAAGGTTTTACAGGGAGTTTGGTAGCGGACAAGGTATACTGATATTAGATTTTAGGACAAGGTTTCACAAGGGTTTAAAATCAAGGCATGATCTAGGACATGATGAAATGAGTTCATGACAGTCGCTCCCTCTTTACGGTCGAGCAACTGTGAGACTCTTTTCACATGGTCGGGTTGGGTGCAAGGTATGAAATTTCTTGATAGCTGATTTACAATGGGTAAGATTTTTTGTAGGTTCCCAAGTTCTATCCATGGTGCTATAGCCTTTCCAGTGTACCAAGTATTGTAAGTTATTTCTATTGAATCTTGAATCTACAATGTAGTCCACTTCGTATTCTTGATGTTCATCTACGATTATAGGTGGTAATTCACGAATGGGGCGACCAGGGATTTTATCAGGCTTATACGGTTCTAGAAGGTTTACGTGAAACACTGGGTGTATACGCATCGTTGGAGGTAGGTCCAATTTGTACGCACGGGATCCAACTAATGCTACAATCCTGAACGGCCCTAGACGCTTGTAGTCTAGTTTACCAGTTGGGCGTTGTGATTTGATGTTTTTTGATGAGAGCCAAACCTTGTCATTGATTTTGTAATTGGGACCTGGTTGTACGTGTCTATTATAAAATTCCGTATGCTTTTCTTGGGCTAGTCCAATATTGAATTTCATTTCTTGGTGTAAGTCATGAATATTTTGTAAGCGGACGTCTGCAGGGGATTTATCTTGATCGGACCTTGGTAGTGTTACTGACATTCGTGGGTGATATCCATATACTGCATAAAAAGGAGTGGTATTTGTTGATGAATGTTTTGCATTGTTATAGGCAAATTGTGCTATGGGTAAATAATCACTCCAGTCAGATTGTTGGTAGTTGATGTAACATCGTAAGTATTGTTCAAGTATAGAGTTGATACGTTCTGTTTGACCATCCGTTTGTGGGTGAAAAGCAGTGGACAATTTTTGTGTGACTTTTAATCCTTTCATGACAGACCTTGTGAATAATGACGTGAAGGTAACTCCACGGTCAGAGATTACGCTATCGGGGGTTCCAAAATGACAAAAGACATGAGTGATAAACAGACGTGATGTTTCTTCTGCATTGACTTGATTTGTAGTGGGTATGAACAATGCCATTTTACTGAAGCGATCGACAAACACGCAAATTGCCGTGTAGTTTTTGGACGGTGGAAGTTGGGTTATAAAATCAACTGATATGGATGTCCAAGGTGAGTCCGGGATTGGTAGAGGTTGTAGAAGTCCATATGGTTTGTGATGGCTATTTTTGTTTCTGATACACGTTTCGCAACCAGAAACATAGTCCTTGATGTAGGTACGCATACCGGGCCAGTAATAATTTCTTGATACCATATCATACGTCTTTGCGATACCAAAATGTCCAGCGGCAGGTGTATCATGACATTCTTCTAAAATAATTCTTTTTACATCGTCAACATGAGGTACACATATTTTTCCTTCATGAAATAAAATATTATCGTTAAAGCTGTATTTGGTCTCAGCCTTATTTTCAGGAGATGTTTTGACTGTGTTGATAATTGGTCCAAAATAAGAGTCTTCAGGTAATGCAAGGATGATTTTCGGCAGGATAGGATTTGTTTCGAGGTCAATGGGTACGGAGATAACAGAGTTTAAAAATAATTTTGGGTCTAGCAAGGTCATATTAGTTTTTCCACGAGAGTCACCCCCCTCAAAAGGGCGGTCTTTACGAGAGAGCGCATCAGCAGCAGCATTGTGCTTGGCAGCACGGTAAACAATGAGGTAGTTGAAATCACCAAGAATCTCAGCCCAGCGAACTTGTCGGCGACTGAGGTTGCGAGTAGTTGAAAAGTACTCTAAATTTTTGTGATCCGTCAAAACAATGGTTGCATCTGATGAAAATTCCAAGTAGTGTCGCCAATGTTTGAAAGCAGCAACAATAGCCAGAAGTTCCTTATCGTATATCTGGTAGTTAAGTTCAGCCGGAAGAAGTTTTCGTGAATAAAAAGCGATTGGATGGTTATAGCCATCGGGACCAGTCTGGCTACATACGGCACCAAGAGCAAAGTCAGAAGCGTCGGTCTCGATTATGCAAGGTAACTGTGGGTTAAAATGGAGTAGTACTGGATTACTAACAATACGATTCTTGAGATCATTAAAGGCGTTGATGGCAGAGCTATCCCAACGAAAAGGAACATCCTTTTTAAGTAAGCTAGTCAATGGGACACATAGTTTGGAATAATTTGCAATAAATCGTTTGTAAAAATTTGTCAATCCGAGGAAAACTTGAATATCGTGGACACTGGTGAGATCTTTCCAGTCTTTAATTGCATCAACCTTTTCTGGATCCATTGAGATATGATTGGGGGTAATAACAAAACCAAGAAATTGTACACTCTTCACGTCGAATTCGCATTTTTCCAATTTTAGAGAGAGTTGAGCATCCTTTAGCTTCTGTAACACCAGACGTACATGATTCGTGTGTTCCTCCGGATTGCTGGAAAAAATAAGAATATCATCGAGATAAACAACGACAAAAGAGTCTAGATATTGTCGCAGGGTGTCGTTGACTAGAGCTTGAAAAGAGCCAGGAGCATTACAAAGACCAAAAGGCATGACACGATATTGAAAATGACCATAACGGGTACGAAAAGCAGTTTTCCATTCATGACCTTTAGCTATACGAAGAAGATTATATGCACCACGCATATCAAGTTTGGTAAATATAGCCCCAGTATGTAGACGATCTAAAGTTTCGCTTATAAGTGGTAGGGGACATCGGTTTGGAATAGTGATTTTGTTAAGACTGCGGTAATCAATAACAGGGCGAAGAGAGCCATCCTTTTTCTTGACAAAGAAAACAGGAGCACCAGCAGGAGACTCAGATCTTTCAATAAATCCTTTGGTTAAATTTTCTTGAATATATTCATACAATGTGTCCATTTCTATTTTTGATAGGTTGTATAAGGGTCCAAAAGTCACTTCACTACCGGTCTTGATAGGGATGGTATGGTCATAGGGTCTATGCGGGGGTAGTCGATCAGCTTCTTTTTTTGAAAATACAATACTAAAATCTTGATATTTATTTGGTAACAGTTGTGTCGTGATGTTTTCATATTTGTTTGTGTTTATGGCGCAAATAATAGGTGCAGATTTTGGTTGTGGAACGTTAAAATGTTTTAAAATCGGTGTATTGAGTTGTTTTGCAAGTTTTTCCCTTTTTTCTTTTTTCTCGTTCATTTTTAAAAAGTCATAAGAATACTCAGAAGAATGATTTATTTCATTGGAAGAAGTAAAAATATTATCTGTATGTGAAGGGGTTACAAAGGTTGTACTATCGTTAATCGAGTCACTAATTTTTTCATCGTCAATTGTAATCACATCGGTCGTTGTTGTATCTAGTTTAGTGGCGAGGCATCCACGAAGAAGACAGGTCATCACCATCGTTCCGGACTTCCAGTCAAAAGCAGGGTTGTGGCGTACTAGCCAATCTTGACCGAGAATAATAGGGTGAGCAGCAGAGTCGAGGTGCTTCAAAGTAATATATTCTTGGTGGTGTGTATCGTTAATTTTCATAAATAAAGAAGATTCTTTATCTGTCGTATGTACGGAGTTGTCTGCTAATTTGTATGAGGTCGGTATACCAGTATGATAGGGGAGACCGCTTTGAGTTACGATGTTGGATGAGATGAACGAACTAGAGCTTCCAGAGTCGACGAGAGCAAAAACAGAGACACAAATACCGCTAATAGATACTGTTACAGGTATAACAATGAGACCCGATACTTCGCTTTCAGTAACGTAATTAATGTCGAGAGCATTGGATTTGTTGATACTTTCCTGTTTTTTGGATACTTGATGTAAATACTGTACCAATAATTTGTCTTTTGGGGTTTTTACGGCCTTCACTAAATTTAACTGGGGGTCGATGCTTGTAATAGCGTGTAATTGGGTGTCGGTTTCCAAGTTGGTTTCATCATATGATTCATTAGTTAATATGGTTGATATTGTTCCAAAGTTAGATCGATGGGGTTGGTTATTTATCTTGTTTGGGCAGGCAGCTGTAAAATGTCCAGGAAGTCCACAGTATAGGCATAGATTATTTTTACGTCGTCTATCTTTTTCCTCAGGTGAAATAGGGCCACGACGAATGTTGTTGTTGTGGGGTGAATAGGATTGTGTTTTGTTTTCCGTTTTAATTTCGTACGTGGGATAACCGACATGATTGATTTCCATTGGGGTAGGTTGAGTGGGTTGAGGTTGTCTAATGATTCGAGTTGGTGATTGTTGTTTTTGTTGTACTCTTGCATAATGTCGATTATCAATTTCAATTGCCTTAGCTATCATCTTGTTCAATTCCTTAATGGGTGAGAGTCGGGCAAGTTCATCTTTAACATGGTCCTTAAGGTTCAGCACGAATTGAGATACCAAGGCATCGTTGTTCCAAGTCAATTGCATGCTCAATCTTCGGAAGTCTGTTGCGTATCGAGCTACAGAGCCCACTTGTCGCAGGGCACGGATAGATGATTCAGAATTAATAATTGGATTAGAGTCACCAAAGGCGTCATATAGGATTTGTTTGAAGTTTTTATAATCGTTTAAAATTTCCAATTCTTTATCAGTGTCGATATCTTTGATAAATGGTTCAATGTATGAAAGGGCATTTCCTGCTAAACAACCAATGGTGTAGAGAACCTTCTTGTTGTCCGAAGCAAAACGTACGTCGTCGGCAGCAAATACAACTGAGAGTTGAGAAAAAAATGAATTTATGTACGACGTTTGACCAGTGAAAGGTACGGGAGGTTTGATACGGATGGAATTTGTTTGTTGGGTTACGGATTTATGTTGATAATTTTCGGCTATATATGCATGGATCTCTGCACCTAGATCGGCTACATGTTGTTGACAGTTGCTGATAATAGTTGCAGTGTTGGATTCAATGGCATGGAGTCGTCGAGCAAGATTGTTAATTATGTCATTTGCGGACATGTTTTGGGTTTCTAATTTTGGTAATTCAGTTTCTTCAATAATGGAGACCCGATGTAGGAGTTGCTTGAGTGTTTCGATTTGCTCTTCGGTCAATTCAGGCATAGTGGCAAATCTTTATTGGAGACGAGGTTAAACAAGAAACAGGGAACAGGGAACACGGCAAAGAAACGAGGTAAAAGGTAAAGAGGACCAAGTAGTTAGGTTTTTGATTCTGGATAATGTCAGAAACAGAACAAGAACAGAAAGAAGACTACTTGGTGACACGAGAGTCAGAGTGAAAATGATAAATAAAGAAGTTTATTTCAGAGAAGGGGGAGGGGTTAGGACTAAGATCCAGAATAACGTTTTTCTAATAAATAACTAGCATCTATTTATACTATTTCTTATACATGGGAAAAGCTACGATGGGTTTAAATTATAGATTAACAAGGGACTTTACGGAACAGATATCATGAGCAGATTATTTGACAAGGATGAGTAATTGAGATTCGACGAGTAATAGCAGGCTGGATTTAGTTGACATTGAATAATTAGATGGTTCGGGGAATATCTCTGATTTGACACGGGCGGGAAAACTGGATTGGGATATGAAGTAATAGATGATCGGAAAAAGGTTTACTAAGGTTGAGTCAGACAAGAGGCGGGAAATATATTGGAATACAGATTGGTGGTAGGTTTTACAAGGAATTCAGAAAGCGGGCAAGATATACAGATATGATTTTGGGTACAAGGTTTTACAGGGAGTTTGGTAGCGGACAAGGTATACTGATATTAGATTTTAGGACAAGGTTTCACAAGGGTTTAAAATCAAGGCATGATCTAGGACATGATGAAATGAGTTCATGACAAAAACTGTAGGCAAAAACAAAGACACTGAGCGTCTATTCAAGACATACACTTACCGGAATGCCCTGTTTTTGCATACATAAATCTGCACCTTGCATCACACACAGCAGTTAAATTCATTGATTCGTTGTTCTTACGATGCACATGGGCATTTCCATTTACTGATGGCTTCTGGATGGTGACAAGCTTACCGTCAATACATCCGAGAATTCCTTTTAATCTCATGTTATTGGGTCCACCCAGTTCATAAAACTCTTCAGAATTTTTCAAAGCTCTTGCAGAATTACCGATAGGCCAAGAAATTACTTCGTTGCGCATATCTACCATGGCATTAATAAACCTTTCCGTGAAGTTTCTATATGATCCTGCTGAAACACCCAAAGTAACCTCTGCAATGCGGTATCCAAAATGTGTATTCGCAAATCTCCACAAAACACAAGCAACCTGAATTTCTACACTATATCCTCCTTGTACAATTTATCCGGCATAGTGAGAGGGGTTACTTAAACGAGCGACCAGCCATTGAAAAGTTTTTTTGTTGATTCGGTAATGCGCTCTATAACTTTTACGACTTTTAGGATTATCGTTTAAATTGGGATGTTTTACAGTCTGTTTGGGATGGAGATAAAAATGTAAATTAAGGTAACAAAAGAAAATACTGTTAGAACTGTGTATATCTTTTATTTCGAGAAAATTTAGATTAGGGAATTCTACTAGCAAAAACTACAGGTATTCATACTAAATGATTAGATGGCTTTCGGATAATATATGTGACGCGTTAGAGGAATATGATATAATGTTATACGTAATGTCTGTTTAAATAAATATGTTATGAAGTAATTCCTGCTGTGGTGATCTGCTATATTGTTGTTACATTAAATAAATCCATATCTATGACATCAATACATTAAGAATGATTAAGGAATCAATTACCCAATATAGATAGTTAGTACTATCATATCACAGGGTTACAAGAACACAGTGACTAAGGCTTACTAAAGATATGGAAGTACAATGTGTCTAAGATGACAGTAATTCCAAGTGTAACATATTTACAAAATAAGCAGTTAAAGGTAACAGGATACACACTGGGAAAATGATAACAACTTCAAAGATACACTAAAGATAGTGGGACAGCAGATAGTCTTTTTTTATATAAATACTTGTTCATTTTATTTCATAATAAAGACAATCTTATAAGCAGTCTCAAATTATTCATAAACTGCCTTATAATTTTTACTTACCTCAAAACACAACAAGAGCTTCTGGAGTTGTACAGGATGCTGATGTAATTGGATGTAATAATTCCGGAATAAAACTTTTGGTAAGGCGAGTAGTAATAGAGCGTTTCAGAAAGGAAGGCGAAGATTCACCTGTTTCCCTCCAAAATTTTTGTGCTCGTAAAGAGTCATTGGTGGACATTTCCTCTTGTAGTCCCTGAATTTTCGCTTCCACTTTGGAAAGTTTGAATTGTAGGGCAGCTGTAGTCAGTGACGAATTATTGAGGATCGAGGATCGTTTTAACTGTAACACATCTAAATGTTTTTTACGCCAATTAGCATGATGGCGGCCAGTTTTACGAGCAACTTTTTGAACTGTATCCTTAATACGATCCCATCGAAGCTGAGGGCTAAGATCGTGACGAAACGTTGAGCAAATTTTATCAATCTCTTGATGCATGGAATCCAAAAATCTGGGATTCGAAACTAAGGCTGGATTGGCCCTCCAAAGTCCTTTTCCTGAATGTGTAGAAAGACACTTAAAAGAAAAGGTCAATAGAGCGTGGTCAGTCCATGCAGGTGATATAAATTCTACATTGTTTAATCTTATCAGAGTATAAATCGGAAGTCGAATATATGTAGTCTATGGTTGACATTTGTTGACCTCTTCGAAATGTGGGTGATATGCTAGGCGAGTCGAGGCAGTTCAGAAAATTGGATTGAAGCACTTGATTCCAGCGAAATTGGTGATTACTTAAAGCTTGTTGTCCAGTCAAAGAGGTGGAGACATCGCGTAGGTTATAATTAAAATCCCCAGTGATGATCGTTCGAGAGGGTAAAGCTGGAGAATTACTAGATAAGTTAACGGAGGGAGTATCTTCTCTGGAACGAATTATTGGCATCTCGATGATACGAGAAAAAAATTGTTGACGTTCAGAGAGTTGTGCCGGAGCATAAATGGTAACGATAGTTATAGGATCAAAGGTACGTTGAGAATGAGTTATAGTACACTTTATCACCCGTTGATCAATTGTTATGAAATCAGGAGTTAGTTGCAAAGAAGGGTTAAAACAAACAATGCCGCAATGCTTGCTCCAGACTGTTTGTTTGGTTTGGAATAGATTATCAAGAATTAGCTTCAGTTCCGTAGTAGAAGCGTGTGCTTCTTGTAAAGTAATGATATCTAGAGGCGGGTTTTGTTTACGCAGAAAACGAATAAAGTCTTGACGACGAGAGGGTTCATTGATTTTGACAAGACTGCGACAGTTTAAGGTAGCAATCCTGATGGTACTTGAAAGGAAAGAGTGGTCCAAGAATGGATCTTGGTCAATTGGAGGAAAAGAAGAAGATGTTGATCCTGTTGTTGTAGTAGGATGAGGATTAGTGGTGGTTGTGTAATTTGAATTATGTAAATTCATAAAGTAATATAGATTTTTTTTTTTTTTTTTTTTTTTTTTTTTATAAATAAAAAGGTTGGAGATACTTGAATCTGCCCCCTCATCAGTCAGACGTCTTCCGGAAGGAAGATGTCGGTGAAGAGGAGGAAGGGTCATATTTTACAGCAGCGACACCTTTATTAGCTCGAGGAGAGACTCGTTTGTTGCTCATAGTAGAAGTGGTAACTTTAGAGAAAGTCGTCGTCGGGTTACTGGCTTTGTTGGTAGTTTGTTTTCCAACAATGGCTGATATATTATTGGTTACCATGGGAAGCTCTTCGGCATCTGTTAATCTATCCGCATCGTCCTCCGACACGTCCATCATAGATTCGTTATCGGATACCAACGTAATTGATTGGGAAGTACGAGGATGACGGGCCTCCTTGTGGGTTACTTCGTCGAGGGTGAAATTGGGTTCGGTGCCAGTTGTTTCGTCGGTATCTTCAGCACTAATAGTGTGGGTGGGTGTTACTAAGACCTTATTGAGGCTGGGTACAAAAGGTTCCTCTTCGTTACGAACTCGTTTTTTTGAAGAGGCAATGGAGTTATCGTGAGACCGGGGACAGTGGCGAGCGAGATGCCCGCGTCTATCACATAGATAACACGTTTTACTAATAGTTGGTATTTCTTGGCAGTCCTTACGGGTATGACCCATTTGCTTGCAATATACACAATGGGACTCCATTTTAGCCCATTTACCAAGACAGAAGGACTGGTTACCTAAATCGATTTTATACGTGAGCTTATCCCAGGCTTTGGGGTTAGCTGGATCAATTGATCTGTCCAAGAAGATAGCACCGTTGCCACAGAAAGCTGTGTTGGACTCATCGTCGAGGTAAATAGTGACGTCTCTCACGTTACCGAAACGAGAAAAATTGTGGACCAACGTGGTGTGTAGATCGGCTACTGGCAAGAAAGGTAATTTTGAAAGATGGACCTTCAAAATGATGTTGTCCTGAGGGACAGCAGGAGTGGCGTGAAACTTTCTGTCGTGCCCAATAACAATAGGATTGTTTACTGCATCGTCGACAGCTGATTGGTCATTCAAAATGACTTCGATAATTTTGCCCTGACTGTCATCAGTGGCATGAGTACCAAGACAGGTACCAAAAGGAAAACGCACATAACGTGCTTTTTGAAATTCAGGTATTAAATTTAAAAATTCTTTTTCAACAAAGTAAAAGACGGCATGTTTATAACTACTGTTACGATGAATGGCTGGTTTTTGATCTTTAAGGTCAGTAATGGGTTTGAAGATGGTGTCTCCAAGAGAGATGGTAATTCGAGATTTCGAATTGGGATTGTTTCGGTATGCTCGAGGTGGTAAGGCTTGCGCAGCCACATCTCGAAAAGAGCGTGTTAGTGTATTTGAAGGGCCATGATTATGGTTCTCAAGAGATGTTGAGGGTACCGTCATGTTTGTAAAGCGAAAGAAAGACGCAAATAGTTCAATTTACTTATATACCCGAATTTTTGAGCGGTTTTTAAAAGTAGAGGGTTGCTTTGCTTTTGATTTTTAGGCAGAGCGTTTATTATTTGTTATCTTTGTATGGTAAAATTAGAATTGGAAGGAATGTTTGTAGAATTTATACGAGAGAGAAACCAGTGATTGAAGCTGTTTAATTCTTCGAGCTCAGTTTCGGTCAAAGTATATTGCTGGCGTTTAAGTTTATGAATGTTAGAAAGTAGAGTGTCAAAATCTATTGAAGAATTGCTTGGAGCGGTGAGAGGAGCTTGTTCAGTTGGAGTAAGAAGAGCTGAGCTATCAGGCGAGCTCTGGGGAATGGCTGATAAAGTGAGATCGAAAGAAACTATTCAATTTAAGGTTGGTAAAGAAATGAAGCCGTAAAGAATTCAATAGTATTTATCTTTACCTTCAAATACAGACAACCAAGACATATCACACTTCAACAAATACATGTGTTTGCATGCGATATTGTTAAGGCGGAAGTCAGGGCAGCTGCAAGTGGTCATTTGTAGATCGTCCACCACAACATCATAACTTACACAAGAAGTTGAGAAAGAAGAAATAACATAACCACTTCTACCAGCAGAATCAGTTCTCGTAGTTTCGATGCCATACAGTGTTCTTTACTACATTTCAAGAGTATTTACTATGGCTTAATATATCGGGTTCTTTTTTTTTTCAATATAGAATATCTCTTTATATATCCATAAAAATATGACACTTCAAAAATAAAAAAACAAGAGGGGAACAGGCTACAGATTTTTGATGGGCAAAGCAACCATGGAGCTTCTAAACCGGTTTTTGAAGCTGATGACTACATTTATTCTCGCGTTAGAACAAACGCCATCTAATTTTTAGGTCTTTTGGATGAGCCTTTGGTCCCCAAATAAACTTAAATGTCCAATAAAAACTTTACATATGCCACTTACTCCCGGTCAATCTCTCACTTAATTTGTAAGACTTTTCGATTCTCAGACAGCTTCTTTATTTCAAGCCGAAAATCACCCACTTAATCTGTAAGATATTTCGATTTTCAGTCAAATTCATAGTCTCATGTTTACTTTATCCTACAATTATATGATACCATTAGTAAGAACCTGGAAGCTTAAGACAGAGAGTTTTTTTCTTCTTCTACAAACAAAAACTAAATATAACTTAAAACCTAAAACCTGAAATTGATCCTGATAGTGATATATCCACAAACACCTCTTTTATTGCCATGTAAAGCATACACATCAAATCAAATTCATAAACCTGGTTCCCACCATCACAAGGTAGAAAAACTATTTTTCTCAACTTGTCGTCGAAACCCCTTATTATACAAAATGACGTCTCTAACAACATTTGATTTAATATATTATTATTTTTCAACTTATAAAAAAGCCTCTTGAGATTTTTTTTTTTTCTTTATTTCTTTGTTCACCAAAAGAAAGGAAAAAAAAAAAGACGGAAGTATCGTAAAAATAAGTATTTAATTTTGTAGACAAAGGATCTATTCAAATATCAAAATGTGGTTGTTTACTTTTAAGCTGATCGTGCTGACCTTTGGTTATCTTTTCCTTTTGTATTGCCCAATTTTTTCCTCATGAAAGGTTTTTTTAATGGAGGCAAAAGGTTTTTACTGATGCCGGGGTTGGTACCAATACAACATTTATCTATCGGAGGAAGAAGGCAGTCTAGAATTTGGTTTCCGTTACAAACAGTGTCTTACACTGCCACAGGTATGATAATTTTTATATATGTTCTATGCAAAAAGTCAGTCTTACAGTTTATTTTAACATTTTAAAGCATTACTTCATGATGTATAGCCTATTGGAGCTGTTCCCCCAGTGTCCAGTGGGTGTTATCTAATTAATTGGTAAGTGATATGACTTTTTTCTCTATCATATCTGTTTATGTTCATACTAACGCGAAATTTGTATTACAGCTAGCTCAACACCATGCAAATTACAAGGAAACTTAGAAATGTTTCTATAGCCGCGGTTTCAACACTGTTCGGTCTCATCTCTTTACCAAGTAAGGTCATTCCGCATGAAAAAGCCAAAGGAAAACTCTGACGTCATTCTTTTTTTATTCGGTCCAGACGCCTTTAAACCGTCTGGACGGTCTTGGTGTGAAGGCCTGTAGTCTCTTTCATAAAAAATTTTTTCTTCCATATGTCAGATTTAGCCACGTATAAAGCAACTTTTAAAACAAATAACAAGTACTTGAAGTACTTTTGTGATAAACCGGCTTTAGACTGGACATTTAAGTCATACAAAAATTTTTTCCATGAACAAGATGCTGAAAAAATCAAAAGACTTTATAAGGAGAATTTACAAACTGTCAAAGAAGACTCGAGAAACGTTTCCACAATCGTCCATAGGCACATTAATAAATTATTGGAGCCTTTTAATTCTTCAAGTACACCCAGCTCTTCGGTTGTGAACAATATCACAGTATGTAAATATGTGTTCAAAATATCATGTTTATTGACTTGTATATTTTATCTTTAGGTGACAGGAGATTATAACAACGTAAGGATTTGAATATTGATTATTTGAGTTATTTGCTGAAGTAGGTAATAGGTTGGTGGTGAAGTTATAACAATAAATAAGAAAAGCAAGAAACAAAAGGCAAGCTGATAGTAAACGATGTTCTTTATCCCCTATAAACTAATTACTTTTTATTAGATTAAGCATGAAGATAACCATGAAGACATGAAGGAGACCGAAGTGGTTGATTTTAAGCAGAAATGGGTTGAGTTCTTGGCCGATGCTGAACATAGTAAAAATTTCCACAAGTACAGGTAAAATGAAACAGCAATTGATTTAAGAACCTATTAATAATTTTGATTGTAGCCCTGAGAAGAACGGTGTAACCCGTTTGGGTGCTAAGCTATCACCTCATCCAAATGCAGATAAAGATACCTACCGACATTTAAAGCAGCAGTTGAAGCCATGTGAAACAACCGACATTTGGATAGAAGCAAAGAATTATATCAGTAATGTAGTTACTGCAGTAAGTATTTTTGATATTCAAATCTTCAAGTTAAATTTGATATACCTAAATTTTTTTTTATTATTATTCTTAGACAAATATTGATGAGTTTGAAGAGAAGATTGGGGTTAAAGGACTTCTAACAGATAAAAAAGAAATGTGTCGATGTATTGATGATATCTGTAAAATCATGTATGTATAATATCATCAGAATCTTTCCCATAATAAGCTAACCTTTTATTTGGATTAGGGCAAAAGTTTATAAGAAGAGACCATCAATATCACGATCAGAAAGCGTATATAATGTCAACATGATCTATCCTTGTTTAGAATCAATGCTTACTATGATGGAGGGTAATGAACATAAGCCATATTTCATTCCTGGTGAAGATGAGCTTACCGCCATGACAGTGCAGCTAAGGAAAATGGGATGCAAAGTTGACAAAAGAAGAATTTATAAGGCTGATGGAATTATACGCTTAGCAGAACTTGAAGATCTAGAAGTCCTTATTTTGGAAACAGCGGGCGCTTTTAATGTTGAAGACCATGGAAAAACAGCATTTGACAACTCAAAGGGCATGTTTGCCCTGCTGGCGATGTTAAAAACAATAGCTGACCACTACAAGCATGCGTCTGTTGAAGAATTTAAAAAACTTAAGCTCTATTTCATACAACCAAGCGGTAAGCAATATTACAAACAGTCTTTTATTTAGTTGCATTAATGATAATATTTCGCCACATCTAGACAAATATATCCGATTGTGGTCAATGCAGTATGCCAAGCATGGGTTGTATAATTTTATCCGGGAGAAGAAGATCTTGTTGGGCGAAGACTTTGAAAAAAGAAACGATCACCTGATTAACTTGGTCAATTTTTTCTTGAGTTTGAAGGTATATTTCTAATCTCAAATAATTGGGAAGAAAAATAATAACAAGTCTGGTTAATTGTTTAGGACCTTCTTGACGAGACACTGAACACTATTTCTGTTTTAAAAAGCCAACATGAGGAAAATGAAAAGTATTATGACAGTGAAAATAGCAGCCAAGTAGTTCTTCTTTCGGACATAATATGTCCAAGAATTTTTAAATTAAGTTTCAACACTCATGGTCAAAACTTTTCAAAAGAGCACCTTAAAAGCTCGCCTGAAAGCGATAGTTAATTTTTTTTTTTCTAAAATAAATTCGTCTTTACTTGTTAAAATAAAAAACCAAATCAATTTGTAAAACCAGAGTTAAAGTTTATACAGTGCATCTATTTTATAATGAACAATTTTTGGCTCTGATATCCAAAAAAAAAAAAAAAGAAAAACGCTATCTCCTCGATGAATTTATTACGTATCAGAAATCCGGCTCTATTATGTTCTTTATCAGAGAGTTCTTCATAAACTAATAGAGCCCAATTTTTTTCTTTTCACACAAAATTTTTTACAGATGGCAAAACAAAATTTGCCATTTACAGTGGGAAGTCCCATAGATGTCCGGGTGTTTTACAGTGCAAAAATTCATAAAAATCTATCAGCAGATATATCCCGGTTAAACGTTTTACCGCGGTAAATCAGATTCCTCCCTAAACGTTTTATTGTATGAGCAGCCTCACAACATTTAAAATATTTATGCTAAACTTCGTTAGTGTTTTTCTTTTTTCCTTTCTTAGTAAACGTTGAATCCAATATCAGCTTTTGAGAAATTAATGTATAGTTGATGCAAGCTGATATATACAAATGTTGTATATGTCTTTAGACATGGCTGTTCAATAATTATGCCGATGATGGCAAACAGATTTACCTCCGGACTTTCAATACCACCCTACATGTGTGTAAAAACGTCACATAGGAGGGTGCAGGCTTTTTTTCTTTTCTTTTTTTTTTTGTGTTTCTTTTCTCTTTCTTATAATTATGGACGACATTGAGAAATTAGAACACTTGTCACTTGTACAAAAAGTGGTGAGCGAACTTTACAACCATACCGGTTTACATGAACAAGTTTTAGGTAAGCAGCAGCCGACACAACAACAACAATAATAATAACAACAAAACCAAATCTAATCTATTTTAATTCCTGTAGCTGAATTCATCATTCACATTCACGACCAAGCAAAGGGTTCACTCCCAACATTCAAACAAATGTTAAAGGACGCCGATGCCGATTTTCCTGAAGCATTTATTGAGAATTTGGATCGAATCATCAAAACATTAAAGCCCAAAAGAAAAGTACACAAAGAGGACAACGTGACGGATAAAACATCCAATTTCCCTGGTTTAGCAGTGCAAGATGATCCTGATTGGCAAGCAAAGCGTAAAGAGGATATGGTAGTTGCAGACGATATGTTGGCCGAGTTAGAAGGCATTAAATCAACAGCCGTGCCTAGAAATACCAGCAACCATAAACGCAGAAACGAAAGCCCTTCACCTGAAAGAAGACACCATCGTAGACATCGTTCTCGTTCTCGCTCGCGCTCTCCTGTTCGCCGTCGTCACAACAATAGTGGTCCGGATGATGCTCCCATCATTTACAAGATTTATAACGGTACTGTATCCAACATCAAAGATTTTGGTGCCTTTGTCAAATTGGAAGGTATTAAGGGCCGTTCAGAAGGATTGGTCCATGTCGGTTCTCTGATTCAAGGTCGTGTGAATAACCCAAGAGAAGTTGTGAAACAAAACCAACCTGTTAAAGTCAAAGTCATGTCCATTGCCGGTAATCGTGTTAGTCTTTCCATGAAGGACGTTGACCAAAAAACTGGTGAGGATTTATCTCCTAATTTGCGTGTTCGATCCCAAGAGGAATTAGAGGCCATGACTTCTCGTAACCCCGAACGTCCTTCTTACATAACCGGATCCAACTCCAACCCCGTAGGTGTAATTGTCGATGAGGGACCATCAAGATCTGTCAAACGCATGTCATCACCCGAACGTTGGGAATTGAAGCAATTGATTGCTTCAGGTGTTGTCGATCCTGCCGATTACCCTGAATTGAATGAGGATACTGATTTCGACGGTAATGTAGAAACTGAAGAGGAAATCGATGTGGAAGTGCGTGAAGAAGAGCCTCCCTTCTTGAAGGGTCAAACGACACAAACTCTTGATTTAAGTCCTGTCAAGGTAGTCAAGATTCCTGACGGAACCATGAATCGTTCAGCTTTAGCTGGTGCCTCATTAGCAAAGGAACGTAGAGAATTGAGACAACAGCAGCAGCAACAGGAAATGGACGCCGTACCTCAAGATGTAAATACACCTTGGCTGGATCCTATGGCCGGTCCTGATGGAAGACAGTTTGCCCAGGATGCTAGAGGTAGTGCTGCTGGAGCAAAGCCTGAACAAGTAGCGGAGTGGAAAAAGGCTACTTTCAATAATGCTACTAGTTTTGGTAAAATCACCAGTATGTCAATCCAGGAACAACGTGAATCTCTTCCAACCTACAAGCTTCGTTCGTCCCTTATTGAAGCTATTCGTGAGAACCAAATGTTGATTGTGGTGGGTGATACTGGTTCCGGAAAGACCACACAAATGACGCAATATTTAGCTGAAGAAGGATTCGCAAATCATGGTAGAATTGGTTGTACTCAGCCTCGTCGTGTTGCTGCCATGTCAGTGGCTAAACGTGTTGCAGAAGAAGTGGGTTGCCGTGTTGGTCAAGAAGTTGGTTATACCATTCGTTTTGAAGATTGTACTAGTCCCGAAACTCGTATTAAATACATGACAGATGGTATGCTTTTAAGAGAATGTTTGATTGACCCTGAAATGAGTCAATACTCCGTTGTTATTCTTGATGAAGCGCATGAAAGAACCATCTCTACTGATGTATTGTTTGGTTTGTTGAAGAGAGCTGCTAAAAAACGTCCTGATTTGAAGTTGATTATTACCTCTGCTACTTTGGATGCTGATAAATTCGCTACCTATTTCAATAACTGTCCTATTTTCACTATTCCCGGTAGAACTTACCCTGTTGAAGTATTGTATACCAAAGATCCCGAATCAGATTATTTGGATGCTGCATTAATTACAGTCATGCAAATTCATTTGTCAGAACCCCCAGGAGATATTCTTTTATTCTTGACAGGTCAAGAAGAAATTGATACAGCAAGTGAAATTCTATTTGAGCGGATGAAGGCGTTAGGGAGTGATGTGCCCGAATTGATTGTTTTACCTGTTTACTCTGCTTTACCGTCTGAAATGCAATCTCGTATTTTTGATCCTGCACCCCCTGGTAGTCGTAAGGTTGTCATTGCTACTAATATTGCAGAAACTTCTATTACCATTGATGGTATTTACTATGTCATCGATCCTGGATTTGTCAAACAAAACAAGTGGGACGCTAAATTAGGTATGGATTCCTTGGTTGTTGTACCTATTTCACAAGCTGCTGCAAGACAGCGTGCTGGTCGTGCCGGTCGTACTGGTCCTGGTAAATGTTATCGTCTCTATACAGAAACCGCTTATCGTAATGAAATGTTACCCAATACAATTCCCGAGATTCAGTTGCTGAATTTATCTATGACTGTTTTGACCTTGAAGGCCATGGGTATCAATGATTTACTTCATTTCGATTTCATGGATCCCCCACCCGAGAACAATTTGATCCAGGCTTTAGAACAATTATATGCTTTGCAGGCCCTAGATGATGAAGGTTTATTGACGCGTTTAGGTCGTAAAATGGCCGAGTTCCCTCTCGAACCTCAATTGTCAAAGATGTTAATCCAGTCTGTTGATTTGGGTTGTTCAGAAGAAATTTTGACCATCGTTGCCATGTTGACCGCCCAAAACGTCTTTTACCGTCCTAAAGAAAAGCAAGCTCAAGCAGATCAAAAGAAGGCTAAATTTCATCAACCCGAGGGTGACCATTTAACTTTGTTGACAGTGTATAATGGCTGGAAGGGGAGTAAGTTTTCAAATGTTTGGTGTTTCGATAACTTCATTCAAGCTCGTAGTATGAAGCGTGCTCAAGATGTTAGAAAACAATTGCTGGGTATTATGGATAGGTAAAAACAATGAATTTTATGAGCAAGTGTACATGGACCCACTGACCCTCCCTTCTTTTTTTTTGTATTAGATACCGTCATGATATCGTGTCTTGTGGTCGTAATTATACAAAAGTCTGTAGGTCACTGGTATCTGGGTACTTTAGAAATGCCGCCAAAAAAGATCCCCAAGAAGGCTACAAAACATTACTGGAAGGCACACCTGTCTATATCCATCCTTCCAGTGCATTATTTAATAAGGGTCCTGAATGGGTCATTTATCATGAAATTGTATTTACATCCAAAGAATATATGCGTGAAGTGACAGCGATTGATCCTAAGTGGTTAACAGAAGCTGCCCCCACTTTCTTCCGTGTTGCTGATGCCAACAAGATTTCCAAGCGTAAAAAGCAAGAAAAGATTGAACCCTTATTTAATCGTTACGAGAAACCCAATGAATGGCGTCTTAGTAGAGCTAAACGTGGCGGAAGAATCAGTCAAACTTTTGGATAAATTATATTTGTGTACATTCTTTTTTAATAAATTTGCCACATGATTTTTGTGAATCTTTCATGTATACCTTTGATTATATTTACATCTCGTAACCTGGAAGAAATAGTGATTTCTTCTGCCTGTTTTTATTTTGTCGTGAAGATTAAAAAAAAAAAGAGTGCTTATTTAATGGTTGTAAACAAAAGGGCTTTACTCTCTATTTTCTTACTCTTACAATTTTTGTGTACTCGAAATACCCGCTTATTTCTAGATTTACAGGTGACTCTAATATCTCCACATGCTGCCTACCCACAATACACAGCAAGAGAAGTATAAAAGACCTAACTGCCACCGACGCCATGTTGGGGTGACGTTTTTTTCCAACGCGTTCACAGCACGATGATATCGCATATTGGACTAACAGTTGGTGGTATCATTGTTCACTACATTGATTGGTAGGAAAAAAGTGAAAGATACCACTGCGACGTTAAATCATATACCAAAAATATATCTTGACGCAGCCGCATTTTGAAAATAACGAAAAAATAGATGTCTATCATCAAAAAGGAAACAAATCTTTGTTCTCTTCGGATTTATATGAAACACGAAGAAATACATACAAGCTCAGAGAAGAATAAATACATTTTATGACCTGCAGTATGCATCCAGACGATGCTGTCGATTTATTCAATCAAAGAAATATGCATGATTTTCCTTGTTGAGGATATCATAGATATGAAGTTATCACACCACATCAAGGATGGATAGTAATATAAACGTTAATCATGAATTACGCAATATCCCGCGTGTTCTCATCATACCGTTGAAGTCTGTTTATAGGGCTCAACCCTGTGGCGAGTAAATATTTATTCTGTAAAAAGCAATACAATCGAATAGACCTGGACTATAGAATATTAATAGATGTCGAGCATAAATAATACTCTTGTCATTTGATGTTTTTATAGTTGTTCATCTTCTTCACACAATTTTTTTGTGGATAAAACAAGTATGTCTTCTACTGAAAATTTACAAGGTAAATATTTTTTTACACTCCATACAAAACCAGACACGTAGTTGATCAAGTTTTTGTTTCATATAGTGGGCCTTGTTCGTGACGACTGTGCCGATCAATCAATCACATATCAGCCTCACCACATAATCAACTGGGACAGCTACCTCTTGAACTCCCATTGTTTTATCAATTGGCTTCCCCAGCCTTTATGCCTACGCGAGTGAAACTTCCACCACTTGATCTACTTGCTCGCCCATTAGCCATCAAGATTAAATAAGGTTATTTATTCACCTTCAATCTGGATCAGTTTCTCACCCTCTGCCCGCTTTGGATTTTCACTTTGGAACTCCATCCATTCCTTAATCTGGATTTAACACTTCCTCATATAATAAACAACCTGTTCAGAAGGTATCAGAAACTTCAACACCCACTGAATCTTCTCGATCCTATAAACCACAAGGTCTTAGCCAGGGCAAAATTGACCCAGCTCTTAGTCAGGTTAACCGCAAGACAGCTTTTGACCAGGTCAATTTCAAACCAGGTCAACCTCAAGTCAGGTCTTAGCCACGCTAACCGCAAACCAGCTCTTAGCGTCAGCACTTGTGAAAGGTTGAAGGACGGATCCGCTAGGTCCTCCGCCTAAAAACGGAAAAGCAAAAAGCTCATTCGAAAAATGAAAAACATCATATCGAGCATAAAAACATGTGGTCGTAGATGACGTTTTACTAATTGCATTTTGCGATTGAAAATATGCCCAGTATCATTGCTATGAGTGTTAATCTGGATTGTTTCATGCTCATTTTTTAGGCTCGTTATGCTCAAGAACTGCTCATGGAGCCTGATACCATTAAGGAAGCTATGTTGGATCGTACTTAAACAAGTAGCCAATCCAAAATGCAAGCTTTTGGCAACAATGTTACTGGTATCCATGCTCGACATAATACAAATGACGAGTATGTACCTTTTAAAAGTGGTCTGCCCCACTGTCAAGTCTGTAACTTGTGGTAGAAAGAGATGAGCCACTACCACCTCTGTCTCTTACAAAGACTATTATGTTGAGGAAGTTCCAAAGAAGAATTTGAAGACGCAAGAGGCATCTGAAAAACGAAAGCCCGAACAGACTGACGCTGGCCAAATAACCGTAAGATAAAACTAAAGGAAAGGGAAAGGTCCCTGAGATTCGTCGTGGTTGTCCACCAAAACAAAGTACATGTTGTACACACACACTCTCGTTGAATCTTTCGGGTTATTGACAATATTAAAAAAATCATTGAAGTTATTGTTCGAAATGATATGGTTTATGGTTGGGTGCAAGTAATAGGGTCTAATGGTTAAAGTGCTATTAAAAATTTAAATATCAATACCTTCTAGAGTCCAGCATTCCTTCGTATTTTGATTTGAATTTTCTGGCACGCGATAGAAATAGAAGTGTAAATGGTGATACACATGGTTGTAAAAAGCACCAATGCCAATTTGAGAAGAAAAAAAAAATGACATTTACAGTATAAAGGTGGTAGATAATGTGTTTGAGCAGCTTTGACTACCAAAAACGGTACAAGAAATCACTCGGCACAGGTCTATAATTCTTTAAAATGAGGGAAGATGTATCGTTTATTTATTGAGATAATGGCTTTTGTGTAATTGACTAATGACTGGTACATAAAGTGAGCAGAATACAATATATGTATATATATATATATATGAAAAGAGAGAGGGTGAGTGAAGGAATATGCGTTTACGCAACCGCTCCTTCACACATTTCAACAAGGGTCAGCAAGCAACGAATATACTCAACAATTGCCACAGCGGCATCTTCTTCCTTTCCAATGATATCCTGGACAGACCAAGATGCGAGTTTACCAACAGGTAAATCATTATTGGCTTTGAAAATTTCATCATGAGCTGAATAAAAGACATCAAGATCATACCAAACCTGACCTTTACCAGTTTCACCTTGAATCTTATCAATGCCAAAACTGCTCAATTTTTGCTTCACCAAGGGGAGCTTTTCAACACGGGTAATTTCGACCACAAATGGGAAATGGATACGATACTTAGTGGTTTGTTTTAAGAGGATGCTTCTAACGTTTAAGAAATCAGGTACGTTTTCAAATGTGATAAGACGTGTATTAGGACAGACAGCGACTTTCTTGATGAATGTATTATAGGGCCTGACATCGGTTCGGGTCAACTCTTCTGTCTTGAGCAACATTTGGAAATCAAATTTACGGTCGAGTGAGACCCAGTCAATTTCAGTCACCTTGTTGGTCTTGGTCACAATCTTTTTCAATTCAACCACACCTTGACTCATGTACATCACCACAGGCTCATAAGGGACAGAAGGTTGGTTTCGAGCATCTGCATACATTTCAAAGTAAGCAGAACGACCATACGCTTCAGGTAAAAGATCAGACATTTGGTTAATCACATCTTCGGATTTCGTTGTACTACAAACAAATATAACAGAATTAAATAAAAACATGTAAAGATATAATTATGACATATACTTTACACGCCGTTAAATAAAGGTACTACACCACGCTCCTTGACAACGATATCCCTAATGTCATGAAAGTCCCAAATCTTCTTTTGAGTTTCGGCAGTCATGTTACCCCAAAGGACCTTGCCTAGTTTGGCTCCAAACTTGATATCACCCTTAAATCCACGTACTCCCTCTAAACTATGAACAAAACCATCAATTTTTGTTTTATGACCTTGATCCTTTGTGTCAAAGTCCTTACCCATCTTGTAATGAAGACTTGATATTTTGAAGATTATATTCTCTGATGCTACATACATTAAAAAAAAAGGGGATGAGGTTAGTGGGATTAAACATTGATGAATGGTATGGATAAAGCATACATTTCAGCGTTAGAAATATTAGCCGAAGGAGAGCGAGCAGACTTTTGAGGAATGACTCGCATAACTCTTCTTGTATTTTGTTGCGGTTTCTTTACAGGTGGACGAGGTGTAGACATCAAGGAAGGGAAATCTTCTTGAGGGGGTTTTTGTACAGGTGCAGCTGTTGGTTTAGGTGAAGGCACAGGCTTGGAAGCGCTTTGACGCACCACATAAGGCTTATTCTCACCCCATAGAGTGTTTTGATCGGGAGCCATACCTGCATTTTCATTACCATATCCCTTTCGATGTTCCAAGGAAGCTAATCTCATGCGTTCGTCCAAGGACAGATCAGGCTGTCTTTGCTGGTGCTGTTGTTGTGAAACCCATTGAGGAGGAGGCTGGTTTTGGACAGCAGGCAATAAATCCTTAGGCTTTTGCTCATTTCCGTGCTTATCCTTAAATACGGGTAACATGACATAAACAGGTGAAGTAAGAGCAGGAGTAGCTACATAAGCTTGTTGGGCGTAGCGATCCAAAGAACAGAAATAGATACCGAAACGAGGAGATTCAGTAGGATAATGTACACAAGGTACAACATTGGTAGGTCTCTTTCTACGTTTAAAGATTGTTTGTAAATTTCGGAAGCGGTCTGCGGCTTCCTTGATGCTACGTTGACAAGTACCAACAATTTTGACATCTCTGCCATGTAAACTACACTCTGTTTCAGTATCGTTTCCAATGATACGCAAGTAATCTGGTGGTTTACTATTGTTGGAGGGAGGACCTGTTAATATTTCTTTAGGGTTTTGAATGTTTTTGGCAAATGTAAAGGTTTCCATAAACTCCTCGTCACTATCCTCAGGTTCGTCACTTTCAGTCTCATAAGTAAAATAAGCTTCTCGTTCATTATTCTCGTTGGTAGCACCTCCCTTCTTAATAGCATGCTTCTTATCCACTTCTTCTGGATTTAAGGGTCTACCGACCATGGGAGGAGTTCTAGACGAAGACGATCTTAATGTGGAATTGGTGGGGCTTGGTCGTGCTGACTTTGACAGGCTGTCTAAATCTTCAAATGTTCCAGCAAACTTATTTTCATCAACCACTCGATTCTACAATTTAGTTGAAAGTTAGCTAAACCAATGACGAATACGTGTGTCTGTCAATACATTACAAGTGCTGGTAGGAGCAATGTTATAATTCGCTTAGACCTACAGATAAAAAAAAAAGAAAATTATTACGGACAACAATAGTATTAACAGTATAAACGCTATTTACGCTTCGTCGCAAGCTTGTTGAGAACGGCCTTTGATTTCAAAGCATTGATCTACAAAGTTGAACTTGATATCTGTCTTTGACTTTTTGGCAAGATCACTGTTTTTGTGTGAGATTAGTATGGAAAAAATAGCAAGTGTCAATGTCAATTATACACTTACTGAATGTGTTCTTCCCACTGTGAGTAACTATCTTCAGTAAGGTAGGCTAAAGGGTATATCCTGATATTTGCTAGAAAATCAAAAAAAGATTTTAATTCATGGTAGTTCACTATTATTAGTATTGACTACGCCATGCTTACGTTGAACCATGGTTTAATTTTAAGAAAGAGGGCAAAAAAAAAAAAAAAAAAAAAAAAAAACTGTTAACGTGGTTTAAAATAGTCATTTATTTATTTCTTGCTCTATTTTACATTTCCTTCTTGCTAGACGATAAAAAAGACACGACGGTCGCATTACCTTCTTGTTAGATAACTTAGATGTTAGTACTGCATCCGAAAAGCGCCAGACTCGTTAAAGACACAAGTAAACCTGCCGCTGAGATGCCCTAATAAAACCAAGGGTCAAAGCTGACACACGAAAATACTTGATAGTTTGTGCAACAGCCACTGTACTCATCTAAAAAATGTGCTGAGGACAAAGTATAAGAAAAAAAATGGAACTTTATTATGTGATTAATCAAAGGCGTATGATTAATACGTTCAATTTTTGCGTTTGTCATGACGGTATAAGGTTGGGCTCGAATTACTTGCGCCTAATGATTCCATCATATTCATTACGCCGGGCATAAAAGAAGCAGCGCCCATTTGAAAGATATTCTCTGTGCCGTTATGAGCAGCTCTTCCGCCCACAGCAAACGGAGCCACCTCCACCAGACTCCATGTTTCGCTCGGTGGTAATTCCTGTTGCTTATCTTTGTAGTATTCGTCATCTTCCTCGTCACTATCCACGTACAATCCAAACTCATTGTCATCATCACTTTCTTGTACTCGCTCTCCGTTATTGGTACTCGTGACTATACTATTGACCTTGAAGAATTCATCATGTAGCTCGTTATTAGATGTATGTACAGCACTGGGTTCCAATGACTGTGATCTTTCTAAGGAGCTGCTGCATCTGAACCTCAATGTTGTCGCTCGTAATACTTGATCATACAAAAGAGGACATTCCAAGTCACGAATATGGTCATAGTATGTCGCATGCGATTTTCTGATACATATGATGCAAAAAAGTCAGATAATGGCAATGCCATTCAGACTAGCTTAAATTTACTTACATTCCTAAACGAGGTGCACGACTGATAGATATCAAACTCTGTAAGGTGTTGGCCACTTGACAGATGGGTACTTGGATGCCTTGTGTGTGGCACACGTACGCTATATCATAGTTCAACATGGCCATCCCGTGAACAAACTTTTTAAAGTTTTTCTCATCATCCTCCAGAAACAAGGGAAATTTACTATAGAAACAAAACAAAAAAATGCGTAAGAGAGAGATTGTAGATGTATAAGAGCCACAAGTACCGAACGTGTTGCTTGTTGAGTGCTCTAATGTAAGGACGAATGCCTCTGCGGATGATTTCAAATGGTAATTTGATTCCCAGATATCGGACAATTAAACTCAACATATGGATCACTAGACCTATGGGAGCATTGAGCTCTTCTTTTGGCACCTCTACCCCACATAAAAGAATTGTTGTTATTAAAAGAATTCGCTGCTTCTAAATAATAACTTACTGGATACATCAATAAGTCTGGAAGAAAGCGTCACACCACAGATATACAGGTCTTGTTCGACGGGTATGAATGATTCACCAGACGCAGGTAATTCGGGATGTTGAATCACGGGTGTTTCAGGTTCTTCAATAAGACCTGGTTTTAACTCAAATAAAGAGGTGGTTTCCTTGACTAGAATACGTCGAGTGCCAACAGTAATTTTATGCGTGCGTAGCCAAGCCTTTTCCAAGGCTTGATTATCAGGGTGATAATTATCAAAGCGTGATTTTCGTTTTAGACTTTCTTCCAGAAGTTTTCGTTTATCTTTGATCTGATTCTTTAATTGCTGTATGCGTGCTGACTCTGTATCAAAAAAAAAAAAATAGAATTAATAAACAATTTATGTAAACACAAGTAGATAAGGTTACTGGTAATGCAGGCAGTCAATAAGCCCTTTTGGGTTTGTCGCATAGCTTCAATGTGTTGTAACCGCTTGTTCTTTTCAGCAATGAGGTTTTGTATTAAGGTTGCCTTTTGAATAAACTCGTCGGCTTCAGCAACTACTTCATTCTTTTCTTGAGTGCATGTGCTGAATTCCTGCTCATGTGTATCTAATCTATGTACATATATTTGTTTTTTGCATAGTTGAGCAAGTAATTCCTTGTAATTAACGAAGCCATTACTCACTTTTCTTTAATGCAATCAGTACAATAGAATTTACGATGTTTTGTATGGCAATATTGGCAATTCATTGAATTTTATTAGTAAAAAAAAAAAAAAAAAAAATTGAAAATGATAGAAAAGAGAAAGTGTGTGTGTGTGTGTGTGTGTGTGTAAAATAAATTTCATTTTTGCCATTTTTTTTTTGTGATAATTGATATGCATCCATAAAAAAAAAAATCAAGACTTCATATTGGTCAAAATAACTACTTGCCTATTCGAAGTACATGCAGCTAATTTATCGCCATTCTTGTTAAAGTGGACTTCGAATATACCACCGCTTGCTTTAAATGTCTTTTTGATTGTACCTTCCTTAGCATCCCACACATTCAAGACTTCATCAAAACTTCCTGAGGCCAGCAGCCTAGCATCTGGACTGAATGAAATAGAATAGACAGCTTCCGTATGATTTTTGAGCACATGAAGACAAGTACCCTTTAATGCATCCCAGATACGTACTGTAGCATCAAAACTAGCAGTGGCTAATATTCTCGGTGCATTATTTACGGAATCTCGTTGTGTATAAGGTGCCCATTGTAATGTGTATATCTGAAGAGAATGCCCCTTAATTTCTTGCACAGGTGTATCTGATTCCATACTCCAAATCTTGGTAGTCATATCATCTGAACAAGAGGCTAAATATTGACCAGAAGGATCCCAGCGTACTGCATTCACTTCATCTTCATGTCCAACCCATTTCTTTAAAGGATTCTTCATACCCACTCTACAAACATAAATCGTCTTATCGGATGAGCATGATGCAAATGTTGTGTTATCCATCCAATCCACATCAAGGATAGCCACTGCAATATACATACGTCAGTAAAAAAAAAAAAATTATTACGTCTATGGCTTACATGTATGTGATTCAAATTGCTGCTTCATATCACCCGTCTCAGGATCCCAAACAACTGTCGTTGTATCAGCACTACCACTCAGTACGAGATCGCCCTTCATATTCCATTTTAAAGAAAAAATAGGACCCTTGTGTTGCGCCATTACAAAACGTAATTCACCTTTCTGTGTCCAAATCCTTGCTTGTCCATCGTATGAGCCTGTAACTAATAAACTTCCGGAAGGCTTATTTCATACATTGTGTGTTAAAAGGGAGGCTATTAAAGACAACGACATTAAACTTACATTCCAATCCAGTGTTGTTACATCTTTATTCTCATTTAGATTGGGCAAATGGTTCAAGACCATGGGTTCAGCAACATTGTGTTTATTCTCTGGTACTTGCCATAATCTGGCAGTGGCGTCGCCCGAACTAGATTATAACGATCAAGTGTTAATGAAGAGACTAATGAACAGATGTGCGTGTTTTGTTACCCTGAAGCCAAAAGAGAAGACACGACGGGATTCCAAGCACAAGAAAAGACTTCGGATTGGTGACCAGCGAGTACAATGACATTGTCTGGATTGATTTCGGTAGGTATTTGTTCTGGCTCTTGTGGTAATGAAGGTGCCTGTTTCGTAGCTGGTTCTTCCTCTTCTTTAACACGACCTTCGACATCTTCCTCTGCATTGGGTTCTCTCCTCGATCGTTTTTCTCGCTCTTTTTGTTTTTTTTCTTCTTTGCGTTGACGTTTGGCTGAAGTGGGTGGTGGTCTAACAGACGAGGTAGGTTCGCTATTGAATGTGTTGCCTGTTAAATCACAATGATGTGGTTCTAATAATGAAAACGGCACACTACATTCCATTAATTCGCCATCCTACACAATTATTAATTTTTTTTCCATGGGGGGTTGCTTTAAAAATCAATACCTCATTCATGTGTGCTTCGATTTCCATAAATTGAAGCCCTTTATGAATGATGTTTATAAGTGCTCCAGGTTGTATTTGTGCTTCTCGGTAAGGTGATTGTTCTACTTGACTTTCATATTGAAATGCAAACGAAGAATGTCGAAATCCTATAGGCGTTTATTCAACTGCTTTAAAAAAAATTGTCTTGCTTCATCATTGTTTTTATTTGCTTTTTTTTTTTTATTTGTTTTACCAGATTCTTGTAGGTATTTGTAAACGATGATATTTATCTCTTCACTTGTTAAAACCATTTCGCGTCTTTTTTTTTTAATGAAGAAAAACAAAAAAAAACACAAAGTGTAACCCGCCTTGCGAAAAAATTACACATTAAAAAAAAAAAAAAAAAAAAAAAAAAAAAAGATTGGGTTTGGTTGTACGTGACAGTCACAATCCAAACTTCACGTTTTCCTAAACCTCTTTTTAAAAACGGTAATAACAACTTGAAAGATGCTCTATTTCGATTGTTATTCAAGTCAATGTCTTTCTTTTATTAAAGCCGGTAAAGATATGGATAATCAAAAAAGGCGTTGCAAATATGAGTTCAAAAAAAGACCGAACTGTCGGAACCCGTATACTTTTTTGCTCAGAGAAAAAAAAAAAAAAAAAGCTTAATTCATCGCCGAACTTACCCCTTTGCATGAGAAAAGATGTGCATTTTCTAAATTGCCCAGCAAGTGGAGTCTGTGTTTTAAAAAAAGAAGAGTGATGGGCTGTACGTAAAATTTGACATCATGATGGCAAAATTATGTCTGCGTTGCCAAGAAAGATGAGCGACCCCAAATTTTATAGAAACGGCGCTAAAATAGATTAGTGAGTTTGTTCCTGCACACCCCAATTTCTAATAATAGTAAGAATGAATTTTTTTTTTTTTTTTTTTTTTTTGATCGACAATAAAGGTTTTTTATATTTTTGCGCGTGTTTTAAAAAGAAATGAGCTCATGTAAAATAATTAGAAACACCCTGCATTGAATATGTACAATTTTTATTTTTTTATTTATTTATATATATAAATTAAATGGAAATTAACTTTTTTTTAGCTTGTTCGTTGCCTCCATTGGCGGCTTTTTGGTACCATTCTTTGGCCAGAACAAGATTTTGAGCTTGAGCAATACCTACTTCAGCGAAATAACCAAGTGCAAATGCTGCCTGTAAAGATCCCTTTTCAGCAGCCACTGTAGCATAATAAAGAGCTTTTTCTTCATTTGGTTTAATCTTTTTATCGTCGCCTACTAGATACCAAGCAGATAAAGCAAAGCATGCTTCTCCATCTCCTTGTCTGGCTGCAATGGTATAATAATATATCGAATTCGTAGCATCAATCTTACAACCTAGATAGCCATATTCAAATGATTCGCCTAATCGATAAGCAGATGGTGCATAGCCTAAATCTGCTGCTTGTCTGTATAATTGAATTGAATATGAAACATCTTTAAAGATAATGTCTGATAATCCTTTTTCATGAAGTAGACCTAATTCATGAAGTGCGTGTGGGTATTCGGGTGTGGCGGCTACTGCTGATCTCTTTAACCATTTATTTCCATCGCGGATATTACGTTGTAAACCAAGGTCTCCATTAATATCTGCTAATCCTAGTCGATACATTGCGCCTGGATGATTTAATGTGGCCGCAAGTCTGTTTATAGGTTAGCTTCAAAAGAATAAACATCGTCTATTAATGCTCTTTTTTTTTTTTTACTTGTAGTATTGTACTGCCTTTGACTTGTTTTTTAAGCAACCTAAACCATCTTCATAACATTTGGCAGCACTAAAATAATGAATATCATAAAAAGTCAGCTGACTGCTAATGCATTTCATAATAATAATAATAATAATAATAATATTAATAATGGGAAAGAAAGGGATTGTTACCGGTAAGCAGCGTCTGCATGCTGATGTTTTGCAGCCTGTACAAACAATGGAAAGGCATTTCCAAAATCAGGTTTTGAAGCAAACATGTTTGCAAGATAATATTGAGATTCGGCATGTCCTCGGAGCGCCAAAGTCTTTAAAATTTTAGTGGCTTCACTGACGTAAGGTTTCTTTTGTTTGGGAGAAAGAGGTTTAGAAGACTCGAACAGATAGACTGCTAGATCACACTGGATGCGAGGATCATTTGTTCTTTTAGCATTGTCAAGATACATGGCCATTGTCTTGTCATAGGATAAAAGTTCGGCATTGTTACCTGGTTTTAAATGATCGTGATAGGGTAAACTTGCATTCGATCGTCCATGGCGTGGCGTACTAGGCATGCTATTGGAGCTGGATGAACTATTAGTGCCTATGTCCATGCTCTGCACTGAACTTCGGCTGGCAAGTTTAGATAACACACTGTTGGTTCTTTTACGGATAAAGTTCGTCGGCGTGCTTAATACAGGTGTTGATGCGCTACTCGGTAACTGATCTACTTCTTCGCTATTACTTTTAAATTTATTCTTGAACTCTTTAAACATGACTATTATTATAGGTATATGAAAAGAGTGGAAAATATAAAAAAGAAGATCTATAAAAGGTTTTCCAGTTTTATTTATAAATCATTATTTTTTTTAAAGAACCGAAAAAAACGTTAAAAAATTAAAAATAAACTCCCCTGGGACAAGTGACGAGTTTTGTTTGCCTGATTCCATTACCGCGTTCATATTAAACAAAGGCAAATACCTACATTATATATAGTCCCAGTCTTCTCATCTTATTTCATATGCTTATCTTGACTGTAGTGATACGGAGTGTTTGGATGGATTGTGCAACACTGAAATTGAACAGACACATCATATCGTCATAGCTTGCGAATAGATTTTACTACTACTACTACTACTATAAATACTCGCTTCTACCCTGTCAGCACATGCTCAATCCTCTCATTCAATTTTATAACATTTTGTACCACTCATGCTCGATTACATTGATTAATAACACTAAAGTCGTGCCACACTTACTTTTTCTCGTCTCTGACATGCCATCCCGTCTACTCCCTCTTTTTCCAAAGCCCGACATCTAGTCTTTTATTACGCATACATAATTCTTGCTACTCGAATACAAAAAAAGGGTCCTCTGATAGTGCTGAGTGCAACTACTTCTAAACTCCACTGGTTGTTATCCTCCATCCCCCCCCCCATTCTTTCTCTTCCTCTCTTTCACCATAAAAAATCTTTTTTTTCGTACACTGAATGTTAAGGTTTAATAAACACATCTGATTATAGTTTTTTCCAACGGTTGATAAATAAACCCCGTCATCCGTATAAATCTTGCTCTCGGCCATCCCGATTGTACTATATGCTCCGGGAGCAAATAATAGTTTAAGGGCAGTTTTTTATATCTTTTTTAATGGTTCAGTTCATATCACGGCATTTCTGTCTGTCGCGCCCACATTGTTTTATTTGTTGACTAGTTCATGTCAAGGAAGTGCTCATAATGTTGTCCAAATTCTCCAACCACCTTTTTTTTTGTGGTCATGTTTACCTCCTTTAAATTCACTTTGGGCTCGCTAGTATTATTGACAGTGTAGGCAATGCAGCAATGTTAACATGTTTGAAAAGGCATCTCAATGATGAAAAAGGAGGTTTTTTTTTTTTTTTTTAATTTTCCATGTGCCTGACCAATTTCACCTCTGATTTCACAGCCTTGGGACTGCCATGTCAAAACACTGTTTTAGAGTGTCACAGCATATTTCTACCTACTCATGATGAAAGCCACGTCAAAGAGCATGATATCTCTATTTAGCACGTTATTGTATGAGAGAGATATGTGCTGACAGAAAATTGATCGATGATTAAACGATTCGTTACTAAACTATGCATTTTTCCCGAAGAAAGCATCAATCCATCAAGGTTATACTTGGCCATCCATTTAGAAACACTTGACACGATTACATATGCTAAAGCAATTGCGTTTGAGACTTTTTCTTTTTAATAATCGTCAGCATATGAGAAGTCTCTCGTCAGCATATGAAAAGGCTCAAACACTCTCAAAAACGACATTTTAAAACTTTATACCAATTCTGGCTAAATGAGTAACATTGAACACACTTTTTCGGGACCGAAGCATATTGTACTCGCACCCGGAATTCTTTTTTGGAGGGTGATAGATTACAGTGTTTCCCGTGCACTGGAATTTGTGCATTGATTCAAAAAGTTAAAAATATCTTTGTTTTAGCGTTTCATTAGAAGTATGGAAAGTTCAAGGGCTATTATTAGATAATGGGCAACTGTCCCATCCATAATCACAATGGTATCAGATAGTAAAGAATATTAAAATTGGAGGCTTTGACTGCGCTTACCTCACCGAAACACAATCTAATGGATCAACTTTGGTCAATATGCAAAAGCAAAGTAACGAGAGTCTTAAATATAGTAGAAAAAATTGTCACAAGTTAAATAGATGCGTCGGCGTCCCTTGGCGTAGCTATCAAAATGACTGTAAGCATTTTAAATAGTGTCATTTTGTATTATAGGTAAGCTAGGCCGAGTTTTCCTTGGAGTACGTTTGATTTAAGCTGAAAGATTCTTCTTTAGGTCATCTTCAGTGGCATCTCTGGCGGTGGTGGTGGTGGTGGTGGGTTAAGGTCCATCTTCGATTTCTATTTGGCACTTACCATTTTCATTCGTTTGTATTCCATTACCGTGGTAATAATAAATAGCTTGTACTTCCAATAAAAAGCAAGATTTAAGTTGGCGCACGAATTTTTTCTTTGGCAAGTAGTGCACGAATAATTTCGGGAAACACTGTATTAATAATAAATAATACGACTGTTTCTCTCTGTAACTTTGGCTCTTGACCATAGTAGGGTTCTGTTTTATTAAATCATCTGACGCTCTTACACAATGACCTTAAAAAAAATAACTTAATTGTTTCATTGGATGCAAATAAGCTAGTTCACACTTACACGTGAACTACAGTCAAACCTATGGAATTTTGGTGTTTTCTTAAAGGGAATTGTTATTTTCACCCCCTCGATTTTTTTGGCCTATTATCACACGATTGAGATTTTGAGATTTTTGTGTGATAGAAAAAATAAAAAAAGTTGAAAGAAAAAAATTAGAATAGGCGATCAAGATGATCATTGTGATTGTTGCTGTTGCTGAGATTGTTGAGATGAGCGAATAGCTTGGGACATGACTCTTTGGGAACATTGTCTTGTGTCATGTCCCGGCTGTCTACAAGTTCCACAAAGCCTTGTTCTTCTTTCAGCATGTTCAAGAGCGGAGGGATTTCTTCTGTTTGACGAAGTGTCATTTCTTCTCGCAGTAGAATTGGTAGGTCTTCCTCTTGACCTGGCATCGTTTCGTGGCTCTTTAGGTACCAACGGCGAATGAAGCAGGTCAAAAAGACGCGATACCATTTCCTCTTGTTCGTACTTTAAGAAAAATAGGTGCTCAACAATTTCTTTGATTACGTCAGATTTTTGTATCGTGGGTTTCTGTCGTCATCAGTTTATATTATCTGCATTAATTGAAGGAAAATTAAGAGTGATTCAAACGGAAATGTCTAGAACTCCGTATTTTTTTCAATCACGCAATGGTCTACACGTCGATTGACTTACCATATTATCTAAACTTCATGGGATGATTGATTTCTGTTTTCCATAAAATCTGCTTCACTACTGGAACGCAGATAGACAATTACCAAGCTCTGACTTGCTTGGGAGGTTTTTGCAAGTGTTTCTATTTAAAGTAACGGGTCTCTTAGGGACAGCCAAATTTTCTTAGGGACAGCCATTTTTCTTAGGGACAGCCAGGGTGCGCGTAGTCGTAATGTTGGGATTATGATACTTTAATAGACACCAAGAGGTCAATATAACTTAACAACTTGAAATATATACACGTTTATTAAAACCAACATAGTGTAGACCAGTATATATGTTTTACAACTTACTTTCAGCTTCTCGTTTGGACTTTACCTTAATATTGCTGCGTAAGATTAAGATCAAACGAGCTCAAAGGCGAAAAAGAGAAGATAGAATTGTCAAAATAAGTATAAATCGTTTAATATACATTTATTCGTAATTGCTACATTGTTTTTGATTGTATATCCTTGTTCCCAGGTCTACAGAACATCCAAATCACAGATCTTTCGTTGCGACTACGTGCACTTTGGCTGTCCCTAAGGAAAAATTGGCTGTCCCTAAGAAAAGCGTTAAAGTAAAGGCTCAAACATTATGGATGATAAAATAGACAAATGAAATCATCCTGACATAAGCTTGTTTATTTATAAATAAAGCTGGTTCACACACTTTATTCTTCTTCTTTTCTTTTCCCTTAACATACTTATTTTATCGTATGAAAGTAACCGATCACGAAAAAAGGTTTGTTTAGTAGCGACTCTTGTTTCTTTGAAAAGAAGCTAAATTGAAAAAGAAATTTTGTGATATTGCAGCTGCGGCTAGTCTTTGCTATAGGAGGGCGACCTCCTAGGCAGAGTTCTTGAGTTTTTGGAGCTCACGAACTGTGAATAGCAGGGATGCATTTTAAATAGGTTCAAACATACTGGCCTGCTGGTCTTCTGGCCAGAATTTCTGTAAGTAGTATAAAAAAAATACGTTTGAAAAAAATACGGAGGTCTAGACATTTCCGATTCAAACCTTTGTGCTCTTAAACATGTATTTACGCAAGACAGCAGCTACGGATTGGGTTATTTCAGACGCTTTGAGTGAATATGAAGTAGCATACAAAGGCAATGAAGGGGTTGATGCATTGGAATTGGATTTGAAACGAATTCTGAAAATTTCAACACAAGAAATTAAAATTAAAATGGCTAAAAAGTTGCTGACCGAATTAAATGTTATTAAAGGCGATGATTCTAAGTTAGTAATAATGCGAACGAGTAAACAAGGCCTACTGTCTCATTCTTGGATGTTTATAGGTCTAGTTCACATGTAATAAAAAATAATACGAATTATGGTCACCAAATGTTTGGGTCAGCCAATCATTTGAATATCGAAGGTCAAGGAGAGTCAGATACAGGTAAAAAGATATAAGTAAATAAAATAAGTCAATCCATTAAGCCCCTTAGCAGAAAAGCACAGAAGAAAAAAAGCGAAAACAGTTAACATGCTTGACAAAACTAATGATTTTTCTGTAAGACTACCAATAATAAACCTCTCCGCCTGATCTAATTAAATTATAATAGAAAACGGAAACGGGGGGAGATGATAATGGTATTACTTCTACTGATGCTTTGGAGGAAGAAATTGAGGTACTCTCCATATTTAAACTTTTTTTTGTTTTTTTGTATTAAAAAGTAGTGCTTCATATATAGTTTGGTGCTGAAGATGATGACAATATTGATTTTACTATTGATTTGGATGATGTAAGTTCCATAATTTTTTTTATATATATATTGAGCAAAAGAAAATAACATCTCATATAGGTTGATGCATTAGATTCTTCCACCAGCTTCCGAAAATGTGTTAAGTCCTCATTATTATTGTTTGGTTAGTACGCAAAAGACCCCTCCACAAAAATAGCTCACTAAATATAACTGGCTATAATTTTATTTAGGAAAACAAAAAAGAGGTTGGTTTGCTACCGATAATTGCTCACGCCTTACTGGAAGAAATTAGTAATAACGCTCCACTTGACCGTTACACTCTTAAAATTCTTGACAAATGGCAGGCAGAAGAGAATGTGGATGCTGACGAGCAACAGTACTTGAGGTAACATACCAAACTAAAAATTTTATGGGATCAATCATAATATGTAACCAAACTTTGAAATACTTGTTTAGACTAAGCATGTCACAAATCATCGATACAATGAATAAAAGAAATCCCATTCTTCAGTTAATTGGTGAAGCAAAATTAAATGAATATAGACAGAAACTTAAGAAAGAAGACCTGGATTTGCCATCAATAATTTCAGTTTTCATTAATAGTTTTAACAAGGTTAGTCACCCTAATACTGTCTCCCGTACATTTATTATATTAAACTTATCTATCTGTTAGCAAGTGAAAGATAAAAACGAAAAAGATTTGATGCTTTTTATCATCCAAGCAAAGCTTGATGCTTGGACACGAAATGATGAAGACTTGAAAAGAGTTATAGAAATCTATGAATATCTGTAAGTGAATGACACAAACATCCTTTGACTTCCACGCCAAAGTCTGCAGTGTCTTGAGGGTTCAAACCGTTACGGGAATTGTTTTTGATTGGTATATACTAATTTTTTTTTTTTTTTTTTTTTTTTTTTTTTTTTTTTTTTTTTTTTTTTTTTTACTTTGATCATTGACCACATAGGATTGTAAATTTGACCGAACTAAAGAATATCGACAAAACCTATAATTCCAAATTACAATGCTTCTTTCCAGCATATCACATTTTAAGTATTATATTCAGGGACTCAAATATCAAACTAGTCATGTAAGTGTGCCTATGACCCGGAATTCCCTATGGGATATAATGGTGTTAACTCTTGATTTATGATATTTAGCGGTTAAAAGGGATGTGATACATCTAAAAACGCTCGAAAAATTAATGAACAATGTTTCACGCTCAAAAAGCCTACAAATGTACGCGGAAGGAAATTGGACTTTGTAATATCCGATGTCTAAGAGACAATAATTTCAATCAAATATAAGATAATCCTTTATTAAATGCTTAATTTGCTCTTGTATATATATTATATGTTCATGTTTGTTAAATCGATGATTCGTATTTGTTGTATCGGTGATTCTTATATGTTCCGTATTTACATTAGAGAAGTTGTTATTATGGTGAGATAGTCTTCTGATACACCAGACTTGATGCTCGTATATGACGATATTGTTCTTTGCTCTGCCGAATGAAAATCGATGGTTTCATCAAGAGCTGTTATTATGAAGCAATTTGTTAAAAAGCTTCCTGTCAACAGTTGCATACTTCATGAGTTGAGGGAACATTTGGACGATGATAATACTGTAATTTTAGGAATGGATTGGAAGGGTACAAATTATAGTTTGAATACAATTTCACATTTATTCAGATGTCTCAACATCCATTTTCTCTTTTTACTTTCTTTTATAGGATTGCTTGGTCATAGTTATTGTATGAAGATGATAGACAAAGTGGTGGTTGTAAAATAAACATGCAAACTATTCCTCCCTCAAGATAAATGTGAATTTGAAGATTTTTCTGACACAGTCGCATCACTTATACAGTTTAAGGTTAGTTAGATAAAGCCTACTAATGTTTACCATGTTCCTGGAGTGTATATAATTGATTTAATATTTAATATTTTAGGCTCATTATGTTGAAATGGCTAGGAAATTAAAGGTCAAGATTTCCAAACATCGCCGAGAACGTTTCTATGATGAGCAATTTAATTTATCACCCCTACCAATAGTCGAAGCCCCTCCCCGCATACCTTTTTTACTCCAAAGCGGCCTACTACTACTCATCAGCATGAAGAATAATTATTGATGTAAAATAATAAAGTAACTGATACCAATTTATAGTTTTTTTTAAAAGGCATCAACTTGTTAAAAAACCAAATCGTCTGAATTCCAAGTATTTTCTTCACTGAGAATTACTGAATTGCGCTTTTGTCGCTGCCACTTTTTGATCAAGCCCAATTATTTCTCATATTAATATGAAACCCGGCTTCATCAATGAAAATACAATTTTTTGTAAAATCCAGATCAGGATCTTTCCATTCCATAAACCACTCGAATCTCGTCTGTAGGTTTCCTACTGAGTTTCTGACTCCAGGTTCAAACATCGGTTTTCTCACAGTGATGAGCATTATGTTTCGTAAATGGTTATTAAGTTGCGACTTTGATATAGTAAAATCTTCAAATCGCTCAGTCAAACTACTTATTATGTCGTCTGAATATAATTGGGGATCATTATCAAGCAGCTCTTTTATATACTCGTTATACTCGGCTGTAAATGAGCTTTCAGACCACTGTTTTCTTCAAAAATTTTATACGCAACCTCTTCTGTCCCTTCGTAATACTCCCACCATCTTAACGCAGTGTGGTAGTTTATATTTAAGCCTCTTACAGCCTTGGCCACTAGTCCAACGCTCTTGAAGACTTTCGAGCATACGGTCTATAAATGTTTCTCTGGTGAAGTCGCTGTAACTGTTGTATAACTTCACTGATGGCCTCAACTTACTAGGTTTCGACTGCTTTCTAACTGAGTATTCTTCAAACAATTTTTTTCGGGGCGCTTAACGCTCAAGTAAGTTTGTCGACTAGTTATTGTTTCAAGAACTATTGGGATCATCGACATGTGTTAAAACATCCTCCATCGGATCGTAAACTTTTTCTCCTTCTTCATTAAAAATGTTTTCCTGCCCAACTCCATAAAAAAAAAGGTAAGGTATATATCATTATGTTATATTTCTATTAGGAAGAGAGAGGGACAATTAGGTGCCAATTTTAGTTAGCTAGTTCGGGCAACTGTTTTAACCAGAGTGACAAAGATAATTTAAACTCATGGCATTTACTCTTCTAATCCCGATATTTATTTTTGTCTTTCCATAGGTTTGACTGTATTGTAACATTTGTTTGGTAAGACTCGTTTTTTAAGTCCTCCGCCTTTTTTCGTACTCTTTTAATAAAGCGGGTGTTTTATAGTTGTCCATCCTTCCAAGAAAGTCAATGCCGTTGTGTCACACCAGTTATCGATTGAGCAAAAATGTAGTGGACGGATAGGGAGCGGAGTTAAATTGAGTGGCAGCAAAAAAAAAAAAAGCTGCAGCAATCAGGCTAGAAGTGCTTCGTTTGACCCCTTTATTGAATCAATGCTGATTACATAATTAGATAGAGATTATTCTGGTATATCTGAAGCTTCCATTTGACACATGAGCATATCCTTATCTTTACTGGGCGATTGTAACAGTTCCTCTCGGGGTTATGGGGGTTGTGTGCAACCAGGAAACCTTGAATTAGAACAAAAAAAAATTTTTTATTCATCTATTATTTTCTATTACAAAAGATTGTTATTAATAAAAGAAAGGGTCATCTCTCTCCCTTTCCCGGACCGGGACTGGCTGACTGACTGGCTAACTGGGTATGTATGTATGTGTGTATGTAGTGTTTTTCACCAAGATTGCATTAAACCTTCTTCTTCGTCTGTTTGTTCCTGCATTCTTTCCTCATTTGCTAAAACCCATTTCTGTAGTGCGATGGTTAATGGCCTGTTACTGCGCAAAAGAAAAAAAAAATCTCGGGAAACTTTTTACCTGAATTCGGGTTGACTTTCGTAAGCACAGACAAACGAGAATGGATAAGACCAAGAAAACATTCATCAAAGGTCTTGTCTGACAGTCATAATCGAGCGAAGTGTCTTTTTCTGCACAATAAATCCAGTCGTGAGCTATATTTAAACATGTTTAGTTCAAAAAAGAAGTGACACTTATAAGGTTATTTACATGTTGACATGATGAGATGAAGGAAACAGAAAAAATTAAAAAATTAATTCATTGCGCCGCCCCCTGAGGCAACAAGCCTTCCATTAGAGATTTTATCCCCAAAATTGGGTAATTACGATTCAGACAGTAAAAAATTTTAATTTGTCCATTTTGGAATTTACATAAGTGTGTAACATGTTATAGTGTGACATGAGATGTACAATAAACAGGTGTTGTTTGTGTGTGTGTGTGTGTGTATACATATAAAAAAAGAGGGGATAGGGGTGTAGATGTTAAGCAGTTTCAACAATGGTCGTACAATGGTCATTGGTAGGAGATGAAGGGGTACTGTTTGCTCTATAGGCATGCTGGGTGGAAGATAGGTTTGTATTATGTATTAAGCGACTACTTGTTAATCCATAATTGACACCGCCCAGTAGAGATCCAGGTAAAGTGGAGTCTGCTCTCCTTCTATTTCTTCCGGGCTTATTAAATCGTGCAGGCTCAAATGTTTGCCAAACATATTGAGAACATTTGGATGCATTGGGTAAATCTTGAATCATTTTAGCAATGGTATTCTTACGTAAACCGAAAAAGTCGGGTCCAACTGGATTATGACCGTATTCCTGATTACGTATAGCAAAAGCCCGTCTATTATTTATATGTTAGTAGCACAAAAAACCACTTTTTTGTTACAAAATAGAATAGCTTACCGAACTATAATTGTCCAAACAGTGGTAGGCGTAGGTCCTGAATATGTCATTGGACAATCATCAGCTGTTACTTCAAATTTAGGTTCCCTTCCATTTTCCAAGATGCGACATGTATATTGTGTGTCACTTTTGGGATCCACCATACTTCTGTACCATCTGGGATAAAAATAAGTTAATTAAGTCCCTCTCCCGTACATATTTGTCATGAATGAATAATAAATTACTTTCTAACCGTATAATTAGCAGGGTAGATGTAACGTTGATTATGGTAAGCCGGTCGTTCGTAAATGACCGTGCCAAGATCAACAACGGTCCATGAGTCAATTTCTACAGGTAAGATATACGCACCTGTATTGTCTCTATCGACTTCATAGTATGTACGCACCACTGTATTTACTTGTTGCTGTTGTTGTTGCTGTTGTTGTTGTGGTGGTGCTGGAGGGGGTTGTACAGGTGTTTTTTGGTAGATTCTAGAAGAAGGATCACTGGTAGGTGTTGGTAATGGGGCAGGAATTGCAGTATTATTACTACTACTACTACTACTAATATTATTATTATTATTATTATTGTTGTTGTTGTGGTTGTTATTGTTAGCATTGGCAGAGGAGGAGGAGGAGGCTGGCATAATGGCAGGATTCTTCTTTCGTTTCTTATTACTAGGTGTATAAATGACAGGAATAGCATCTTCCAGCTTCATATAATTAGCATTAGGTGAAGAAGAAGAAGAAGAACAAGAGGTAGATGTAGATGGAGGTAAATAGCGGTCTTTTTCGGCTAGAGAGGCAATGGTGAATGCTGACCTTCTTACGTCTTTTTTTGGGTAAGGTAAAGTAAGATTGTTGTCTTGTTGATTATAAAAGGGAGGTGAGTTCTGTCGCTTATTCTGGGGGAATATAGGCTCAGGCCGAAAGACGGGTACTCGAGTAGGTAAAGGCGGACTTGATTGACGCTGATAACGATCGAATTCTGATTCATCAGTATGATAACAGTTACATATTGGATGATGTGGAGTCTGTGTTGAAATTCGGAATTGCTCAAATGATTTATTTCTTAATGCAGAAAAATAGTCTTCTTTTACCCATTTCATGGTCTATTAAAAATCATTGTTTAGTAAGAAAGAGGGTAAACGGGCTATTAAAAACACACACACAACTCACTGGTTGTAATTCCATGTAAATATCAATTATACTAGTATCAATCGATTTACCATGTATAAATACATCTTCTCCGTCCATGATCCACGTCAGTAAACCATGGCCTTCCCAAATGAGTGAATCGCGTTTTTCACTTGGCCCTTGCCCACTTTCGTGGAAATTCGCAGTATAAATAGACAAATCGTGATCTCTACAAATCATATCCGGACTAAACAAGGTGAGTAAGGTTGCATATCACGTGTATCAGTTGGAACTAAAAAAAAAAAAAGAAAAAAAAATCCTTTTTTTTTTCAAATAACAATAATCATAAGAATAAAATACCTGGACGAGCAAATAGACCATAGACATGATTTCAATGGAATAGATATTTGCGATAAATCAGTATTTTCTTCGGGTATAGAAAATGTTGTTAATCGTGTTGATTTAGAGCCACGAAGCGTATAAAATACTTTAACTAAAAAGAATGGAATAAAAAACATTAGATTTCCTTTTTCTTCTTCTTATTCTTGTCTGTTCGGAAACCTCTGATTGATTTATTATCTTTGTTTAGTGGATTCATTTATTACAAGGTGAACATGAGAAGTCAAAAGAAACAAGTAAAAAAAAAAAAAAAAGAAGAAAAAAAAAGAGGGAGAAGAGAAGAAAAGAAAGAGAGCGAGGAAATTAGGTTCTTTTTAAGAAAGGTACAAAGTGGGTCAATGTGTTTCAGTACTATCCTCCCTAATGTATTTACTCTTTTTGGTTACTTTTTAATTCCCAGCCCTCACATATAAACAGTCCGTACATATGTCAACTTGTCGCCTTCTCGTCTTTTTTTTTTTTTTTAATAGAATGGCCACACAACATATGCTTGTAAAATGCGTTGTACAAGAAACCAAAAGCTTATGTCACCCTACACCGATATGCCACATAGTAAAAGGCTCATGTTTATTTTTTTATTCTAGCTTTTTTTTTTCATTTACAGTAACCTGGTTGCCTAGGCAACTCTCTTTTTGCATAATTGAAAATAAGCAATATAACAGAAACTAATAAAACTCACGGTTTTATTCCGCGCAATTAAACACGGACGGAGAAGAAATTAAACTTTCACACGCCAAAATGCTTGAAATCATGATTTTCGGTTTTTCAAAAAACGTGTATAATATGGAACTATACAATCATGGAAAATGACTCTTTTCTAAGGGCGAAAAGAGTCAGGAAAGGAAGCCCATAAGATAGTCACTTCAGGGACAGAGCTGGGAATGAAAGGGCACAAGATGAAAATCTTTAAATTGAAAGAGTCAGATATTGATTTGCAGCCCAAAAAAATAGATCTTGTCTTGACACTTTTACGGTAGAATGGTTTATCAGAAAGTTAAAAAGCTTATTAAATTATCTATCAACCACTGTTACCTGTTAGCCTATGAATACATTTTTTATTATAAATATCATCGCAAAAATAACGTGTCTTTTTTTTTCCACGTTTATAACTACTTTTCCACACACTCAGACACAAAGGCACCCAGACCTAAATGGTAATGATTTCATTGCCTATACAAATTAAGGTTTCTACAGCAGCAAAGTTACCAAGAAAAATATTTCATTATGCCCCGAGCATCCGGTAAAAAATTAAGGTTTAAAATAAAATCAATCTCTTTCAATGCAGGTTCCAGGCTGACACATTCTGTCAGTATCTAATCTACCAAAGAGACGCTATAATAGTTATCATTCGGAGAATTATACCTAGAAAGGCAGAAAAATGGTATATATTCCCTGTATACTGCTTTTTCTAACACTAAATCTGCTAAGCTATCGGATTTTATCAGGTACTAAAACAGTGAGTTTAAAGTGGTCCTTTAATAGGGGTCTGTCGTAATATTCTTTTAAAATAAAGTGCCACCAATCTCATTGACACTATGTCATAGGGCTTATTTTTATATTTAGGAACTCCCTACGAGGAGGCTTTTTTTTTCCTGTTTTGTTCTTGTGAAACATACTGACGCGATAACAACAACCAAAAGGTTTTTTTTTTGATTGCACTAAAGTAGTTTCCAAAGATACCTTTACCGACAAATGAGAACACGTATCATAAGCCTTCAAAAGATTCTATTTTTAGTTAGTGACAATTTCATATTTTATTGATGAGCTCATATCTAAAATGAAGAGGGTCATAGCGTCCAGTCTTACCCGAATACGACAAGCACGTCCCTTTTTTTTTCTCTAAGCCTTTTATCGGTAATATTAAAAAATAAAATATAGGATGAGTGTGTCTTTGTTGTGCAGTTTCATTTCAAAACCGCACTCAGCCTATACCAGTCTAACGAAAAAAAGTCAACATGATTCAGATCATCGACAACACCTGGATGATTGATGAAAAAGCCAACTAAAACAAAATGAGAATGAAATCAGCAAGAAACGATATGAAAGAGTTGATAAAGATAATCAACTAAATGACATTTTTAACTGTGGCCTAAATGAAGAAGAGGGCACTTTTTTTTTATATGTATACTTTTAAAAAAATTACTCTATAAAAGGTGAGAAAATTAGTTGGGATGAGGGGTTTATTAAGCATAGTCAGACTCAACGCCACTGTCAATGTTGACTTCGATCACCTGCTTTGAATAGGGTAAGGCATCATGATAGACTTGCACCATACAAGCCATTGCATCGAACCAAGTGTATTGCTGGGCCTGTCGTATGGATTCTTCGCTCAACTTGTCACACCACTGTCTCTGTGTTACGATCGATTGTAATAATTCACGATAGGCAAGCATCTGTTGCGTTTCTGTCAGACCTTCAGGGTTCAACAATAGGCCAGTTCTGCCATGTTGTACTAAATCTTTCACGCCTTCTGCCTCTAAGCCAATCACGGGCAATCCTGATGCCATGGCCTCTAACACCACCTGCCCAAATGTCTCACTTGTCGATGGAAACGCAAAAATATCAGCTGAAGCATACACCTGTGATAGATCTTTACCTTGTAGATAGCCTGTAAATGTGACAGGTATATCTGATGATTGACAAACAGATTGAATCTCTCCAAATGCGGGGCCATGACCTACAAGCACCAGATGGCATACATCGTGATTCATTTGTTTATAGGCATCAATCAGTAAATGAATATTCTTTTCATACGAGATGCGTCCCACATAGAGAATCACAGTCTTTTGAGCGCACGACCATGAGGAACGTAGTTGGCTGGATCTTTTGCCCGGAGAAAAGAATGACATATCTACACCACGAGGCCATATTTTGATATTGTTAAATCCGTGTTCCTTTAAGGTGATACTAGTGGATTTAGAGGGGCAGGCAACAGCATGACTAAATGAATGGCAATATCTGTTCCATTTCCACATTGTACTTGATAGGAATCCAAAGCCAAAATGACGACAATAATCCGCCAGATTTGTGTGGTAGGAAGATACAATGGGTATAGTGGGTAGGTAATAACGCAAGATGGATAAGCCCAAGGCGCCCAAGCATACGGGGTCAACCAGATGGATGATGTCTGGTTGAAATTGGATTAATGCGGTTGTGAACTTTGGTCTCCATAGATTGATTTTAAGCTCGGGATAAAGAATAAACGGTATACCAAATGTCCCAATCAACTGAGCTCCTGCATATGTCTTTTTATTCGTTTCAGGACCTAGGAGTAAAACCTGGTGTGAAGTTGTTTCTAAATGCTCTAGTAATCTTGCTAATGTGCGCGTAACCCCATCTACTTTGGGAAGGAAGTTTTCCGTTATGATTGCAATTCGCATGTTTCCCAATGTGCAGGAATAAAAAGAAAGAAAAAAGAAGAATAAAATAAATATAAAAAAAGAGAGAGTGTGTGTGTATTAATTTGGCTTCATTGTTTATTTTATTCTCCTTTCAAAACGTTGACTGTAGTTTTCATACACCTGATGCAATCATGTGTTGTTAAAGTCCATTGTCTGTGCTTGGTTTGCTCTTACTCGAAATCGATCTTTTTTTTTTTTTGGTCTTTCTATTGGATAAATCAGTCTTCCACGTTTTTATCAAGTTTTATGCGTATGCATAGTCGTACAATCAACTTGAAATCATGTTAACAGATATAGACTTTTGTAGAACCGCATGGCCTGCCAAGGAGTAAATATCCATTTTCCCCTCTCTTTATTTTTCACTTGTGTATTTTAGTGCCCCTTTTAACATTTTACAAGTGAAACTTAGCAAACAGAATACAGTCATGATATCACTGCCCAGGCACTAATGAATAGACTTGTGGGTTTATTTTTAAGGAAAAACACACCAAAAAAAAATAAAAACCCTGTTATTTTATCGCCCTTGAATTTTAAATGTAATTATCGTTTTCCTCTTTTAATAATAGATTTCTTTTTCTATATTAAAATCCCCTTTTTCTTCTTCTCTTTCTCTTTCTCTTTCTCTTTCTTTTTTTTTATTTTATTGTAATGAATAGCTGGACTTTTTTATGCATTTTTATAATTGTACTACCAAGCTGCTGTCGAGGTAATGTTGTACCCGCTTTTCATTTTGAAAGCAATGACATGTAACATGACAACTTTCTTTTTTATTATTATTATTGTAGGATTTTCAGCACAAAGACAACTTCGTCGAGTCGAATCATTAAATACTTTTCACTACCAAATTGCACCGAGGCCTAAGCATTTCTTCGACAAAAGAGGTCAATCTCCTTCTCTTGTACCACCCCAACATATTGAATTTGACGATCACTTGTTATTGACCTTACAAGCATATAATACTACTTTCCATCTGAATCTGGAGCCCAACTTTGACCTATTTCATTCAGACGCTGTCCTTCATCAATACGGTCAAAGTAAAAAATTAGGCCAGCATAAAGTATACAAAGGAAATGTCATTGCAGGCGGTTGGGCTAGAATCACGATGCAACATATTGGGTAATTTATCTTTTTAGTTTTCCATCTTTTTCTTCTTCTCATAATCCACAACCTTAGAAACACTTCAATCATACAGGGCGCTTTTAAATACAAGAACGACTTGTATCATATCAAGGATGCTCATCATTATCATTTGGTAAAGCAACACAATGATCCTGTCAGTAGTGCTTCTTCGATGGTGATCTACAGGGATTCCGATATGCTGTCGAAAAGACAGGATCCACACGCCCATCAATGCGGGTTTGACAACCTAATCCAACCTACAGCCTTACCCGAACTAACAAAGCGTTTCGAACAAGGATGTCCTACAGACCGAAAGAGTAATACTAGCACACCCTAAAAAAACATGGTATCGTTGTCTTATGCTAACTTTTCTTTTTTTACTGCTAGTTAATTATATGGGAGCAGGTAATTAAGCACAAAATAGATACATGTCTCCGAGAGAAAATCTAATAAGCCCCAAATTCCAACTAGTTGCGGATTGTACCTATGTTCAATACTATAAATCTCGAGACGCAGCACGGATCCAAATCATCAATGATTTTAATATGGCCTCTGCAGTATTTGAAGAGACATTTAATGTAGCCCTGGGACTAATCAATATCACCATCATGGATCCTACCTGTCCAACAAACATCAATACCAAACGGGCCTGGAACAGAGCCTGCGATGCCAATTATTCTTTAAGCGATCGTCTCAGTGATTTTAGCCTCTGGAGGTCTACTATGAGTAAAGATGGTGCTGGTCTATGGCATCTCATGACAAATTGTCCGTAAGTCCTATTTATGCATCTCTAAATATGGAATTGCTAAAAAAAACACACACACACACACAATTTTATTAATAGCACGGGAGTCGAAGTCGGATTGGCCTGGTTAAAGCAATTGTGCAATTCAGGTGCAAATATTCAAAAGACTCCATCGGGAAAAGCTCAATATGTATCTGGTGCAGGTGTATCCGCCATTAGTAAGTATTTACTTATAAAAAAAAAACTATAAATACTCATGAAGTTTATTTATAGCTCGTGATGAATGGAAGGTCGTAGCCCATGAAATAGGTCATGGTTTTGGTGCCATCCATGACTGCACCTCAGAAACATGTCCATGTGAAGGTGAAGCTTGTCAATGCTGTGCATTAGATAGTGCGACCTGTAATGGCGAAGGGTTTCTCATGAGTCCTATTAGTAATGTTTCTGCTGAGCATTTTAGCCCGTGTTCGGTTAAGACGATTTGTTCTGCCTTTCCGAAAACGGGCCATTGTTTAGCCGATCCTCAGGAACATGTTCGCTCTATCTATGAACTGGACGTATGTGGTAATGGAATCAAAGAACAAGGCGAGGAGTGCGATACAAGTGGCGTGGATACCGATTGTTGTGATGCAAAGACCTGTAAACTAAAGAAGCCAGCTGTGTGCGAGTAAGTTTACATATAGATATTAGCAGGTTATATACTTGGAACTCACACACCTTTTTTTTTGTACCTGCAGAGATACCAATGACTCTTGTTGTCATCAATGTCAAATCAGACCACACACACACATGTGTCGACCTGCAGCCACACCTTGTGACCTGTCTGAATATTGCACAGGTAGCTCCGCATCATGTCCTGACGACCTTTATCTCAGCGACGGAGTGCCCTGTGAGGATGGCAAGAGTTGTGCCTCAGGTCAATGTACTTCTCGCGACGCACAGTGTCTTTCCCGCGGGTTTGTGATGAATATCACAAAATCGTGCGAATCTAATAACGAAGAGTGTAAAATGCTATGTAACAAGCCCGGCGGTAAATGTATCTTGTTCAGTGGAAGTTTTATCGATGGCACACCATGTGGGCTTGGCGGACGATGTTTATCAGGGGCCTGTCAAAACGGAGGACCGATAGGTAGTCCCTTGTTTTGGGTGCGAGAACATGAAAATATTATGATTCCTGTTTGTATCATTGCCTTTTTGATCTTGTGTTCCTGTGCATTTCTCTTGTTTTGGTTTGGCTGTTATCGCTGTACCGGATATAAACAGAAGAGACACCAAAATACGGTGGGGTTGAAAGATAAGGCTGTGAACAACGACTCTAACACCTTATCACTGTCCAGCACGCTTACGCCCCAATCGTCCACATCAAGTGGACTCACTGTATATGGAAACAATGATATCACTGAGATCACAACTGTAAAACCCCCCACCCACTTGTAGGAATATATTTAGACATTGTATAGTAATAATAATAAAAAAAAAAAAAAACTTTTTTATTTCGGGTTTGTTTAAGCAAGTGTTTCCAAGACGGTAGCTAAGGTCTTCATATCGTCACGGATACTCTTGGCAAAACGAACAACCTTTTCCTTGTTATCTAACACCTCGATTGACTGTGTAAGAGCATTGTAACGAACCGAAAATGGACGATTCATGTTTGCTGCAAAATCCCGCACCTTTTCTTGAGCGTCTTTGAAAGATTCGGCCACAAAATAAACGGGCTGGAATTCTGTGATGGGGTATTTTTGAAGTGCAGTCTTTGGTGGTTCAAAGGGTCTTAACTCGGGTTTGTCTGATAAGGCATACTCGAGCTCACCAAATGAACTTAATAAACCTGCACCAAACGCCCTGACCTCACCATCCTGTCGACAAAGTCCGAATTCGACTGTGAACCAAAAGATGGTGGCTAGTTTTGAAATATCTTCGTCGGATGCACCTAATGAGGCTAAGCCAATTTCCTGTGAGAAATCAGCAAAATCAGGATCTGCAAACTGAAAGTAAAAAGCTTGTTAGCACATAAGAATTTAAAGAATTGAAGGATATCTGAACATACCAAAGGAACATGACCCAATAACTCGTGACAGACATCGGGCTCAGGGGTATAGAAGGGTTTGGAAGAATGTCGAATGTATTGAGTGGAGTAAAAGATACGGAACGCAAAAGAATTCAAGAAATCACGACTAGATAAGAGACCCATGACAGGACGAATGGTGAAGCCAGTACAGTCTTTCAAGAAGCGAGAGATTTGCTCAATCTGAGGAATCTTCTTGTCATTGTAGCCACAGTTTTGAACAAGCAAAGGTAACACATATTGATGCTCACGACAGGCATGCGTGGGATACATGGCGGTTAAACCCCGGAACACTTTACCCCATGTTTCATTCTCCTCATCCGTATACTCAATCTCAGGAACTGCTTGTCCCGTACGATACGTCTTGGCAATACGAGTGATTTCAGATCTTCTGGCACGGTAAACAGGGTCATGAGCACCAGGGTGATCAGAACCTAGACATTACATGTTAAATACTTATACCGATATTTCTTCTACTACTTACTGAGTTCTTCGCCCATTTCCATAACTTTTTCTGCAAAAGTGTCCAAATCTGTCAATTTGCGTGGGAACCAAGGAACGCTATCTAACATTTATTTTCTCACGGTTATTTATTTTTGTTTTTTTGATTGACAGTCTGCTATTTACCTCCTGTGGTGGAATCAGAGCCAATCACACGAACATCCTTCGTATGCTTGCGAAGGCCTTCAACAACATTGGTTACTTGGTTAGCATCATTAGCATCAAAATCGACAAAAAAGTCATAATCCCACTCCTTGGCAAGGCTAGGGCGTCTATTTTATCTTATATAAGAAACAAATCTGTTGAATATAATTGCTTTACTTACGATTCAATACGAGTCAAGGAGATATCCATGGCCTTGATGGCAGCCAAGCAGTTCTCAAGTCCTCCAATCTTATCATCGATAGAAAAGCACAAGGTAGTTTTCAAAGCTTGGTTAGTGTTTGCTGGAGACATTCTAATTGTGATCAAAAAAGAGTTTGAAAGAAAAAAAGAAAAAAAACTTTCTGTCTTCCCAAAGAGATGGGGGGTTTATAAACTCAAAAAAAAAAAAATTAAAAATTACAGCGTATGATATTTTTGACACGGTCACGTGTAAATATTCATGCAAGCCCGGCCCCGCGGAGAGTATCATTTATGTCATTGTTTTCGCAAGTCGTTGATGCAGGGTGCATACATTCAGTGTTGGAATTTATATCATTCTTGGAAGAAAAACCCACGATTAAAAAAATTACATGTAAAAGTAAAGATAGCAATTGATATAAGCAAGACTATTCTATCTGGGAAAATCGGGTTGTTAACTTGTTTGATCTGTCTGACATAAAATGTTCTGGACAATACACAATTGATTCATTACTTTATATGGTCTTTAGAAACTCAAACATGTTCACCCATGATTCTCCCCTTTACCATTCATTAATCACTTTAAACGTATTGTTCCCTTCTCCTTTAACAAATGGTAAAAGCAGTTGAAATTTAGTATTAAATCTCAGTGGATAAACCATGGATCAGACTATATAAATGAACGAATAAGAATATGTGGGGGGTAAACATTTCTATTTAAAACGGATAAAAGATTTATCATGAATCCCCGATTGGATCAATGAACTGTGGGGTAATTGGATTTTAAGCAGAGCAATCCTTCACTTTTTTTTTCATTATCGTATAATTTTATGAAATTACAAAATCTTATCGTTTGGTACTACCATCGTATCACTTTGAATCTGAGTTTCATAGGCTGTGGTACAGTCACGTTTGCCGGTTGACAGTCGTGTCCATCACAAACGTTATTTGGCTCCACTCCGACTCCAGAGGAGTGTTTACCAGGGATTCAGGTCACGTTTTGGCAATAGAACTATAATTTTATCTCTTTACACTTTTTCCTGAGGCCTGTTATGCCTATGATTTTTTTTGCAGCTCGTGGGATGCCTCTATCGGCAGAGTAGTTTCCTAGAGGTCAACTTCAAAAGGCACTGTCCATAGCCATTATCAAAAGTTTCTTGAACTCAAAGACTATTATATTGTGATTGGTTATGCATCAATTTATACAACGATCCAAATTGATAAAATAATAATTGTAGGATGGTACAGAGGTATTTACCCTCCTCCTTGCTTTTCTGAGCTTAATTTAATAGTGAAGTTTTGTCAATCGCCAAAATTAAGGTCAAGCAAAATTCATTCGAAGCTGATAGAGACCTAGTCACTTAACGTCAAATATTAAAATCATGATGTATGCTCTTAACGTCAACTATTAAAATCATGATGTATGGCTGTTGACAGCTATGCCTGCATTTAGTAAGCACGTGTTTTTGCTCGTCAGGGTATTTTAAAATGTATAAAAATTCTTTAAAAGCCACAATGATAACAAGCTGTATGAAAAAAACTATCTCTTATGAAATAAGGACAAACAGATATTAAACGCTGATGTGCCGAAGTTGTATGAAATCACGTTAGCGTAATTCTACCCTTTGAATTTTGAATAATGTTACACTGAAAACAAACCAATAACAACAACAAAGTCGTCCGTATGTTATGCATGAAGAATACATTAATTAAATATATCGTATATCTTTCTAAAAACTAAAATCATCCTTCTTTTGATTCCTTTTTCTAATTTTCCAAAAAAAAAAAAAAAAAAAAAAAAAAAAAAAAAGTGATGCCTAAAAGCAAAAACACCCCTAACCGTGGATACGATCCAAGACTTCTACCTTCTGGTCATTGTTTTTGTATGTATGAGCCCTATGAACGCAGCGATGTATTGGAACTCAAGCAGGATTACGTATATGAGTTTCTTGACGAGGGTGGAGTTTGTCCTTGCATTATAGAGAATAACAAAAAATTTAAAAATAGAGTGAACTACTTACGTAGGAAAGCAAAGAAAACTGGTTCCTCATTCTGTAAACCTGGTCCCAGAACTGAAAGAGTGTATGATATGAGTGCCTTTGATGATGATGAATCAGACCCTGATGATAACAACGATAGTAAACAACAACAACAGCAGCAAGAACAAGAACAGCCATCACCCGGTATTGAATACTTTAATACTATGCCAAAAAAATTGAAGCCTTAGTATAACAACTGCTACCTGGGACAAGTACAAAATGTTTTAAAGAGAGACAAATACCTGATCTCTATGTATTACATTTACTAATAGATCACAAAATTGAAACAATAGAGTATTGTCATTGTAGAAACCTGTTAAAAGTAATGAATCATGCCCAGCTTATACATCTAAAAAACAAATTGTTGATGTATATTTAATTCTTTCTCTTAAAAGAAATAAAAGATATGCAAATGATAAACACAGTCTCAATTTATGGTATGACAGCATACCCGAAGAAAGGTATTTGGGTACCTGATGTTTCTCATCATATAATGTTTCCATATGAAGATTATGGTTTTATGATGAAGAGTTTATTCATAAACAGTTCTAGATTAGCAATCTGTCACCAACAGAGTGTAGTGAATACACGGTAGGTAATGGCCACAACAATCCATTGTACATGTTGCTTCCCTTGCATGTAGTAGCCTTTGAAAAGACGTGTAGGCAAAATACCTGAGCTAGGAAAAGAAGGTTTAAAGTCATGGAAGAACCTTTCGCGCTGTACTTGTGCAAACTTCTTAAATAATACAGCCACAATCAAATATGAAGTGTTAAGGGCCGGGATGAATGTAAGTATATGTGTGAGGGAAATGGGGGGTATTTAAGTGAATTAAGTACACGAATACTAGATATGCCTATTAACGGCTGTTAGAATCGAAGAAAAAGTAAGTGTGTGACGAAACTAATTCTACGATGGGATCGTCACGATCAAACTAATTGTCTTGTCTTGTTGTCTGCTATGCCTAATGAAATGGAACAACTGTATCCCAAAATCTGACTTGACAACTTCTAACGAAGCAATTTACATGTTTTCAATGACTTTCTAAACTGTCGTTACTAGGTTGACAAGCGCCACAAATGCAGGAAATCTTGGAATAAACTTTTTTTTATTTACGAACCGACAATGTACACATTTAAAGTTTTAAAAGGAGCTCTCGGCGCCCATCCAAGATCACAAACACACACAAAAAGCCTTAAACAGTAACAGCACGAATAAGCTACACGTGATATGTGTATTACTCTATAATTTTTTTTATTCACCTCCTTCTTTTTATCTCTTCTTTTTACTGTATATAATCAATGTCTGATACTACCAGCGAAGAGAAGAAATCTCGAAGACCCGTTGGTATAACTTGACGAAACGCCTATTCTTTTATCTTTCTTGTAATGACCTTTTAAAAATAGATGGCGCTTTTCGACAACAAAGATTAAAGGCATGGCAACCTGTCTTGACGCCAAGAACAGTTTTACCCACCTTTTTCATTGTGGGTATACTTTTCATGCCTATTGGAGGACTTTTATATTGGTCCAGTGGCAAGGTAACAATAGCTGTATAACAGCTTTCCAATCTTTACTTTTTGTATTCAACTCACTCGAAATTAGGTGAACGAAATTATGCTCGATTATTCAACATGCGGTTTATACGATGAACCCATCTATATGGACGATTCCAAACATAGTTTTCAATTCTCGACTTCTTTTGACGCCAGCACATTAACGGCGCCCATATTCCGATACGAGAATGTCAGCGATTTTTTGGACGCTGACTGGAAAAATCCCAACCAATTAACTATTAAGCGATGTGTGATTGATTTTAGCGTGCCTGAGACGATGACAGGTCCTGTCTTCATGTACTATCGTCTGACAAATTTCTACCAAAATCATCGCCAATACATTAAGAATTACGACGCTGGACAGTTAGGTGGTGAGATTGTGAATTCAGTGACACTGAATACCAATTGTGGACCCATTGATGTCAATCCAGACTCGGATCTCGTAGTATATCCATGTGGATTAATTGCTAATTCCATGTTTAATGGTATACATTTACATAGTTTCTTTTTTCCGCGATTTTTATTAAGTTCATGTCCCACTCCTCCTTAGATACTGCTTCTGATTTAACGTCCTTGACATCTTCGGATACCTATACATTTCAGAGAACAGGCATCGCTTGGCCCACAGACAAAATGAAGTATAAACCTACGACCTATCCCACTGCGGATATTGTTCCTCCTCCCAACTGGGCCTCTCGTTATCCCGATGGTAAATACACAAATGAATATCCTCCTCCCAATTTAGAAACCATGGAACGCTTCATGGTGTGGATGCATACCGCAGCTTTGCCTGATTTCAGAAAGATTTGGGCAAGAAATGATCAAGATACATTGAACGTCGGAAGATGGAGAGTCTCCATTGATATGAGTAAGTTTTTTTTTTTACTGTACAATGAAAGAGACACCATTTTAACATGTACATGTGACAAAGACTTTGATACTAGAATGTATGGTGGTCAGAAATGGCTGGTTCTTTCAACCACATCACCATTGGGAGGTCGTAACCCATACTTGGGTATTGCCTACATGGCTATTGGAGCCATTTCCATCTTCTTAGGCCTTGTTTTTTCACTTCGTCATTGTATCAAGCCTAGGTAAAATAATCATCATCACCATAATGCTCTCTTATTATCTTTTCTAACACAATCCCTATTAGAAAACTCGGTGATCAAAGCTATCTTTCATGGAACCAGCCCGGTGGGGGTCTTCCTGTCAACAAGAGGAGCAAAAAAGTCCTTCATGACAATTAAATGTTTTATTTATTTATATATGTATTAAACTGGGCCTTTTTATTATTATATCTAATCATCCCATTCACTATCAGAATCACTGTCAGAATCATCTTCCATGGCTTTTTTACGATCATTAAGGGCAGCTAATAAACTATTTGCTAAATCTCCACCTCCACCTCCTGCAGCAGATCCTGTAGCTGCAGCGGTTAATGGTACACTGCGGTCTTTACGTGCTTCTACAGGTGTACTACGAAGTGAAGAGACACCACCGGCACCACGGATTGCATCTAGTAAAGCATTGCGTGGTTCACCAACAACAGGTAACGGTGGTGAACTGGCAGTTGTAGGTGCTGCACCTCCCATAGCTGGTGGCGGTGGTGGGGGAGGCGGTACACCGCCCATTGGAGGAGGTGGTGGTGGTGGTGGTGGTGGAGGAGGGGGAGGAGGAGCGCCTCCAGTTGATGGTGGTGGTGGAGGAGGAGGAGGATTTGAGCCACCAGATGGTGGTCCTTGTGGAGGAGGTGGTGGTGGAGGACCAGTGGGTCTAGCTGTGGGTCTTTGACCCATAGGAGGAGGAGGAGGACCTCTTCTATCTCTATTGGGAAGTGGTGGCGGAGGAGGTGGTACGGATCGATTACTTGTTGAAGGCATAGGAGGTACTGGAGGAGCTTCAGACATACGAGAAAGAGGCGGTGGTTGGGGTGCTTCCGGAGCATCATAGAACTCATCATCTTCTACGTTTGTCTGATATGTTTCTGGCTCATCATACTCGTGTTGATCGGATTGTGGTTGTGGAGGAGGTGGTGGTGGAGGAGGTGGGGGAGGTACACCTTGTCTAGCTCCCATAGGAGGAAGTGGTGGAGCTGGAATACTTGGTCTAGCTCCCATGGGGGGAGGTGGCGGTGCTGGGGGAGGAACGCCTTGTCTAGTTCCCATAGGAGGAAGTGGTGGAGCTGGAATACTTGGTCTAGCTCCCATTGGAGGAGGAGGAGGAGGAGGAGGTACTGCTGAGGTAGGTGGGGGAGGTACACCTTGTCTAGCTCCCATAGGAGGAAGTGGTGGTGCAGCTGGAATAGATCGTTCAGGTGAAGCCATTTTATAAGGATTATTTGATCTATTAGGACTAGGTGCTTCTGGGATGGATCTGATAGGAGGGGTTTCTGGTGTCTGAAATCGCATTGGAGGGGGAGGGGGAAGTGCTGTACCTGGAGCTGAGATATGATGCTGAGAGGGGAAACTAGGCGCAGGAGGAGTATTTACTACAGGTGAAGGCTGATAGTAATCTTCTTCTTCTGTCTCATAGTATTCTGTTGGTTGACGTACGGGTGGTGGTGGAGGAGCAGGTACAGCAGAACGCACTGGAGGTGGTGGTGGTGGTGCAGCACGTCTGGAAGGTGGGGGAGGTGGAGGAGGACGACGACCACCTACTGGAGGAGGTGGAGGAGCATGACGTCTAGAAGGTGGTGGGGGTGGCGCACGTACTTTAGGTGATCCTACAGCAGGACGAGGAGGTGGTGCAGGAGGTCCTCCTCTTTCGTTTACAAACTCTTTAATAAAATCCTCGTTATCTTGAAGCTCTTCTGGTGAAATACCCAAATCTTTTAATTGATCAAATAAACCATTCCATTCAGGACCTGTATTTTGAACACTAAACCCTTTATCTGGTGTATAACCAATATGACCCAAATGTCTAATATTATTTTTTGTTTGTTTAATAATCTTCCTTTCGCTTCATTTTTTTTTTCTTTCTGCTTATTTTTACCTAAACTCGGATGGTAATCCAATCTGAGATTTATCCAATTTTCCTTTGGGTTTTTTACCGCTACTCGTTTCTGTGGAACATTAGCTTGAATAATAGCACATTGTTATTTTCATATTATATTTACCCTTCTTTTTTTTACTGCTTGTCTTTTTGGTAGTTATTTCTCTAGTAGTTACTTTTGTATAGAACACTTCTGCATCGTCTTGGTCTGCAAACGATAAACCGGCCATATATTCCTAAAAGAGCATAATCATCAGCAGTTATGTTTGGTGCTTGTGTAATCCTTTATCCTTACGTCAGTAGCAAAAGTACAAAAGAAGGGCGTATGTTTTTTAAATTCGAATCCATCATAGAGCTCCTGCTCCCAAATAATACCTCGGTGTTGCTGTATATATAAAGGAAGTTGGTTATATGCTTTTTTTTTTAAGAGTAAAATCTTTGCTTACCGTCAAGTCAACAATCTTGATGTAATAGGAATGAGTCTTTTTATCTTTAAGAAAAGTTACTGCGCCCCAGATATTTGAGTATGCCCATTTATTAGGGTTAGGATAGGCAACATACAATCGCGCAACTGTAGCCGCATAAATTTTCTAGATGAAAACAATGTTTTTAGTCCATGCCATTTCCTTAAATGAGAGTAAAAGACTTACGGCAGTAGGCAAGGCTCTTCTGACCTTGTTTTTATCCTCTGCACTAGAAAGGGCTCGGGACGGCATTATTAGGGCTTTTTTATAATTTGTTTATACAAAGAAAAAAAGGGTAATATTGCGTCCTAAATGTGTATTTTGTGTGAAAGTGAACTGGGTTTTAAACAAACGACAACTCTCTTTTAAGACGCCGGTCTCGTGCTTTGATGGGCAATTTTGCATTTACAATATTCAATTAAAATGGCTCAAATTAATTCCATTATCATATGGCTAAACGTGGCCAAATTCTATATAAACTATACCAGCCGATGCAAATTCTTTCATCAGGAAATATAAATACAGATGCAGGTGAGACCCCCACCAAAGCATATAGGCGGAAAAACAGGATAAAATGTGACTTCATTTTTACTAAATAGTCACGTATTTTCAGTTGTGCGGGAAAGAGCATGGAATTAAGCACACGTCAAGCCACATTCTTACCCCCGCTCAACAATTTCCCCTTGTCAGTCAAAGGGGCATAGCTTTTTCTTTTTCTGTTCGGTTCCTACTTTTTTTTTTTTGTAATTATGCTCCGTTCTTTGACCAAAACCAATAGCATTTCAGCACAAGCTGCTGCCGCCATCAGCAAAGGTAATTGATTCATAGAGATCCCCTGTCAAAAAAAAGTAAACTAATCCATAGTACGCTAGCACCTCGCTTTGCTTCAGCTTTCCTTCACACTCAACCTGCTTACGCTGACAACACACCCGAAGACAACGCACCTATTCACGCCCTTGGAGCACGTCTTGGACTTCAATCTTTAGACTCCAGCATTTTAAAGCAAGCATTAACACACAAATCCCTCGTTGGACAAAAGAACAATGCCACCTTAGAATTCATTGGTAAGAGAGTCTCTGGATTATTCGCCACCGAATTTGTTCATTGCAAATACCCCACTTTACACCCTGGCGCTCTTAATTCCACCCTTCGCGCCTTTGTCGGAAACAAGTCTCTCAACAAAATCGCCACTGAAGTTGGTTTACAACACACCATTGCTTGGAAGGCACCAGAGGATGAGAGTGTTAAATTAGGTCATGCCACTGTCATGGCTGATTGCATGAATGCTCTTATTGGTGCTATTTATCAAGAACAAGGACAAGATGCAGCAAAGAAATTCATTCACGATTTCGTCTTGTCTCGCGATTTTGATGTCAAACCTGTCATCAAGGTCGAGGAACCTAAACGTCATTTAACTGCCTTATTGAAACAATTGAATAAGGAACCTGCCAACTCTAGATTGCTTTCTGAGACTGGTCGTGCTTCTTCTTCTCCTGTTTTCGTAGTTGGTGTCTTTTCCGGCAAGAACAAGTTGGGTGAAGGTTTCGGTAGTTCTCTCAAAATGGCTGAATTTAGAGTAAGTGTTGATACGTGTGTGAAGAAAATAAAAACTTATTTATTTCAATTAGGCTTGTCAAGATGCTTTAACAAGCTATTATGGTCAAGAACAAAAAGATTTCACATTGCCCTCTGATGCTGAAAATGTAGATAAATATGTTGCCAACCCCTTGGGAAATACTCAAGCTCTTATTTAAGAAAAGAAAAAAAGAAAAACGCTATTCCTCTATCACTCATTTTTATAGATTTCTATTGTTTTGATGCAGCAGCAAAATAAACACCTTCCTGTATAATAATAATAAAAGAAAAAAAAGACAACAAAAAATATTAATAATGCATTACATACAAATAACATCAAATAAATCTAACCTGTGTCATCCATTGTGATTCCTTTGTAGCACTCTTAGCAGCAGCAACTTCAAGTTGTCCAGGGATAGGATGCCCAAAGGCATATCTTGAGTAACTGCTTAAATAAGTCTTTGTGTCTTCATGCATCAATTGAACTGGCACTTCACGAATCCAAGTTGTATCACCCGAATTCAAACATTCCACTTTCCAATTATCACCACTATCTTTGCCATCATAGCAACTCACTTCTTGCTGCTTAGAAAGTGGAGATTGATGAAGATGACTATGAAGGTAACCCTGTGTATTGGCGTGCTTTAAACGAATGGAAGATCCACAAGGTACTGGCTCTCTATATCCATTCAAAACTTAGTCCTGATACGTATGTTTTCTTCTTTTTTTATGGTCTGTGCGTTTTTACCCTCGTTTGCAAATATTGCCAGAAGCTGCCTCCACAATCCAGAAACTATTTCCGTCATCAGAGTCGGGAAATGCTGTAACAGATTGCTGTCCTGATCCACTACCTGTTTAACATGAGTCACTAATGTCAATAAGAAACAAAGAAGGCCATTAATTTACCATAAGTCACACCATGGGAATGTAACTTGTACCCGTTAGCTTTGCTGGTGAGTTTGATGGTGCTTCCACACGTCACATGTTCAAAACCTTCACTTGGACTGTAAGCAGTTGCATATACATATGCGATTCTATATTTTTCACTTACCGTCTTCAATTTCAGGTACAGCAGAAGCTGCAAACAATGTGGGAATGAAGGCAAGATTCAGTACTAACAATGAGAGCTTCATCTTGATGGAAATCAAAGGTAAAGAAATGTAACTACATTTTTTTTTTGTAACGGACTTTTTTAAATAAAAGGGTCTGTAAGGTTATGATTGGCCAATTCAAAATTATGTCCGTAGTTGATTTAATAATATTCGAGAGTTTTTATGGATGTAACCTTAGGTTGGACATTCAATTCTCCTTGCTCGTGTATCTAGATGCTCTCGTATCTTTTAATAAAGCCACTCCTTGTTTAAATGGTTTTTTATGTCGCAATATTCTGTCAAGTGCTACAATGTCATGACTTTCTGTGTATCGCAGAAATGAAGTTACATTGGAAATAATTACAGGATGTAAGAATGCTCGTAAAGATAATTCTAGGAGGTTGATAACAGTTATATAATGGGTGGTATTATATCTATTTCTTTACTCGTTTGCGTATTGTTTTCTTCTCTTCTATGTTAAAATCCAATCGCGTAATTAAATTTTAATTCATTGTTGTACTACCGAAAAGTTGATCCTTCGTTACATGTTAACGCCGGGTGTATCTAAATGAATAGCACTCTCAACCAAAGTACTTTCAGTAAGATAAGTTATATAACTTCAAGTGTAATCTCCGACAGCTTGTCACCTTTCTGTCCCAGATCATGATTATCATTTCCTATCATTACACTCAACTGTCGCAACAGTTTTTAATTAAATTCTACAAGTATTCGATTTTAAATTCATGTCAAAGACATACTAATACATGCGCCTGTCATCAATGTTTTTGATGCGTCTTACGTAACTGTTCTCGAATTCAGCTTCTGTCATTTTTATGTTAGAAAACTTAAACAACCTTTTTATAGATAGTGGTATTTTTTTTTTTTTTTTTTACTTGATCAGGTTCAAGTTTATCTATTTAAGTATTCTGGATTTTTTAGATGCGTTTGTTGATCGTAACTTGATTGTGACTTTAGACCGTCAGAATTAGATATAAATAGCGAAAAGGATAATGTTAAGGGGAATTGTCATATATCTGGGGATTTGTTTTAAGCCCTGTCAAAATAGGTTGGCATGTTTTGGATTGAGGGCTTTGAGGTGGGCTGTTATGTATATTAGGTGGGTCTTGTGTGGTGAATGCAACCAGGTAATATGACTCTTACAATGGTGGCGGTGACATCCCCTTTATAAGCACTTCTATCTGCGATTGGCGAAACAGGTATACTCATCCTTCGACATCCTTCAACGCCGTGTCATTCATTTCAAGCTAGTCAAACTCTCAATACAAAGGGGTAAAAGTGTAATAGTTATTTTATATTTAAAGGTCTGTATTCATCCAAAAGTTGGCATATTATGTCGCACTGACATATACGAGTAGCTGACATTTATCATAATAAAATTCCAGAATTATATACACCGTCCAAACTCGAGTGCGTTAAGTTGAAGCAAATACTCTCATATCTATAACTGAATCATTACAGACCCTCATCTCTCAATGGCGCTATACACTTTACCCAGTCGATTGGTTTAGGTGTTTGATAGGAAAGCTGTTAAAAAGGGCATGATACATATTAAAAAAAAAACTACATTATTTTATTATGTGTAAGTGACTTTTTATGTGCTACGAGCAAATTCGACTCTTAAGATGAGGTTATCATAACCGTAACCGTTAATAGCTTGTTGAGCTCTTTCAGCATGCTCACGATCATTGAATGAAACAAAGGCGAAACCCTTACAAAGGTTGGTATCACGATCACGGGCCAAATAGACACGAGCAATGCTACCGAAACGGTTGAAAAGGTCATATATATCATTGTCAGTAACATCTTCAGACAAGTTTGTGACACGGAGAGTAGCAGAATCATCACGCTTGATATCACCACGCATAGACTCACCAGGTCCAGCAGCTGCTCCCTTGTTACGAAGATGAGGAGGTGTGTATTTACTGGGTCCAGAACCGCTTGATTCCATCATGCCGGCTGACTCACCACCATCGAGTTTGACAGCTTCAATGGTAGAAGCAATTTCATCCAAAGGTTGCATAGTATCCTTGTAAGGACACTTACTTGTGAAATGCTCTCCCTTACAAATACGACAAGCAATATTTTTGGTCTTGAGTTGACTTTGAATCTTATCCTTGGCCTCTTCCTCTGCAACTGCATCAACGTTCTATATATATCTAAGTTTAGTCTCTCTTGTTCTCTTTCTCTTTCTCTCTCATTCTAAATCTAATCTCTACCTTTCCAGTGTTAGATCCTAACTTGAGGGGAATGTTCTCACCAATGGTGGTTGTAGAAAGATCAGGACCAGCCTTCTTGCCCTTTTCCTCACCAAACTTTTCCCACTTCTTACGTTGAGCAACAGCTTTGTTGACATGTTCAGTAACAAGCTTTGAACGAATCTTACGAGTAACCTAATTATAAACATAAAAAATTAGGACATGCAAGGACCAGAAATAAATAACAAAATCGAACCTTGACTTTCTTGCCATCTTCATTTTCTCTGAATTCAATAATAATTTTGTTACCATCATCATCGGTATATACTTGAGGTTGATAGGAATCTAATGTTCCGTTGTTATTCGTTAATCTCGGGGGGTTCTCTGTAAAATATTTTTTTTACGTTAATTTTTTTTTTTTATTTGTACCTTCTTCATCCTCATACTCGTCAGCCCAAGAAGCCTTTGCTGGTGCACTATATGAAAACGTAGAGGGGTGTAATTAGTGAGCTGGACAGTGCATTTTTTCGAATCGAATTCTCTCGTCAGGAGCTGTCAAAACATACGCAGTATCAATAGCCATTATATGTAAAAGTAAAGTTTTTGAAAAAAAGCGTACAAAATATATTCAGCAAAAACTGGTTGTCAACACCAATTTTTTTTTGTTGAAAGTGGCTTATTGATTGAATTTTTGAGTGAGAGCTGACGGCCGTGTGTCGACGTCACATCCATGTGCGGACTTTAAATTGGTTCTAAAGCATAAGGCACAGAGTTTTGTACTCGAGTACAGGATGGTTGTAAAGATATTGGGGGAGCTTTGATTGAGTATCATATATGCCATCTAGAAGAGCCTAATAATGGCTGCTTTAGGTAATTTAGCTTCCTTTAATTCATCAACTCACGTGTATCCAAATAGACGACCTTCTTTTTATAGGAAAAACAAGATGATTGTAATTTATGAACCATGTTCTGGTATTGCCAGATAATCCCAAGTCATTGATGGATAATTAAAGGTGGTAACGCTATGAATATATCTTGAGTAATTGATGCGATTTACCGGATACTTGAGTATCCCTTGCTTAATTAATATATTTGAGGTTCCATGTTCAAAGCTTTTAAAAAACCACAAATTTTCAGTTTTAAAAACGCCTAGCTGTTATTAATTTGTATTTGATGAGCTGATGTATTTATTTGCGAGGGATTTATGTATAGAGCAAAACAGCGGATTATAATTTTTTTTTTGGTTATTTTTGCATGAATTGATAAAAAAGAATAGTGTATAAAAGTAAAAATTGAAAATTATTAAATGTCAAAAAGAAGTGGTCTTGGGGAAGGAATAGAAGCCTTCATTGATTTATGAATCAACTTAAACAAACCGGTACCGATAGACATTGGAATACCCTATTGGATTTGAAAAAAAAAATTAGTCTCATAATATTTCTACTGAAACAGTGAATTCAACTTACCATAATAATTTGTTCGGACACACCAACGATCGCATCCTTTTTACTGTATAAGGCGGCTTCAAACAAATGATCGGTAGTCTTTTCAAAAGACGCAATACTGAGAACACTATCCTTCATTTTTGAAATACCGAAACGCGTGATACCCAAAACTTCACCCTTACTTGTCATAATGTCACCTAATAAGAAGACGTGACGATGATCGATGGTCATACCGTGAGAAGACATAACGTTTGTAAGTTCGTTAATAATAGTGTTTCTAACAAGGTGGATAAAATATGTTAGAAAATACATCTTAGGTACATGACACAAGTTATTTTACCTTGCAGCTTCGATACCAAGTACTTGGGCAACCTCCATGATGTGATTTGATGTAGTTTCACTACCAACAATACCATCGGTTGTCATAACTTCAAGTAAACCGTAGCCTTCGACCAAAAGTTGTTTAGCTCCTTTACCACCTTCCTTTTCACTGATAACTGCACGAACAACAGAAGGTAAACCTGTAATAACAACACTTGCTACAACACGTTTGAGGGCCTTCAAGCTGTAGTACATTGATTCATCTTGCTTAGCATGCACGTAGACACGAATGATATCAGGTCTACTGGTTTGAACATCCTATCAAGTTAAAAATACATGTTAATTATTACGATATCTTATTAAAAGATCGGGTTTGAAAATTACCAGTTGACCCATTTTCAATTTAGTAGCCGTCTTGATTGCATGTGCAATTTGATGAAGGTTAGTCTCTAATTGAAGTCTATTGATAGCATCCAAATCGATACGTAACAAGATGTAAGACTCATTTGGCTCATAGACTTCTTCCATGTACATGGCAATATCGCCAAGAGTGGTCTTCTCAATACGACCCTTTACAACACGAGCGGCTCTTACATCTCTGTTGAAATGAAGTTCACACTTGATAATAGGGGTAGAGATAATCTTGGCAGCATTAATAATTTCCTTAATACGAGGCACACCAAGAGTAATATTCATACTAGCAACACCAGCAAAATGGAAAGTCTTCAATGTCATTTGAGTACCGGGTTCACCAATAGATTGAGCACCAATAGCACCAACGGCAGTACCAGGTTCGATCTTAGCCTTAAGATACTTGGAAATACAAACAGCAAGATATTCACGCAATTGACGCTCTGTAACTACGAATAAGTTACGAACAACATTTTTAACAACATCGTCCTCATCCTCATCAATATCAATATCCATGTAATCTTCATCAGGGATAGCTAAACCGGATTGCAAGCCATGCTTTTTTCTGATAGAAGCTAATTTACCAGCCACTTTATCGGCAACAAATTTAAGCACCATATCAATGAAAGTTTGCATACAATTTTTGGTCCAAACATCTCTCTTTGTTTCTTCGGCAGCCATAAGATTGATTTCCCAGGGTAAGAGGCCTCTCTCTTTTTTAGGGGGGGTCATTTCTTTCACGTGTCTCAAATTACGGGCAAATTCGACAGGAATACCATCACCTTCAATTGTCATTGGATCTAAACCATCAGCACCATAACAGAATTGAAGCATAGCACCTTCAGAGTTACGAACAGAAAGATCGTAATGAGCAGTCAAATCTTCGAAGGCCTTCATCAAACGTCTAGCCATATAACCAGTTTCGGCTGTTTTAACAGCAGTATCGACCAAACCTTCACGACCTGAAATAGCATGGAAAAGAAACTCGGTTGGACTAAGACCGGTATAGAAACTGTTTCTGACGAAACCCTTAGCAGGAGGAGATTTGGAATGTTTTAAGAAATGAGGCAAAGAACGATCTTGGAAACCGTTGGGAATACGACTACCACTAATAATTTGTTGACCGACACAAGCAACCATTTGAGATACGTTAATCTGGGAACCCTTGGAACCACAACGGGCCATGATACTGGGTGAATTGTACATGTTTAATTCGTCCATACAGACTTTACCAAGATCACCACGAACAGCGGATAGGATACCAGATACAAGCGACTCCATAGTCTCTTCTCCATTACAACCAGCCATTGTTTCCAATTGGCCTGAATTATACTGAGCAATGACTTCGTCACACTTAGCATAAGCGGTAGTGACCTCTTTGTATTTGATTTTACTCAAACGCTCACCGGGAGTAACATCACTGATACCAATGGAGAAACCACGGTTAGCCAACCAACGCGCACAAAGTTTGGCTAAACGATTCATACATTTGGCAGCTTCAATTGGTCCATAATCACGCAAAATTACATAGAAGACGGAATTTTTGTTACCGTCACCGACAACGGCTTTATCAACGAGACCACACATGATTTCACTGTTTTGGACAACGAGCCAACCGTCATTAGGACACATATCAGGAAGACGACCTTCCTCTTTGACGAATGATTTTGTTTTTGCTTCCACATTCAATAATACCTTACTCTCCTTGTTGGGTCTGAAAAGAACATTAAACACTTGCTTACCGGTCCACAGACGTTGAGGCTTCCAAATAACAGGAGGGGGGAGATCGATTTTCATATCTGCATCACACATCATGGAACAAGTTTGTGTAAACTCACCACGGGTATAAAAAGTATCTTTGTAAGACAAGAGGTAAGAGGCTGTAATGAAATCCTGAGTAGCGGCAATAAGGGGTTCACCGTTACGGGGAGTAACCAAATTGTTCTTGACACCCATCAATTCAATGGCTTCTGCCTTCGCTTCTTGTGTTTGAGGTAAATGCATATTCATTTCATCACCGTCAAAATCCGCATTGTAAGGTGAACATACACACTCATTGAAACGGAAAGTTCTCCAAGGCATAACCTTTGCAAAATGCGCCATAATAGAAAGTCTGTGAAGAGAAGGTTGACGATTGAATAATACGACATCGTTATCGGATAAATGACGTTCAACTAAATCACCGATTTGTAAATCGGCGGCTATATCTTGTCTGTTACCAAACTTCAAAAACTTTTTGAATCCATTTGACCCTTGAACGAAGTTAGCACCGGGATGAACAAAGGGGCCATTGATGACATTTTGACGTAACTTGTGAATATTGTGTCTATTGACTCGTTCAGGGAAGGTGAGTACTTTGGCAACACGTTCAGGTACAGCAACTTGATCAATACGCATATTTGGATCTGGAGAAATAACGGTACGACCAGAGAAATCAACACGTTTACCGGACAAATTACCTCTGAAACGACCCTGTTTACCCTTCAAACGTTGACAGAGACCACGACTAGGCTTACCAGTATTTGCATTAGGTACACCGGGAAGTTCACTGTTAATATACATGGCAGCTGCTAACTGTAAAAATTCCCATTGTTCCATCAAATTCATAACAGTAACACCTCTTTCTAAACCAGCACGAATAATGGCGTTTGTGAAGATAATTTCAGTCAATTTCGCTGTAAGATCATCTTCGTTACTACTATTATCATCTTGAAGAACAGAAGGACGAACACAAGAAGGAGGGATGGGAAGATATTGCCAAATGTACCATTCAGGTCTACCATGCTCTTCACTCAAACCTAATAATTCACAATCTTCGGGTGAAATACGTTGAAATAATCTCAATACACGAAGTGGATTCAAATCGTCTTGTGCTTTGCTGATATGAGGTTTAATTTCGGGCATAGAGGATGCTGCTGCTTCGAATGTTTTTCTGAATTGCTCAGCTTCGGCATCGACTCTCTTTAAACGATATTTGTCGTGGGTGATTTTCATGGGTCCAACCTTCTTTACGACACCATTGACAGCATTACAATGAGGACAATATGTGACCTTTTTACATCTCTCGTTGACTTGCTTAATAATTCGATTACGTTGTAAATTATCTAATCCTGGTGCTCTTAATCTTCTTAAAAACGTACGGCGATCAGTTTCTTCTAACATGACACGACTACAAGTCTATTATTTCATTTATTAACACATTACTCCAAATCGAATCTCCGTTGATGCTGTTTGTTTACTTACTTTACAAATTTCTTGCAAAATATTGATGACAGGTCTGAAAAAACCAATGTGGAAGATAGGTAAAACCAACTTAAGGTAACCCCAATGACCAGCACATTCTTGCATTTTTTGTCCACAGGTCTCACACACGCTATCTTTCATGGTAGTACCCTATCCATACATCATTATTAGTGTCCATATGTATAATCAGTGCATGATATAAACTAATTTACCAGTCTCAAATCCAAAACACCACCCTTGATAGGAGTACGACTTTCAGGCATATAGAGATCTCTTTGAGTAATTTCAAATTCTGCAATCTTGACCATGTTTTGTGGTGACAGAACACCAAATTGAATGTACCGACTATTGAGTGCATATTAGTTAGTTTAAGTCACTAATGCCTACACTACTTCATTCTATGTTTTATTACATTTTTTTCGGCGTGTTATCGATAACTTGCTCCTTCATGTTAACTTATTCTATTGAGTTCTTAAATTAGTATGGTCGTAACTTTTTTAAGGTGTCGAGCGAGCTTACTTAATGAAAAAGATAGAAATGAAGAATTTGGTGTAAAGAAAAAAGGGAAAAAGTCGAGTTTTTATAGCGTTATTCTATATTCTCTTTTCTTTTTTCGAGCCCAAAATCCTTTTCTTTTAAGCAAGTAAAAAAAGGTATCAACAGCCCACCATCAACTTTTGAGAGAGTGTTCAAGAAAAAAAAAATTACACATTGTGACAACCTTTTCTAAAAAGACAGTCCTATTCAGGGTCATGTTGGTTCCTGTATTTGCTCATTTATTCATCCTTCGTCTCGCATTGCTTTGTAGAATATTATCCACTTAAACCTAAGTTATTTCTGACTACTGAAAACAAAACTATGTCTGACCATTTGTAAAAATCCTATCAAAGATCAATCGTTACAGCTTAAAAAGGCCATAAATATAGAAAGTTCTGGAATAAATTGGGTTTTGGCCGAGTATCTTATGGAAATCTACAATTAGGTGCACACACACACACACACAATACTTCCTTTATGTTATATCTGAAGCTATTTTTGGTTTTAACCAGTCATATTATCTATGTTCATTCCCTGCAATACCACTTATCATGATTTCTAAAATCAAGCAAAGGTGACAGCAACTACAGCAAACTTTTTTGGCATATGTATTGTTATTGTTTTTTTAAAAGTTATCTATACAGAATTCATATGAATTGTAGACTAAAACTTGATACATAATTACTCATTCATCAGTATAGTTTGACTTTTGAATGTTTGCCTTATTTAGATTGGAATCCGCAATCGAACTGTGTCAATCGATGAAGATATTGACGGAGCTGCATTCTGAAACCTGTAAAGAGTATTGTAGCTCAAAGCAGTAGCAGATGAGTGATCATAATAAAATTCACGTTATTGTCATCAGTTAAGACAAACGTATACTAAAAGCATTGTCGCAATTCCTAAAAATACCACCCTGCTTGATATACTGTTTAAACCCATCTCTACAAGGGAGTAAAAAAGGATATTCAGTCGTTTCACCTGTCAAAATATTCATGCATAATGCACTCTGTTATCAAAACAGAAAAATGTGCGTAGTTATTTTATTATAATGTGGTATGTGGTATGCGTACTGAAAAACCATAAGAAGTATTTTCTAATTAATTAATAATTGCTTTTTTTCTTTTCTTTTCTTTTCTTTTTTTTTTTTTTTTTTTTTTTTGTTATCCTAACGAACTGATCATATGTAAATTTCATATTTGGCCATGTGCATATTTAAGCTTATAGTTTTGTTTTGGGTGATTGTGAATTAAATATTGCTACCAAATGAGCTAATACTTCTTGTCTCGTCGACTATCGAAGCCGGCGGTGTTGGGGATGCGGGAACAGTAGTAGTCGACCAATCAGAAAAATATTGCGTTCGTTCTTTTTTCCCCTTCATTTTATCAATGTAAATTTGTGCCTCCGCATTTCCGGAAATAATTAATGCTTTCTGAAACATCATCATGGCCATTCTGTTATCCTGATTTGTACCCAGACCATAAAAATACATTTTACCGAGAGCAACGTGACTTTCACCGTTATCCTGCTTACCCTCACTGGTATCTAACCGGACACTTTTAGTATAGTGATCGAATGCCAATTTACTATTTTGATCTATCCCGTGTTCATTTTTGTACAACTCTGCTATTTTGAAATGTACATTTGCATTGGTTTGGTTGTCCTCTGCCACTTTTTTGTACCACGTAATGGCTTGTTGATAATCTTTCTCTGTGCCTAATCCCAGGCTAAGTAATTGGCCTACTTTTAGTTGTGCATCTATATCTCCAGAATGTGCAGCCTTGTTGTAACATTTGAAGGATAGTTCATAATTTTGGCAAACACCTTGACCGTTTTCATATATAGTACCCATATTATATGATGCGACTGGATTCCCGTTGTCGGCTGAAGATTGATAATAAAACAGGGCTTGATCGTAACTTTGTCGAACCCCTAGACCGTCATGATAAATTAAGCCTAGTCGAAATTGAGCCTCTTTGTCTCCTTTCTCAGCAGCTTTTTCGTAGTACATTTTCGCTTCTTTGTAAGATTGCTTCACACCGTAGCCCTTGTAATAATATCTTCCGATTTTTTCTTGGGCTTTGGCATGGTCATATTCTGCAGCTTTTTTAAACCAGTAGAACGCTTCAGTATAATCTTTTTTGGCGTAACGACCAATTTGATATATAAGGCCAATATTATAATATGATTCAGATGCAGCAACATCGTCTTTATATTTTGCTTTCTTATAATACTCAAGACAGTTCTTAGGAGGGACTGTGCTTAAGAATGGTTTCTTGAATAGAGATAGCGATGAAGTGGCGATCGGTGTTGCTTGAAACTGGTCATGAATTTTGATGTATAGTTTTTCTTCCATTTTAAACCACTCTTCTCCGGTTTTTCCTATTTAAAATGTTTTTTTTTTTAAATATTTGTATGCTCAAAAAGGATACGTAAATTTTGAATTTACTCACTTTTCGCAAGATGTCCGATAGATCCTGACATATTTGATTGAGGCTAGCAATGTATACTATGTAAATTTAGGCAAATCTGCTCTTCTGATACTTTTTTTTCGATTTGGTCTTTGGGGAGAGAAAAAGAAAAAAGAAGAAAGTACAAGAGTACAAAAAAAGGGCATGTACACAGATTGATATATCATTTCACTTGCTCGTTTGTACAACGGTAGGTTTGTGTTACACTGCGCAAGTTAAAAATAACACCTGGTTGTTCCCAATTATTATATCATTGTCAACGATCGAAAACCGTTATATACATAATTTTGCCAATTATCCCCCTAGAATCACCATGTAAAATACTGTTTTAAACACTTCATGCAGTACGTAGTTTTAGTCTTTTATCTGAGACATGAAAAGTATTACAGGCATTCTTCATTGTGTAAATGTGAAAAAGATATTATCGGCTATTATACGCAATCTGATATGAGATAAGCGTGTGGTTTTGGGATAAGAAAATACCATCTTGGTCTAGCCATACAATGCTAATGAGTCATTCGGCCAGCTCCACATTTATGATAATGTATGGGAGGACCAATCCTTAAAAAGTCAGGCAGAAGAATGAGGCAAGAACAAAATTGAACTTTAGCCTTTCCGGACCTTTCCTAATTTAGTATGGTAACGCTCTGCCATGCGAGTGGACCTGCATCAAAAATTAATAAAAAACCCGATCCTGTTTTTCTTTTCGTTTTTTTTATAAGCTATCCATTTAAGTATTCTGAATGTCATTGTTGTTTTGCGTTTTTGTTTTACGCGATGTCGCACCACCCAAACTTGATTTAGAGTTTACACTTTTAATTGGTCACTTTAGGTTGACCAACTTTTCGATTGATTTTTAAAGCCTGCTTGATAAATTGGAAAAATAATTGGTTACTTTCTGTAATTATGTTTATCCAGATCAAATAAAGTACTATGTTTTTACATGATTTGTTTACTACAACAATAAAAGAGGAGGAAATATTGACAAGAAATGAAACGAACTACTTAGAAATTAGTGGCATTCTTGTCCACATCTCGCGTACATTTAAATAGTCAATGTGTAATATGTCTCACGTCGAATTAAAGTGCTTTGTAAAAAGTCAAATATAATGATTAGCCAGACAAATTTAAACGCGCACATAATGGTTAAGCTAAATTACCGAAACAATTACAGAAATGCGGATTGCTGCAAAGTCCTATTCAGTTTTATGGCCCATATAAGACCTTTGGAAATCCACACTTCTTCTCATCTAGCTTTCATTGCTTGTATACATGGTAAACAAAATAGGGGTCCTTCTCTCGGTATCTTGACTGTGTCAAATTTGAAGACAGTGAAAAAGTTTATTTCTCATTTTAAGCAGGTAGATTTTAACGCTGATGGCTAGCTATCAAATTATTCTAAGTGAATATTTGGATGACAGCTCTCAATTTAACGGCTGTTTCCTGTGATATGAGTAAGGGGATATATTGTGTCCGTCTTCTACTTTTAAATGCTACTACCCAAGCGCTTTTTGATCAAAGTAAAACAATAGACAAATCGGTTGTAGCTTGTTTCTGCTTTGCATTTGTACGTTTTTAACGCATATTTATAGTATGTAATTGTGAATTAAGGGCCTGTTAATAGGAGCCAACAGACAAGTTTGTGGGAAAAAGAAATGCCTTCATCATTTTACAAAGTTTTATAAGGAACATATCCATCATCCATGTCGCCAGAAGTTAGTAAAATAAAATAAAGAACGGACTCTTGAGTACACGTAAATTTGGTAAGTTAAAATATAAAATCCCGTTTTGAAAAAAGGATACACATACAATAAAATCAATTGGATCCAAAATTTGGCCGTGATGGTGATCAATTGAAACCGGAAACATTGTATTTGACTCAGAAGACGCTAATAAACATCGAGTGTAACCAGACATTGTGAAACTTAATGTAACCTCAGATTATTTATGTAAGGAATGAATCAAGTGTCATAATAATCTATCGAAGAAATTTATAAAGTGTCTTATTGGGTTTTGGGAGTGAGAGATTTCTATAGATTAAATATGTTTGAGAATGTGCTAAAATGTATCATTTCCATGATCTATGGTATACCAACTGTGCGACCGGTACTTCTTCAAAAAGGATTGTTTTTTTAAAAAAATAAATTACTGATTTTTTTTTTCCTTCTCAATGGAAACTTGGGGTAAACATTGTGCAATATTACTATTAATGTGTCAAACATAATATTCACTTGTATTATTAGATTTAAATATTTACAATCGTTAAAGCGACTGTATTGATATATAATAGCCTAGATGGTTTCGATAAACAGTCGCTCTTCAAATTATATTATTGCTATACGAACATAGGAGTAAATCGGTTAACTCTCGAAGGTCAAACAATTGATTATAAAAATATTTAAAGTCTATTATTAGTAAAGCTCGCCTGTATGTTGCGCACGGTTGCTCATTCCGGTTTACACATATTTCTGGTTACTACAGGATTTATATTCGATCATAGATACACGCTATAGCATTTGGCAAAGAAATTATGCACGGCCAATATCAGGTTAAACTACACGTGGCTTTTATACGAGAAAAATAAGCATTTGTATTTCATGACGATTAGCCTTTTTTAGACCAAAAGCTGGAATACCCAAATAAAATGTACTGCTTCCTCGGCGCCCGATGACGGCAACGTATTTAAAGTTCAATTTAAGAATAAGATTTATGAGTAACCTCAGTTTTTTATTGTCAAGAACGTTTTAAACTGGATTATTAATTGTGTAGAAAACGAGGCTTTGATCGAAACATACACCAAGGAAAAAAGCTGAGCCAGCGGCCCGAATATGACTTGAAACAAAGAAGCGTCCTTCCCACGCAGGGAAATACAATGTCGTCATTGTATAGATCTGTAGCTCATGCAATTGCACATGAATATTATACACTTTTTTCAAAAAATATTAGTTCAAAATATAAAAAAAATTGTTCATAAAGGAAAAGTCATTTACAACGCCTAAAAAAAACTAATATTGCTTGAATTTAAAATGTAAAAATAGTGTTTAACTACCACGCCAAAGTAATATAACGCGTGTATCTACCGCCGTAATACTTTACGGCTCTGATAAGCAGTTAGAAATAATGACCAAAATAACTTGTGTGGCTTTTTTGTTGAATCAGTGAACAATGTTATGGCTCTATAAACTACAGATCGCGAAGTTGGTACATAGCAGCTAAGGATTTCCAGAGTTCAATTTATATATTTGATTGTATACTATGGAGAGGGGGGATAACAAATCATAATAATACTCGAAGATAAGAACGAAATTTTTAGATTGGATATTATTAAAACATTAAAAGTAATTGAAGATGGTCTTAATTCTTTAGATAACTTACTTTTTAAGCTTTGGATCCACATATAAGAGTGATATTTTGTCAAATGTGCATAAGTTGGTAAAATCTTCTTCTCCCAAGCGTGACATATTACAAAAACTGTAAATTATAGAATCTTAAACCTTCTGCATAAATCAAATTCTCTCTTCTTTCATACCTTGTTATTTTACGGCTCCCTTTTTTTAAAAAATTTGTTCGTTTGCACTCGACACTTGTGATAATACAAGCTGGGACAAACACAAGTTCATTACCTAAATGATCTGATTATGAGCTTCACCATAATCGTGTAATCCAATATTGAACTGGCATTTAATAGATATCGCTTTCATTCTGTCTAGATGATACATCGCTTGTCGTAAAGATAAGATCAGAAATGGTTTCTACCTAATGATCAAACGTTAAAGTGATCTGACGAATAAACAGTGCTGATTAATGCATACACAAATTATTGTGTGCTTTGATCGTAAAAAATGATTGGGTGGCTATTCTGATATGGCAAGAAGTCCAAACATCCAACGTGTTATGGACATGTGTCAAGTGCTTACAATCATGGTATACAATTGTACATATTTTAAAATAGCCAGACATATTACCTTGTCTTTTCGCTTTATTTTTATACATACACAAAATAAAAAAAAATGGAAGCCCTGACTGCGTACCAAGTGTTGCAACAACCTATTGTCCCGGTATCGATGTTGTTCAGTTTAACATTGCTTGGTTGCGGATTTTCGTACATACATGAAAACCATCGATTCAGCGAAAAGCAACTAAGCTGGTTCCTAACTTTTGTTAGTAGCTTAATATGTACTCTGGTATCTATTCCGTTTGTGGTTCAATTCTTTTACCATGGCTTGGATATGACCTTGCTGTCCACAGATAGCGTATTTCATACGGGTTTTATATGTTTTTTTATCAATTACTTGATACTTGATTTAGTATTAGGCAGCATATATTACCGCCAACGTATAAAATTAGTGACTGGATGGATTCATCATCTTTTTTATATTGTGACATTGTTTTGGCTTTTACGATTAAAAATCGCATCATTATTTACAGTAGCATCCATTTTAGAGTTACCTACATTGATATTGGCAGTGGGATCAATGAAACATGAGTGGCGATCAGATTATTTGTTTGGATTAACGTTCTTTGTGCTTCGACTCGTGGCACATGCTTGGATGATGGTTGCATTAAAAAGGTATCACCGAATAGTGTATATATGGATTATAGCGTTGATAATTTATCCACTTCACATGTACTGGTTCTATGGTAAGTAGTTCACCATTATAACCATCCCAAACTAATATGACAATAGGCATCATTCGTACCCAGTGCAGAAAGTCGACGACGCAACGTGCATAATTAATTTATTCCATATAAAACCCTCCATCCTATTTCAATCTACTGGAATAAAGGTTGATTTTGAATGTATGCAAATATATATATAAAAAAAAATAAAAGAAATGAAAAAAAGGAAAAGAATGGACCCTTTTCGACTTTTCTTTCGTTGGTATTTCTCGCTATTTTTTTTTATTTATTTGTACACAAAAAAAAGAGACACGACTTAAGCCTTGTAGGAGATGACACCATCGAAACGGGCCTTGAACCATTCTTGGGATTCCTCCTTCTTGATTTGATGGTTGACACCAACCTTGGTCTTACAATGCTTTCTGCGGGCAACGCGGTTACCGGGACGACCCATAACGACGAAGTAATCCATACCGTAAATTCCAATAGAGGGATCGTACTTAATACCCAAATCAATATGTTCATCAATACCGAAACCGAAGTTACCAGTGTTGGAGAAGTTACGAGCCTTAAGTTCGTATTCCTTGACCTTCAAACCACGTTCAAGAATTTCCTCGGCCTTGGGGCCACGGACGGTAACGTGAACGGCAATCTTTTCGTTACGACGAATAGAGAAAGTACGGACGGTATAGCGGGCCTTGGTGTAGACGGGAGTTTGACCAGTCAATTGTTCAAGAACCTTGGCGGCACGAGTAAGTCTATCACCAGACTCACCAACACAAATGTTGAGAACCAACTTCTCGATTTGGAGGTTTCTCATGGGGTTGACTTTAGTCTGTTGTTCAGCACTCTATTATTATACAAACCATTAGTATCCCGTCGGGTATATGTGAACAAAAAGAGAATATAAAATGTCGGAATGGATTGTCAGGTTGTTGCAGTCGTATCTTCTTGAGTTAAATTCTGAATTCCAATGGTGTCTGGAGCTTTCTTTTTATTTTATTTAATTTTTCGTTCTCCATCTATAAATCGTATCCATTGTCATCCAAAATTTCCAATCCATCCATTCTATATTCTCTCTCATCCATCATCTGGTTTGTTTGGGGTTTAATAATTTACCATCGTTGTTGATTGATGCCCACGAGGATGGAAAAGAAAGATTTATCGATTTGGTGCCTTCTGTGGCCAGGTTGTTCGGAAAACAACCGCGAGTCCTTCCCCTCAGAGGTTTAAAACGCCGCTCCTGTTTGCAATGAACCCAGCTTAAAACAATGAAGCCCAACTACAGAGTTGACTCATAGTAGTAATGAGATTAGCCATATCCTGCAAAAATTAGGCTGCCTACTTTGAATCGATAAGAAAGCTAGCCTATTTTTGATAAAAAAACAAGTTTTGCTTCATAACTATATTTACGCGTTGGGTTTTTTTCTGGGAGCAATTCGTTGCACTCCGCGCATAACCGTTTGAAAAGCATTACATTGAGAAACTAAAACCCCTTGTCAACAAAATCTTTCGAAATTTTGATGTTCAATATGGATAATGTCAAAAAAAAAAAATGTATTCGTGCCTCTTATAGAAGTAGTAGTTGCATATTGGTAAAATATGCAGCATATTTTTTTAAGGGCGTAACACTATTTATTGATTTATATCCGGAATGCTGTCTCTATCCATTCAAGTCACTACCTTGAATTTTTCTATAGGGTTTTATTTTTATAGGGTAGAGAAATTTCTCAAGACCCAACAGTTAGATACCTGGACAAACGAACATATCAAGTACAAGATACAGAAAACTACGTAATCCTTCATATTTACATGTAGGCAAGAGGCTACTCCGACGGCATCATTTGATAGTAAAATATGGTTAAGCTTTCAGAGCAGCTGGCTCCGGGAAATGCGGTTATCCCGTGTTGTCTACTGCTTTCCCCGAAGTCTGCAAAAGAATAGGATTGCTGAGTGCTGAGCTAAACTTTTAATTATTTTTGGGGTAATCACAAATTTACTGTCATAGTTTATTGCACACGTTCGGCTACCCTTAGTCCATACAATGTCTCTTTAAAACCTGCTTAAAGAAAAGTTTCCTTTACTTGTCGTGTACAACATTATATAAAAGTTAATTTCATCTATTCAGGGCGCAGTTACCTTTTATATTGAAAGCAAGCAGTAACTATTTTACTGATTTAAAAATCTTAGCTGAATTTTCTTAAAATCGCGTATGAGTATTTGAGTCTGCTTGCTATAAAATACGGGAACATATTTATATTTTAGTGATTGGGCCAATAGCTAAATGGACTAAATGGTGTATAACGTATGCTGTATGCAGAAAAGCTTGTGTTTTTATACGTTCTGCGGTTGATAAGCTGTAATGCATTGACAAGTTTAGCACAAGCATTTAAAGTGGCGACCAGTTTGAGTTTTTGCTTATAAAAGTAGAATTGCCTTAAGATGTAGTCTACTTCCACATTTCTAAGAAATTGTGTAAGATCAAGTCAAGCCAGAGTCGAAAGGATTCGCCTGATATATCTTTGTCACGGAGTTTTACACTAGCAAAACATAAATTAGAATAACAGAAAGGTATGGATGACTGCTTGAACTTGACGATAGGAAATTTTTCTCTGGAATTTTATTGTACATCCCTGTTAATGTTACTGTATGATGTCGTATTTACTTGTCACTGGATATTATCATGAACTACTTTTGCGGATACATGCATTTTTTATTGTATTTTACAAGCTGAAGATAGTTTATGGAAAGTGTCAGCATCTTTTTTTTTTGTAGCATCCAAAATTACACCATGGAGATGATTATTGGTAAGGATACTAAGTGATTATATAGTTTATAACATTCGTGATTTTGAAGCAATTAGTATTGCGACCAATCGAATGACCCAGCCATGTTTCACAAACGATGACTTCTCACAGATACTGACATAAGAAACCAGGCTATTGTCTGCCCACGTTGTGCTATTAAAGATTACGACGACGCGTTTAAGCAATTTGGGCTTTCGATCGTTCGAATTGACCAATCAAGGTTATGCTTATTGATTTGAAGAAGTACTAAATAGCTATACCATTGACCGGTTTTCAAAATCAGAACCAATGGAATTAAAAGATGGACAGACCAAAAAATTTTAATGAATAAAAAAATAAAGGTGGCTTAGATTATACTCAAGTGGGGAATTAATCTCTGCACACCCTCTACTGGCCCTCTCTCCCTTTCTAAATTCAACCATGTCCACTTTCGAAAAGGTAAAATATGAACCTGCCCAACTGCAAAAACATTCAGATACGAAGCGCACGGTTCCTAACTATTTATTCTATTGAAATTTTAGACCATCGTAATTGACGGTAAGGGTCACCTTCTCGGTCGTCTTGCCAGTATCATTTCTAAGCAAGCCCTCAATGGCCAAAAGGTTGTTGTTGTCAGATGTGAAGCTTTAAACGTTTCTGGTGAATTCTTCCGTAACAAGTGTATGTATAGTATGAAAATAAGCTTTATTTATGTACTAATAAAAAAAAAATTATATAAAAAAAAAAAAATAGTGAAGTACCATGCTTACCTCAACAAGCGTTGTCTCGTCAACCCTACTCGTGGTCCTTTCCATTTCCGCGCTCCTTCTCGTATCTTGTATAAGGCCATCCGTGGTATGGTTCCCCACAAGACTGCTCGTGGTGCCGCTGCTTTGGATCGTATTAAGCTTTTCGAAGGTGTCCCCGCTCCTTATGACCGTACTAAGCGTATGGTTATCCCTGCTGCTCTCCGTGTCCTCCGTCTTAAGCCCGGTCGTAAGTACACCACCATCGGTCGTGTCTCTCACGAAGTTGGATGGAAGTACCAAGATGTTGTTGCCAAGCTCGAAGAGAAGCGTAAGGCCAAGTCTGCTGCTTACTACCAACGTAAGACTGCTCTCGCTGCCATCCAAAAGAAGGCTGTTGAGTCCAAGGCTGATTCCATCAAGGAAATCAACTCTGCTATCGCCGCTCTCGGTTATTAAATTTTAGCATCCTAATTTTTCTTATCCTCTCTTCATCCTCTCCCGTTTCCCTACTTTTCTCTCATTTTATACATAAAAAGATTAGTTAACCCACCCGCTCACGCTTGAAATAAAATAATTGATATTGTCATAAATAACTTTTTCAGAAAAGCTACAATGGACTTAAGATATCCCATCTGCCAAACTGATCTCAACATGTAACCTTAGGCTTGATTTAGACTTTTGGCAGATGAGGTATATCTGATCATTTCAAGAGCGACAGTGCGCTTCACCTTACGCACATACACATGTAGTTAGGCAACATACAAAGAAACAAACAAAAGAATACAATAGGTAATTATGACATAAATAAACACACACGACTTAGGTAATAGCATAATAGCCTTGTTGATCATTTTATATTTGAGTTTGTCTGTAAATAAATAAACACATGCGTAAGTGTTGCAAGATGTTTTTTTTAAAAAAAAAGAAAAGAAAAAGGGGAGCCATTGCGACTAGCGTATATATATTGTATTTTTTTTAGTTAAATAATAGAGGTATCAAAATATTGCATCATGTTATTATAAACACGAACATATGCCACAGGTTATGGTTGAAAAACACTTGGATAAAAATCCGCGCTTTTGAGAAGAATTCAAATCTTGTTGTTGTTGTTGTAGTAATAATGGATGGGATGAATCCATCGTACGATAATTAACTATAGCCGCGTCGCTTAACATCGGCTGGGCTGATCTATACATGTTTTGTTGGTTGCTATATCTTTTATTTGATAAGCGACGTTGCTGTTGCTGCTGTTGTTGCTGTTGCAATTGCTTTGTGGTGCTAGAATTTTGTCTTGTAGGTCTATCAGCTGCAACTGCGTTATTAAAACCTGCAACCGCAGTATGTCTATTATTAGGATTACGGTAAAAGTTGGATCGATACTATATAATAAAGGGGGGATGCTTAAATATTTTATCGACATATATCTCCCATATAAAACTTACTTCCCATCCCTTTCCATCATTTAATAACATCCAATCATAGACACCATCGTCTGACTCGCCTAATGTGTTAAGAACATTATCAAATAAACCCTTCATGTATTCATAGTTGGGATTCTCTTCAAAATCAAGTCTACGAGCATATTGCAAATAAGTCCCAAATTCGTCTACAATTTCTGATTGTTAGTATCATGTTATAACTGTCAAAATAAACTGATTGTACCTGGGAAACCTTCACATAAATCCTTGACTGAAGTGGATTGTTTTTTTTCACCAATCCGTTCATATTTTTGTTTGTTTGTTGCAGCTTTTAATCCTTGCCATGGTAAAGAACCTCTCAAAAAATACATGAATACATGGCCCAGAGATTCCAAATCATCACGTCTGGATTGCTCTAGAAAAGAGAACGTATATGTGAGTACAAATATGAATTTTTAGCCTCTTTATATTAATACCTCTTCCTAGATGAGTATTGATACTCATGTAACGGGCAGTTCCAGATAAACTCTTTCTTTCGCGATAAGGAATATGTTGTTTGGACTTGGGATCGCGGTAGAGTTTGGCCATACCAAAATCAATCAAATAAATGGTATTGGCATATTTTGTGTTTGGACGTCCAATTAAAAAATTGTCCGGCTTGATATCACGATAAATAAGATTACGTTCATGGATGGATTGGACACGGGTTATCTAGTTTTGGGATGTTAGTTTTTTTTCTGTATATAGACTAGGCATTTCTTACCATTTGTTTAGCAAGCATCGCTACAGTTTTAATAGAAAACTTGCGGGAACACATATCGAACAAATCTTCCAGACTAGGACCAAGGATATCTATGACTAGTATACTATGGAGACCTTCCTGACCAAAATAATATGCTGTAGGTATGCCACCTTTTTTTTTCATTTGTACATGAATGTTAATATATGATATTTAAAACAAAAATGAGTCTTAACTTTACTTATGCCTGCTAAAACTTTGTATGTTCTATATTCATCTCTTAACTGAGGTGCATCTGACTTTCGAGATTCGAATTTAATAGCCACTTGCTGATTGTTCATTAGATTAATTCCTATAATTCCAACGTTTATATTCTTTCTTGGTTTTTAATCTAGCTCTCCTTCTTTTTTTTTATTTATTTTACCTTCATATATAATACCAAAACTTCCTTCGCCAATCTTTCTACCGACTTTGTAGTGTACTCCCACCACATTGGACGAAGAAACTGAATTTGAAGAATTAGTACGTGTTTGACGATGATGACCCGCCATTTTCCTTGATTTTTTTTGCTTGTATTCAACACCAGTAAATAAATAAGCTTGCAGACAGTTATTGTGTAAACACCAGAAAAAGAAGTAGCTAGGGAGAGAAACAAGAGCTTTTTTTTTTTAAAAAAAAAGAAAATCAAAAAGACGAAACTGTACAATGAGATGCATCATTGAATCACCGACAATCAAGCCATTTTTCATTTTTTTATAGTTCCGCAACCGTTTGGTGTTCCTTCTAAGGTAATAAACGAAGTTGTGTTATGATGGGCTTCTCTTTTAGGTTTCGTTTGTTGATACTTTGATGCATATTTATACAGCTATAGAGAAATTTTTATTGGTTAAATTTGGGTTCAAATAGCTATGTAAAGGAAAATACAAAAAAGGACAACAACGCAAAAATAAGTTACAACGTTTGACAGCAAAGTAACGCATAATGTTAGGTTGGTAACCAGAACGACCTAGCTTTAAAGATTTAATTTTTTTATTACAATTTTCGGGTATCTTTACATACTTCAAAGTCAACGAGGAAAATAAAATGATGAACCTTGAGAAAAAGATATAACTGCACTATTATTATGGGTACCAGCAATAAATATCTTTAATAAGGTTTATGTACCGATCGATCTTTGTGTAGTACGTTAAACCGAAGGGTATAATAAGCCTGTTATTTAACGCTTGGGCACCTTGTAATGTATGTGTGCTGAAATATATGCTCAACAATACAGAGAAGAGAACGGAGAAACAATAAAGTGATTGTGCATAGAGGGAGAATCAGTTGACATAATATACCTCAATATTTACAATAACCAAGATTAATAGGGAAGACCAAATAATACAAACAGGATATTCCCATTTATCCGAGTTCTATTCGTGAAAGGAAAAAAAAAATACATCTCTTCATTGTTTTGCGACTATCAACTAAAAACTGTTTACTCATTATACTATAACGTAGTCGCGGGATAGTACCTCAATATTTAGATGGTGAAACAATATATCTTGAAAATACGGCTATAGAAAATTGTGTTTTTGATTTTATGTTTTTCTAGTTAGCTTGAGTTCTATCAAATTATACAAATCTCTTAGCGTTCAATTAAAAAAGATCATATCCCTAAAACCATTTTTACTGTCAGATTTGGCTGTGTAAAATAGTATCGATGCTATATCCTTATTACATAATACGATTTATTTCAGCTTGCGCTTTATTTTGACAGCCCCATTGATTACATAATGTTTTGTTTTCCAAAAGAGGCGGTATTAGGCACATCAATGTAGTGAATGAAGACATATATCAGCTCGTTTTTAAAAGAAGAATAAGATCTGATTAGCAAATGTTTGAAGACCCTACTGGATACTAATGACACATAATAAATAAGTGGTATTTGGAAGAGATAAAATGAAGAGCTTTATTTGTACACAAGTCAAAGATATATCAGGAGATGAACAAACATTACCTATCCTAGAGCAGTTGCTCCTCCAGACATAGAAAGTCCACCGATGTGGTAAAGTACACAGAATTTATATTCGATTATCGTTTAAATGACGACAGCTCCCGTTTGTTATACATGGTTAAGTAATAATATGCTTATGAAATTATATGGCGTTACATTATTATGTTATAAGAAGCTGCTGTTAATATTAAAATAGGGTGACTTGTAGTTACCAATAATAACTTTTGGTATAAGGCAATAACAAGTAGAATGTACTGCCCGCGTGTGAAGCAGTGGTTAACAAAAGAAACGCATGAAGCTCTTGTAAAAATGCATTTGTTTTTGAAGACGTACAGCCTTGGGTCAGTTGTCAAGTAAAATGGGGTTGAGGTATTTATCAAAGGGTCTGGTCCATACCCACCTTATTACCGCCCATACCAGCTAAAAATCATACCGCTGCCTTGGATATAGTGTGCGAGTTAGAATGCTCCAAAAAGGCAGTTGTTATCCTACTTGAGTCTAGTTTACTTTGGTTGTGTACATACAGTAAAACTTTGTACGACTTCGTAGTAGCCATAGAGAAAAGTTTGTTTCTCCTTTGAAGGGAGTATTTTCCTCTGATCATCGATGCAGTTGAAGGAGAAGAGAAAGAAAATTAAGGAGGATTATTAGAATTTTTTATGAGATTACTAAAAGACGACTAAACAAGAGTAGTGAATGGTGCATCAAACACGACTAACACGCATACTTCTAGATTACCGTGGAATTACCAGAATCACGATGTATAGTATTTTAGGGCAGTGCTTTTGAACGTCTCACAAGAAATTATAATTTATGCCGACATTTCCTTTGAGCCCTTGTGAATATGGGGACCGACTTTTCCCATTCTCAACACTGAGATGGAGATGATTATAATAAATTAAATAAAAGATTGTTACAGGGGAGGGTATTTAAAATAGTAAAAGTTCCCCACACTTAACACTCAGCTTTATATATATGGCTTCTCTAAAATCAATGCATGTAGCTGTCTTACATTGCAGATTCTTCTTAATATTGAATTTCAGTTTAGTTTGGAAAATAGAATAAAATCGAGTCATTTTAAAAACGCCAATTAAAGGCCCTGTTAAACCAAAATATGGGGGAGTGTAAAAAGGGTTTACAATTTTTGCTTTAAACTCCTCCGGCGTTTGAAAATAAGATTTTCCTCCCAGAAAGAAAAAAAATGGTTAGAAACAAAGATGTATGAAATTTGGGCAATCGGATGATAATAATACCGCATTTGTCATAATACAAAGGGTCTCGGCTTTGGTAGGGCAAAAGATGAGGGTAAGAATCTAATCAGTTGAGGCAAATCGACTGGGTACTTGGATCTTATAAACAGTTACACATTTAGCATAACGTAAACAAAAAGAATATCTAGGTTGTGTCTATTTCTAAATACAAACATTGTGTATTCTACATACATTAAAGTGAGCTGTTATCTTATCTTGTCGTGGCAAAAGATGTAACAAGCTCATTTCCCCGACACTACGCAATACCCTTCTTTCCTTATATTGGTTCCCCATGGGCCAGCTCTCAGCGTTTAAGGATCCGCTGTAAAGAGGGTTTATTTTAAAGAAACGCAGAAAACGAAAGGTGCCCTTGTAATTACACAATGCGCGCCGCGTGTCCTCTAAATAATTTCTAACAATGGTCTAGACAGCTAACTTTTTTTTTTTGGCTATAACCATATACAGTAACTTTTCTTCTAATGGGTAAATGTTGAGCTAACAAACATCATTTACGGTTCCTGTTCCTCGGAACACTCATCGAGTTTGGCCTGAGGTGCGGGAAATTGGAGGTAAATCAGGGGTGCGTTCCTTTTTTTATTTTCTCCACGTTTGAATTGTGTGGGGTAAAAGTCCTATTTTAACGCCAGCTTATGAATTATGAATCCAATTGGTTTAGTCTATTAAAAATAGCTTTTTTTTTTTTTTTTTTTTTTTAATTCATAACTCGTATACATATTGACGACATTTTATTTTCTCTTCTTCACTTGAAACACAACACTTAAAACTCCAGTTACCATGGAGCACACCATTCACCCACTTGATACAACAATAGTAACCTAAATTAGGTCACAGAGAGAAAAAAAGATGTGCCTCTTGTTTTATAAATAATAAAGTTAAAAGCACGATCCAAAACTTCCACGGTTATTTTTCTCACGATCTAACCAATGAAAATTGCGCCATTTACTAGAGCATCGTCATAGGCTCTACGGCGGGACGAGAATTTAGTTTTCTGACTCATTTGAGTGGTGCTAAACTGACATGATCTCTTTTTCTCCTTTTGATATAAATACAGACCTGCTTAACAGTTTTTCCCCCCTTTTTTTATTATTATTATTATTTACTCTATTTAATATAAATTTATAACATGTTGGATTCTACTCGTGTTCTTAACAATGAGAGCGGTTATGCTGCCAATGTCTACGAAGATAAGGAAAGCCAAATGCTCAAGGTATGTGATAATCTCGAACAACTTGGTTTCCTTCCCAAGGAGTTGGTAAAGAACGAGGTCTCTTGGTTCTACAGGTAAGCTACTAAAAGAGGGGAGGGGGGGGGAAGAATATCTACAATGAAATTGAGATGCTAAAATGTGTTTCCATAGCAACCTTAACATTGATGATTACTACTTTGCTCTCGAGAGTGTTGAAACCATCTCCAATCACATCATGTCTCTTTACGGTGCCAAAATCTTGGCTTACACCAAGAACGAAAACGTTTTGGACATCAATTTGCAAAAGGAAACTGATGATTCTGCCGTCTATATCCACTCTTCTGAGCCCGGTGTTTCTCAAATCTATGGTCCTCAACATGAAAAGGCTATTGACGAAAAGTTCTTGGACAATTCCACCTCAGCTGAAGCTTATCGCGTAGAATCATATCGTTCCAGCTCTAATGGCGGTGGTTTAACTTCTCAACTTCGTAGTTATTTTGTCACCAAGTGTGAGTTTGAAAACGCTGAACCTACTCCCGAACAAGAGACCGACATCAAGCAAGTGGCTGACAAGAGCTTCTTGAAGAAGGCTACTGATTATACTTTAAACCTCTACGGTGATGTCATGCAAACTGTTCTTCAACGTACTGGTCCTGTCATTGAAATGTATGAAGTCAAGGGCTCTCGTGAACGTCGTCTCATCATTGGTTACCGTCAAAGAAGCACCAAGGGTTTCTTCTCTGCTGTTTCCGATTTATACCATTATTATGACTTGTACTCCACCCGTAAATATGTTGGTAGGTACACAAACAAATGATCCTGGGAAATTTAAATATTAACTCCTACATTTTTTTTTTCTGTAGAACAATTCTCTAACGGTGTTACCATTATTGGCTTGTACTTGCATCCTGTCCCCCAATCTAAGGCTGCCCCTATTGAGCATTCTATCTATCAAGTCATGAAGGAAGCCTCTCTCTTATACTGTCTTCCCAAGACTCCTCTCCAACAATATTTCCAAACTAACAAGCTCTCCGTCCAAGAAATGGTTTATGGTTACGTTGGTTGGATCTTTGCTCAACATTTCCTTAACCGTTTGGGTAAGGAATACTTGAGTTTAACTTCTATTTTGGATCGTGCCAACCCCGTTCACGAAGAAGTCCTTTCCAAGTTGAAGAAACGTCTTCGTCAAGATACCTTTACTCGTGAATATATTCTTGATATCATGAAGAGATACCCTGAATTGCTCAAGGTTCTTTATGCCAATTTTGCTACTACTCATTATGTTAACCAACGTGAGGCCTCTCTCCAACCCACCATCTCTTACCAACGTTTGACCAACATGGAGGTTTTGTCCGTCGCTGATATCAGCAAGAAGATCAAGTCTGTCACATCCAATGCTCATGAACAATTGGTCTTTGAATCTTTCTTGACCTTCAACAAGCATGTCCTCAAGACTAACTTCTATCAAACTACCAAGGTTGCTCTTTCTTTCCGTATGGATCCTAGCTTCTTGCCTGAAATTGAATACCCTGCTCCTCTCTATGGTATGTTCTTGGTCGTTGGCTCTGAATTCCGTGGTTTCCATCTTCGTTTCAGTGATGTTGCTCGTGGTGGTATCCGTATGATTCGTTCTCGTAACAGAGAAGCTTACTCTATCAACTTGCGTACTCTCTTTGATGAGAACTATAACTTGGCCAACACCCAACATCGTAAGAACAAGGATATTCCCGAAGGTGGATCTAAGGGTACCATTCTCTTGGATGTCGATCAACAAGATAAGCCTCTTGTTGCCTTTGAAAAGTATGTTGATTCTGTTCTTGATTTATTGATCGATGGTGAAACCATTGGTGTTAAGGAGAAGTTGGTTGATTTGACTGAGAAGCCAGAGATTCTTTTCTTCGGTCCTGATGAGGGTACTGCTGAATACATGGATTGGGCATCTCAACATGCTCGTAGACGTGGTGCCGGTTTCTGGAAGGCTTTCACCACTGGTAAGTCTCAAAGCCTCGGTGGTATCCCCCATGACTTGTATGGTATGACTACTCGTTCTGTTCATCAATATGTTCTTGGTATCTACCGTACTTTCAACCTCAAGGAAGAAGAATGTACCAAGCTCCAAACTGGTGGCCCCGATGGTGATTTGGGTTCCAACGAAGTCAAGATTTCAGGTGACAAGACCGTTGCTATTGTTGATGGCTCTGGTGTCCTCTATGATGCCGAGGGTATTGACCGTGAAGAATTGACTCGTTTAGCTACATCTCGTTTGATGATCAGCAACTTTGATATTGAAAAGTTGTCTGCCTCTGGTTTCCGTGTTCTTGTTGATGAAGACAATGTCACTTTACCCGACGGTACTGTTGTCGAGAATGGTCTTTCCTTCCGTAACACTTTCCATACTAACGAACTTGCTCGTGCCAACTTGTTTGTTCCTTGTGGTGGTCGTCCCGAATCTGTCGGTTTGGATAACGTACATAAGCTTATCGGTGATGATGGTGTCCCTCTTTTCAAATACATTGTTGAAGGTGCCAATCTTTTCTTCACTCAAGAAGCTCGTCTTCGTCTCGAAAAGGCCGGTGTTGTTATCTTTAAGGATGCTTCTGCTAACAAGGGTGGTGTTACCTCATCTTCTCTTGAAGTCTTGGCTGCTTTGTCTTTCAACGATGAAGAATTCGATCAACACATGTCTGTCAAGGGTGATGTCGTTCCTGAATTCTACGAAGCCTATGTCGTGGAGGTTCAAAACTTTATCGAACACAATGCTGCCCTTGAATTCGATGCTTTATGGCGCGAACACAAGCTCACCAAGACCCCTATTTCTATTCTTTCTGATGAACTCTCCAATGCGATTGTTCAACTTCAAGCACAATTGCAAGGTTCTGGTCTCTGGGATAACGCTAGTCTCCGTACTACCGTCTTAAACCGTGCCTTCCCCAAGTTGCTTTTGGATACCCTCGGTCTCGATACTTTACTCGAACGTATTCCCGAAAGTTACGTCAAATCTATCTTTGGCGCTTATCTTGCCTCCCAATTCGTTTACAAGTACGGTGCTCACCCCGATAACTTTGCTTTCTTTGAATTCATGCGCGAAAACTTCTAAGTTTTTTTGCACTGTAAAACTACCTCTTATTAATTCATTTGTACTATAACACCAAAAAAATCTCTCTTTCATAACTTCTTTTTTGTAATAAATTTAAAAATTTAGTTGATATTTCAATATTTCTCGAGCTCTACATCCGTTAAAATTAGCCTCGCCTTTCTAATCAGGCAATTTACTTGTTCATAAAGAAAATATTTTTATAATCATTCTCTAAACAAATAAGTTTACTTTTCAAACCTCTACCTGCCTCAGAGAAAAGCGAGAGAAAAAGCGAGAGAAAAAGCAAGAGAAAAAGCGAAAGAGAAAGAGAAAGATTCATTGACCAAATACAGTCGTACGTTTATAATCATAATGCAATTATCCCCTTGTTTTACCTCTACCCCTATTCATGCATCCTGGTTTACCTCTCGTAAAAAAAACTATCGTTTTGTCTATACAGATAAAGTACTCAGTTATAAGACCAAAATCAAAGGCGAGACACTATTGTACCATAAGTTAAGAATCATACAAAAAAAGAAGGATATTTATTCAAAGATAGGTAACTCCAAACCAAAAGTGTTGGGTACAAGATCATTAAAGCGAGCATTTATATTTAATGATTTCAACTGCTCGATATCGTCTGCATCCAATTTATAAGAAAACAAATCCAAGTTGGTCTTCATGCGGGATTCTTGAACACTCTTTGGGATAACAATAATGTTTTGCTGAGCAGCAAATGATAAGAGTATCTGTCCATTATTTCGGTTGTGTTTCTGAGCAATTTTTGCAACCGTGGGATGGGTCATAAGACTTGGCACATGAGCAGTAGCAGGGGGAACCGCGTCAAATACCGTGTTGCCAAAGGAGGCATACGCAATTATTTCTATACCCTGAGATTTAACCCAAGTAACGAGACGCTCTTGACAAAGATAAGGATGAAGCTCGATCTCCAAAACGGCGGGAGTAATTCTTGCGTACGTCAGTAAATCAAGGACGCTCTGTACATTAAAGTTAGAAATTCCAATGTTACGAACAAGACCTGCGTCCACTAAATTTTCCATTGCCCTCCAAGTCTCGTGAACAGGAATACGTTGGAGAACAAATTTATTATCTTGGTTGAAGAAGCCGGGATTTGGATGTCTTGGGTCAACATATTCCGTAGCGAAAGGGAAATGCATAAGATAAAGATCAATATAATCCAGACCTAGATTTTCTAGAGTGACATCGAATGAACGTCTTACATCGTCCTTTTTATGAAAGGAAGTCCAAAGCTTGCTGATTACTAGTTTATAGAGTCAGAATACTTATACATCAATAATGTTTTTTATATTACGCATTACCAAACAGCTCTTCTCTTTTAACAATGCCTTCATCAATAGCTCTCTTTATGCCTTGGCCAACTTCAGTCTCGTTTTTGTATAATAACGCACCGTCAATCAAACGATACCCAGATTTGATAGCAGTGTAAACTACATTTGCGGTATCCTCCTGTGCAATACCTATTATTAATATATGTGAGTAAAAATTGTTTAGGCTTGCGAACTTCATCTACTTACGAGCAGTACCAAAACCAACTAAAGGAATTTTATCACCTGTACGATTCAAGTTGAGAAATTCAGTCATATTTCACAGCGGCGCACTAGGTGGTAAAAATGTACCACCGGTTGATTTTTTGAACTTCCAGACGTGAAATTGTACCACCGGTGGTAAAAATGTACCACCACGAACTTGCATTTTCTATTTTTTTTTTCCTTCATATTTTGAGAGATTATGCCAAAACCTGTTTGGGAGAGTTAAAAATCGAGGTATCTCAGAATTCTGTGATGATAAATTGCACCTGGGGTAAGCTTTCCCGTGATATCAAGATGAAATACATCATCATGTTGGAACGATTAGCCAAGAAAGGTAAAACAGACTTGGATAGATGCCAGAACTACTGGGGGGAGCAGAAAGGTTGTTGGCAAGTGTAGCTCACAACAGACTGGGAAAAAGGGTAATACAATGACTAAACAATCACACTTATTTATTATTATGTTTCTAATGCGTTTTCTGTAGAACGTGTCAACCCGGGAAGCAGGATCTTTGTCGGATGACGAAGAGACTATTCCCTCTATTGCTGAACTAGAGGAAGAACGGAATAGTCCTCTGCACGGCGATGAGAATACTGGCGTAGAAGAGCTTGAACAGACTTTAGAAGATGACCGTATCCACCGCTCTAGAAGAAAAATAGCCAGAAGATAACTACTAAAAATTTCAAAGAATTCGCACTTTGAATAATCTAATGGATTAATAAACTTACTTTTTTTTTTTTTTTTTTTTTTTTCTCTTTCTCTTTCTTTCTCTTCGTAAATTCTTATTTGCACAACCTAAGTTTTGTAATATATGATATGATTACAATCTCGCAGGTTGTAGAAAAGACTAAACAATAAGAAAAGGTAGTAATATAGCATATATAAATATTCATCCTATTCCTGGCTTATAAGTTTCGTAGAAAGTTTGTATATTCGCTTTGTGACATATGGTGAAGGCACTAGATAACATTACATCTTCATTACGTTTTTTAACTGTGTTGTATAGATTCAGAGCTTTTTCTGTGCTGATATTAAAGGCTTCAATATGTAGACAAGCTTCTTCCAGGCTGATGAAATGTTTTTTAGGCTATAGAAAATTTTTTTAGCCTGCATTTTTTTTTATTTTAGTCTGTATTTTCTAATTTTAGGGCGATTTATTTTTATTTTAGGCTACATTTTTTTATTTTATGTTGTATTTCTCAAGGAAGTCCAACTTTTTTCTTAGTCTTATATGCTGTTATACCTTATGATCCCTTGGCTCTTTATGATGTTTATTGAAAGACTTTTTCTTGCCGTTATATCTTGTTGATAGTAAGTTAATTAATATTTCCATTTAATTTTTTTCTGGTGATAATATGGATGCAAGTTCAGTAGCTTCGAAGTGAAAATACAAAATAAATACCAATAAAAACGTTTTCTATACCCCCATTTTTTCACAGTTTTTGTGTATTTATACGTAAATTTTTTTTCGATTATGTAATGCTTTAAAGTAATAAAAGTGCAACGGAATGAACAAAAAGACATTTTAAAGTGGTAAAAACAAACAACAGACGGAACAATATATCAATGTAAAGTGGTAAAAACATGCAACAGACGGAACAATACATCAGTTTAAAGTGGTAAAAAGATACAACTGTTGGAGTGTTTGAACCATTTAAAGTGGTATAATGATACCACTGGTGGATAAAACGCACCACCTCTGGTGGTATAAATTTGTTTTTTTTACCACCAGAGGTGGTGAAATCGTACCACCTGTACCACATCTGGGATAAAAAATCAAGGGTTTTTACCACCGCAGGTGGTCTAAGTTGGTACTTTTTTACCACCTTTTACCACCGAGTGCGCGGCTGTGTTTAAATTAAATATTAATGATTATGCTTCCAAAAGTCAACTCTTTAAACAATATATTTATATGTGATGTCAATTGTATAAACCGTCACTTAATTATTAATCAAGTGTGTCACTGCTTTAGTATTTCTATTATTTTGATAGTTCTGTTGTGATACTTGGGCGTCAAATTCGTATTAATCAGCCATTTTGTGAGCAAATATAGAACATAAATAATCGGCGGGCTTTTATCCGAAGTGAGACTTTGTTTTGGTGATAGGAATTCGTGACCGAAAGTGTTTTTGGTAATGGTAGCACTTAATCAAAAGCATTTTTGGTAATGACATTACCCTCCCATAAGTATCTCACTATCGTATTCTCAGAATAACTTATGGGTAAACAACGACAGTTTAATAAAATCTAATTACCAATCAGCCGTTAGCCTAAAAAGCTGAATGGTAGTGGTTTTTACTGCGCAACTTGTATAACAGTAATCCGGCAGATAAAGTTTGGTAGAGCATCGATTAGGCTAATGGCAGAATTAGATTAAACACTTTTATTTCACGTAAATTTTTTTTAAAAATGTGCTTTATCGAGCAATAGGTATACTGCCTTATTGTGGTCGAATGGACGACTAAATATTAGTCAACGACGTGACCAAGAGATTGAGGTAGAACTGCCAATGTAATTTAATTTTGAAGTAAAAAACGTACCGATAAAACTACAGGTCGATTTGACAGTGGATAGACTAATAGCAGAATTAAAAATGGAAATAATTCCATTGGGCTACATAGTACAACACGTTAAAAAGCTGTTTTGTAAATTTTAAAAAATCAATGAAATGTCGTGTTAGGAACAATACGTCTATATAGAAGCCAAATAGCATTATAGATTCAAATCAAGCGTTAATAAGGAAGGATTACAACTTTTTTTAGCTGAAATGAAGCTGATACATGTTATATGAATCAGTTAAATGGCTGCTTATGCATTGGATTTTCTGTATGGATTATCTATCGAAATGAAAGGGTCCAAATAAACACAATTTAAATGGTTACATAAGAACTGGCGGGTTAAGTGCGTAAGGTTTTTTTTATTGATTTTTCAATACCATTAACTTCAGTGTATGCTCACTGTAATTCATACGCTAAAGAAGAACGGTCATCATATCACAATGACTATATTTATAGGCCGTACATGTGATACTTATTGTATCTGACAATTCTCTTTTGATTCATGCAGTGAATAGAAACTTTCTATCTTTACTGATAATTGAGAAAGGCAGGTTCTAAAACGGACCATCTAAGATCATTTCCGATTTAAGATCACAATGTTGAGAAGGCCTTGGTTTGATAGGTTCTGTTTAAGGCCATTTTCGATTTAAGACAGTGATATCCAGAATTTCACTTGTTCATTTGTATCTTCCACCAGGATAATCGCTCCAAACACCTGCTTTTGGTACGCTACGCATAGATATAACTCCATTTAAAATTTTTGTTGGGCTGTTTAAGAAATGTAAGTAAATGTTACAAGGAAAACTGTTTAGGGCTTACCTGAGAATTGTACTTCTATCATTGATTGTGAATTGATTGTGAACTTTATTCTTTTTCTTTTTCTTGGGAAGTTGAAGTTGTGTTATGTTAGTGAAATCCATTAGAAAAATTGGTTATGATGAAGAAAGAAAAGCTCAAATCTTTTAACTCCCTTTTATAAATTGTAAAGACAATGAAAATCATCATAGGGACTGCCATTTTTTGCGTCAGTTATCATTCCTGAATAATGATTTTAAACCTTCCTTTACCGCAAGTGCAAATCACTGCTTTAACATAATCAGATATACTTTTAATTTTTTCTTTGTCTCATCTCACTTAAGCCATGATGAGTACAAAAGATTGGTTTGTCTGCTGCTCGCAGAAATCAAAATACTTAACGGACTTTGTAATTTAGCCACAAATTCAGGAGCGTGTTGTAGCAATCTCGGTTTAGTTAGCCTTTTTCGAAAAAGTCAAAAATGTTTGTAAGTCTTCAACCTGTCTTACTTGCCATAGTACTCGTAGTCTTTGGCACAAAAAATGGAAGGACTTTATGTATGTAATGTACTACATTGATCGCTAATGAAAACATTCTAATGCTATGTTTCTTTACTAGTAATTCAAAGTGCTCGAAATTCACTTCATCTAGTTCCAATATCTATTCGGCGATTCCTGCTGGCCAACTCATCGTTAATACCACTTTGGGTTTCACGAATGCTCATGTACATAGCAACCAGTCCGACAGAAAAAGAACACAAATGGATTCAAAAAGTGGCTGAGGAGACATGGAAAGGTGTATGGATAGCGCCAAATATAAACAGCGTCAAAGAAGCAGAGGAAGTGGCATTAAGTAACGATTTGACTATCTTGTATGTTCACGGTGGTGGATTCTCGATGGGACACCCTACCATGTTTATGCCGACATTTCAGTTGATGATTAATCAACTTTATAAAGAACATAATATCAAATCAAGCATACTTTCATTGGATTATAGTCTTTCACCAGAATATGCTTGGCCCAAAGCATGTTATGAATCAGTAGATGCGTATCGATATTTGATTCATAAATTAGGAGTGTGTCCGTCCAAAGTTATATTGGTGGGTGATAGTGCTGGAGGAAATTTAGCGGCATCTACCTTGTTAATATTGCGAGATCAACGAAGCCACGATGCATTAAAGTATTTACCACCATTATCATCACCCGCAGGAGCAGCACTACTGTCGCCATGGGTCGATCTCGCGCCCGTTCTCGCCAAGTCTAAGATGGACACGCTAAGCCCGAGCCAATTAACCCAATTTAGGTTGAATTATCTTGGGAAAGATACTAAAGTCACAGATCCACTTGTATCGCCCTTACATGCAGACTTTAAAAAGATTTGTCCATTGTTCATATCATTTGGAGAAAATGAGATATTAAAGCCAAGTATCGAGCAGTTTATCACACATTTAGAACGAGACGGGCGTGATATCACGATATTGAAAGGAGAAAAGGAGTCACATATCTGGTTAGTCTATAGTTTGATGGCAACATCTAAACAGGTTTATGAGAGGGACTGTAAAATATTCATAAATTGGATTGCATCGAGAACAGCCAAAATTAAATAAAATGACGTCAATTGTAAAGTATAACTTTTGTTTTTATTTTTCTCTTTTCCCCCCTTTTTTTTCTATACTACACACATATATTCTAAAATGAGCTCAGTTTCCTCTTATGAAGGTAGTGATAAAGACTCGTTCTTCCAAAGAAGCTTTGTAGATGGTCATCGTCATTCATATCTTCGTAAAACTGATTTACTGGATACTTTGGACGCTACTTCTCGTTTACGTGATACTGATACTTGGAGTGTCGCAGCAACCATCGACGACCAAGAGTCAGTCATCAGTGCTCATGGTGGACCACCAAGTATCATCAGCAGTAGTCGCATGACCATGGACAGAGAGACGGACGATGACCACTCCACTTTGGACGGTGAAACCTCCATTAGGGATCACCTGCATGATATTCATCTTCATGATAATAGCAGTCGACTTGAAACGTTGCGTGATTATGATTCCAATCCACACTTGTTGCGTGGTGGTGGCGTCGATGAAGACCAAGATGACAAACGTTCAAGATCCAATGCAGCAGAATTTGGAGATGATGGTGCTCGTTCTGCAACTGCTGACTTTGACCACAGCAGTGTTGCAAGTGATGATAATGTAGTTGATGATCAAATATCTGCTCCGCCACAACCCCAACCTAGTTTTGCATCTGTAACAAAATCATATGCACAATTACTTGAAGAAAACGAAGTGCTGCAATCACAGCTTCGTAATTCCCAATTAACTCAAAAACATCAAGCGGACATGATTAGTAACTTGAGAAATTTAACTGGTTGTGATGATGAATTATATGGAAAGGCTTTGGATTTAAGTGGCACTGAGAAGGATAAGAAAGACAAAAAAGATGATGGTGATATTTTTGATGCACATGTTCAACCTATCGTTAATTCTCGCACATTAACTCACAAGTTGGCCAGATTAGCAGAAACCTTAACTCGGTTTGTTCATGCAGCGGTTGAAGATGAATGGAGGCTGACTTTGGAACAGTCATTATTTTTACACATCACAACTTTCTACTTAAATTCACTTCCATTTGGTACAGAAAATCAGCACTTGCTAAATACTGCTTATTCGGATCAAATTCGTAGATTTCATAGTACTTTGGGTACAAATTTCGCGAAATGGTATCGCAGACAAACTGTTCAATCCCTATCATTAAATCCTGCTACAAAAGAATACCTTCAAGATATGAGAAATAACCTAACCGATGAAATGTTCAAATTATTGAATACAATGACAAGAACAGATGGAGAATATATGCCAATCTGGGATGATATTTTGGACTTGTGTGCTGCTCTCTCACTAGAAATCCATGGCGGCGACGCTGATGTAACTGCACAACCTATTGCTGTTGGAAGCAAATTTGATCAGGACATTATGGCTTTAGTTGGTGACATGAGTACTAATACAGACAAGTTGGTGAAGATGGTTATCAGCCCCTTGTTTGTAGACGAAGAAGAAGTCGTATTGTTACCCGCAAGAGTTGTTCTTGAATAATTTTTTTTTTTCAGTAATAAATTTCACATCTTGTTTTATCCTCATTTTAAAATCTTTGCATATTCGTACATATCACCTTTTGCAGATCGTTTTATGGGTGCATAGGTTTGGGAAAGTTTCCAAGCTTAGAGTTCCGAGAATAACGTTGCATTATGCAAGCATCACGCACATTCCTTGTCATCACTTGAAAGTTTAACCGGAAGAGTAGTGTAGAAAATGAAAGCAACCTTTACAAATGTCTCTGTTCTACACGAAACAATAGTTTGTTTTTATTATAAATCTGATAGTCACCGACTTTAATTTTCACGATAAAAGAGTAACATGTAGATATTATTTTTCAAGCTTTAAGCTCACTTGGTTAATTATAGGTTCATTTCTTTTAGTTAGCATTACCTGTCGTGTTTGCATAGAAACCTGGAGTGTTATTTTGAAAAGAAATTTGGATTTAGCACAGCCTCGAATGGTACTTATTTATATATTTCAAATTACGTAATTTTCTTACCCGCTTACTTGGAGAAGACAGGATTGTAGAAAAGCTCTGTTGATTTCTTAAGCTTTGTACGTTTAAGGCTGAAATGATTTATTCAAAAGCACCTGTTTATATCAGGTTATCGTTGCGGCAAATAAGGATGCTACCATATACGATGGGTATCCGAAAATGACAAAAGAGCTTCAGTTGAGAGACGATAGTTTTCAAACAATGCTGGGAGGAGTACACTAACTACTTTTAGTAAGAGTATGATGTGCGACAACACTTGTGTAGCCCAGATGATGAGTGTATTTTAAGTACCGAAAATAAAAAAGATTTGGGTCGTGTGTGTACCCCACATTTCCTGCCTTGACCATCTTTTTTTTTTTTTAAAAAAATGAGTAAATCAACAAAGGTAAAACGAGACTTTCAGACATTACCCGAAGGGACTAACCTGTAAAGTGTAGAACCGAACTGTAGAAAGTAATAACACTTGGGACCTGGATGCCATGCTTTCTCAGGAAATCCAGGACATGAATCGAGATTCAGCGGAAGACAGACGAGTGAAGGAAGCGGTCATCATGTCTAAACCCGATCCTAACCAAATCAATGCCGAAGACGATTCTGATGAAGAGAACCGACCAGTCAATGGCAGATATTACTACTATGACGACGACGATGAATATGAAGACGACTTGGCTATCCGTGACCCAGAACTATTCAAGATCACGGAGAGTAACAGACAAATTGCTGTTGACCAGCAAACATTACCTGTGGATCCAAGCACCAGTGCAAAGCATAAATTAGTTCGCCGCCCACCTGAGCTTGTATTTTCTGATCCCCCTACACTTGTTTCTCGAGGTGATTACATACAGGTGACTTTCCATTACGGCTTGTCCCCAGAAAGACACGCTTCAAAGCCAAAGAGATATATGATGATGTGTGATTTTGGAGAAGAGAGCATGTATGCTATGAATTGGGGTATTGGTACTTTGCTTCGTAGTGGTGATGAATTACACGTTGCTAGTGTAGTCGGAACCGATGATGAGTTAGAAGATATGGATGACGATGAAAAATACCAGCTTCGAATGGAGGTAAGTGTTAAAGAAAAGAAAAGCAAAAGATAAAGAATTAAACAGCTATTTCAGCTTGATCGTAATTCCAAAACTATGATCTCTCGTGTTAAAACAGCGATGGATGAAATGTTGCTTTACAATATCAAAATTGTGACTTATTCAGTGGCTGGCAAAACAAGAGAATCCTTATTAAATTTGGTAAGTCTCAATGATCGTGTTAAATTATGATACTCATTTTTGACAGATTTATGAAACACCTAAACTGACAATGATTGTCTGCGGTTCAAGGGATAGAGGTGCACTTAAAGGGTAATAAATTTTTTATATGAGAGTTATATTATAATGTGTGTCTAACATAGTTGATAGAATGATTATGGGAAGTGTGTCTACATTTTTGGTTCATAATTCGCCTATACCTGTGTCTGTTGTTAGACCCCAAAAGAAGGAGAAAAAGGCAGTAAAGCACAAAAAGACATCAGCACAAAAATTGAGCCAAAGTGTCATGAATGGACATTTAAGAGTGGATGAAAAAGAAGGGTCTATCAATAGATATGACGGCACACTTTAATTTTTTTTTAATTGTCTAAGCAAAAATAATTGCGATAATTAATAAACTTAACAACATCATTACTAGTCTTGACATAAATGCGCCTTGTGGAGTTTGCTGTGTTGTTGAACCGGTTGGAATATTCTATCATACAGTTTTAGACCAATATACTTTCGATAGTCATCTTACTTACAAATCTGACACCCATTGGAAAGAAACCAAATCCTGCTGATATAGACACACCTCCTCCATTAAATGCGTTATTCCCAAATGGCTGGCTAAAAAATGATGTAGCTGGTCGATTGGGATCACGAATAGGTGGTGGTCTTTGACCTGCTGGACGTGTTGGTATCGATGGATCGTTTCTGTTGCTATGTCAGCCTCTCCCGTGCTCAATTGTTATTATGGTATCTTACCTTGGGTCTTTCTCTTCTTTGCCACGGCCATAAATAGGAATGACTTTGTCTTTACCACAACCTGCTTTACACACTGGACACGTAGGGTTACGTGATTGAGCATTTAGCCATTGTGCAAGGCAAGACCAACTTTATGTTCTCTTTTTAGTACTTGGCTAATGTAGGGGGTCTTATAGGCACATACATACCAAAATAAATGTCCACATAATGTCAAAACAGGATGAATAGCAGTATCAAAGCTACAAAACCCAATGAGTCCTCCTAATGCTTTCCCTTTTGCTTGTGATATTCTTACCAAATGTTACATTCGTAAAATCCTCCACCATTTGAGTAGCAGTCATCCTTGTAATTATCAGTAGTTGCAGGGCTTGTTTTTGTAGGCTTTTCCACAGATTCTTTATAGCTGTTTCTTTGTCTTAATTCATTAGCTGTGTATGAAAAGCTATGTCTCGTTCGTTCAATCAATATAGGCTCTCCTGTCTCTGCATCAATAGTTGTACGGTCACCCGTCTCTGCTGGTTCAGGACTCTGTATATTTTCTGTTGAAGATGAAGAATCTTCTGTCGGCAGTGAGTTATCCATCTCTAAAAGTGTGTGAGTTAAAAAAACAAGACACCTTATATTTTATGCCACATTAGAAAAAAATAGCGGCAGTTGAAGTTTTTGTTCCAATTGGAGCCTTTTAAAAATGATGTAAACCTAACTTGCGATAAACATTGACGAATCGTTTTGATGTTTAGACACTTGCATATTTTAAGTTTTATTCAAGACATTTGTCAGTTTCTTACTATATTTTTATGGAAACCATAGGCTATCGTAGCCTATCTATTATAAACCAAGTGGGTTTCTCATGTAATAACTATATGTCATGTGTGAATACGAATTAAGCACTTTGTAGCGAGAAACACCCAAATTTATCTAGATACAAATGTTGCTCAGCTAGATAGATACCGTATCTAACAAGAGAAATATGCGTTACCTGAGGTAGATCCATTTTTAAGTATTTAACATTACCCACGCTAGCAAATATGACAGTGACACCGCCTTAAAAGTCAGACTCTTTTGCCATTGAGGTTATTTAGTATCATCCTTTAAGGAAATTCAGAGCGGTCACCTTACTATAGACTGCACTTCCAATGGTTGTGTAAAAATTGTTTCGCTGGCGTCTCTTGTTGAGTGTTTAAACACTCTTCTTTATTTTGGATACACCGTAAAAAGATTCTTGGAATAAGATTGACTAAAACTCCTTCGATTGGACCTACATACTTGTGATTTTCCAGCGTTTGCTTCCATTAAGTTTCCGTTAGATTCCTTTAGGTCATTTAGCACAGAAACACCATGGCCAATTAGTAAAAAAACCTTGGTCTTCAAGAGTAGATCCGGCCGTTATTTTTTCTTTGTATATGAAGTTACTTGAGATGTTTCGTCTGTAGGCATTGTTTTCCTAAAGAAACAACCGTTAAAGGTATATTTTTGTGTAGCTAAAAGCTATTCATTTCTCGTACAAGTTATGAAACATTATGGCTTGCATGAACCAGCCCATCAGTCTACCCTGCCTACCTACATTTCCGAATGCGGGTCTCTGAGGCAGGCTTTCTTAATACTACAACAAAATCATACGGATTTCAACTTGGGGTCACCAAAAAATACAAACTTTCTCTGCCTATTTTTTTTTTTTTTTTTTTTGCTTTTTCCTGGTGTTAAGATACCGGTAATAGTTCTTAAAGGATAAGGTGGATATAGGTTATTAACACTGAGGTTAATAATAAAGTAGTTATGAAAGTGAGTACCAGACTGGAAGTAGTCAACTTAAGAAATCTTATAATATAAAGTTTTTAGGATAAAAAGATAATCAACGATGATTTTAAGAGGGCGTAAGTAATATAAATATAAACTGATTGCCAAGATTGAAAAGAAAAGTAATTATGTTATTATAAACAATATCTTACATACGGTTTTGGTAATAAAAAGATTCGAGTCGAGTGTGAAATATGAACCTTGAACTAATTGTTATATGTAAAGTATAGACTTAAGATAAACAAGAAGTATGAAAGTTGAGGGAAACACAAAGGAGTCAATTACAAATTATTAAGAACAGATTTTTAGTCAAGATAAAACTGAAGAAATATTTATTGAGAAAAAAAAGGAGGGTATTTATAGGAAAGATTTTATCCTATGTAACACCAAGTCAATTTAGATTGGCTGCAACACTGGTCAAGACATTTAAGAAAATATCAAAATATACAGCAAAGTTGTTTACAGCTGATACTTTTATGTTCTTTTCATCTTTTTTTTAATCAAGAAGGTACCGTGTACCTATTGTCTCTGAAAAAAAAAGAGGGCATGAATACGTCATCATTTTCTTGAAGTGCAAGAAGCGCTACCGCTACCGCAACGCTACCGCTACCGCTACCGGACCGCAACGCTACCGACTAATACGGAGCTATAAAAGCGGGATTTTTTTTGAGAAGCAGCTTTCTTTCGTGTGCTTTAACAATAGCGTGTAAAGTCCAAGGCTGGTCAAGCAACAAACCCTACACTTTATACCAACAAAAAACTATTTATGTCTACTTTATGTGAATTACATTTGACCTTGCGAGAATTGCTGACCACTCATAGATAAACAAAACTCGAAAGAAGAAGGCAAATTTACCTATTGGTAGGTATTGAAAGTAAAATCTTTGCAAAACCAAGTTTATTTTAATGAAAAAAAAAATGCCTTCAAATGCTTGCAATTATACTACTGCAGTAAGTGAACTATGTACTCTGTATTCTGAGACTCTGTTTTAAGTTTTGTTACACTTGTAAAGCAAAGCCTTCCTGACGCTTTCTTTGAATCTGAGGTTAAAATGCAGTTTAAATATAGTTTAAAAGGAGGGGTGACATTCCTTGTTAATCGCTTCTCTTTTACTTGTCTCAATTATGCCACCAGTCACAGAATCCATGTCACTACCTGAGGACCATATCTACACTGACCATGTCCACCCATGGGAAGAAATAGTAGAGTATGTGAGTAAGTAGTGAAATATTCCATACAAAGAAAATGCAACTAACACAGGTGCAAAGATTCAAATCAAGTCAGCAACTTACGCCGCAACAGAGATCAACAAGCAGTATATGCCAAATGGACAAGAGAGACAAAAGAAGAATACGGAACTATTGCAAACTATTTGATCAAGACCAAAATTCAATATCCTGAAGGAGTCACTTATCTTGTACTCACAAACGATTTCCCTTATTCTGTAGATCCTGGGATCGATCATATATTGATTTGGTCAAAGACACCGATGGCAGCAGAGCAAGTTTTAGAAATATTAGAAGAGAGATATGGCAGTGAAACATGGGAGTGGTCATTCTTCGTAAATCCTCCACAATGGCAAAGTGTACCTTCTTTACCTCATACTCATGTCTTTTTAAGAAAAAGAGTTCGAGACGAATGAATAGACAATTGTTGTTTTTTTTTTAAAAAAAAAATAAAAGCTTTCTCTGAGAGTTCAGCTCCATCCCATTGTTCATACACGCTGAATCATCTCTAATGTCAAGATTAAGTATTTCCCAGTGAACGCGCAACTGTTATCGTGATTTTTTAACAGTCCATAACAATAATATAAGTAAGTGATGAAAACGTGTTTATTTAGAGGCCTTCTTTTTACTGCTCTTTTTCTTTGAAGAGGACTTTTTCTTTTTCGATGGTGCAACAGGTGCATTATCGTCGCCTTTAGGCGGTAGTTCCTCTTCTTGTGTTATCTGGAAATGCTTATATTAGCCATTATTTTAAAATCAGTTGTAGGTCCACTTACATTCTCATCATTTTTGGGCTCATCCCAGCTTTGGTGCACCTCGTGCACCTCTTGTTCCTCCTTTTTCTGACCGGTAGACCATGGGTTATCGTTGGCCCCACCGATTTCTTCATAACCTTCTCCACTGCCACCAAAATTAAATGAGGGTGACTCTAAGTATGGACTGTCTGTTGTAAGTACGCGGTTATCCTCATCCTCGCTGTCGGATATGATTTCAGGCCCAGACAACCTTCTCAAGGAACGACTCCAAACATCGTCTAATTCACTCTTAAATATGGGTGGGCGGTATGACTCTACCACCGGTGCGACCTCTTCTTCGATATCCTCTGCATCCTCGTATGGCTGCGACTCCTCATCATCATCATCCTTGGGATGAATTTGTAAGACATTATTTTGTTTGCTGTAGAATTCCACGGCTGGTTCAACATCTTCATCACCAGCTACCATTGGATTTCCAGGCCCATCATCATCCGATTCATTGTGTTTATAATGTGATAGATTGGCTGGTAAAGCTGTTTCTTCACCAAACCAATCGTCCTCTAATTCTTCTTCGACAGTAAAGTGATCAACAACTGCAGGTATTTCTTCAGACACAAGCCTGACATCCTTCTTCTTTTTGGATTTAACGGGCTGTGTAGGTGGAGGTGGGGTTTCTGATCTATCAAACGATATAGGTTGGCTCAACATGGTGGAATCTGTAGTCATGTTAATTTAAGCATTGGTATGACGTAAAAAAAAAGGAGGAACTTACGATCTAAGGCAATATCCTCCAGCTCCTGGTCCCAAGCAGACTGCAATTCCTCTTGCTGTCTCGCTAATCGAGGCTCAGATGCTATGCCCATGTTAGTATACCGCAAAATAGACACTTTTTTTTATACATACGTTGATCAAAGTTATCTTGACCTCTTCTTCTTTGCATACCCTCTGGTACATCATCATCTTTATCTAAAACTTCCAATAAATCAACAATTTCCACGGCCTTTAATTCGAGTTGCTTATTCAGGGATTCAATCTATCGGAGCCAATTAGAAAATGAATGCACATGTATGATGTAGTTTTTTTTTTTGCGTTTACCATTAATTGCAAGAAGGGTACGCCAAGATACTCATAAATATACTTTAATCCCAATCCGGACTGCATACTTGTCTCAGCATAACGTATCAAATTAGGTTTGATAGCTCCCTTTTTGATACGATCTTGGTTATGCTCGTACAGAGTTGCATGAATAGTATCTAATTCGACTTTGCGTTCCTGCCTATTGAGCATAAAATAAAAATTAGTGAGTCATTCATATCCTTTTCATGTGACTCTTACACTTTGTCAGAAAAGTTTCCTAAAACCAACACTGAAATTGTCTCTGGTACATTAGCAAGTTCCGTATTTACATAATCAAATGTCCAGGGCTTTGTTGTATCGAATAAGAAGATAGCGCCATGAGAGTTTCTGTAAACATTTACTGTAGATGCATCTAATCCCAAACTGCTATCTTCAGTATTGGGTGATGATGGAGAGGGTATAGTCACTGGTGTCTCTGCTTCTGCCGAATTATGTTCAAGTTTTATACCCTTATTTTCGGTTGCCTTTGTTTTGTTGTGTGCCTTATCCACTACATCCCAGACCTCAATCTTTACGATATCGTTGGAATCTAAATTGCTTTTTTAGCATATTCACCTAGTCTTTAAAACCATCATTCTTACCTTTGTAGTGCCAAGGGATATTGGCCACCTGAATTTGGGGTGTGGATATATAGTTTTCATCGAAATCGGATCCTTGAAGGCGATTAACTTTTCGCGTTTATCAATACATATTTTTCATTTATTCTTGCATAATATGGTGTGTATATGCTTACATAGGTTGGTTTTTCCCGTCATTACATCACCACGTAAAACAATTTTCACTTGTATAAGGTTAGTCGAATCCTACGGGTTTCTAGTAGTATGCTTACTGTTATATTGAACACCTTTTCGAAAGGCATTACTCATTGCTTTAAACGATTGTTGTGAAGGTGTCGCAGGTACCATGGTGGGTACAACAGGTTCCTTGTTCGAAAAAAAAAAAAAGGTTTAGTGCGTGCATAAATTATCTTGTAATAAACATACCTTTTTAGCTCCAAAAGGCCACGGGAAACTCATTTTTGATTGTGGAAGGAAAAAAACAAAAAACTGTTGGGAAAAAAGAAGACTTATTTGTTGTGCAAAACTAGGCGGCAATTCAAACGTGACGTACACATAAACCCAAATGGCCTGTGGGATCTCGATGCGTGATCAGCTAAATAAGAATATGCTTCCTCGTATTTAGACAAAGGATTAATGTTTTCTATCAAGGCAGTGGCCCTTAAATAGTCAAATGATGTAGTCAAGGGAAATATAACTCTCAGGGGCACTATCACTGTTATTTGTTATTGTAAAATTCGATGTGGAAGCAATAGACAGCAGAGTGTTATTATAAACAGTTGTCATAGGTAACAATAAACAGTTGGGGTGTAATGTTGTTTCATTACGTGTGAATAAAACAACTATATTTATGTTTGCTTTTTAAATTGAACAAAGTCGCTTTGATCTCCGACTGAAATTCGCTTAGCTATTCACTTTTACTAATGGATCGTTCAGAAACCCAGGAAAGGGATTTAAGTGCTGTGGCTGCTTCTGAGATTTTCAACAACATTGCCAGGTAAGTTTGGGACTATGATATTAAAGAACAAGTCCGACATTATCGCATCTTTGGAAAAACAATGAAACAAAATGAACGTATTGATAAGGTATTCTATGGTATTGAGGTTCTGCAAGTAGACAATGCTTCGTTAATTTCACTCATAGGAAACAGAGAAGGGAACAGCTTGCTAAAGGATTTGGCTTCTCTCCTGGCAATTATTATGGTTGCTGGAAATGACAATAGTTTTTATAAATCAATAAAAATTTTAATGATTCCGTCATGTTTCCATATTATCAACTATATTATACCATTTGTAAATAAAATCTGAAGTCAAACCACATTTGAATATCCGGTCTATTTTTTTTTTCTTGTCAACCAAGAAATTGGTGGCAAAGGGAACTGTTACGGGACGTTACATGAAGTTTATTTATAAGACGTTTGATGAGATGGACAAGTTCTCTATAGTGGGAACTTTATATATTTTTGGACAGTGCACCAGTCCATATTTCACATAATGGTGAGGCTAGAAGCTATGCAGTTATACATCTGCCTTCATGTTCTCCTGAGCAGCTGAATAAGGTTGAAGACTTTTGGTCAGTTCTGAAAAATTCAGTCAAACAAAGTGAGTGTCAAAAAAAAACAGGGATTTGAAAACTAGAATCAGTGAGACTAGTGAAAGCGTTGGTATAAAACCTCTTCATAACATCACTCAGAGTTTTGCTGGGAATTTAAAGGATGCTTTGATGGGCCAAATTATCTTAACTTCAACAACATAAACAAGTTTTGAGCGATACAATGGCGAATTTATACCATTTGCAAAAATAAATATTTTTCAACAGCCAGGGCAGCTTTGGCTGCTTAAAAACGAGCTTTGGGGAGTGGAACCATTGTATTAAGAGCCGTTTCATCTAATTATACAATATCATAACAAAGTTGTGGGTGATACAATCATTTTAAGTCTTAATTTGTTCGGGCACGGAGATTTACTCCTTGTTCCTATTTTTTTCTTTATCTTTTACAAGCCTATGTTAATCTGCTCTTTGAATGACATGAGTTACTTTAGTGTGATTCTTAAAGACAGTGCCCATTTTGAAATGGCTTAACTGAATCACTAGCCACAGCTGTTACTGGAATAAACGCCCATTCACTAAAATAAAAAGTGAGACACTTGAGCTTTACCCAACCTTCTCAGCCGGTTTCCGTGTACCCTCTACTCCTCATGTGTAAATTCTTGATTCCAATGAGGATATATTTTGCTGCACCTGTATGTATTTACAAAAGCTAAGAAACGTTTGTATGAGAACCAAGGTGGTGGTACCAATAATAGTTTATTTTTAGATATGGAGTTTGGATGGCCACTGATTTAGTAAGCATACTATGGATACGGTATTGAAGCGATATGATGAATCTGGATAAACATAGAAGTTGATGAGATAGTAAACATAATAATAATAATAAAAATAATGATGCAGTGGCTGTAAGGCTAAAAGAAAAGAAAAGAAAAAGTGTTTAATTGGACCAACTTTCATCATAATACATCAGATTAGCAGCAAGAATGGGTGGGGATAAAGTAGCCATGTATCTTAAAATCCATTGTTTGTATATCACATGAGCCCAGCGCAGTAGTATTTATTTATAAAAAGTTTATTTAAAACAATCTCTTTTGTGGTAGAAGATCAGGTATCAATTTTTCATTGAAGGAAGGTTCATCGTATGTATCAAACAAGATGAAGTCTTTCTTTCTTTTTTTACAAGGTGGCGGTGGTGGTGGTGGTAATGCTGATCTTTTCTGGCCAAAGAAAAAGAAGGATATATCTTCCAGCACTCTATCATCTCTATTATTATCTGTCATGTCTAAAAAGGATGGTAACAATGGTGGTGGTAGTGGCAGATAATCTGACTTGATATGATACGAAGAATAGGACATTGGTGGTGAAGGAAATATTTGATGTAGGCTAGGTAAATATGGACGTGGCTTGTAATGGTGTCGTCTGATGTCCTTCATATTGTTTATTTTATAAATTGATGAAAAGCGAAGAAAAGAGAAAAGAAACGGAAAGCTCGGGATGATTTATTTAAATAACAAAAAAAAAAAAAGGGTGCACAAAAAAAAAAATTCTTTGCCATGAAGACGAGTGTAACCGGCGCTTTTTTTTTAAAGCATGAAATACAGCTGATGTCGAACGGACCGAATAAAATGTCAGCCAATCAGAAATAGACTTTGCTCTCGCAGGAACAAAATGTCGTTAGAGATACAGTCAAAAAGAATGATTTATTTTAACATTTTTAACCTTTGTCTTTATCTTTACTAAAACACTTTTTATAAGCCAACATAGACCAAAGTTTATAAAATTACCCCTACAAGACTTGTATATTCTGAGGGATCTGATGGCCATGTTGAAATTATAAAATTAGAAGCCATTCACTACTTACAGCAATTAGGATTCAGTCAAGCGGCCATCTGATTGATATACAGCGTCCAAACGTCTAAAATACAGTAGGAAGAGTGGCTAAAACTGGTAATTATTTGAAGAGAAAGAGTTCTGGGAGACCAAGTAATTTTAATTGACTGCATAACTCGATGTTGGAACGTTTTATTAGAAAAGTGCCATTCCAAACAATTGAACAACTATCGGAAGGACTCCGTTTAACGAGCAAACCCCATGCTCCAAGCACTGTGAGACGTTGGATTGAGGAAATTGGTTTCAAACATTGTGTACCTTCGTTATAGCCGTTATTAAACGAACGCCAAAACAAAATACGACTTCTTTGGAAATATTTAGTTCTTCATGTAAATATCCATAATTTTTTTCTCATAGACCTTTAGAACGTTTTTTAATCATATCATTTTTTTTTTTTCGTCAAAAATAAAGTGGTATCTTAGTTCTAACAGTATCAATTTGGTTTTACTTAATTTTTGTTCTACATGCAAAACAATTTTGACGATGGGGTTTGTAAGCAAGAGGAAGATCCAAGTCACGCACATCCTCCACAGTTTATATTATGTAATATGATGCATGCTCGCATGTGTGCATGTAAATCCTTTTTTCTTAAACAGACGAGAGGGTGTTTTTTACCATGGCAAAGTGTGCCTGAAAGACACCAAAAGCCCATTCCACATCCGTTTCGTCCACCTCTTGTGTCTTTGCAAAGTTCTACCATACAACACGTTAAAATCAAAGTAAATGTACTTATCCAACTTTCCACTGCTTACCTTTCTCTTTTGCAACTGAGAAATCGGCAGGGTTTTGACAAGAGGAGCATATCTTGGGTATATGACATCTGCCAAATAGTCATATGAATTGCCGTTGACAGTAAACTTGACTTCAGGCATATCCCCTTTGGCCAGGCTAGAGAAAATGGGGGACCGGTGAAAAACATTAGTGTTGTTAAGGGCACCGGGAAGAACAAAAAACGAATGCCAAATCCACAGGTCCTGAGAGGCTACTATTTCCAAAATAATCGTTGATCGACCACTGTTGCCACTAAACTGCCCATGATGAGCCGTTAGGCAGTTCCTTCATGGCCAATGCATACAGTCAATTGAACCAATCATGCCCGGGATGTCTCTCTCCTCTCCAACTGTCAAAAAGCAAGCCACATCCTCTTGCGTAGGAGTTCTAATATACTCCTCCTTGTACACAACAGCAAAAGCATGTGCGAATGCTTTTGAAGGTTTCCTGGCTTTCTGTTTTCCATAAAATCTGCTTCACTGTTATTACAAGATATTACTGGAACGCAGATAGACAATTATCAAGCTCTGACTTGCTTGGGAGTTGTTTGCAAGTGTTTCTATTTTAAGTAAAGGCTCAAACATTATGGATGATGAAATAAGCAATTAAATCATTCTGACATAAGCTCTTGTTTATCAGCCTACAAATAAAGCTGGTTCACACACTTTATTCTTCTCCTTTTCTTTTCTTTTCCCTTAACATATTTCTTCTATCATATGAAAGTAACCGATAAAGTAAAAAGGTTAGTTAGTAATGACTCTTGTTTCTTTGAAATGACGCTAAATCGAAAAAGATATATTACGATATTGCGGCTGCGGCTAGTCTTTGCTATAGGAGTGCGACCTCCTATAGCAGGGAACCCACAGTCTGTGAATAACAGTGTTTTTACTGTGAAAAACAGTGTTTTTACTGTGAAAAACAGTTTTTTTCACTGTGAATGGTCGTGTTCATACTGGCCTGCTGGTCTCGGCCAGAATTCTTGTAAGTGGTATAAAAATAATACTTTAAAAAAAATACGGAAGTCTAGACATTTTCATTTAATCTTTTGTGATTTTATCAAAAAAAAATTTTTTTTTCTTTTTTTTCTTTTCTTTTCTTTTCTTTTCTTTTCCCTAATTACATGACGGTCTTCCTCTAATGCCTAAAGTACATGGTATCAATCCTGTCCTCAGTGGTTTGAAATTCCAACATTGGACTAATGTAGTCAAACTGGGAAAGTATGCAATATAAAACAGTCCAGAGTTTCCCACTGTCGAATCAGCTACAAGAGCGATTTTCTCCTTTTTTTCAAAGGTCGTGTACTACCTGTTACTCTTCACATGTCGCCTTATCCAAGTATAGTGAGGCCTTCCGAAGTTATTTCTCTCATCCTGACCACAAAAATGAACTCCAAGAATCACTTGCAGCCCAGTTAAATGTAATCATATGTATCAGGCCAAAAAAAAAAAAAAGAAAGACTAGAAGAGAAAGTAGATAAATAAGCCCCAATCGACTTGCAATCATAATGGATGACGAGGTCAATTGTTCGATTTCATCCCCAACCTTATGATTATAATATGACATCAATGCATCAATCACCTTCGATCTCGGGACACCGAAGCATATTTCTTCCGAATCCGATCCAAGCAAAGACTGAGGTACAAACGGACACCAGACTTGAGCACCAGAGGAATGCGAAAGGTAGGTGTCTGGACGATCCGTATATTCTGGGAATTGAAAAGACTGCAGACACCTAACCGCCATCTTGTTGTAATTAGCCCTGGTGACGAAGGACGTTCGAAGCATTTGCCCCTATAAGATGCGTGGACTTGATCAAGTTGGCGAACTTCTTAATTGTCCGCTCCATTGGTCGGCAAGAGTAGCATTTTAATGGCCCCATCTGTTCAACCAAATACGGCAGATGCATCAAATAATGGTTATTATACTTGACATTTAATAACAAACAACCCAGCACGGAAACATGAAACATTCACTTAAACATGAAACATTCACTTCCCGCACAACAATCTATCTTATAAAAAGAATCCCCGTTTCCATTTAATAAAAATATAACTAGTTTTAGTCTCAAATAATTTAACCGTTTATTTCTTGGAATATTTCAATTTGCTGTGAACACTCGCGCATTGATACGACTTGCAACAATCTCTTGATTCAAAAACGTATGCCAACTACTAAAACATCTAAATGCTTGCGTTAATGTCTAATTTCAAATATCTAGTCTCTGATTGTCATGTTACCTTTTCATTTTTGCAATGTCCCTACGAGAAATGCGCCACTGCAAAGCAATGGAACATTCCTCCACCAATTCCATTAACGCACATTTGGTTTCATTGTTCTGGACCAATGGAAGTACAATGGTCGGGACAGTGTACAAGAGAAAGTCTAAATAATCGACAGCTCTTCCGATACCTACACCGCCATCCCAAGTTCCCTCAAAAGCTGATGGTATGTAAACCCTGCTCTGCTTCACCTTTTCGTCAATCTTTTTGATGATAGTGTGATCACGTGCGTTCAAACCAAAGGTATATCGTGCATCTTGAGTGATGAATTCACGGAACTTTTTGTTTTTCTTGGGATCCAAAAGATTATACACCAAAGTACCAAGCCCTCTACCAATCAAATGCATCTCGTCACCAAGAAAAAAAGATGTACCCGTGAAGGTAGAAAGAGAGCTAATAACAGGATCAACACCATCCCCGATTATTGTTTTTATATATGAAACATAAAGGGTATACCTCGAGGAAAATCACAAATTTAACAAGTCAACCTTTTGACGATGTGTTTACGATTGAAAATAAAACGGAGAGCGTGGGCAAAAGAATCAAGCAAGAGGCTATCAGTATATATCAGCAGTATACAAAAGGAATCGAAGTGCCTGCCGCAGCTTCGTCCTCTTCGGTATTGGCTGTTGGATCAGCTTTGGAGGAGTTGGGATCTCTTCCGCTCTCCCCTTCTTTTACTTCTATGAATTTGGCGTCTCCCCTTGGTTTTTTCCGGCTTTCTTCTGCTGGTAAAGCTTCCAAAATTGTGGTGGATCTTGGTTTAAGCTCTATTTTAGATTTGACACATAAAGAAGACGCACACCAAAAATACATTTTCTCGAATTCAGAATGGAACCTCATGAAAGAGTATTTTAACAAAAATTACACATTTACAATAGCTGCCAATCTTCCTCAAATCATAATCAACACTTCGTTTACCATTACTCAACTTGCCATGAAAAAGGGTATTTCACTGCGCTAAATTATATATCAAAAATGAAAAGCCTCGGTGTTGGCGGTGTTGGTGGTGAATCTCTCGAATCAACAACTGAGATAAGTTTTATTTACTTTGAAATATTTAAATAGTGGTATCCCTGTGGGAAAAAAGTAAGTCGTCCCTATGTTTAAAGTGAATTTTCCCTCGTTAAAAGACAAGTAAGTCAAAGTGAAAGAATAGTCTGATGTGTATTTAAAAATGAAAAAAGCTCGCCATATTTATAGAGTCCTAGTTCTTCGTGATGACATGAAATTAATTAATGGTATCGTTCAAAATAATGATACCATATCAGAGCAAGAAGTGCAAGCGCTCTGGTATCCTATCATCAAGAAGATTGTATCAATTAGGAAGATAGTCGGAGAAAAACCTAGGGAGACAATCAACCCATACATAACAAGTCGAAAGCAATTCCGGTATTTCGATTCAGGAGGTTTCAATCAATGCCTATGATACAAATAAGCTTATCCATGACAGAAGCAAATGTATTCGAGAATCTAAAGAAATTTGCGATCACCATATCGAAGCAGGATTAGGAAGGGACTCTATTGGTTGGGGGATACAAATTCCTTGTCTAGAAGCACGTTTAATTTCAGTTCTTCTTTCTCTGGAAGGTCTTTATATTGCTGTATGTCAAAGTAGGCTTCAATTCCCACAAAATGTCAACGAATTGTCGGACTTTTATCCACAATTTATAGGACCTTGAATATATTAGGTGCTCTCAAGGTAAAATTCGAAAAGCTGATCGACCTCTTTTTTGGAAGTTAACAGCTTTAAAAAAAACATGGCCCGTGATGTAAGTATGGTGTATATGCTTGGTGATGATTTCAAGATTATGGTCCAGATAATTCCAATTGTATTGAAACTTGCCAAGGATGATCGGGTATTCTTGACTTTTCGTAACGATCCCCATCACAATCAGGTGATCTCGTAATGGATATTCCCTCTTGAATTCACTAGAAGACTTATGCATTTACATTGTTTTGCCCAAATTTGGATCGTCTTTTCAAACACTTTTTTTACTATTTTTGTATAAAAAATGGACGGTCTCTGAACTTGAGAGCACATATTGTTGTAAGATAATATTTGGATCTCTTTTTGGTATATGCTGATACATTGTTTATTTGTAGGAGCGTAACGAAAGTGAAGCCATTAAACTCATCGGGCTATATGACAAAATATACCGATCATATAACCCCTTATTTAATGATGATTCTAATAATAACACCAGTACCAGCGCCCACCCTAATAATGATGACAGCCACTTGAAAACTATGTCTACCTACTATACACCGCCCATGGGAGATAGAACTAAATCTATCATGCCTATTGATTTATCTGGGAAAGGAAAACATCGGTTGTTCGATGAAAAAGCTATCATTGGGAAACCATCACAGAAAAATCCATGGTAGAACAGAAAAAAGCCGGTAAAGGAGATGAATATACAATGCCCAAATCGGACGAGTGTCAAGACTTTTGACGTTACAAGACACTACGACTGAACGCAAGAACTTCAAGAGTTCTCACGCTACCCAGAGAATTTCCCGTCATCTACGTATCATTCAATCGTTAGATTGACGGAAGAAACAAGAAATTATAAACCATGGTCAAAACAGCCCCAAGACTACGCTTAAGCTTATAAAAGCAGTGCTTATAGGCGGGTGATATGTTTGGATGGGCTTAATTGAACGACAATACTTGGTATAATTCGGTCACTGGTGAAAAGAGTGACGTTTCGCCCTATGAACAACACTGAACGGCAAATCATATATATATATTATAGCATCACACCGAATAAACCAAACCGAACAAAAAAACCAATAATCATTTTATACTCCATTCTTATTCACTAGTAATGATTATATATTTCTTGAAATAACTACTCAATAAAGAAGAAGTTTCCTATTTAATCACATAACTGACTTAACATAACAGCGGTAAACATTAAATTGAAGAATAAAAGCGCCGACAATAATTTGATAGTAGCACTGTCCATCTTGGAAACAAGTATGCTCAGAAATTGAGTGATAAACATTCGCAAGTGACAGCAACTAGTGTAACCGAAGAATTGATAGGATTTTTCATTGTAAAAATATAAGTTCGCGAACACATCGATGCAGGCTGAAATCTCTCGGCCGATGTTTTATTCTTATGGCAGCGACATTTTATCTCTGATTGGATGACATTTTGTTCCTGTGGGAGCGAAGTCTAAGTCTTGATTGGCTGACATTTTACTACTCGTGAAGCGACGGTCCGTACGACATATGTTGTTGGATCAGCTGTATTGCAACTTAAAACTGGATATTTGTGTTTGCGTGTACACACTATTTATGAAACGTTTAAAGAATCGTCGCCTCTTTTTTTTTTCCGACTCTTTTATGCTCTTGGAGTAGATATTATCAATGGAATGTTTATCACATAAAAGAGTAGTGGTGTTAGTAAAGTGCATTATAAGAATAAGCACATGGCTGGTAATAACATTATTATTATTATTTTTTAGTTTTTTACCCCTTTAGTGCACTTGTTTATTGTAGACATATTAGACATCCAAGGCGTTTAAAAACACTCGCCTGTCTCCTTTTTTTTTTCCTTTCTTTTATCTTTCCGTCTTTTTCTTTTTCTTTCTTTTCTTTCTTTCTTTGCCATACATACCCAATCTCTTCAATGACGGCTTCCTCTTCTTCTTCTGTTAGGTAAGATAGTTTTATGCAGCAGTTATACATACTTACAGCGGAATATAGAGTAGCTGTTCGTGTTAGACCATTAACAGATAATGAAAAACAGCATTTCCAACATAACGCCATTAAATTTATCCCTAATAACCAACAACAAATAGTATTGGATGGAGACAGATCATTCACATTTGATTATGTATATCCACCAACTGCAAATCAAAATGATGTCTATTCAACATGTGTTATACCTCTTCTAAATAAATTTATGGAAGGATATAATTCCACTATTTTAGCATACGGGTAACACAAAAAGTCCAATTAAGACAAGAATTTCTATTGACAATTTAATCAGTCAAACAGGTAGTGGCAAAACATATAGTATGGGCATTGGATTAGACTCAGTCATGAACGCTGTTAATGAAGGCATCGTACCAAGGTTCATCCATTCTTTATTCCAAGGACTTAATGCAAAAAAATCGCCCAATTACTCTTTTCAAGTTTGTGTCTCGTTCTTGGAGCTGCATAATGAGGATCTTGTCGATCTCTTGTGTCCTTCCGCTGTCAAACGTAGTGGATATGTCAGTAATTTAACGATCCGAGAAGACAGCCAAGGAAATATATGTTGGAGCGGTGTCAAAGAAGAGGTGGTTACGAGTCCAAATGAACTCATGGGGTATTAAAAAAAATAGCTTATTTATTTTTCTAAATGTGTGTAACTTATCGTCCAATAGTTTTCTGCAAAAGGGATCTATCGCTCGTACAACTGCTTCAACTGATATGAATAACACTTCCTCAAGATCACATGCCATATTTTCAGTCATTCTAAAACAGGAATACATTATATCCTCTGATACAGACGAATCTGTGGGTGACCCTACCACAAATAAAATACATAGATCACCTTCTGATCAAACGCTCGTCAGTAATTCTTCCACGCCGCATGTTAAGAAATTATCTTCGAAATTTCATTTTGTTGATTTAGCTGGTTCAGAAAGAGTAAATATATCATGATAAAAAAAAAAAGAAGGTACACATTTTTTTTAATTAAATCTATAATTAGTTAAAAAGAACAAACGCCGTGGGAGATCGGGCGAAAGAAGGCATTTCCATAAATACAGGTTTACTAGCGCTTGGAAACGTCATATCTGCTCTCGGGGATGAATCACGTCGCGTGTCTCATATACCCTATCGGGACTCTAAACTCACTCGCCTGTTGCAAGATAGTTTAGGAGGTAACAGTCAAACTCTTATGCTCGCTTGTGCCTCACCATCCGACTCGAATATTACTGAGACATTAAATACCTTAAAATACGCCAACAGGGCTCGTAATATCCGTAATAGAGTCATCATTAATCAAGAAGTCGGTGAGGCTGAACGTCTCAAGGCCACCATCACGCGACTTAAAGAGGAGCTCAGGGGTACCGATGATTTTCTTCGTGCAGTCAACGATGAAATGGACAGTTTAAAGAACCAAGTAGGATCACTTCATCAGGCATTAAATCAAGCGACTGAAGAATTAGCCATGACCAAATACGAACGAGATACTTTTAAACATCAGCTTAATGACGATGGTTCTGAAACAACCGTTAGTGAAATAGGAAATTCCCTTGTTAGAGAATACGCCAAAACAATAGAGTTACTTCGTATAGAATTACTTGAATCTCAGCAGCAGCAAAACATTCATCCAACCGCAAAGCCTTTATTTGTTGATCAAAAGAATTCAACTTTGCAAATCGATCATGTTGACTCCTCTACGACTTTAGTGGCATCCCCTACACATTCAAAGTCATACTTTGACAATCCTGAGAAAAATGATCGTAAAAAAAAGAAACATAGTTATCGGTTCGGTAGTAAACGATTAAAAAGTCAAAGAAGAAGAAGCATTACATTGTTAACCTCCAATAGCAGCAACCCATCTCCTAAACCAGTCAAATCCGCAGCTGATCTTCACATTTTAAATCAAGCAAGAAAAACCATTGAGAGAGAGACTGAATTTTTGGAATCTGCAAAAGTAAGTACATTCCACTCACCCCCCCCCCCCTTGTATTACTGATCAAGTACTTACCCTGCTTTATAGATATCTATTGCCTCTGATAGTTTTTGGGATAACAAGGACCAGGATTTAATGACGGGTCCTAAAGTTTTGCAATATCGAAGAAGAACAGTCGATGTCATTCCCCCCATCTCTGTAGCATCTGCACTCCAAACCGATCATATCAATGAAAACAAGCGTCTCTTACAAAAACTCTCAAACATGATTGAGAGTAAACATCTTGTGATTAGACAACTAGAGAAATCAGAAAAATTACGCACCGAACAAGCTCAGCAGCTCAATCGAAAAATCGCAGACCTACTTTCCAAAAAGACTTCATCCAGTAGCCAATATAAACGTGAGTTAGCAGAGACTCGCTCACAATATGAGTGTCGTATCAAGAAGCAACAGGTCGAATTACAATCACTCCGTCGCAAACACATGCAATTGATGAGCAAAACAGACGGAATGCGCAATCAGAACCAGTCTGTCATTGAACAATTAAATCGTACTGTCGAGAAACTAACACACGAAAAGAAGAAGCTTATCAAACGCTTAAAAATGGAATCAGATCGTGCTAGGGAGAAACACATGGAAAGCGACCGGGAAATGGCTAAACTTAAACGACAGGAAGCTCAATCCGTATCAGCAAAAAAGAGAATGGAAAGAGAACTACTTCAACAAAAATCCGCAACCAAACGTTCTACCGAAGAAATTGTTGCGTTGGGAGGTCAAATGAAACAAATCGCCGCCATTCTCAAAAAAGTCATGTCCAATGGCGGAAAAAAGAAGCCGAATAACAGCGCAATCACTGATAGAAATTTACTGGCAAAAGCAGCGGCTTGTGCGAATGTGAGGGGGTATCTTGTAAAGCAAAGTGCCATAAAGAAATCCGGAGGAAAATTCCAGGTTACTACTTTACAGCAACATGTATACCAAAAGAAGAGATTGATTCATCGGTATGTAACATTTAAAAAGAAACGTTGCTTTTATAGCATAATTTTTTCTAACAAGTATGACAGTGCTATCACTCTATATGTCAGAGGACAATCAAGTAACAAAATTGGCGAAGAGCTAATTCAAAAGGTAATTGAATCAAGAGCCCTTAATTTCTTAAGCAATCGTGTACTAACTCTGATATAAATCAGCGAGATCGCTTAATACAAGAACAAAACGAGCTCTTGACCGAACGGAACTTGGTTCTCGAAGAGGAAACGAAGAAAAACCTATCTATTGATGCCACTATGCCACAATATATGGATGAGCGAATTGATTTAATCACTGTTCAGGTCGACACGCTCAATCAACAAATTATCCGTCTCTCTGAGGAAAAATGTACTGCCGACAGTAGCGATGATGATTGGATGGACGTTGTGGATAAGGAACTTCATATTGGAATGCTAGATGACACTGATTCCCAAGTTGCTTATGAAATTGCTCTTTCGCTTATCCGATCATTAGAACCTGAGGAAGCACGACTTGTTTCAGAATCACTTATGGAAGATATTGTGCAGCTAAAGACAGATCAACAGCATAGTACTACCTCAATCAAGCACTTGGGTTCTATGCTGAACTCACTTCAGACTGGTTTGGTGCAGATGAGGAGAGTAGGCCATGATCAGCAACATGCAAACATGGACTATTTTTCAAGATCTGCAAATTCGGCATTGAATTCATTATTTCTTAAAGTCTTGCAAAGTCCTGTAGATATACAATGCGGACTTGTTTTACCGAAAAATGAGTCCATTTGTTAATATACCTGTATACATTTTTGTAGTTATATTTAAATGCTTATATATTAAAAATTTACAAAACTAGAAAGATGTAATGTAGCTAATAGTATGTAAGATGAAAATCGGTGCTAGTGTGGATTGAATAAGCTAATGTTTGGAACTTAAAGCTATGCCAAAGTTAGCTTAAGGTTTAACTCGAGTAATTTTTTAATACTTTAAATCTTACCCCGATTAAGAAATGTTGTAAATTTTGAAGCAATAGATGTTTTATATGATATGTGACTCAATGTATGGAATACAGCTCTTTTTTTTTTTTTTAAAAAAAAAAAAAAATTGACAATTATATTGAGGCCGTTTACTACGTTTGTAAAGTTACATAAGGAAAACCTTTTCGCCACCAGCATTTACCCATCTTTGAAACAAAGATACTTCCAGAGAATTAAAGCTTTCGCCCGAGTTCCCATCTAATTCACTCGACTTGCTAGAATTATTGCTACTACCCAACAAGACAACATGTTCTGTGTTTGGCCCTAAAATGCTGGTTAGAGGTAAAAATAGACTAAAAGAACTCTGCTGCTATGAAATAATTGATCCTTTTTATATTGCACAACTCTCCTGAGTTTTAAAGATGAGTCAACCTTTCTGGTTTTGGAATAGATCTATACTGTGTTTTCCGCCTTGAGTTAAATGGATACTACTCGTTAGAATTGTTTCCTGTTAACGTTGTCCCATATCAGTGGATCAGGAGCATGGGTATTCATCAAAGTGGATTCAAGGATTTCTGAGGCTTCATCTACGATGACAGCACAAATTCCTAATGAGGAAAGCCAATCCTGATGGGCTGCAGCAAAATCGGCAGTTAGGCCAATCACACGATTATGGCGCCATAGGCCCTCCCATTCAAGATGAATGTATTCTTCTAACTCCTTAGCAAGTTCGACTTGATCTTGTATGATATCGTTAATCTCTTCATCGATGTATTCGATTAATTTTTTTTTCAATTTCATCGATAATCGATGTTCTTTCTCCTTGGTTCAGTTCCCATAGCTGTGTTACAGGTGTTGATTTCCAAATTCGACCTAATTCAGCTTTTAATTCTACACTTGTTCTTAAGGAATATGGAAAAGGCCAATTGGTTGAATCAATAATAGATAAGACAGATACGGGTTGTTTGGCAATTAGCCTGAATCGGTTCCGTATATGGCCCTCCTCTACGATTGGCATTAATAGATGGTCGGTTTTTTTGAGGTAGCGACTTTCCAATCTGTATTGTGCCAAATCCATTATTCTGTGTTTCTCTTGATTGACAGCAAAATCTCCTGTTTTAATATCAGAACCTGCCCATTCTATCCAGCTACAAAGACGTGTACTACCAGGAGTGTTACCACACTGCATAAGATAACTGACCTTTAAGCGTTTAAGGTATGTAGTCGGAGTAGCTGTGCATAATATCTCCGGATCGTGCTCAGTTAGATAGTTGAAACTTTGCTTGAAATAAGGCATTCAGTTTTGTTTGATTTTTGACACATTGGCGTTCCAAGAGTAAAAATTGACCGCGATTAAAATAGGCTTGATGAGTTAATGAGTTGCACGTCTTGATGAAAGCTCTGAATGATATGATTTTCCCGCAAATGTAACAACCCCTGGAATGGTCTTTATTATTTCATTCAAAATGATATCCAATGTGTCCGAAGTCTTCGTAAGAACAAGCACAGGATGCCCCTTGTCTTCCAGAGCTTGACTCATCAACAATGCTAATTCACTGGCAATAAATGTTTTTCCCGTACCGGGTGCACCAGAGATAATTGAAACAGGATGACACATGGTAAATCGAATGGCTTCAAGTTGGTCTGAAGATACAGTGTATGCATTATCTGTCGGAGAAGGCCATTGATTTAGCCCGGGTCTTGCTTTTCGCATTTCATTTTTTACCATTATACAAGAGACATCAATCTCAGCCTGCAACAAATAATTAGGTGTATCTTCTTTGTCAACAATAACTAGTAGATTTTTATCCCATGCAGTTAATTGTGAATCTGACAAGTTATTGCGTGCAGCAAGAATACGAGGTGTCAACACCGGCGAGAACCTATCCCTTTTTAAATCAGCATACTCGTCATGTAACCATGACATAGTAGAAATAGTGGAAACAGCAGCTATATCACAGATAAATAAGGTGTAGGTGCTGGACCACAACATACGACCCATGTCACTTGCATTGATAAGAATAGACACCAAACTGGTTGCTGTACTTGAATCGGAATATATCATTTTTCCCATCATGGCGTATTTCGAAATAGTCATCATTTTCTCGTAAGCAGTTGAAGAATTATGTGACTTTTTAATATCGGGCAAAAGTACCACAAAAGCACCTCCTAGTAATTTATCGATTGCTGTAAAATTTAACGATGGAATAGCAAACACAACTGCAAATTCAAAGCTTGAAACAAGCAAGGTGGTTGACTTTGGTTTAGCCCCGGTTAATACCGCACAATTATCATCAAGTAGCTCAATTTGACCAGAGAAGTAAGCACACATTGAATTTTGAATAGGCTTCACCAATTTTTCATTTAAGGTCCAAAAATGCCATAATATAAAATCGGGTAAATTCATGTCTGGCCAAGACCAAGGAGCAATGGGAAACAAATCCGGCTGGACATCTCTTTTGTTGTCGATCAAGTGGTTCAAAAAACTTGCAGCATCTTTTGTAATTGATTGTGCATTTGGGATAGAAGGTTGTTTAGGATATATGTATGGTATTGTCAATTCTTTTGAAGAATCTGCTAAACTCGTAAATTCGTACACTTTGTTTCAAATTTAAATGAAATTATACCTTCTTCAGTAGTATGGATAGATGTTTCTATTACGGACATGCTACAAATGCTATTGCACACCCATGTATCTATCTCATCATCCATGATGCAAGCAACAGTAAGGTAAAAAGCAAAGATAAAGAATAACGGATTTAAAAATTTGAATTCATCATCATCGAGAAGTCTTATTTATCACTGATAAAATAACACATCTTTGATAAGAAGCTTTATAAAAAAGGAGTTTTTATTTAGTTAATTTTAAATTATTATTAATCATCGCTGAAACAGCCATGTCCATGTTTACAATAAATCGAAGTAAAAGAAAACCTGTTGTTTTGTTAAAGCAACAAGTTTGTCAAATCTTGTTGGTTGATTGCTTAGAGAATTAGATGTATGCCTGATGTAAGGGAGAGAAAGTCTTTAATGCGCTGACGTAGGCATCATCCAGCGTATCATATAAAGTAGCAGCTTCGCCGAACGTTTTGGCGGGACTTAAACGTTGTAAGCAACTAAAGAGAGCATCGTTTTGAGAACTGAGGTTCACAAGATCTGTATGTAGATGGGCAGCGTCAGATGGATCTTTATTAATTTCGTCTTTCTTGGACTGAGCAATCAAGAGAGCAAGTACCGAATTTGAGGTATAATCAGATACAACACCAACACCTGAAGTACCTTCTTGGTCAGTAACAGGGTTTTCTTCAGGAACGCAGCAACTTGTAATGGAAGCTTTCAGTCGGTTTTCTGCGCTTTGTTCAATACGATGAAGATTCTCGTATCCATCAGAGGCATTGAACGAGTAGATCTATACCAAAGCTTTATTTTAATATAAATTTGTGTAAGTGGGAAAACGGATACACATACTGCAGCTTCGAATTTTTTAAACTCTTGGGAAGTAGCCAAAATGTCTTCGAAACAGGTCACTACGTTTTGTTTAAAATCATTGCCCTTAAAATCAACAGCATTTACTAAGATCAAACAAAAAATATAAGCAAAAAGAAAAGGAATTGGCGGTTGTAAATGATCCACAAACCTGAGAGAAAGACAGTGGCAGCGGCAATAAGAAGATGAAAACGCATTTCGAAAAGCAAATAAAGTGTTGTCGAATCTGTTCAAACATTTTTTATACCTGAACAAAAACATGTGGTGCTTGAGAAGAAAAATGTGACTTTTTCCCTCTCTTGCATATTGGTTTTTACAAACAAACGAGACATTCTTCAAAACACGTTCATCAACACAACAGAGTTAATTATTCCTTTTGTGCCACAGCTTTTTTTCTCTACAAAAATAATTAAAAGAGGGGAATAAACATAGCCGTTTTGCTTAAATTCTTGTTTATAAAGTTTCCCTGCAGCATGGTAAAACGCGTCATATTCATAAGACCCCAATATTTGGTACATTGCGTTCTTTAATGGCGCATGATACTGTCATTTAATCGCGCATAATAGTGTTTTTATATGATATTAAAAGTTTTAAGTTTTGAAGAATTGTCGCAACAGACAGAAATTGATAGAATGTTTATTTTTAGGCCTAAAGAATGTCTTAATATAATTAGCTCAAATCGCCTACAATGGCATGAATAAATAAAATAAACTATTTCAGGATTAATTAATAGGAATAAGATTAAGCAACTAGTCTTTAAAATATCCGTTTTTAATTAACTTGTTTATTTGACAGGTAAGCGTATAGTTAAAGCATTAAATGGAATTGTTTAGGTATGAAATTAACCACGGGATGGCGCGGAGTATTTTTATTGTCAATAATAAAAAAATGCGATAATTATGTTATTTATTCTGTAGCTGCAAAAGCATCCTTGGCGACCTTGTAAGACTCTTGGACATAGGATTCATAAGTTTGAACGTCCTTCAAGTACGCAGGGGGGCTATTCTTTACCAAACAGGAAAACAAGGCATCGTTTTGTTTGGACAAGGATTCAATGTCCTCACTGATTTGACTACGGGCTGCTTCATCAATAGTTATACCTTCCTTCATTACTTGCGCAATGACCAACGCATAATCAGTAGCTGAACTGTACGTAGTAATAAGATCAACACCTTGGAGCTTTTCATCCTCTGAAAAGTCTGAGGTATCAGCCTTACAGCAATTGATACCAGCACTCTTCAAGTGACTTTCAATGCCTTCTTTTCCGTGATGGATACTGTCATAGCCATCACCTTCTTTCAAAGAGACCATCTAAAAATTATGAATCAGAAGGTCAGATTAAAATATTTAAATGTCTCATATTAATTGGAGACTTACAGTTTCTCCAAGAGCGTAGAATTCATCTACAGCCGATTTGATGTCTTTGTAACAGCTGATAACGGCTTCAGGGAGAGGCTTGGCATCAGCATCTGGCTTACCAGCGGATTCTGGCTCAGAAGGAGTTTCTGGGACGACGGGAGCTTCATGCTTGTCAGCAGTCTCTGCGTTAGCTAATTTGAAATGACGTTAATATATGCAACACCGTTGGCTATAAAAAGGTACTAACCACAAAGAGCAAAGGCAATGGCAATGAGGATAGCAGATGTTACACGCATATTGAAGAAATAAAATGTTGTGAGAATAAGAAAAATTGGCATAGATTAAGGATATTTATACTATTTTGTTGCGTCTCCCCCACAAGAAACATTCCTTCCAAACCTGACGATTAATGCTGCAAGGTTAAATTAAGCCTTAAATATGCTTAGTGGCAACATTTGTCAAATCGCGTGACACATATTTGTGCTTCCGCTTGAATAAAATTAAGCGTTATGTTGAAAGCATTCCTTCCCTTATGTATTTAGTCATATTAACATTTGCGTAGATATGCGGTGAATTACCAACATTTGATTGGCAGACAAACTAAAATGAGAAAATGCGATTTCGCATTTCAAGCGGAAACTATCTTGATGTGTAATCCAATTGGACCCTTTCCGCCAATTATAAACACGTTTGCTTAAATATATCCTGCTGTATAAAATAACAGGGCATCTTCAACTAATTTGATACGTATCGTATGTCTTTCTGAGAGCTTGTCACAGACTATTCTCATGTGTCAATCCCACACAAACTGAATTTCAAAAAAAAAACTTTCCTTTTACGTCGCTGTTTTACACGTTTTATATACGGTATGGTCACCTTTTAATTTTTGTGAGGAGCAACTTTTTTTTATTATTTTTCAAATTCAAACACATCATGGTAAGCAACGATCTCATATACTGCAAGGTCATGTACAGATACTTAAACAAAGTATAGGACTCGACGCTGTTTCTAGTCCTTTTTCTAGGCGCGTTTGGGCTCATCGTATTCACATTACTGTTTGGTGAAGGACCATCATTGAGGTAAACAACAAAAATAGTGGCGTTAAACAAACAATAACTAAATCGGTACAGACATGGACCTGTAGGTATATTCAACCGATTTTTGACCGAAAAACTACCCCGAGCAATCAGGTAAGATAGGTACTTGGAAACAAACGAGAAAACAAAGGCTTAAAATTTTTGGACCATGATATAGTTGGACACTTTTGCATACTGTTGGACAAGGCAATGTAAATCGTTTGGGTAGAAGTTGGGCGTATTGCTGTGAAAGCCGCAATCCCTTTTTACAGGTTTGCATATGTGTGTACGGATGTTATATAAATTCTAATTTTGGACGGTTATGTAGATTTTTTTTGTTCTCTTGTCTTCTGTGTCGATCGTTTTGTTCTTGTATAATGCATTGCCACATATACCTGGACCCTACTTACACAAGATTCACTAGTATGTCAGCGTAGATATAAAAATATGTGAGTGTGACTAACAATATTACAGCTTATTTATCCCAGCTCAAATCATCAGTCTCTATGTGGTGTATTATTTAGCTTGTTCAGCTGATCCAGGCATCATTACCCATGAAAATCTGGAGAAACATTTAGACTATTACAAGTACGATGGATTAATTTATAAGCCAAAAACATGCACAACCTGTAAATTACAGAAGCCTGCTCGATCCAAGCATTGTTCGATGTGTAAGGCATGTGTGGGTAGGCTGGACCACCACTGTGCCTGGGTCAACCGATGCGTTGGCGAAAACAACCAACGTTATTTCTTTTTGTTTTTATTTACACTGGTAGAGTTCTGTGCCTATGGTGCCTATTTATGTTTTGAGGTGTACCGTGGGATGATTATTGAATGGGGATTAGATCAAGCACTCGTTCACGATACAAGAACAGGTGAAAAATCAGTGGTCACTTTTCGTAGAGCATTTTTGGTATGAAATTGACTTTTAACCAAATGTGTACATGTATTTTCTCACATATCACCTACCAGTATGTACTCCACATTGATAGGATAATCGGCGCCATTGGTATACTAGCCGGAGTTGTTTCCGCAGTCGTGTTTATATTTTTTGTATATCAGTTAGTATAGGAGCCAAAAAAAAAAAAAAAAAAAAAAAAAGGTTTCTAATGCAATTGTATAGATTGTACTTGGCGGGAAGAGGTATCACTACTAACGAAGCATTTAAATGGGAAATGATTGAAGAATCTGTGGATAGAGGCGAGTTATTTAAAATTGTGCCTGTGAAACCCACTGCCAACACCACAGCCTTGGCAGAAAAAAATTATACCAAGAGATACAACAAAAAGACCAAGGAGGAAGAACATGTGGAAGAAAAGAAAATCGAGAGTTTTGAAGAGATTGAAAATATCTATGATAAAGGGTTTTTGGGTAATTTGAAAGAAATCTTTCTTCCTCCCAATTTTAACTAGTTTCCGTTTTTGGTTTTTATGTGTATAAAATAAACTTTTTTCTTTTAAAACTTTTTTTTATCTTTTTCTCTTATAAACATACAAATTTCAAAAGAAAAAAAAAATGATTGGTACTTGTTGTCTTATTTTTATTATCATCCTCCTTCCTCCTCTTGGTGTCTTCTTCATGAAGGGTTGTGGTGCCGACTTCTGGATCAACGTGTAAGTGTATTTTATATTTTATTCTTAGAAGAAAAAAAAAAAGGGAAATGGATTACGCTTCGAGAGGTATTGATAAATATGTTCAATAGCTGTTTAACCTTGTTGGGTTATCTTCCTGGTCATATTCATGCCTTTTACGTTCTTGTCAAAGAAAGAGAAGAAAACGGTGCAAGAGCAACAATCCAACAAGGCCAAACGTACGGTGCCGTGCCTCCCTCTTAAAATTAACTTGTAACACGAAACTAAATGTTACAAAAATGAATATATCTTTATTCACACCCTTATCTACTTTTTAATAAACGTAATACCTTTCTTCTTCTTCTCGTTGATGTATAAATCGAAACATTCGATTGTTTTTATGCATTTTTAGTTCCCCTACGTCATTTTTACGACATCTTGGCATCGCCCAGAAATTCCCGGACTTTCATTGGATGCCGGCACTTTGATGTCAGTGCCTGAATTTCCGCGTATCCGGCAATCATTTTAACTGCTCTTCTTAGTGATAACCAATTTTTCCTAGGAGACAGCCAAAGTGCACGTAGTCTCAACGTAAGATCGTTACGACTACCTGCACTCTGTCCATCCCTAAGAAAAATAGCTGTCCCTAACCGTACATACAATCTTAGTTTTTCGCCTGCTAATGGATCATTTACTCAAACTGTATTGCGAACCATGAAAGAGAGTCAGCATATTCTTGTTTTCTACACCAGATAAAAACGCCAGACTTCCTATAATTAAGCCAGCTGCGGTTGACGGGTGGTATGGATTTGGAGCTTTGTTCCTGACCTAAATCGTTCTTAAAAGCGTTGTTTCAATATCTTGGATTCCACCGTTTACTTTTTAATGCAAAGCCGTATCCTGTAGAAGACTTGAGACAAAATGACAGTCTTTTTAAAGTTAAGCTCTTAAAGAGATCTTTGATCTTAATTATTACTGCTTGCCTTTGCCATTTAGAAGTAATTTCTGGGCTTTTTCCATGTTTTGGGTTTGAACATTTTCAGGCTGGGTTTTGAACAAGTAACACAAAGTAGGTAGTCAAACTAAACTTTGACTCAATAAACATGCTGTTTGAGCATTTCAAAGCGTCAGCCTTTTTTTTTTTTTGGCAGCATCTGGTGTAGCAATTTTGGGCGGAAGTATCATCCAATGAATTCCCCGGATCTATTACGCCAATTAATGACGTCAAAATGATTTTTAAAAAGTTGTTTACCTCTCCACCTACGCCCTTTTCTTTCTTTTCCTTATGCACAATTCCGAGTAAACGCTGCTGTTAGGTGATTCTAGCATGTACGTCTCACTCATTTGTGTACCTGCTTCACCTCTTCCTACCTTCTATCTCTAAGCAAGCGTGGTTATCTTCTCACAAGGTAAGCTCATTTTTTTTCTTTTTCATCTAGCTTGTACGAGGTAGTCGAGTTATTGTAGGTCTACGGACAGTCGACTGTCTGGAGAAGGTGTTTTCAACAAACGCCTTCACAGATACTAGGCGCAACGGAGCTGACATGGCGCGTGGGAGATCAAAAGGACACCGTAAAACCGCTAGTACGGACCTTCTTGTGAATCTTCCTAGTTGGGCGACCTTAACTCTATGAAAGGTGTGACATGCTTTTTTGACCACTTTCCAACGATTGTGTCCCTTTTTGAATTGTCATGTAAAGCACAAAAACGGGAGAGTGCAGACAGAGACTGACTTCCACGCAGTTGCACTTGGGCAATTTTCTTTTTACAGGAAATTGGCGAACAGGTCTCTAAACTTTTATCTTTTAATAAATCTTTCTTTTTTTTTTGTCTTCAAACTTGCCACATCTTTATAAGACTACACTGTGTTAACGTTGAATCTTTTCGTAAAGTAGAGATTTGGTTACGAAAGTATATGTGTGAGTAATTCGGTGCTTATTTTGATCAAGTTGAATCTGCTGCACCAACAGATTAATTAGCAGGTGGTAGTGATTGATCCGTATTTATAAAGACATATTAATCTTAAAATAAACAATGAGAGGTTGGATGGAATATAACAGTAAAATTTAAAGCTTTAAAGGTTAGGATCACTGATAAAGACCATAGTTAAATTAGAAGTTTCCTGTGAATAAAAATGCTATGGCTTTCAGTCACTAACCAGAAACAAGTCATCCAAGTCAAAATTTACTAGCAGTGAACGTAGTATATATATGTCTAGACCTATATGGATGTCGATAGCAAGAACGAAAGCGAACTTTTTCTTATTTTAAAACGGATGTACCCCATCTACTAAAGGCACAGATAAAACATTTAAATTTAAACAAAGTTATAGTACTCTCAATGAGAATGTCGAACTAATCTGATAATCACCAAGAAATTTACATTTAGTGTTATCATCAACATGTGGACATGTTCTTTAGCTTGTATGAAATAGAATATTTGATTTTCAAATAGGGATTAGGGCCAGAGACTTGACTTGTTTATGCCTCCGCGAACCTTTCAAACAGCGCGTTTTATAAAGACCAGTTTTTATTTATTTTTTCGCGTTCGTTTTTCTTTCTCTTAACTATGCCAGAAACCAGCAATTCAATAAGTTCTGCCGTTTTTGGCCTCCAGGATTCTTTACGCAAACTTCAAAAAAATTGCACCAGTCTTCAAAAGAACTCTGACGAAAAAAAGCCTAACGGTATATACATATGAAAAAAAAAAAAGCAAGCTTTATTATATTACCTTTGCATCTAATTACAAAACGACAAGAACTTCACGCCCTTGGTACCATTAACTTAGATCGTGCCAGAGAAGATTTTTCTCAACACATAAATAGTATTCGAAATGTCTGCTCGCAATTCGAAACTGAGGTTTTAGGCGATGTAATGAAGATGGGAGTGGGTGCCGATCCTGCCTTTCGTAAACATTTTACCCATTTAAAAGTAACCCTTTTTTTATAATCATTATTTTTTTATTTATCTATTGACACTATATATCTTCTTTGCTAGGAACAAGCTGCTCTTGAAAGTACTGTAATGCGGGTGAAAGAAGCCTTAAAAACAACTAAAGAGTTCTTTGAAAAATCCTTGCGCGAAAAGGAAGAATCAAAATCAAAGATCGAGACACAGCGACTCGACGAATTGGCAGGGTCAATGGGGTAAGCAAATATTTCATTTGTTCGATATTCAAGGCTAAACAACATTTAATCCCCCCAAAAAAAACTAGCTTGATAACGTATGTAGACTCTGAGCTGAAAGTGGAGTCTGGAATACCTATTACTACAATTACTTTAGGTGGAACAGACATTGTCGTTGATGTAAGTCTCGAACGATACATGTGTCAATTAAGAGGAGAGAATCATTAAACAAAGGAAACGATAGATTGATATGGACGATACTGGAAGGGTGTTAAGAGCAAAAGTGACGTATGTATCAGATACATTACAGAATGACCAGGATGATAGAGTGGATAAAATGCTGGCAGAAAACCTCCAATCTCGTAATTTCGATTTATTCACCAGAAATTTAAAAAGTTTGGCCCTTCTCGATCAACTCAACATAAAATACCCCTTTGTCAATTTCTTTTCAATCACAAAATCTTTGTTACACGATTTAAAGACGATTTGTCAAAGGGAGATGTAAGTGTATCTTATATTACAAGAAAGGAGTGGCTTACATTTGTATTATTAGTTCGATGGAATCAGATTTAACAACAGTGCTATTAGAAGGACACGGCATTCCCAATTTACATTTGGATTATCCTGGAATTTCGATAGCCTACTGGATGTGCAAACAAGCCATTGACAGCAGCCAGTGGCATGACATCAAACACGCATTCCAACAGGGTCAGAACCATCCCGCCTTATCTAACGCATCTAAACTACTGATCACGTTTGAAGATTCGATCCAGCCACAAAGTTATTTACCACCTTCAAGGTCTGGCTATCTACTGCAACCTAACGAAACCGAAGAATCGATTAACGAAGGGTAAATTCTAAACTGAATTATACAACAGCTTAAAATTTTAAATCTTTTTATGTGTAGTGGACGTTTCAAAGTAGTGACAGAAACATCTGCACCGAAATTTATGCCTCATTTATCATTTGTCAAACCATTGTCAGCGGAGCATCAACCTATACCTATTCGATATGTGGCCACTTTAGATCCACCCATGCCTGTGTCGGACGAAATCTCTCAAAAACTAATGACTTTGACGGGTTTAGTGGTAGACGCGCCAAAAAGTGCTGTTGCTGATGCAAAGACAAAAGCATCAAACAGGACATTATCCTTAGAAGAAATGTTGGTCATGGATATCGAAAAGGATGCCTTCAACGATGCCCATTCCTGGGTATCCGTAAGTGTCATATTACTATCATATAAAATGGTTACCATATTAACATTCAAATCTAGTCTTCGGATGACATTCCAGATCAAACCTATAAATGGATCCAAGCATCGCCCAAAAGAGCAAAAATGGTGTCACGAATCCCCTTTCATCATCCTGTACAAATTTATAATATTCTTCAGGTACACACATGTATAAAAAGCAAAGGAATTATACAGGTTTCACTGATATCAAAAATTATATAGTGCCTTCGCCAACAGCAAATGTTTAATACCTTATTTAAAAGTGTGTTTAATACAGACAATTTCAAAAAAGAAGCCAGCCAATTCATTAGACCTATCTCACTTTCATTGAGTGATATATTATCAGGTAATAGCTGTTCTTCTCGTATCTATAAAGAACCGTATTCCAAAAAAACTAACAGCATGATAGAAGGTAAAAACGATGACCGTGGCGTTGTTGAAATTGCAACCATTGATGCACCCAATTCTATCCACATGACACTATCACCACCTGCTTTACCAAACCAACTCTTTATTATGGTTTCAATTTCTATTGACATACCTGTAGATGATCCTACCAAACCTGTCATCCGCTTACATCCACCTTCTTCTGCCAAGACACACTGCTGGAACCCTCGCGTGTTCGATGAGGAAAAGTTGACGGAGATGGTACAGGACACACACGATATCTGTGCTTTTATCAGGTGGCTTTATGAAAGAATGGCCAAAACAGACGCATATATGATCGAACGTCGTAAAAGATCATACGCAGCTTATGATGACAACGATGATCATCGGAAGAGTATGAAAATGGAGACCGATTAAATTTATATATATTTATTATTTTTATTTTTTATTAAAACAATCCATTAACCAATTGTTGTTTTCTACGATGAATCATGTCCTTTTCACTAGTAATGATTTCGGCTACATGATGATCTCCTAATTCACTAGGATCGGTAGTACTGTTTCCTCTATTCTTATGGATCCAGACTGCCTGTCCCTTCTGATGATTTTCAGAAATTTCTTTTACCCAGTCTCCAATTGTCTTGGCTGCTTGTTGTGCCTCAGGTAAGAAGGGCATCATCTGAAGGAATGCATGACTGATACCCTCTAAAAACTTGACTCGAACACCATCTCCGCTGGGGAAATCCTCATCCAATGGGTTATCTTGTCGATATTTGCGTTTTGCTTGTCGAATGCGACCTGCAAAGATAACAGTATCATCTACCAACGGATCTTTCTCACCACAAATCATGTAAGTCTTGGGAAATTGTGCTAAAAGATCTTCGGGTGCGTGCACAGGTGATAAAAGGTAATCGGCTTCAAAATCTGGTGAAGCATGAGGTCCTAGATATACTTGTATGAAAAGAGAATTAGTTTGTTTCGTTTTTACATTGAAATAATTTCTTACAAATAGCCATAGCTCTCATCTATTTTATAAACAAAAGTCAATTATAGGCTTCTTATTAAATAAATAAGCGGTATCTTACCAAATCAGGTGTGATCACTCTGTCATTAAAGAAACTCATTCTACTGGTCATGGCAAGTCGAGCTGTAGCCCATGAATCTTTTGTCTGGATTTGATCTCGAATAGGATGTGCTCTATCTGCCATACGCTGCTTCAATGTAGGCTTGATACCCAAGGCACGCTTCCATAAACTCTGTTTCTTTTCTAAATCAGGTACAACACTCAAGGGACTAGCATGACTTAAATGATCCTTTGTCTGCCAAATCGATTCTAATGAACTAGAACGGAACAGGCTTGTATTTGATTCAGCACGAATCAAAGACAGCTGTGAATGAGACATCCAACACGACATTTCAAAATCAAGACAAGGATAAATCAGAACAAGACCGATGGGAACCTGGATATGAATAGAGTCGAGATATGTTGATGTAGTTTGTTCCGGAAGACCATCTTTCAAAGCCAATTGTTGGTTATGAGCAAGGATCTTGAGCGTTACTGCTGCAGTAATGTTACCTCCACTAAATTTATGTTAATATTCTTAGCTGATCAATTTTCTTGAGGATACATACGCAGAGTCACCGAGCAAAATAATATTAATGTCCTTTTCTCCAGAGAGTCCAATGACTTTTCCTTTACTTTCGATCAAGGCAATATAAATATCAAAACATTCTTCGATGGGCCAAGGATAAGGATATTCCGGTGCCTTTTTGTAATTCACACTCAATACGGGGAATCCTGTATGTTTAGCCCAAGTAGCTAATGCATCTTCATGACAAGGAGGAGGCATTGACACAAACCCACCACCAGGGAATTGCAACAAGATAGTATCGTGATCAGCAAAAGTCTCCTTTTTACCTGTATAATAACGGTAAACCTCAATCGGCGGTAAGTCCTGATGATAAAGAGGTCGATCTACAGACAAAATATCCCGTATAGTTAATCTTGGACGAAGTATCTTGGAAGCCACTTCCAAGATGGGATTCTGAGCAACCTTTTCCCAAGAGTTACGCATCTGTTCGATAGAAATGGTAGATCGAAAGCGTCTGACTTTCTCCTCTGCGGCATCGGCAAAAACGAGGTAATAGGCTGAAAATAAAATGGATAGGATGTGTCGTAACCACACGGGTTTGAATGGCATCGCTGTGAAAAAACCGGCATCCAGTGCTGTCAAGATCCATGTTGCACGATAAAAACTACGTTTGTACTACCATGAAATAGATAGATGAGCATACCTCACCCCTTTTCGCAATACACTCTCTTTTTTATTTATATCTATGTCTTACCAATCTTGCAAGAGGATCAGGTGCTATTGGTAAGGGTCAATAAAAATTACCCGTGATCCCTATTTTTTTTTTTTTGTGTGTGTGTGTATCTACGTTACCATTTAAACCGACCAATAAAAGAATATTTTCTGAAAGATAGTAAAACATCCAGGACGCAAGCGCAATTCTCCAAGGAGAACCACCCACTATTGAGAACAATCAGTATGCCTTCTTTATAAATAACAGATAAAAATACATACCGATTTTTTTATTCAAAGTTTGCAGTAAGGTGGGTAACTGTCTTGTTTTACCATTTACAAGAAAATGCCATCTAACAAAAAAAAAAAAATTAAATACCAGATAAAAGAAAATCTTTGTTTGTATAAACACGTACCCAAATAATAACGTTAATAACACCTGTGTTCTTTTCCAATTTACTGACGGTCTTCCCACTAAATGATCCAACATGTTAAAAGTGTGTGTGAGAGAGAGAGAGGAAAAAAGAAAAAAAAAGAAAGGGTTATTTTTTTTTTGTTTTTTACCCCGGATTCTCTATCACCGTCTAAATCCTTTCACATGCCAAAGATAGATCACACGGTACATACCCTCTGAAGCATGATGTTGCACACTTCAAAATAGCAGTCCCAATTTTTTTTTGGAAATGAGCTTAGAGAGTAGTTAATTCATGCTTTTTTTTCACACAGAGTCTAAATGGGATGAAAAAAAAATCTATTTTATTAAATTCGCATATTATATTCGTATTCTTCTCTTGTGTTTTGAGCCACCCATAATACAATGGTACTACATATATAAATTATTTGTTTAGCATGATTTCCCTCTTTCTTTCACTCTTCAATTTACCTCAACATAATCAATCCATTCTGTCCTACGCCAGCGATACCATAATTAATATAAGGTTGCGCAGAATCCAAATGAACAATGTACTTGATAATCAACACACACTACATTCCCAAATAATCATATAAAAAAATTAGTTGTCTCCCAATTATACATGTACAATACAACTTACACAAGATCCAGCAAAACCTCCGGCAATTAATGCAAATCCGAGAAACAAAAAGAGTCTTGCTTTCCAAACAAGTCCCGATCCAGCATATGAAAACGCCTCACCCTGCAAACGACTTTTATCGATCAAGTTGATGCTATGTAACTTAACAGTAAATATTTTAACGAGCTACGAATATTTCGTAAAAAAAAACATGTATATACTTTACACAATCATACCAAACGTGGTCAAAATACCGGAAAACCAATCCTCAAATCCCATTTTACTACTTCCATTATATCGAGCAGAGTTGATGACTGCATCAATGAACACCCACCAACCTATGGCAAGCTATTTTTATAAAAAACCATTAGAATGTATAAAAAGGGGGGAGATAATACTCACCAAACCACCAGAAAGGTAAGCGCCAATCTGTCTACCTTTACGAGATAAAAAACGCAAAGGGTTTCTAAAAACAAATATCGATTGAGATTCATCGTCATACATGTTCGTCTGCATTCTTTTTGTATTGTTGGGCTTTTATATTAAGAATAACAATAAAAAGTTGCCTTCTTGAGAATTATGTGAGATTTTTAAAAAAGAAAAAAATTATTAAAAAGATGACGTAAAAACTTGGATTTGGTAAGCCATTGATCACACCATTGAAAAGTATGTTATTGAAGACGGTACATGTAGATAGAGTTTATGCAAAAGGTGTTTCGCTTTTTGAGTATCTACTGATGTCTGCACAATATTCCATATAGGATATAAAAACCAGTAACAAGCAGGATAACTACTTTCATTAGTCCCTTTTCCCGAAATAGCACATGAAAATAGGCACGAAAATGTCTGAAAAAACGAAGCCTGTGTCATAAAACATACATCGCTGGAACTGATGTTATGTATCAAATTACTATCAGATAATGTGATCAGTCATAGCAATTTGACGCAAATACCTGTTGATATGGCGCAAAAGCAGGTTTCATTCTGCCGAAAAACAAATCTCTAATCATCAATTATTATAAAAGAAATAATTAGACCCAACAAGTGCTATAAAAAAGTTGACTGATTATAGATCATCTTCTCGTAACATCTATTTAGGTCATAGAAACATAGTTTTTATAGTACGGTACTGATACATTTTGTATGCTCACTTTGTCATTGTTTTTCACTCATGCATTCTTTAAGAACCTTTTATAGATGTACTTTCGCTACAGCATTGTCTGTAAATGGTGTTACAAAATTTGGGAATCTACAAATAAGTTAATATTGAAGTAATAATAGTGTTTATCACCATTAATTAAGATTGGATATAAATATAAATTCTTCTTCGTGTCATAGACAAACACACTTAAAATAACCTCTATGTTGCTATAGATACGTGGGTTGCTAATTCCGACGACTGTGCAGCCGATTTTGAGATTTCAAAATCTACGTACAAGCTCTTTGATAACACTAATTATTTATTTTTTAGACAAAATAAAGACATAGTTCGGAGCAAAGAGCTGACCGGTTTATAGTACATCCTGTAATGATCGTAAGTCTTTACCACAGGTACTATAAGCAAACATGCAGAGCCTAGTGACGGTCACGCTGAGCTGTCAAACCCGGGCTTTTAAAAAAAAAGTACAATTTTTTTATGGGATATTTAGCACAACCCCCCCTCCCCTTGTTTTTTTTCCCTGTAACTTATATTTGAAAAATGAGAAAGCCCATTTACAGTTTATCAAGAAAGTTGGGACGTATGTCCTGGAATAAATACAACTTGTACAACATTGCACACAAGGAACTTCCCAACTTCAACAACAAGACTCTTTTCCAACAGAAATGGATCGCTAAAAGAGAGACTCGTGCTTACCATGGTGATGAAGTGACAGAACGTCAATTCAAGAATAAATTCTTTGATCCCAAATTACCTACCGTTCATTCTTCAGCCGATGCCGGTCAAGCCCATCCTCCCGTCGCTGCTCTTACCTTTGCCGAATTAGAGCGTCGTTTAGATTTCGTTGTTTTTAGATCAAACTTTTGTCCTTCCATCTACGCTGCTCGTCAGTTGTGTGTTCACGGAAAGGTTTTGGTTAACGGTAAAAAGGTAAAATTAGAGCAGAGATAATTCTTAGTAAAGAGGTAGATAGACTAATGATATCATTAGTTGGCCTATCCTTCCCACAAGTTAAAGGATGGTGATGTTATTTCAGTGGATCCTCAAGCTATTCAATTTTTGAAGGGAGAAAAGGGACAAGAATTAGATTTCACACCTAAACCATTCTCACAACCCTTCTTATTCGTACCCGAATATCTCGAAGTCAACTACAATACTTGTCAAACAGTATTCTTAAGATCACCCATTTCTAGACCTGGACGTACAGAAATCCCTTCACCTTTCTCCCCCGAGATGCATTCACTCGCCTATGAATTCTATGCTCGTCGTAGTAAATAAATTAATAAAAAACTGTTATATATAAAGGCTTTGTTATTTTTTTTTTTTGGGCATTAGAAAGTTTTCTTTATTTTATGCAAAAAAAAAAAACTTTTTGATAACTGAGAGAATAGGTTGTTTATTGACGAGCAGCAATTTCCTTAGCTTCCAAAGCAGCACGCTTGGCCATCTTGGCGTTGGACTTAGGACCCATAATTCCACCACCCCAGTGACGACGGACATCTTCCCACTTCTCGGTGAAGTTGGTGTTGACGGCAGAGACGATAGTAGCGAGTTCAGCCTTATCAGCATCAGAGACTTCGGTCAAGACAAGAGCAGTAGCGGTCTTCTTGTGGACAAGAGTACCGAGTCTGGCCTTACCCTTAACAATACAGTAAGGGATACCCATCTTACGACAGAGGGCAGGGAGCCAGAGAACCAACTCAATGGGGTCAACATCATCAGCAATGACGACCAACTTGGCCTTCTTGGCTTCAATGAGAGCGGTGATGTGGTTGATACCATACTTGACAACAACGGGCTTGTCAGTCTTGGCAACTTCCTTCTTCTCGGCCTTGGCAGCAGCGGCGGCACGGAGACGATCACGCTTCTCGGTCTTGGACTCAGGTCTGTACTTGTGCATCAACTTGAAGACTTGAGTGGCAGTGTTCTTATCCAAAACATGAGTGAATTGGTTAAGAGCAGGAGGGACCTTCAAACGTTGGTAGATGATCTTCTTTTGACGTTGAAGCTTAACATATTGAGGCCACTTGACGAAACGAGAGACATCACGCTTGGGTTGAACATCTTGACCAACACCAAAGTTCTTGGGGGTCTTTTCGATCAAAGGGTTAGCAGCAACCTTAGCGGCTTGCTTTCCCTTGACGGGATAAGGAGCGGGAGCAACCTTCTTTCCAGTGGACTTCTTGGTGGTAGGAGCCTAATCGCTTTTAATTAATATACGCATGTCAAAATGTTTTTGAAGTCCCCCTCTTATAATGCGTGTGTGAGCATAAACTAAATTTCCCCCCATCCATCCATCGTTGTAAATTTTATCCATCCATGCTGTTCGATGCTTATTCTTTTCTTTCTTTTTTCATCTATCGTCATATCTATGCTCACACGTTATATCCCATCATTCTCGGTTATACTTTACCATATTGAGATGTATGAAAAAGAGAAGGTTTTCACTGTCGCTTGGCCTACATATTACTTTAACCCTTTGGCCTACAGCTCTAAAAATGGGAATTCAAAAAAAAATCAAGTCCGACCCGGACAAAATGCCCCACATTCTGTAACTGGATAATTGGTGTTGCACACTTTGAAATTATTGATGCCTTTGTATTTCCTTTAACGCTTTTCTTAGGGACAGCCAATTTTTCCTTAGGGACAGCCAAAGTGCACGTAGTCGCAACGAAAGATCTGTGATTTGGATGTTCTGTAGACCTGGGAACAAGGATATACAATCAAAAACAATGTAGCAATTACGAATAAATGTATATTAAACGATTTATACTTATTTTGACAATTCTATCTTCTCTTTTTCGCCTTTGAGCTCGTTTGATCTTAATCTTACGCAGCAATATTAAGGTAAAGTCCAAACGAGAAGCTGAAAGTAAGTTGTAAAACATATATACTGGTCTACACTATGTTGGTTTTAATAAACGTGTATATATTTCAAGTTGTTAAGTTATATTGACCTCTTGGTGTCTATTAAAGTATCATAATCCCAACATTACGACTACGCGCACCCTGGCTGTCCCTAAGAAAAATGGCTGTCCCTAAGAAAATTTGGCTGTCCCTAAGAGACCCGTTCCTTTAAAAAGCGCCTTGTCAAGAGATGCATAATATCTCGGAATTAACCCAAATAAATGACCATTTGACAGAAGTACGTGCCTAAGCCCGCCCACTTCTTGCGCATACTTGCTTCTTTAATTACCGAACTTGTGGTTTCATAACGTAAAGGAGGGGGTGAATTGTTACATATCCATGTCGACAAAAAGAGGATTATTTCTCTCTTTAAAGGTTGCTGAGCACATCCTGATAAAGCAAATAATGCAGATTCCAGAAATACTTTTGAGATGGAAAGCAGCCTTATTGTTCACAGGCATTTCTAAAAAAAAAAACTCCCCGGAATTCCTCTGGGATCTAATCTTGAAAAGATAAGACTTTAGTATAGATGTAAGCTGCAAGTAAAAATAACAATCGATGTTTATAAAACATCAGGATTCTGTAACCATTGCGGAGACTGATTCGTTTTAAATAAAGTGTGTGGATATACCTATATAAAAAAAACGTGTTTTTTACTTCAGAATTAATGATGTCAATATAATCTTTTGAGTATGTCCAATTCAGACATATTCAAGATACGACAATTTTGCCGTTACCTCCCCTCATGGTAATAAGGCACATACGGCTTTTTTCATGTACATTTATCAAATCCGAAGAAATTATATTAAAAAAGTTACCGGCATTTTCTTTCGAACAATAAGCCAAGCGAGTGTTCTTTTTTTTTTTTTGTATGTGGATGAGCCATAACATAATGTACAAAAAATGATATAATGTTGTTTCTGACCATGATTGCAAATATAGCCATATAATCATTCATGGAGTAGCTTTTATCCTAAAAAGAAAACAAATATGGGTTTCTAGAGTGTATCAAATTCTGCACTTTAAATGCATTCACCAATGTCTTGTATATGCGAGTTCCCCTCCCAAATACAAATATGAATGCGAAATATATATATAAAAATAACATTCTGTATTTTATAACAATAGATGAAACTACATTAGATAAACCCAAAACATGAATTTCAAAGGTAGTCAAAAATCCAATGACGCATATAAGAAGAAATAAAGGAAAAAGAGTGCATGATGGGTAAAATTTCGATAAGGGGTCATCATTAAAAAAGACTATAGGGACGATTTATAAATGTGGGGAATAACTGCCTTACTTTTTTTTTTTCAGTATTATTATTAATACACACCATTATTTGTATATTTTATTAATTCATAGAGGCATATGGGGTACAGTGAAGATTGAAAGAGAATATGTATAGGCCGTTTCCGGCGAGAATAATTAAAAATATAAATGTATCTTTTTTTGCAAAGTAGATAGTAATAATAAAAAAGAAAAAAAAAAGAAAAGAAGTGTGCATGTTAGATGGGCGTAGTTTTTTCATAATCGTAAAATAGAGTTGAATCATAATAGAGAAAAGTACTGTTGATCCGATAATAAATCGTATGGGATGATGTCTTCATCCTTCAGACATAAGGAAAGTATGGGTGAATGAGATGGTGTGATGTATGATATGGGCGAGCATGTTGTTGTGGATGATTCTACTGTCTGATTATCGAAAAAGTCCAACCAGGAAGGCCATTGTGAATTATCTACGACGGGGTCCATGATATTTGGAAATATGTCTACTAAATCAAACTGCACTTGATCGTCTTCTTCGTAATTGTATGCTCTCTTATTATTTACTTTAGGTAAGGATGAAGACGAGCTCGTTGGTGATGGATAAATGGGTGTGTCCTCCACTAGAAATTGATCCATTAAAGCATCAAAGTCTATGGCAGGTAATAAACAGCAATTGATTTGTTTGATAATTGAAATGCTTTTGTACAGACTTATTTTATCTACTTTATCAAGATGAATTGAAGTAGCTAACGTGAGTGATGAGAAAAATACATTGTACAAATATTTCTGTTGCCCCAGGTCGACCATTCGTTCAGATATATGAATGATGGTATTTGCTGCAGTGGTACATATACTGGTACATAGACCACTATTATGGCTGCTATTATTATTTAACATGATTTGGACAGTGTGATAAAAGATACGATATAATTTAGCAAGTGCCGATGGTTCCCCTGCTGTCGGCTTCCCATAATCCAAATAAGAGGGCAATTGCAATAACCATTCAGTTAATTTAGATTCAAGCTTATTGACATTGTCTCCATTGCACATGTCGGCAACAATGTTTGACAGGCGAATCATTTCGTTAAAGGAATTGATCTGTAAAGCAGACTCGATTGAGAAATAACAGGTATTAACCAATAACTTTTGTTCTTGTTGTTGATGATGTAGAGCAAAAAGTTGATTGTCTTCCAATTGAGGCCATTTACAATCCCAAGATTGAGTCAGTAGCCTTTCACCACCTGTACAACTTGCCAGCCACTGGTCAATCACAAACGAGACCCAAAATGCACGTCGCTTCATTTCAATGTAATGAGTATCTTTAGAATTATCAGATTCGTAACCAAGGTTCATTTCAGTAACCAATTGTGCCAGTTGGTGACGGAGCGAGTAGCACTTCACCATATCACCTGCAATATAAGTATACCAGCACATGATGACAACGGCCTGAAAAAAAGAAGGGGGTTAGCTATCTGGGATAAACAAGAGGGAGTTATTTGTCTATTTACCTGTACAGTTGTAATATCAGGTATGGTAATAAAGTCATTCGATAAACCAAGAAAGTGCTGATACAGCACTTTTTCCTGTTGTATATCTTTATTTTCTAATCTACAACCTAATAAAAACACGGCGAATTTTAAGAGTGGGTTTAATTCATCTCTTTCAAGCTGAAAGGCAAATTGAGGTCTTGACAAGATGGGGAACATGAAATTGAAATGATTAAAAAAGTTCTCGGTCCATATGTCTTGGTGATGAAAAATGAGCTTTTCTCTTGCATTGAAAAGCACATCTTCTGTCATTAAAAAATCGTACACTATGCCATTGCTGCCCTAGAGGATAGTCATAAGAATGGACCTTATCAGTGTTCTAATTCTTTTTCAAAATATATATATATATGTATAAAACGTACGTGTACTAGGGCATTATCTACTGCGCCAGAAATCAAACAAAGCAAAGCATTTATCGGTTGATCTTTTTTGATGATCAAGATTTGTTGTTGTTGCTTATTTTGTTGATTTCCTAAAAGAGACTCGATTCGATGCGCTCTACTTTCAATGACTTCAACATAGCCTTTGGGTGGGCCTCGCTTTTTGGGAGGGTCTGAATATTGACAACAATTACCGATGGATTGACATCTGGAACAAGAGGGTTGAATTCCATCACACTTGACTTTCTTTTTACGACAGATAACGCAAGCAAGAGTGACTTTCACACGCTTTGGTGCTTGTTCGTTGACTATTTTGGACATGTAAAAGAAAGAAAAAGAATCAGAGAAAAGGGGGAAGAGAAAGAAAGAAAAGAAATAGGGAAAGAATGGGTTAAATACTAATATACACAAAAAAAGAAAGGGGTAGAATACAAGGGATATGACCATTTGTTTATTACGCATGTATAACAAAAAGTGTGGAGAAACACTTGATTGGTCAAAATATCGTCTTTTTAGGTTATATGCATTTCTATCCTTTTTGCAAATCGGCAATTTCTCCCCTTATAATTTTTTTTTTTTTTACATGGTTTCTATGAATTAAACCGAGAAAAATATAAAGAAATACAGTGAGACACCCCAGCCAGTCAAATCTTTAATCTCAAAGATCAAGTGATACTCCATCATTCAAATTTGGGAAATACAGGAGTTCCCCTCGTTTTGCAAATGATGTAAATTTGTAATTTTATATGCATTTTAATTTACACTCAAGATATGTTGCTGCTTAGATCTATTGGACCAATCAGCGTCTTTTCTTCATATTTAATTTAACATTCTAATATCTTGTTGGAGCTACTGTAGCCTTTTAACCTTATTTCTTGATTCTTTTCCATCTAGATATTATACAAAAATGGCTTGGCACACGCAAACGCACACGCACACACTCACATTTACGCATACGCATCTAGTCAACTTATACTGTGACGTTATAACATATCATCCCAGTGTGTCTTATACACCCCTGCTGTCACCCCTCCTGAGTGAGCAGTATTCTGTCTTGTATCTATTCTCGTCATCAAGGAGTCATACAGTACCACTCACAAGCAGCTACTCACAACATCACCTGAAAGGGGTGGTTGTATATGACTGAACCCTGGCGAGCTTAGTACATTAGAAACCAGTGTCAGCAGTTTGCAGATGGATCCATAATTAAATCACAAGAATAACCAGAGCGTTTTATTATGGAGCTATCCGATAATTCCGAGCCTTCTTCTCTTCAATTTGATGGTTAACCCTTGGCTGGGGTGGAAAACGCGAGCCAGGTTTAAGCTTTAGGGGAGATGCCAGTTTCTAAGGGGCAATTATCCCCTTAATGTCAGCAGTGGTATCATGCTAGAATGATCTTATTTTTGGAATATGTGGGCGAATTCTTACAATGTTGTCTCTCTCTCTCTCATCCTTTTTCTGATGATTAATGAGGGAAGGCTTAGTTACCGTCAAAACTTTTTTTCAGCGCCGCATTGTTTGTGGGTCAATTTAATTCATGATCAAATGTTGATGCAATACCCCAGGCTTTCAAAACAAGTGCGTCAAAAACGATCCAGCCAATTTAAGTAAACCACATGCAACCAATTTTGGTTAATAGACGGAGTGTCAATTGTTTTTTACAAAACCAGGCAACAGCCTATTGACACTGGTTTGGAAATGCAGTGTATGCGTTTTTTCAAAAAAAAAAAAAAAAAAAAATCATTCTTTTGATAATCTGCAACCTCCTCTCCCCCCACAATTCAAAAGGATCACTGGTGCATAGCACATGCCACTTCAAAAAAGTCTTCAGTATGGCTAAAGAGTAACAAAAAGCAGTCTGTTTGACAGCGAAATATAAATTATGCTCATTGAGAAACCTTATTTAAACAGCTGTTTCCTAAAAAAAACGTCACATACCTCTTTTTCTTCTCATTCATTGTTTCCTTCACCTTCAATGGATTCATTACGCCACATCAAGCCAGACGACATGGCTATTCAATTGACCTCATGGGAAATTTTGTCAGACATTATTGGCTGGGTAAGACACAATTTCTCGAAAAAAACTGTCAAAAAACGAAAAAAGATTAACCTCCCCAATGTCGACTTTTTCTTAGTCTTACTTTTTCGTTTGGTCCATAAGCTTCTACCCGCAAGTTTACTTAAATTTGAAAAGAAAAAGGTAGAACTGCATGCCTTCAAACTCATGTCAATGGTTTTTCTAATTGCAGCTTTTTATAGTGTCAAGGGTTTATCCATAGATTTTTTGTTTTATAATGTGCTAGGATTTTTTTGTTACTCGGTAAGTTTATAATTTTTTTGTACGATGCATGCAATAATTAGTGGTAACGCAAAAATATACATGCTTTTTTTTTCTTTTTAGATTTATAACTTGTCATTTTATTTTAATAAAGAGATTCGGGATGAATGTAAGTATCTACATATAGAATTACACGAGTGGAAGGAGGATGTGGAAAAGATAATTGATGTCAAATCCAATAGATCAGCAGAGACATCCACATAGTGACAATAACCTTGTTCGTATGAATGATGTTGTATTTGCTATACACGGGTTTATCATCTCGCTATTTGTTCTATTGCAAAGTTGCGTCTACAAGGTATGATTATGGGTAGGATATCCAACGAGAAAAAGAATGTGATTTAATTGAAATAGTCAATTAGAAACACGAAACACAGCAAATTTCGTCATTTGCTGCATCATTTGTATGGTTGACTGTCATGGGCTCAGTATTAGTGATATCGACAATACATTATGGTGGTGCCATATGGCTCGATTTCATGTACTACCTGAGTTCTGTAAAGTTGATTGTTAGTTTTATCAAATATTTGCCTCAAGTAAGTCTATTATGAACCAAATTTGGTTTGATTTTCATCGTCGTTTTAATATTTTGTTTATGTAAAAAAATTAGGTTTGGATAAACTATAAACGTCACTCCACTCAAGGTTGGAGTATTCAGTATATTATTTGGGTAATTTTTTTATTTATATATATATAACAAAAGTCACGTAAGTCAATGATCAAGTAACATGTTATAATTAGGATTTATCAGGTGGTGTTTTATCCATCATTCAATTACTTTTGGATGCATACATTGATGGCGATTGGTCTGGCATCGAAGGCGTAAGGTTTTTTTATTTGTTTGATAATCTTATAATCACTAACTTTTTGTTTTGTTTAGGATAATGTCAAGCTGTAAGTTTTAGTTGGAAACACAGGTCGTTAAACTCAAATTAATCTTTTTTTGTTTTTTTATACAGCGGGCTTGGTGTGATTGTTATAGGTTACGATCTTGTGTTTTTGGTTCAGCATTACGTTTTGTACCCTAAAAATCAGCACCATTTATATATCCCAGTAAGGCAGGACCGACGAGGACTATTGGAGGAAGGTTATTTAGACGACGACGCTTCTTTTTCATCTTATAATAGTAGTGTCAATAGAAGACCAATCAATGCAAACAAGAACTACGGTTCAACAAATATATCTCTTTACGCTGCGTCTGTATAATTACTTTTAACATTTATAATTAATTAATTAAAAAACTGTAAAATATAATCAAATGCGTATCGGGTTCATTCGTATATGTTAATATCGATTTTGCTCATCACAGTTGCACCCAATTAAATAGCACGATATGTCACACCTGATTTTTTTAGGTTCAACTCTAATGGATTTATTCTATTGAAGGATGTTGATGATTATCACTTGATCAATAACAAGAACATCTGCAGTAAATTCCTAGAGAGAATTATTGAAAAGTATTCTTTAATCATTTTTGACCTACAGTGTAATTATTTACGATTCAATATTCGGATTTTTTTTTATGTTATAAACATAACGGGTTATCTTGTTGTGGCCAAGTTTTCCGAGATGTTGTGGGTATTTCTTGAAGCTTTTACGTCCGTTTGCCATAAGGTAATACAAAGCGATTGCGCTCTGAAATACGCCAAACAAAGGAACATCATCGATTTAAATGTTCTCAGCATTATTATGCAAGCAATTGGATTAAATTTTAGAGGTAATATATTCCGTTAAAAAAACAGTTACAGTTAGTCCTTCTAATTAAAACATTTATCCTGAACTTTTCCCTTGCTTGTAAATGGAATTAGGGCACCCCTCTTAGTAACCAAAGACATTCTGTCATCATCGTTTCGAACTGAAGTCCCCCCCCCCATTGTTTCTTCTATATTCATTAACTCCAACATTGTTAAACGCCCGCGTGAGTATAATAAATTGGATCACCATCACCAGAAGCTTGTCATCCCAGAATCAGCACGCCACAGATGAAGCTCTTCAGGAGTAAAATAGGAAAACTATAGACTAGGAAGACCAGTGTTGCGGTCGAGCATTTTATGATCATATAATTTGATTTAAACGACATGTTTTTTATTTTCAGTGCAAACTAAAAGAAATGAAAAGCTTGCACGTTTACATAATTTATGTTTTATCCAACTTAATTTTTCAAATATAGGCAAGGGTCAAAGGTTCTTCAATATTTAATTTCTGTATCGGGTATTCTGTAGAACAGCCAACTCCTCCACCTGTCTCTCTAAGTGATATTTGAAGAGAACTTTTATAGTTGATGTGCTTAAATTGCACAATTATTTGCCGTGCTGATGCTTCTTCTCTTTTTTCGACGTGTAGTGTTGACATGATACCTGCAGAATCTTCCGGCAAAAGAATTGGTTCATTCGCCACGACTTTACTTGGATATTGTACTCCGATAATTTCTAAAAAAAGTTAATATATGTGTAGATATTTATGTATATCAGTGACACATAATGAAATTTGAACATGAAAAAAATTGCTCACCCACTGACAGACCCTCCCTAAATGTGGAATCTAGACCAATCCTTATATCTAGGCCTGTTATAGGAATTTCCTGTCCTTTTTGAAGAACTACCAAGTAGGTGCCTTCGTCGGCTATTTTGGTTTCCTGAGAGCCATCACACTTTATACGGTAAAATGAAGGATGGAATTGAAATCTTAATTGATTGAGCCGTATACCATAAGTTTCTCTTGCTACCTGAACTATTTTTCCTGAAATAAAATTGTGAAACAAGTATGGCTTGTTGTGGGTAACTGGGATCAATAATTGGTCAAAAGATTCTAAAAGAACAAACCCCTGTGTATCCTTTTCTTTTGACTCGATACTAATATCAATTGCTTCTTGAATCAAAACATTATACATTTTGTAAATCATGGAATTGGGAGATAGACTGAATGGATTCCCTAGTATAAATAGATAGCTGACTTCGTAAAATCGAAATAGTTCAGTGTTAGTCAATGCAGCTGCTGTGATTGTTGTTATTTTTTGTATTATTGGCCTTAAACCAACATCGATAATGTTGCGTAGAGAAAGACTCATATTACATGAGCATGTGCTACTTGAGCATGTGCTACTTGAGCATGTATTACTTATATTCATCTCTTTTTTGGCGTCCATATCTAGGAATTCGTTGTTTGTTTTGAACTACGAAATAAAGTTTATAAAGAGAGCATTTCCATTGAATTCACTTACGATTTCGAGCACAAATTGTTTTAATACTTGACAAATACTTTTATAAATTTCTGCTGATCCCAAATCTTGAGACGTGTTTACATTGTTTTTGTGAATGTCACAATAATTGATATGACCCCAAGGCACCAATGTTTTCCAAATCTGCTTACACATGGCGTCATATACATCCTCAATCTGTATAATTTTATCTTCGATAATGATAGTAGCTGCATCTTCTCCATTAGAGGAGGACTTAACGACTTGATGCAAAGTGAGCTGAATATACGTCGGGTGTGTTTGAGCGATCACAAAGTAGGACTTCATTTCAAATTTTAAACTTTTGAGCTTTTGTTGAATCGCGGGTAAAATTTCTTCGGCATATGTTGAAATTTTCGCCTTACGATGATTGTTGTTTTTTTGGAGAAATCCACTGGCAAAAAATAATTCATTCAAATTTTCCTTAGAGTAGAAAAAACGGTCTAATATGTTCTTGTCAATAGATACAGCGAAGCCAATATTTTTGTCCCTCCAATCAGTCCCATATTGCTTGTCTAAATTTTCTTCTATTATCTTGTTAAGACAATGTAAATAAAGTATTAAAAAAAAGAAGACATAACCGGAATGAAGGACGGGCATGAAGTTCTCAACAGTAGCAGATAATCCATCTTCTTTCATGAAAAAACACCTATTTTCAGCTTCACCTAATAGTTCCTCGAGCCTCTTTGATCCAGGGCACATAAACAAGTCTTTAATATCTTTCCTTTGATCAATGTCTGTATATCGTTTAAGATAGTCGCCAAAAATACATTCTACAAATAGCATCGTCCTATCCTCGATTATTACAACATAAATTAAAAAAGTTGAAAGCGATGGACATAGAAATTAATTATTACCTATTGGTCATACGAAGCGACGGTCTTTGTCCCAATTTTGAACAAGCGATAAAGCTGTCTAGCGATTTTAGATTACTATTTTCATGACATTAGTTAAATTATTTAGCATTGCTTTAAATAAAAAATATTATCGGCAACCATATGGTACCTACCATTGAATATTTTTTGCAGGTTTTTCAGTATTGTTATTTTCATAGACGTAAGTAAAAATAACTTTAACCTCTGTTTGCAGAATGTCTGTTTATAAAAGGTTAGTCTTTTAAGCATATTATTTTGCTTCGTTTTTACCTATGTTAATAAAGTGAACGGGTCTTAAAGATTCTTCTGGCCATATATCTTTTAAATTTGCAGATGTTATTGCTGGGTCTCTGTTTTTGTTAGATTCCTTTATAGGATTTATCACTAAATTTGAGCAGCCTTTCATTCTATCGAATGCACTTAATTTCAAATTTACACATTCAACATCATCCTCTATAAATGTCATCAATTTACATCGTCTTTGTTGCTCGCCGTATGCTTGAACCCATTTATCGATGTGTTTCGTTAAAAAAATCCAGTCCCATATTGGCGTCCTATCTACTGTATGGATTAGTATTGCTGTAATATTGGCTTTGTCTGAGTGTTGAAACATGGAATTCATTTTATCTGTAAATGTTGTTTCGGAAATTTCGGGAAAGTCTTCATATATATCTTTGATAGTTACTGATTCAATAAAATCAATGTTGCTCTGCTCCAAATTATACTTTGCATAAGATGCGTTATGATTTTCATACGATCCGTAATGCGCACTCTTAAAAGGATTATGTGCTAGAAACTTTTGAAGCGACCACTTCTCTAAAAAAAGCCTCTGTAAAAACAAAAAGGAAGGAGTTTAGGGTCTTTTCATAGTAACATAAAATGTAGAAATTCTCTTTACTTCATCGATACCATAGTCTTCTTCGACGTTATGATACTCTACAAAATCACAGTCATTGGATTTGTAGTGTCTGAGATTGTCATTATCGTCATCGAAATCAGTGTCATTGATTAAGTCGTTACAGTCTATATCATCGTGATTGCTGTTCCCAGAATAGAGACTGTTATTATCGAACTCAATACTGTTATTATTGGGTTCAAAACTTTCATTATCGGGCTCAACGCTGTCATTATCGGGCTCAAGACTGTTATTGTCGGGATTATCACCATTATTGTGGTCCTTATGGTCAACGTTTTTTAAATCATCAAAATAGTCATTATGGTAAAAGTCGACAGAGTAGTCCCCTGTAAAAACGTCGTTGGAGTCGTTGTTTTCGGAATCATAGCTATGTTCATTACTGATGAGATCATCATCCTCGTAGTCTGTGTTATTGAGGCTATTGTTAAAATAGTCCTTGGTGTTTAAGTCACTGGAATGGTAATTATTGAAATTATAATGATTAAAGTAGTAGTTGGAAGAATAACTATTGCCACAACAATTTCCAGAAACATGACCTTTGTCCGTATAGTCAACAAAGAAACTCCTATTTATCAGTACCTTACATAGTTCTGCTGGAAGTGCGGTATTGAATTTTTTATCCAGGTATGCTCTGATCCGTTCTTTTCTTTCTTTTATAGTAAGAGGAACCGTAAAAGATGTTGATTTTAATAGCTGTGGAACATATTTGCTTTCGACTGACGTGAAGGAAGGATACCGAGCTGCGAACAATTCTAAAGTTACACGAGGTTCATCCTTATGCTCTACTGTACACAAAATATATTGTCTGCCGTTTTCAGTTCCTACTTTTCCATAATCATGTAGTAATTGAAAGTTTGCTTCTAGTCGCGTAAAAAAAATTAGCCGGCCATGATCATCAGTTTCTATTAAGCCAGCTTGAATAAATAGAGGTCGAATCAACTTCTCCCGAGCATCATAATCCCAATTGGCAGGCAGAGTAAACACATAAAAAAAGTGAGACTTTGAGATGTTTAAGTCTTTACCCCAATATTCTGTTTCTTCTAGCAAAATCTTTTCTGCTCCTTGGGCAACAGCTTTGTAATGTAAACAACTCTCGTAATTCTTGCCCTGTGCATTCATAAATATCTCATACAATTCTAAGAAAACGTTACGCACATAAGTGTTGTTTTCTTGATTTTCATTGGACTCCCATTGTATATTACAGTATTAGCACTTTGAATTCAGACAAGGAAAACTAATTTTCAGATAAACCTAAAAATGATTTCAGATGAACAAAAATATATTTCAGACAGAAGTAAAAAAATGATTCAGACTAACGTAATATATATATATACAAATAGAATAAAAAAAATTCCAGACAAAGGCTATCAAAGGATGTATCCTATAAATTTTACAGTTTTCATATTCTGCATTGATAGTTCGTAATGTATTTAAAGGTGTATTTTTATGAGCTCTTTTTACATAAATCCTCAGTTAATACGTTATAACAGTAAAAAGGGGGAGAAACGGAATTTCAATTACTTTAGATGACGTTGACTTTGAGCATTATAATGTAACTTGATTTAATTGACAATACATCAAACAGTGCTTCTTTCACAAAAAAAAAAATATGAGACCTCGTATTTACCCAGTTACAGAAGATTTTATAAATGCCAAAATAACAGCTAAACTTGCTAAGATGGGGGACGAAACGAGTACCGGCACAATGAATCAACCTGCTGGTGGAAACAGAGGTAAAAATGCACTGTATATGTTCAGGTATATAGCCAAACATAATAACTCATAAAATAAATCAGGCCTAAAGAGAAAGGAAACATTTGAAGCGAAAAAAGAAAAGAGTGTGGCTAAAAGAAACAGGACCACTGCGTCTTCAAGCTCATCGACCCTGATTTGCAAGTCTTGTGATACAAGTGGTCATTCTTCTGCGAGAAGTAAATTGTGCCCTAACCATAACTATACCTTACAAGAATTGATCGAAAAGGATCTTGGTGCTAAAAATCAAAGATATACTATATCTCTTCCATTAAAGGGCTTTTTAAATGAAACAGATGATGATGATGACCGATTACAGAAGGCCGTAAACAAGATCCAGGATCTATCTAGTTTCTTACGTCTTGTTTTGTTTAAAGCTCAAATCTTTGTCAATGACTACATTTTACAATACCCCAATAATTTGTCCAATGAATTTTTTCAGCAAAATTTCTGGTATTCATTGTGTAGAGTGGTTTGTAAACAGCTGTCGATTAAAGACTTTCAGTTAAAGTATGCCAAAATTCACCACTTGGAAGACGTATGGATGGAGCTTAATAATCTAGAGGGAGTAAACTTAAACGTAGAAAAAGATGGGCTGAAAAATTATGGTCAAGTGCTTGCGACTGCATGTGAAACCACTGCTACGTGTTATAATAACTATTACATTGAGAATTTTCAGAACATTATCTGCAACTACTTCATTTATATGATTTGTAAAGAATTTCCTGTAAGTTACTAGCAGGAAGCGCTAACTTACAAGTTATTAACAAACTTAACTTAGGACGTTAAAAAATCTGTCATAAGGAAACTTGTATATGAACATGTTTTAGATCAAGTACTATCATCTGATCCTGTTGCCGTTCTAAATGATGATATCCTCCCACCATTAAGCCAAGAAACAAAAAATGGTTTACAGGCATTTATAAACCCTTTAATTGTGGAGCTCAAGAACCGCTTGCCTTCGTTTACAATTACAAAGGCAACTCAGAATACTGCCCCTTTTGGTATTTTACCGACATTAAGACACATTCTATCCAAGTATGAATCAATCATTGCGGAAAATTCTACTTTACAGAAGCATGACTCAGAGCCAGGAAGACCTCAAGATACGGTTCAATCTGATGAAAAAAAGAAGAAAGATGATAAAGCAAAGCATTTTGTACTGCCGAGAATATTTAGCCTGTTTCCCAATCCAGGTTTGCAGTGGCGCTTTATCAAAATCGATAGTCAAAACGTTACTGGTATATTCCCTGGCTCAAAGTTAAAGAAAGAAAAGGACGAGACTTTATTTAGCTTCACACAAAGGTATTTTTATGATTGTTTTAACTTTGCCAAACTAAAAATTAGAAGGTACATACGAAAGAAAGAGTATTGAGAACCTTCTTCATATAATAATAATAATAAACATTTTGTCTATTATTATTAGCCTTAATGATCTGAAGGAGCTGCCTGCAACCAACGGCAAGATGTTTTTGAACGGGATGTACACCGATGGTTATACTTGCCGCTTACTATTCTGTCGTCGTACTGAGCCATCTTTGTCAACTAAAAGCATTGCCCTAGAACTCGATGACTTTAACACTGAAGAGGTAAATACTTATTTTAGGCCATGTACTGTTGATCCCGGAAGGAATGATGTGTTTGTATCCTACCATGGAGACAATGATGTGAGACGTCTTTCTTCAAAAGAATACTACAATATGGGCGGTGTTACGCAAAGACATAAACAGGAACAAGAACTCAAGAAAAGCTTGGGTATTGATCAAATTGAGACCAATATCCCCTCACCTAAAACCACGTCTCATGATACCTATATACTATACATTACGTATATTCTCCAACATATTGATACACTTTTTAATTTCTACGGGTTTAGAACTACCAATAGTAGATGGTGTAATTATATCGCATCACAAAAGAGTATAGAGGACGCCGTTAATATCCTTTTAAATGGATCAACAAAGTACAACAAGAAAAGAAGGAAAACTAAGAAGAAGAGTAAAAAGCGAAGGAGATCTAAAATAGTTGACTCTTTAAAATCTAAACCGAAAATTATCAAAAGGTAAGCGTGCTAACAAACCATGATATGACTGTATTTTAATAATGAAACTTGCATGAAGAGAACATAAAGAGAAATTCGAAGAAGGGGATCGTAATAAAATGCCTTTAATCATCTTTGGCGATGGACTCAAGAACAAAAGCCAAACAAAGTTTAAGGGTTTACGCTCCGGTGTAACGGACAAGCTTTATCGACAATTGAAAAGAAGAGAGAAGCTTGGAGAGTTACTTCTTGTTGATATTAACGAGTTTAAAACATCAAAGGTTAGTATATTAATGTATATCAATACCTTCGACTAAAGTAATAGTTTTATAGACATGCAATTCTTGTTTTAGTAATGATTTAAAAAACATGAGGTGCGGTACTGACGAAAAATCCTCACACATCCATCAAATATTGATTTGTAAACGATGCAATATTTTTTGGAATCGTGATGTGATGGCTGCGAAAAATATGCTTGCTATATCTCAATCCATTTGGGATGGCCAAGGCCGACCAACTGTCTTTAAAAGACTAAACGCCACCTCCAATGTGGTTACCTCGTCTCACTCAAGTGAGGAGAAGGTTTAAAGATTTTACAGGTAAACCTTATAGTAACTTATCAAATCATCCTAAAACTAAATTTCATTTGTCTGCTTTTTTATTTATTTTGTCCAAAAAAGGTAAGTCAATGTCTGAAAGTAAATTTTGATTCGTCTGAAAAAAAATTAACATTTTCTGAATTTAAAGTGTGAAAACTGTAGCGTCGTCGTATTCTCTAACATTAAGATTCGCAGAAGGCTCAAGCCATGCCCTACACAATTGTTGGGTTTCTTCTAAGCCCCATGTTATTCCACGGCCCTTTTTTGGCCTGGTGGGTTTTGATTCCACCGGTGAAGTCATAAATGGATTGAACAACGGCAAGAGGTCAAAAATATATTTTTTGACGGAGATTCTTTAAATCGAAAACCCTTGATAAGTGACAGTGTACCACCAAATCCTGTGTTGCTCCTTAAACATTTATATCACCATTTGCCAGACTGATGTTATCGTCCTGGTAAGGGCAGTTTAAATTAATTGTTTTCATGGTATTACGTGAATGTAGATCTAATTCTGGGAAATCGGTAATAAACATCGAGGGTTTTTCCAGTTAAGTATGTTAATGTATAGGATATATATATATAAAAGAAAGCTGGGTATACGAATGTGAATATTATGGCTTGCTAGAAGAATGAGTAGCACTGTGTTTTTGTCTTGACCGCATAATTCAGAGCTACCATTGGACAAGTGTAAAATTCGAATATTTTCTCTTTTTTAAACAGAGAAGGGGGTCGGGGGGAGTTGGTTTTATTTACTTGCTTCTTTTTTCGCGACACAAATGTATTTGCCGATTACGATATTTTTACTCGTCTTGGCCACCGAGTCTATATTATTCCTTGGGTATTCCTACATTACCTCCCTTGTAAAGACACAACAAGAAAATAGGACTAATGTCTTTTTTGTTTCGAAGGCGACATAATTAACCCTTTTTTTTTCTCTCTTTTATATAACAGACATATGAGCTGTACGTCAAGTTCACTAAAGATCCCAGAGTGGTAAAGCAAAACAAGATGAAGAGGGATGTTTTGACCATGAAGAAGGAATTAGCTCAAACAAGCTCACAAGTATGTTTAAAGGTTTAAAAAAAAATAAGGCGATCACAAATTGACAACCATTTATAGGATGAGTTTGCGAAATGGGCAAAGTTACGTAGAAAGTTGGACAAAGCAGTTGCCGATTCCGAGAAAATGAGTAAGAGAGATAGAGGGAAGGAGGACATGTGTGTAAAACCAAGGGAGACTGAATGATGATAAAACTAGATTCGGATATTGCATACTCTAAGACTGCTTTTGAACTCAAGGTCAAATCTGTACTTTGGTTTATCGTCCATGGCACACAAATTGCCATGGTATTATGGTTTAGAAAGAGTGCAGTATTTTATTTGCCTCCTGGCTGGTTTGGACCTGCACAGCGTTTCCTTTCATGGCCATTTGCACCTGCAGGTAAAAAAAGAAAAAGACAAACAGGTTGTGGATCGAGATGCTTATATACTCTATTATTATCTTAGGATCTGTGAGTGTGGCTGTTTGGTTTGCAGCTTGTAGAAGAGTCATTAAGGCTTTAGCTCTTACCGCCAACGATTTTGTATTTACTCCCGCTGCTGAAAAGAAGATGGCAGCCGCCTAAGAAAAAAAAAAAAGAGTGATAAAGAGATATAGAACTTATAAATAAATAAAAAAATTGTCGATACTCGGACACTACTAAGCAATTTTATCTCCCTATGTTTTTTGTTCCTGGATACAGTGTAACTGGGATGATGTTTTGTGAACAATAAGAGAAATGACTGGATCTCTTTGCTGACGCACTTTAACCTATTTTCTCTGAACTGGCTTTAAATTAGTGCTCAAATTAAAAATGTTTGTTCTTGGTCTATTTTTGCCTCCTTTCCTTCTGCGTCTTGCTGCTATCTAATAACAGGTAAAAATATGACTTTCTAGATATGAAGATCAATTAGTAAGCGAAACTATTTCTATTTCGGCGGATATCATTCATATTAATCTCTACGTCTCATCTATTTATTGATATCACCTCACCCCTCCAGTGCAAAATAAAAAATATCATTTTGACCCCCGAGCCCACCAAAATTTGACCCTCATATTCTTTTCTACAGCCAAAACCACAGAAACCACAAGAAAACCATTAAACCACAAGAAAACCATTAAACCACAAGAAAACCATTAAACCACAAGAAAACCATTAAACCACAAGATAATGATGTGGGTTGTTGCTCCTTTTTCTGCCCATGCCCAGGTATTCTTCATGTTGATATGAAAAGCTGGCTTTATCGATAAAAAACGCAGTTCTTCAAGAAATCAAGATCTGTTTTCGCGTAAATCTGATACCATTCAAACCATTTTTCCAAATTCTCAGTATCATTTCGAGCAACTGACTCAAATGTTGCATATTACATCGTCAAATTGAGAGTTATTTTCATATGATAATGAAGTTGGCTTCTGGAAATGGTCAAACCTTCGTATTGCTTTGTTAAACTCTCTAATACATCATTTACTGTAGCTTGAGGGTTTTCTTCTACGATTTGCGCAACGAATTTACGATGTTCTTCTGTGACCTTGCTTTTTCTTACAAGTTTCAGGGCTTACAGGGAGCTCGTTTGTTTCTGTGTACTTTAACCTCCATCTTTGAGCTGTCCTTTCATTGATTCCCATTTCATGTGCAATTTTTGCAGTTTCTTTACTTTTGATAGACTGCTTCTCGCTATAGCTGTTATAGGTAGATAATGTAGCGTTATCTTTTTTTTTTTTTTAGGTTTTACTGCTTTAACTTTAATAGCTGGTCCTGATAATTGCTTTTCGAGGTAATGTTTTTTCGGTGTTTAAACTTCTAAAACAATATTCCTTTGAAGATTTTTGTTTTGTCTATCTTCGTAGAAAAACATATGATTCATCTTCTTAATGACAATAAATAGGGGTAAAAGAAAAACGACGACTTCGAAAAAAAAAATTGCGACAACTTTTTTCACAAAATGACTATCTTTTCAAGACAGACTGTAGTCTGAAACGAATTTTGGTAATTAACAAAAACGAACTTAGGAAATCACAACTACGAAAATTAGACAAGTGCAACAGCAAAAATTGAGCTTGTAGAAAAACGAAAATTGAGCTAGAACAAAAGCGAAAATTAGGAGAAGATCAAAACGAATTCTGTTTTTAGGTTTACAAAAATTGGGGGTGGAGGCACTGTATAGTCTCAAACAGGTATGATAATTAACACACTTAACGATAGATAATACGAGCGCATACCAACATATTTTATTGAGATTTGAGATTAAGCTTGAATTGATGCCTTATTCGCAACAAGAAATTCTTTAACGGTCTCAGGATCACGTCCAAGAAGAATAGAAATTTCAGGTGTGACTCTGTCATCTGGGCAGCTATCTAAACCTGCGGCAAGATCCATAGCAAATAAATGAGGAAAATGACCGGATTCCATAATCTTGTTGTATTTTTGAATAGGTTTGACCTGTTGGTAGTTGATTTCGCGGCCAACAATATCAGAAATAATCTGAGCACGTTGATGACCATTGGTAATATCGCCTGTAAGACTGTAGACAGCATCACCGTGCTTTTCAATAGCTTCACTCAATACCACAGCCGCGACAGCACCGATATCGTTGGTTGAGATAAATCCAAGAGATAAATCACCAGTAAGACAGTCAAAGATTTTGTTATCAGCACTAGGACGAGAATGGTCGACCACATTTGACATAAATCTACCAGGACGTAAGGCGACCAAATTTCCACGACCGGGAAGATCAAAGATGGCCTTTTCGGCACCATAATGCAAAGCACCGATATAACTGGTTCTCCAACCCATATTTACAGTGAAAGAAGAGATATCCACGATTTGTTTTACACCCGAATCATAAGCGATTTTGGCAATATTCTTTTTGAGGTTGACAAAGTCACTGAAATCTGAAACTAATAAAAAGAGACGACTGTGGCCCTTGATACCTGTTTCCAATGAGCTCAAGTCACTGTAGTCACCTTGAACTATGTTGATCAGTTCAGTGCTGTTGGGAAACATTGACTCAATTTTGCTAGGTGTACGAGCGTACAATGTCATGGCCACATTCTTTTCCAACAAATCTTGTACCAGTTTAGTACCGATATTTCCAGTGCCACCGACGATAAATACACGATCTTGTGTGGATGTCATTATTTAAGTTTATGAATTGTTAATTAGATAAATGTAAACAAATCTGCATCGAGTATTTAAATGGGTTTTTCTTGTGACGGTCAATTGCAGCGGGGTTACGTTTATGTATCCACTCTTGGGAGGACAATCGATTCGTCATAAAAATTGCTGAAGCTTATTCTATTTCATACTACGAAACCAGAGGATAAACAATGGGTGGGGTAAATTGCTGTCGATTAAATTCCTCAAAAAGAAAAAAGCCTACGTATAAATATAAGAAGTAATTCCTGTTTAGTCCTCGATGCGAGTTATTTCGGGGAACGTGTGTGAATAATCCACTTTGGGATACAATTTTTCGGTAAAGTTTTTCCGAAAATCTCAATACAATAGACGGTCACCTCGGGTAAAACTACATGAATTATCACTTGATTTGACATTTCGAAAGGAATCGCGTAATAAAGAAATGTATTAGGAATTCTAGGGTAGTATTTTGAAAAAGTTAGCTATAAATTTCTATCTTCGTGAGCATATGCAGATGGCTTTTTTTATGTAAGTTTTCTATTTTAACGCTATTAATACTGGCCTAAATAACGGATGCACTCAATTGTTTAAAATGATCGAGAATTACGCGGCCTTAGATCATATGTTTGACGTTTTGTTTTTGATTTAAATAGATGCTGGGAAGTTAATATATGATATTGAGCACAATTTTAAGGCGTATAGTACAATTCATATGGAGAAGTGAAAATTATTTATACCGGACGATGTCTTTATGATTGAATACGATTTGCATGGACAACTTATTTTTTTATAACCATCAAAGCTGTGGGTGAGTGTACACGGAGGCGGACCTCCTTGTAGTTGCACTTGAACAGTTTATTTTACTGAAACTGACTAGCGGGCCTCCACCTTTTTAACAATAAAAAGCCAACGTCTTTTTTTTTTTCGTTTTTTCAAATATTTTATGTCTGTCTTAATGTAAATGTTTTGTATCTCATGTGAAGATTGTGTTTGTTGAGGATATCATAGATATAATAATAAAGTTAATTGTCACATCACATTAAGGATGGATAATAAATATAAAAGTTAATCATGAATCACATATTACCCCGCTTGTTCTCATCCTACCGTTGAAGTCTGTACACAGGGCACAACCCTGTGGCGAGTAAATATTTATTCTGCAAAAAGCAATACAATCGAATGGGCCTGGACTATGGAATATTAATAGAACCTGAGCACAAATATTACTCTTGTCATTTGATGTTATAACTGTTGATCCCTCTGACTAATATTTATCTACTCAGTATGGAAGGGCTAAATTTAAAGACATGTTGATTATTTACTATGGCAAGAGTATTACATCATGATCCAATAAGGCGCTTAATATTCTCCCTAGAACTATCCCAGTTCTTTATATAAATATCCATAGTTTTTTCTCATAGACCATCAATACAGTTTTGAAATAATTTTTGAATACATTTTTCAACACGTTTTTTAATTATATTTTTTCGTCCATAATAAAGTGGTATCCAAGTTCTAACAGTATCACTTTTCTGGTTTATTTTAATTTTGTTCTCCATGCAAAACAGTGTTGCGGGGATATTAACTTGGATAGTAAATGTAACTGGATTCTTGAATTAAAATTGAAATGAACTTATAACTGTAACAAAAGATGCAAAAGTTTTAATATAAGGACCAGATAAAAAGGCTCCTTACTGCATCTCTCGTTATGGCTTTTATACAAATTCAATGGTGTAACACCCAAAAAAAAAACTAAACTCTGATCCCCGTGACAATTGTTTTACTGCTTCCAAACTTTCTAAAAGATGGTATTTGCCTGTGAATTGAATATATTCTGTATTGATAATTACCTATCATGCTGCGTAAGCTGATAGAGTCAATAGCCTGTTAATATAATTAAAACGATTCCAATCAGGTTATAGCAGAGTTATAAACTTTTTCTTTCTTTAAATGCTGCCCACAACGAGGATAATGTTGGGGGTAAAATTTCAGTTTGTAATAAATCAAGGGTAGTTTGATTTATAAAAAAGAAATAAAAAAACAAAAGAATACTTTTAAAACTCTTTTATTCAAAGTTAATATAAGTATGATCTCTTCATAATTGGGAAAAATATCAAAGGTATTTATACTAAATAACTGTATGATAAGGATAGCTATCATATTGGTTAAGAACATTATCTGTAGATATTGATTATTAGTGTTATTGTAGCAAAAGTAGGCTTAAATAGAATAGTTTTGCAGAAAAAAAGGTAGAAAAAAACAATAGGATCAATTAGAATTCTTGTCAGAGTTTATTGATGTTCAAGTTAACTGAAGATTTAAGAAGAGGAAAAATAAAGAGTATTTATAATAAATGGAATGGACGAGGCTGAGGATACTACTCTTAACAATATGAGTATGCTATCAATAACAATATCTATATTGGACAATTAGTGCTACGCATAGTCAATAGAGAAATAATAACAATAACATGTCTTAAGTTTGGACATTGGTGTTACGATACCGTGACACTTTAAAATAGTGACCGGCTTTAGCGAATTCCTTTTTTATGCCTGATCATGATTTAGCTATCATTTATCAGTGATGATGAGATATGAATTTATTATATGTACAATCTATATGTGTGATTTAGCACATTTCCCTCTACTAGATTCAACGATAGTTGAATCGGTTAAATTTCCTAGCTAACTTTATGTGATCGACATTACGTGTATTAATTTCTACAACATAAGAAGTTTTATCACCGCTAACCCAGACACGAACAAATTGAGGCTTATTGAAATAATTTTTTTTTTTTTTTCTTTTACCTTTACTTTTACTTTCATTCTTACTTCATGCCTTATTTGTTCTTATTAAGCCGACTACTACTACGTCTCTTCTGTACAGGTTGACCATCACTATATGTGTTATTCGTTCTCTTTCTTTTGTTATAATTAGTAGCATTGTCACCAACATTACGCTGTGAAACAAGCCTTTGTGTTTTGGAATTCGAGTCTGATTTATTCACCAGCTCTGCTTTACGTATTTTTTCAAGTTTCTCTAGATCTCTTACTTTATCCCAATAAGCTTTGATAGACTGTGGTGACGAAAATGCTGATGTCTTTAACCATGAATTTTCACGTTCACCATACCCAACCCATTTTACCAGATATTCACGTTCGCCATTCGGATCTTGTCTGTGGTCTCGAATTTCTTGGACTTCGTATAATTCATCTTCAATATTTGTTTCGTCGATGGATACTACCTTGAGCTCAGATGGTACATAGTCTCTGTGTAGTAGCTCGTTCATTTCATCCTTAAGTACATACGTTCCCGCTTGCGTCTTTCGTACTACAGTAAATGGTCCCTCATATAGTGGAGAAAGTTTGGATGCTCGATTTGGCAATTTCACCATTACTGCAGTTCCTACGGCAATGTCTATCAGGTAGTGTTTTGTATTGAACTTTTTACTTTGTTCCTCAACTAATCTCATCGTTCTTTCGTGGATAGCAGGAAACACAACTGTTGCCATGATTTCGGCTTTGTTTATCAACTCTTCTTCAGATGTTAATTTACGTGGAACAGTTTTACTTATTTTCGGATCAGTGTAGTCCTGAGGTTTATTTAATTGGCGTTCGAACATCAATGAGAAGGGGCTGCTACCAGTACGATTACGGATCTTATAGTTACAACATAATTGTAGCACGTTTCCAAATTTCGGCATCCAAACGATGAGTGACCGGATCACGAACAATCCAATCATCATTTCGAGGCGCATCTGCATAATCTCTTCGGTGAGTATGACCTGGAATTGATTCGAACAGATGGGTACAGTAATTACAGGCATTGGTTGAATTGTGAGAGGTCATACCAATCACTTTTCTTGTTGCTGGAAGGTCACAAGCAACCATTGTCAATGCAGCTTTGACAGTAACAATACCGTGATTTCTCGTTTGTATTTCAACACCATTGGACAACAAAAGCAATTCATCAACAAGAAGACGCAAATAATGATTCATTTGAAATGTTTTTGGCTCTCCGGGACCAGGAAGAAGACAAACAAGAACAACATTTTTTCTCAAATTTCTAACGTCGCGAGGCAAATTCTGAATGGTTAAATAAATTCCACCACAGCTATATACGCTGTTTGTATACAATTGGAACCAGTCGCAGTTAATTGTCAACATCAAATTGAAATCAGATTGTTGGACATATGGCATATCGTCAGTGGGATCCATCTTAAAGTCCCTCCATACGCTTCCATCATAAACATCCGACATAATTCCTGGAATAACAGTTCTTGACTTCCATCTTCTCACATCATCCACAAACCCTTCACGCAAAAAAAATGCCTGTAATGTTGATACAAGTGAGTTGTAATAAAATGATCGAATTGGTTTCAGTACGCTTCTGTTATTGACAGAGAAAAGTTTATTGCCACAGCGAGTTGATCCAGGAAAAGGTTCGACTGAAGAGCAGTTTTTTCCAATCAATCGATTTTTTTCAACTTCGGTGTCATAAGGATGAACGGCATGGCATACGGTACAGCTGACGTGCTCTTTCATTCCATGATACACAGTGGCACCAAGATTACACCAAGAAACAAATGTCTCGGCACGAACAGGGAATTTGTACTCGCTGTTGGCAAGCTTTAATGCGATATTGAGCATCACCATCAAAAGCTCACAACCTTCGTCGGTTAAATACTTGCCGTGGAGCAAGAACACGGTCAAGAAGAAAATAAACGCCAAAGGATCGGTAGGAAGATGAGCATTGTTGGAAAACCCAACAAAGGGATCTATTTAAAAAAAAGTTAACGCATATATTTACGATGGGCTTAACGTCGCTTCTACCTTCTTCAGGTTCAATGTCCTCGTTTACATCGTCCTCATCAGATTCTTGGCCTAAATCTTCTTCGCCACTTTCATTCTCGGTGTCATCGTTGTCTTGGTTTGACGCAACTGCAAATGGGGTAGTGGCTGGTATAATAATTGTGTTTAATTAAAGAACTCGTTAAAAAC